TGCAAACGTCAAAGAAACAGAAAGAGAAGTGTCCAGAAATAGTTTGAACTTTTTTGATATCTCTTGTATCCTGTATGACTAAGTTGCACAAAACTTGTTCACGTGTAACTTAAGATGATTGGGAGAAGTGCTATTAAAGAGTTTAAGTCATAACAACTTTTAAAATGTCTTTTGCGCGTGAAAGCGTTGGTTTTTTTTATATCTTTTTATCTCCATTAACCCCCTCAACTCCAAGAAGTGATTATCACGAAACACCTTCCTATAATATTTATACATTATACGCAAACAGGTAATGAGTATACTCAAAGTTATCACGTGGGAGTTATCTTGATTTAACACCAAATTCTCGTTACTGATTTTAAAGGAGATGAGTGGCTGCTTGAAAGGAGAATTAACAATCAGATCTTTTGAACTAAATGGTTAAGTTAAGGGAATAACTATAACCGAACTCTAGGCTTTAAAGGAGGTAAGGTTCTAGAGAAACTGTGGTGCAGCGTAGGTGGGAGAGCAGAACAGGGTCATTCGCTCTGACGAAGGTCAAACGCTCGAAACGTCAGTTTTGAAAGTCTTTACGGTGGCCGATTTACGTCATCAACTCAGTTGATAAAACCAAATTACTCTGGGCTCTAAAATCTAGCTCTGAGTAAAAGAAATATATGTTTAGGTAAATAATGTGTTTTCTTGCCTCAATGAGGAAGTGTTTTCAATCTGGTTTACATTAGTAGGATATATATGCTTCATTTTAGTCTAAACAAGAAAGTGCATCTCAATAGATGTGGGTTAACTTTTCACGCATAATTCACGGATAAATTTTTGATAAGATGTATGCGATTACAAATTCTAGAAATGATTGGTCAGTGCACCCATACCGATCACTAAGCACTAAGCTCCGACTGAATCCAGCCTCGAATAGGATATCTTTGTTTTCTTTAAATTAAATCCAACAACGTTTTTGTTCAATCTATACGACATACACTTCTATAGAACCACAACAGAGCAGGAAGTCCTCGGTGAAATCAGTGGGGGTGGAGCCTTGCGGCTTTTAATCCAATGAAAAAAATCACAAGGATATAAAACAACCTGTTTTTCAAGAGCAACAATCCATGAAAATCCCCGCTCCTCTAAGAGCCTCAGTGGCAACTAGTCAGCCAAAAACATGCTAGAAGGAGTTCAGTTACTCTGGAACGTAGTCCTTCGTGGAGTTTTTCAGTGTTCACAGGGAAGTCAAACTCTGGACAAAAGGTAGGCTAAAATGAAGAAGGGCACTTAGGTCGCGTCGCCTTTGAAGAAACGCTTGTCTGGAGGTATTTTGGGAATAATTACTTGCATTGAACTGCACCGAGTCTATTCTGTACGTGTTCAGCACTAGGCAAATCACATCTGTCTACAATTACCGAATTTGCAAAACATTACCAACAAAATGTGAAGATTACGATGTCTAAGAATCTTCTAAAAGAAAGGTTTTTATTGCAATGCAACAATTTTAAAATTGAGGCCCTTGAGGATTAGGTAAAGGTTTGCTTCACAATTTCGGTCGAATGTTATCAGGCAGAGAGCAATGTGGTGTCGTCTAGTCGAGGAAAAAAACAAGTTTTATTTCTTTTGTAACTTTTTTCCTTTCCATTTTTCACTTGTACGATATAGCATTAAGTCAATAGGTTTTTCTCGATCGATTTATCGACTTTTTTTCCCTCATCAACTATCTCTCTGAAAATAGTTTCTTATCGACCCACAGTGGCAGGAACACTTTGTTCCAAAAATTGAAATTTATGCTCATTGTTGCACTTCGCCGATGTGTTTGAAAGAAAATCATGACAATTTTCAGCATCATTTGTCATAATTTGAAAGCCATTATTTTTTTGACAAATTATACTTGCGACTTTTAACTTGAAAAAATAAACTGGAAAATGTCCAACATTCCAAAAACTTAAATATTATTGACCGAACAAGAAGTCAAACTTTTTGTTTGCCACCGCGTTAAAACATATAAGACTCGCATATAAGAGATGTAAATAATAAATTAATTGCATATAGCTAATAGCCTTTTTCCGTGACCAGAGATGTTTGTTCCAAAAAGCATTGCTTTGTTGTGGCTAACTCTGTGGTTTTTTTCAGCCGGCCTTCGCTGATTGCTTCATTTATGCGACACAACCAGATAATTGAAAACGAATTAGCCTTTGTTTAGAAGTAAATTCATTTTTCCGGTTTTTGCTATCACGATTATACAATAAAGATAAACTTAATAAACATATAAAATTGATATTTAGATTCGTAACCCAAGCTCAAAGTTGACCAAGTTTCTAACATTAAACAATAAGTTTCAGAGGAGAAGACTTCGTAAAAATCATACAAAAATGAAGCAAAATTCGAAGAATCGTGATACACAATTAATTTGGGATGAGACGATGTCTGAAATAAGTTATGCGGCCAAAAGACATAGATTCTAACCATGTATGTAGGGTTTTAACCTCAATGATAATATTAATTAAAAGAAAGAAATCTTCACTGGCAGATACCATGAAACGTTGTCAGTCTTGAGTGACTTGTACCAACTCCCTCCAACTTTAGCAGTTAACGTTGTGGTTCAAAATCATGTTAGCTTACTAAGACTCGAGGACATGAAAACCACATTTCTCTTAAGCTTGTAAATCTTCCCAAGTTTATCATGGACTAAAAGTTAGTCTGAGGACATTTTCCAGTGACCAGCTTGCTCTTATGCCTTGTGATTAACAGGGATTCGAGATCAATTAGTCAGAATATGTTGAATATTCGAATATTTTGTCTTTAAGAACAGCCGCCACACTGAGGAGAAATGGCTTTTTTTACGGATGCAGTAGCGGCGATTCTTAAGAACTCGTCAGATTAATTCGACTCCCACGAGGTGTACAAGTCACAACAAATAAAACCTTTGGAAAAATACTTATAAATAGAGGATTTAAAAGAGAATCCTGCGGATTATTTATAAAATGAAAAGAAAGCACGATATAACAAACAGTAAGAAATATTCATGCTTTACCGTATGGCTCCACGCAATGAAGACAAAACTTTGTTACCTTGGGTACGTACTACAAGCAACAAGTAAACAGAAAAATTATCTTAAATTGGAATGAGCTTTTGTTAGTTATCAGCTAATATCTGACTCGTAGCTACGAAATATTTATTTACTTTCGTTGCTATTGTTATGCTGAATAGCACCAGAGGAAATAACCTCCACATCGATGCCAATCCTGCCAAGAGCTCATTGAAATTTGAGCAGCTCTCACACAAAAAAATAAACAATACACACTAAGATTACCACACAAACACCCTAAAACAAGCTCAGTCGCACGATTTCGTGGTGTTAGGAAAATGTCAGTTTCGTCAGGTCTTACAGAATAGAGGACATCTTCTGGAAATTTTGCTCTTGACAAAACCGAATTTGAAACATTTTGCCCTCAGTATAAAAAGTTCACATTGAGCAGCTATAAATGGTAGGAATGTTTGCTACTTGTAATTAATGCGTAACCGACGAGCAGATGTCTCAAATTTTTAGGGCTATTTAGCTGAGTCATCTGTAGAATTTTGTGAGAAAGCGGCCAGGGAATGAGTTGAAAATTTCTGAAGACAATTAGATAAAACAGGATTGATATCGTTTGTAGCTTGTACAAAACAAAGTGTTTGCGTCTTTCTCAAATCGCAGGAAAAGTCCACTACTATGCTAGATTTTTAGTTAATTTATGCTAATTTAAAAATTTAGAATTAAGTCTGATTTTTTACAGTTACAACCTTTGTGAAAAACATTTCAAATACTATTGAATAATACAGCAACATTCGACGTTTTCTGCCAACAAGGTTGGCGGCGACTGATCGATTTTTTCCTTGAGCTTCTAAAACTTATCTTTTTCGTAGCTGAGGATGTACGTTGGATTTCATTTTTAATTTTCTATTTTTATCATAACCATTCGCAACGAGTAATGATTGCCCTTATGAAACTTTTTAGGATATTTTTCTGGAGAGTCGTTTTTGCATGTGGCCAAACAGTTTATGACGTGCACCAATGGTTAGTGTTTCTTTGTCGGTTTTTGTTCATTGTCCTGAATGCTGTTTAGCAACTCTAATAACACGTGGTAATAGCTCAACCCGAAGTTTAGCTGTCATAAGTGAGTTCTAATTTCTACAACCTCACTAATAAAGGCGAAAAAATAATTTTCGAGGCAGATTTGCGAGTTTCTTAAAAGTCAGTTCATTCGGAAAAATAAATTGAAAGAATAACCTGTTTCATTCACAGGTGTGACCAAAAAGAAATTTCTCCAATTACAACAATAATACATTTTCGAGTAAAAATTTGATGAGAAGAAAGGAAAACACAACGTTGGGGATATTGCTTGATTTTGCACCAAATCGTCAAAGCAAATGATAAGCAATGTATGGAGTGCACTGCAGAGAATTGATGTTCTGATCATAGTAGCGAAAGGGGTCAGTGTAATACCATTGGGCGAGATTTTTGTATGAACTAAAAAGAAATTAAAAATAGCTGAAAACAAACCTGAATTATGTAGAAGTCGATGCTTTTGGGCATTATGTAACAAAAATAAAACTTTTTGGAGAAAGTTTTTTAAAGCAAATCTTCAGACAGCCGATTATCGCTAAAGGAAAGAGTCTTGCCGAGTATCTCTTTAAAATATCTTAGCTTTATGTAAACGACACCATTCCCTCTTTTTTTATAGAAGCAAAGCATCTTTATCTCTCGCAGACTGTTTAGGCGCATCTGCACTATCTTCCTTCCCGTTCAGATGCAAATTTGTTCATTACGATTGGTTAAAAGTCATGCCACTTTCGTTTATGACATTTTAACGATCAAAACCATAATACTTACGGTAAATGAAAAGTCATTTCTAATCATTACATTTTGCGCCTTTATGGCTCCATTCAACGTTTTGATGGATAAAAATTTTGATTAAGGATGCCAGCAATCAAACAAAGTAAATGAAAAGGGTGATTTAAAAGCTTAGGTGAGGAAGTTGTTGAGTCTTCTTTAGAGTGTGATCAAACTGGATTATGGAATCAAGTCGGTTATTTACTGCCCACGCGTGCTGGGATATTGATGAACGCTCAACTTTGGACAAACTGAAATCCGACGCCATCTGTTACAGGGGTGAAATAGGTTCGTGGTGGCAGTTAATATATGGAGGTAAATTATCAAAATAATGTTATCGTCCAGTCATTTTATGTAGTAGTCGTAAATAGCGTTAAGGCTAGCGCAACCGCAAGATGAGTATAAACCACGACTGGTATTTATTTGTTTCATTTTCTTTTTGGTAAATCGAAAATTTTTCTTCACAGTTCTGGTATATAGATTTTAAGGTAAACTCGCTTTCTCGAAGTGCCTGCATTTCACTACACTAATAGAATGCTATGGCAAAACCAGTTCGCCTCAGAGAATTCGTAAATAAGAAAGGAAAGAAAGAGACAGACATTTGTAAACATCTTTCATGGTTTCTTTTTTAATTTTTTCCATAATGAAAATCTTTTGAATTTCAACGATTAAGTACTCTTTGGAATTTAAAGGTTGAAGGTTAATCACAGGTTAGATTCTGGTTATTCGTTTGAAAAATGCTGTCACTGGCAAATTGCTTAACCTAGCAGGAATGCTGTGTAGCCTGATCAATTATTGATATCTATTCAAAGCTCCCATGCTAAGCCCCAAATTTTCTTCACACCTTTTCTCTCCCGTTATTTATGTCTCTTACAGCAGACGACTTATCAATAAATGAATGAGGAGTTTCTTATCGAGGGCCACAAGTTTATTCGTTATTTCAACTATTCAGTGCCACCCTCTTCAAAAAAGTGTTTCATCATTTCATCTCTCAGAATAAAAAAAAATCCGGAAAAGAAAAAACGTGCGTTGCCGTGACACCGCCTTTGGAAAATAATATAAATAAGATAATATGATAGATGTCATGTGTTGAACAGATTCAAACCTCAATAATTTACTTATTTTTACAACCCCGTTTTTTAGACGCCCCGTCAGTCAGGAGACATGCATGTTTAAAGCCTTACAATGTCCATAATGATTGACGACAGTTCACCTGAAGTTCAAACTTATGACAAAGAGAAAATCAAAAAGACAAAAGCTTTTTTCACGCTAAGAGAGATCGCTTTTTGATAAAATCCCTTAGACGTCGCGAACGGAAATAATTAACGGCAAAAAGTCATTACGGAGAGATATAACAGCCTAAGTATTTCATATAGTATAGCCTGAGGAGAATCACTACTATACGCTATAACTCATTTAACTGGTCAGATCAAAAGAACTCATTCAATCATTTGAGAACTCTTCAGGGCTTCCGTAACCTCGGGGAATACCTTTTGTCACAAAACAGAAACAGAAGGTACTTCGTGCATCATACGTAGGAAAAAAGGTGAAAGGAAGGTAAAATCGTTCTGAGCCCCTACAGAGAAAGAACAACTGATAATAATAAACGTCACACATTGCTACCGTGATTTATGCTGCTCTGAGATTTCTATCGCCACCGACTGAGAGAACAATGCTAGAAAGTTGTTTTCACATTTTGAACAATTTCTGCCACATCACGTACAGCTTACAGATAAGCAGCGCACCAAGCACGTGAGACAATTCAATTTGTGAACCTGTTTTTTAAGACCACAGTGAAGAGTGATTTTTTACATCAGTCAAGTATTACTCACGGAAACATGTGATCTTCAAAACGAGACAAACCTTCAAAAGATCTCCTGAGTAAAAAGGTCGAGGTAAACGCTGTTGTGATCTTGTGTTCCTGGGTAAGGTACTTTGTTCTCCCGGTGTACCTGTCCACTAGGAGTATAGACGGGTGCTACTGAGTAAAGTAACACGAAAATTTGTCGAAATTAGAAAGAGGAGGGGCAGCAATATTTCAAGGTGTTTCATACTAAAGAAGGCCAGGGCCAGGACACGAAGAAACCTGAAGCAATAGTTTCCAAGCCCTGTGGCAAATAAAAAAAATCGATGCAGAGGAAACTTGATTTAATGAAATGCTGAGGGATTGGGGAAATTAGTTCGTTATATCGAGGGTTCGTTACATGGAAAACCTCCTGTTAACGGATTTGCTGAAAAACAACCAAAATGTTCGTTGTAACGAGGGATGGTCAGTAGCGGTTGTTTTGTTTTGTTTTTTGTGGTGTGACATGGCGCTACTTTACTACATGGCGTATTTTGGGATCGGAACGATTAATGTAAATATTATTTGCGCTTTAATGTCCATATGAAGCTACAGTACACTGTACAGGGCTCTACGTAGCTACAGCACCTTTGCTGCAGTTCTTCATGAGAACCTCTAATGGAAACAATATATTGCTAATACTGCATGCAAGGAAACGTTCTAAATTACCTGTAATATTACTGAGAAAAATCATGTCTCCTTTAAAGCAGTTTTCAACAGAATATGGAAAAACCAAAAACATTGTAATTAAAATTACTAATCAGAACAAAGATTAACATCATGTTGGCCAATGACAACTCAAAGTTAAAACAGGCAGTCTGCTTGAAGCGCGAAAAAACGATAGGAACCAGGTAGCCTACGTGTAGCCGTACCCTCCCCCCTTCCGTTTCACCTGGGGGGAGGGTATGGCTACACGTAGGCTAGGAACTAGGTTGGGATTGGTTTCAGTTATCATTATCTCTATAGTTTTGTTTATAATTTTTTTCTTGATTTTCAAGGAGATTAAAACTCTACTGAACAAGAATGTCTGACCTCAAAAACAAGAGCAAAGAGATGGATCCCGAGGCAGCCTTCACTATGCCCATTCATTACGTGATTGCAGCAGTTTATGCCGTTTTAACTGTGACAGCATTCAGTCTAAACACGCTTGTCATTTGGGCATTTGTCAAAGACCGTACACTGCGCACGCGCTCGAACAGCTTGATTCTTAGTATAGCCGTCGGTGATTGGCTACACGCTGTATTAGCATATCCCCTTGGAGTTGTTAAAAATGCGTCAGAAAGTTGGCGCTTGAGCGGTGGAGCCTGCACGTGGTACGCCTTTATTACATCTTTCCTTTCGTTCGGTATAATGCTCCACTACGCTACATTTTCTATCGAGCGTGCAATCACTATAAACTTCTCTGAAGCCTTGTTTTATATTGAGAGGAAGCTTGGTCTCATCATTGCTGGACTTTGGCTGTTTGCCCTTCTTTGGAGTTCGTTCCCTCTGTTCGGTTGGTCAGCGTACGTTCCTGAAGGCGCAGGTGTGTGTTGCTCAATTCGCTGGCAATCGTCCGATCCACTTGATATCACTTTTGTGGCTTGTATTTTCTTATTCTTCTTTTTTGGACCAGTTGTTACCATGGTTATAGCATACTATTCCGTTTACAACAACATGAAGAAAATGACTTTAAATGCGCATGGATTGTGGGGAGAGAACGCTGCACCTACAATGGAAGTTATCCAAGCCGAGGGTAAAATCGGGCGCATGGCATTTATGATGTCGACTTGCTTCTTGTTCGCATGGACACCTTACGCCGTAGTTTCTCTGTACGCTATTATAAACCAACCTGAGGACATCACACCACTGGTAGCCACTCTACCCGCCTTATTTGCCAAAACAGCGCCTTGTTATAATCCCGTCATTTACTTTTTATCATACAAGAAATTTAGGGAAAGCCTAAAACGGACACTGAGACGCCAACGAAACACCCGTGCTGTAAGCAGGCTGTGACAACACTAAACATCTACTCAGCTTCACTGCACCCCTAGATTATGATGTATTTTCTCCACACTGTTCTCTATACATTCCAATGATACTGACAAAGAAAATATGTTAGACAATCAAGAGCTTCTTAACTGACTGATCATTCCTTCTATTCTCATGAACTTAATGTTTGATTCAGGTGTGATGCTGTGGAGAGAAATTATACGCTAGTCAATCTAAGGGAAATTGGGGAGTTAAATCATCGAGAGCGGATATATAGAGCCGCCGGTTGCTTATACCAGGCGCCTAAGCCAAGGCTTCTCTGTTTGGATTAATAAAAGAAAGAATTAACCACTCCCCTTGTTACATCAGTTTACTAATCATAAAAATCTTGGAAGATCCGTCCTCAGTCATTACTCAGAGCGCTCTTTACAAATTTTTCCCCGTTTCTCTCGGCTCACTCTTTTCCCCAGTGGCTTAGAGTCCCATCCATTGCCTGATCTCCGTTGAAAGAATAAAGTTAATTTTTAGCTTAGTATTTTTCGTGCTGATAGAATCTCTCTACTTCCTGGAGTGAACAAGTAACTTTTTGACACGTCAATTTTGGAGTATTGTCTTTTAATACAACGATAAATTCTCTTTACCAATCTGCAAGGAAATATTTGACAGCCTGAGGGGAGAGTTGAGGATCAGATCTTAGGATTAAACGGTTGATGCATAATACGTGTCGTATGTGAAAAAAGGAATTATACTTATTAAAATCAGCTTAGGGTGTAAGTAAACAAACCAGCCGCAAGCAAACTGGAGTAGCCTGTCTATGCAGGAGGTATAGTCTGTTTGCGACTCAAGCGTGATCATAAGGACACGAGTTAGGTCCACGGAGCTTCGCACTGGGCGTGATTTCCATTGCTCTCTCGAGTCCGGGGCGTGGGGTCATTTCCCTTGGGGGAAAGATCTTATGTTTATACCCAGCCAAGAGTTCCAAAGTATGATTTACAAAGTTATATGAAGTATATATTTATTCTCCTTCATATACCCACATTTTCATTCATTCACCTTTATATGTATTTATCTGTGCGTGTGTACACGAGATCTCTAAATTGAGCCTCGTCTGGTGCGCGTCAGTGGAAAGTCACGTTATGACCCTATGTTTATAACTTGTTCTTTGGACTCACCGCGGGCGATTTTTTTCCACTGGCTTGTCACGCGCAGGTTGAGAGTACTCTGTAATTGGATCGTGCAGAAATAGCATGACTCCTTGTCAACAATTGGACACTTGCTGCGAGGGACGAGATATCACCGGTGAAACCGGATTGTCAGCGTTAGTCGGCAAATCGACCAGGACAAAGCAGTCGCGCTGTAAGCCGTAAGTACAGAGTTCGCATATTATTTTATCTCGATTGCCCCTTTTTCGATCAAAATCTAGCTTAAAACGCTAGCTTACTACGCTTAACCAGCTCTAGCTTTTCTTGCCATCAAACTGGAAGGGTTGTACCCGATAAATTTTTAGGACAGGGGTTTTTAAAAACCTGACTCTCCCAGGGATAAAGAGTTCCAAAAATGCCTTTCCTTTGTAGAAAATGAAATCTCTGTTTGCAGCCATTTCCTGTAACACCTTCGTGCAAAATTATAAAGCCTGTCTAGGATAGAAGAATGCAACACCCGTCTTCTCTTAACGCAGAGCGTTCAGTCTCTCAGATATGTGATTGAGCCGTCGCGGGTCATCGAGGCGACGTTGGGCAACAAACAACCTTCTTCTTCTTCTTCTTCTTCTTCTTCTTAACCAACTCCTTCTTAATTAAGTAAGCTGAACAGAACTATTTCAGTCAAGTTTGCGAAATCGTGTGTACGATTAAATACAAACAGATTGGAACGCGCGACAATAGTCCGAGCTTTTAGTATTCGCTGTACCTCTTAAATTTTCGTTTCGCAACAGGGCTAGGAAAGAAAACTTTTTTCACAAATTACTCAGCTTTATGTAATAGTTCTTATGATTTTGAAGACTACATCGAGAGTCTATGGTCCTCAAATTTCGATGCAGAAGAGGAATATATCAACTTTTTCCGTTGATATATTATGTTACGTGATTACCTATACATTTTACAGGTCAAGAACGCAAAGAACTTTCCAAACGAAATAATGATTAAAAAGCAAGTCAACCTCCATGAAATGGACAACCCATGTAAAACAGTCGTCTGGCTTATTTTTCCGGGAGTAACCACTCATTAGAGAGGTTTTGCTGTTTAAAGGAAAATAGATGGATCCCTCTCAAATTAGATATTGAAACTCGATTCCAAGGCGCGTGATGTAATTTAAACCTATTCTGCTCTGTTTGATGTGTAATTTCACTCGCGTCTTGCTTTCGAAAATCGTTTGAAATTTTAGCACGCAAAATGAAATCACGCTTGAAACTCTTCGCAAGGCGCACACAAAAAAACAATCATACAGTGGTTGGTGAGCCATTCCCCTTTGTTTCTGTCGTTTGAGCTCGTCACACGACCTTTTTCGCACTGAGTGACGACTCTAGTACTTGCGGGCACCTGGGTGGAAGGAAGAGCACAACTTTTCTGATGAAAGTTTCTCATCTACCACACGCGATCAGGCAATTTTTAGCCTTGGAAAGTTTTAAAGAGGCTTCGTTGTTAAAATATTTAGTCTTGCTGCCGGTCATATGTTACGATTATACTATTAACTGTTGAATAACTGGAGTTAAATCTAAGACAGTTGAAATAAGTCACACCAATATCACAATCCTGTGGTCACGCATGCTTCTCAGCATTGAGAGCATTCATTGGAATATATTTGCGTGGCATTATGGGAACAACAGTTAAAAAAGAGAGGGGGGGAGGGGAGGGAAGAGGACTCAATTTTTCAATCAATTAGCTCATCGTACCTAAACGTACTTTTTGAAAGGAGAACTTCAGACTAAGTCAAGAAACATCTCTGATCATCAGATCATCAGAAAATAGAGTCTAAAAGATCTTTCCAGCTTCTGATGGCAGCTTGAAGGAATTTTTATCTCTAAATCAACATTATCTAGAATAAATATTAGTCCTGAAATGTTTCCGAAGTAGGCACTTGTTTTGACATTCTGTTATGTATCATTGTTAATCATTGCCTTCTTTAAACATTGCAGAAATCGAAACATGGCGAAGGGAATGTTGGCATTCCTCTTCGTCACTCTGCTTGCTTGTGTGTCACTGTCGGATTCTCTTTGACGGTGACGATGACAGCGGCCATCCATGGGTCCAGTGCCCGACGCTCGGGCACAGGGATCCGTGGTGGTCCTAGGGGTGATAAACTCCGCTTGACGGCAGAGAGTCTGATGACAGGCTGACTGTCGCGTCAAGGCCATTGCGAAAATGGACGAGATGCGTGAGGTCGCTAAGGGGAGGTAAGTCGTTAGTGAAGAGTGCAACCGAAAGTCATCGGTTATTTCTTTCGTTCAGCTGTCAACAGGGATAGGGGCGCTCTCGTCGGACGAAGATTACGTCACCTCTTGCTCAATCACTCTGCGTGGGGTTACTATAATACTCAAGCAACTATTTCGAAATGGATAATTTCAATTGGTTTAATAAACTGAGTTGATAATGTACATTCGCCACGGAAGAGAGCTGACGTTTCTAAGGTTGGCTTTTCTACAGGATAAATGTTTACCGAGCGATTTCTTTCGCAGAGGAAGATAAAGGTTAATCGGTTAGTAGGACAATTACTTAATTCCAGTAAGGTACCACTGTAGGGCCCCCTATCAGAAAATTCAGCCCACTTGTCTCAATAAAAACAGGTTATCCTAATCAAAATAAAAGAAGAAATAGCTCTCCCCACGAAGCATCAAGGTCAGGCTTGTGGCTCGAGTGGATTAGTAGCCGCTCTTTATATTCTTACACACATTTTTCGCATCTACAGCGAGATGGGTGACATTGTTTTCATGACAGTGGTTGGCCAGAATGTTTTCTCTCAGTCTTGGAATCAAACTGATGACATGTTCGAGGAGCCTACCCCGGGTCTCCTGTCTACAGAATTTGGTTTGAACAAGACTGGAATATTTGTTTATAACCGTTGCGGAAGTCTTGAGGGGGAACTCCAGTTATTCCCAGTAGTTCCCTTAAATCCATCGGATATCCGTCTTGAATGGTGAGTTTACCCTTTAACTCGTAAGAGTGACTAGAATTTAATTTCTCCCAACAACATACCCTTGAATCAAACATTAAGGTCATGAGAATAAAGGAAATGATCATCAACCGAAGCAGCTCTTGATTATTAAACGAATTCTCTTTGTCAGCACCTTGGGAAATGTATAATGAATAGTATGGAGAATATAGATACTGATGTTAGGGGTAAAGGGTTAAACCACTAAGATCAAATTAGTAATTCTCTCTTCTAGAAGTCACTCATTTGCGTGTAAATTAGAAAGGAGAATTAATTGTTTAATCAAGAAGACTCCGGCGGAAAGTTTCTCTTTTCTTATCACCTGTTTGCTAAAATTATGCATACATATTGTGAAAAGAAATTACAAGTCTATCACTTTTGAGAATGCTAAATTTTGTCAGGAATCAAGTGAAGATTAATTTTGCTGATAGTTTCGTTGCTATTTGAGCCAACCGTTTCTTTGTAGCGAGTGTGTTAAGCAAACCCGTATACCACATTTTTAGAAACCCGTTGAACCAGTTTTCCTCTTTTGCTGATTTGCAGGAAAGTCATCGAAGATGCTTACAGAAACTGCCCGCAGTGTAACAAACCTGCTCCAGAAAAAACTCGATTTCAAGGCAAGGTGACCACTCCATAAGATGCTCAGCCTTCAAGCCTGGAATGAAACTGATGTGATTTCGCGCTTTCCGTAGAGTTTAGTTGGTTATCACAAGGGTTTAACTTTTAAGGGGGGAGGGGGTTAATTCCGTGGTAGGAATTTTGTCGTAGAGTTTCTTCATTTGGACTTAAACGTCAGAGGAAATTAGTCACTCCCAGTCGATAAAGCCCGCAAACAAAGTAATAAAGCCTTAAGGACAACAAAGCGAAATGAATCTGCCCCCTAAAAGCGAAAAAATGATTCGAGGAACAATCAAATTGCTCCGTGCAATTTTATTGTTCTCCGTCCGTTTACGGAATTGTTTCCGTACCAATTATAGATCAAAGAAAACTTCAAACTCAAGTGATAGCATTCGGTAGAAAGTCCATAATGAAAACTCTATGAATATATAAAACTGGGTCTTATTTGGTTTACCTGATGTAGTCTCTTTTTTTCATTATTATTTGCTGTAGCAGAAAAAAAGTCGAATCATAGCACCTTTCCAATGCCTTACAGTTGGGGCCGAATTTGTGATAGTGGGGAAGTCTTATGTTTCATCCTTTAAAAATTTGAAGACTTATGAAGAATAAACGGGAAAGAGTGTTAACCGTTTGTTTAGATGGCAGTCATCAGTTTTCGGTTGAAATCAGAGAAACAGAACATTTCATCGCGAGATCTCAGACGGGTTTTTATGACGAACTTACAGTAAAGCTTTTTTGTAAGTTTTTGAATTTGTTACCAGTCCCCTCGCACATGAACGAAATGCGTATTAAGAAAGTTGTTTTGTGCCACGTTGTAATGTTGTGAAAGGAGAAATAAAAGAGCTCGATTTTTTTAAAGACTAGAATGGTTTTGGTGTAATTCGCCCCGTGAAATATCTTCAAAATGTGTGCCATCTTCTCAACCAATAATGCTTAGACTCCAAGATAAAACCATAGACTTAGTCCCTCGCGTTTTCCCGTGCTCCTTTTTTCTTTGAGTGCTAATTGGCTCCGTGTGATATTTTCGTTAGTTCTGATCGACCGTTGAGACTAGTTTTGGCTTGACAAGACTGCGTGAAAATTACTCTGATCGAAATGCGCATTTGGCTCACGAGAGTGCTGTATTATCCAAGCGTACTACCATACAAACCACGAGAAGCTTCTCATTTGATGTTAGATTGCGCAAGTTGATACCGCGCGCTCAGCTAAGAAATGAAAATTGACCGACAGATCAAGAGACACCTTCATAGCCGATCAGATGGCTGACATATGGATTTCACGCTTAGGAACCTTGGAATAAATCTAAGTATCATAACGATGGACCAATGCGCTGTGAAATGTCCAAAACAGTTAATGCAAATATACAAAAGTTTACTACGAGTGGAGGCTTCGACAGCTTTGTGTTTGCTGTGTCAAACCAGACAGGATCATGTGGTCTCATATGCGCGAGTCACGTTACGTGACAAAAATGCTTCGAGAAAAATTCTCAAAATTAAAGTGATCATAAACAAACTGTTGAATGAGAAAATAAGGTATAATTACCGAAGAAAAAACAACAAGCGGTCGTCGTTACGAACCAGCTTCGATGGTTAGAGAATTTCTCTCAACTGGTATTAGAACAACGTGGGTTGGTTGGTGAGTAGAATTTTAAAGATGATCAATTTTTAGCAAGCACAAACTCCTCCAATATGCCCACAGCATCGATGAGGTTCCTTCAAACCACGGCACAAGCAGTTATCCGTTCGTACGTGGTTTGAACAAGATCCTCGACATCCCCGATTGTTGGGCGGATGATTGACCCACGAGGAAACCAAGGTTATAACAAAGTCAACTTTTTCCTCGAAGCAGGATAGCTTCTGTTCCAAGCCTGAGAAGTATTCCCGAACCTCTCCCCGTAAGTCTTGTAGTTTGTAGTCAAGGTCTTTAATCTCTTGCTCTTGTTTGTCTAAAGCCTCGTGCAGTTGCTGAATATAATCATCACGCTGATCACGTGTTGGACTTCCTGGCCTTGGCAGATTATCATAGTGGTCTTGGAGAACTATAGATTCTACTGAATCATCGCGACCTCTTCGTAATCCATCGTTATCTGTTCGTGAGGCTTCGGCACTTCTCGGACAAAACAGTTCTTCTTCCGCACTGTGATAATCATAGTCGTCGTGACAGTCGTGATACATGGGTCGCTTTTCCTATAAGCTTCACTCGAACAAAATGTTGTAACAGAAAAACAACAACGGAATACAACGGAACAAGTTCGCGATTGCCCTCTCATCAACTCTAGAGCGATAATTCGAGAGCGCCATTATGACGAAATTTCTTTGGTATCTAATTACCCGGGGAAACTGAATTTTAGTTACGTCATGAAAATCGCTTCACAAGTGATTCATTCTAATGCTCATCAATTAGAAGCAATTCTTTTAAAAAGATTTCCTGATACGCGTTTATTTTCCCCGACGTGTAATTAAACCTTGCAATTCTGCTGACACAGTCTCACGCAGTTGCGGGTTACTGCTTTCTCAAAATTATCTAAGTGAAGCAGCGCCCGCAATCGATTCGCGGCCACTACGTTAAGGTAGATTTATCCTTAACGGCAAGTATAGCTGATCGTGATTCTGTTGGCTATAAATCATAAATATGACCAGACATTTAAATTCTTTTTTTCCAATATTAATGAATAATGTTGCAAATTCATTTTAAATTCATTCATAAATTTATTCTTTCGGAACCTCTCTCTTAAACTGCACGTGTTTGGTCAGCGGATTACTTTGAACACGGGAATGAGTAGATAAAGTTGTAGGATGCAACCTCCCCCCCCCTCTTATTATATTGTGATCTACTGTACCGAGTGAAGAGAAGGGAGGGGAGAGAGAGCTAAGTCGTGTCAATCAAGGAAAACTGAGCGGCAGGTAAACAGATCTCAGTTTTAGGAACACAACCAGTTGCGCTGGTGATCACAAAAAAACTGCTATTTCTTCTTTTTCTTCCTTGTAAGTCCATAGGAGGCCAGTCGCGAAGCTGATAAATTACTCAGTTTTTCTTGCTTTGCGCCTTTAAATTGTCTGCGCAGCCGCTTTTTGACCGCAAGTTCTTTCAACTCCTCAAACGTCATCCTTCGTCTCTTTGGATTTCTCGTCTTTTGTTTTTTCGGCTTCTTTGATTCCCCTTCATTCTTTCCATTGCTTTCACCTTCTGTAGCCAGTGAAACTTCTTCTCCTGGTAAGTCTTCGCTTTTCTTCTCATTGGTCGTGTCTATTTTATCAGAAGATTTTTTCGTTCTCTTTCTGATATCAGTTTGTTCATTTTGTGCTCCATTTGTATCAACATTGTGTTCCAGCGTTTTACTCTTTTTCGGTAAACTTTGGTCAGATAACTTTTTCTTTTTGACGTTAACTTCGTCAGATCTGAAATATAAAACAAATAATTAATAACATAATAAGTAAAAAAAGACTAATGAACTCACCACATGATGTCTGACGGCAGGCATCATATACGTGTACAGCCCTCATTCACAAAATATTTTAACGACTTTGCTTGTTATAAGACGGACCCTTTTCGTGACAATGTCGCCACAGCCGCAATTCAAATCTGCATGTACAACACACCTTTCGTTCTCAGCCAGTGAGGTAAGAATCCTTTTCTTCTTTTGCAGATCTCTCCCCCGCTTGCGAAACTTTTTAACTTCATAGTGCTCTTCATTTTCAGGTCTGTGATATAAAAAAATCAAAGAGCATTTTATTTTACCTCGAGATTACCTTTTCGAAAAACCGTCCTGTTCAGAAATGGGATAGGAAAGAAGAAAGTTTTGCGTTCGGTCTTCAAATAAACGAAAATTGGCAAATTCAAACTTAATCACGTTCTATATGATCGGAAATGCTTACAACGGGTGATCTAAGCCGCAGAAGTGGGAAAGAACGTGCCTCGATTTAATTATCACGAAATGTAACAGAATACAGATTTTTTTACCTGTATTGGGACATCTTTTTTACAGAGACCCACTGGTTTAGCTCTCTGTCTGGGCAGGATAAAATCTGAAGAGAGGAAAATGAAGATTACTCTCATGAAACGAAAGCAACATACAACACTCGAGATAGCAGTATAATTTTCTTATAAATTGTTCCAGTTCTCAAATGGCGAAAGTTGAGCCAGCGAGGGAGGAAGGAGAGAGAGGGGAGAGAGGGAGGTCTTTTAAAAGACTTCAACTTCCAGGCGGAGGGGGGGGGAAAGGGACTATAAGAGAAGAGGGCTTCATACAGGGGGGATACTAAGTAGAGCGTTAACTTGGTCGCTCGTGTTTTCCCGCGCTTCAATCAGTTTGCTCGTTCTTTTCTGGACTTTTCATTAGCTCCTTTGTTTATTTTTATTTTGGTCTATCGCAATGCGTCCTAAGGTTGGGATAACCATTGTTACCACAAATCTTGCTCATACCTCTTCTGTTGTGAGCCCGAAGTCATTAGGTACAACCTGTCGGTACTTAAATCGACAAGGCATGTCTCCTATAATATCCTCATAATCCAGTTTGTAATATTCGTCAAAATATTCCTCAAATGTTTTCTCGTCTAAGATAAAAACAAACAAACAAAGAAATTGTAAGTTAACCCTTTAACACCCATGAGTGACCAAGATAGAATTTCTCCTTACAATATCCATACAAGATCCAGCAGACATGTGACAAGAATTAAGAAAAATATCAATTAGAGGATTATAAGTTGATCCAATACCAAATTCTCCAAACTAACATCATGAGAATTGCATGACAGACAGTAAGGAGAATTACTAATGAGATCTTGGGAGTGAAGGGTTAGAGAAATACAGAAACCTAACGGATAATAACTCTCTCTGCACACCAACTCTTTACCATGCAGAAGTACTGAGCCAATAACTTATTCTAACAATTGGAGTATGTTATCCATCAAACAGGAAATGAGGAGAAAGAAATCTATAAATTACAGGGAATGATCTAGATTCTAAACAAATTCCTCTTCTTAATTAAAAGGACACATAAAGTAGCTAAAACAGATCTTGATACTTGAAGTATACCAAACAGCATAACTGATATTCTCTACAGATCAACACACCTGGATTAAATACTGGTTTTTTCCGTGCTATAACATGACCAAATCTCGATCTTCCCTTCCTTTTCCTTCCACTAAACTCATTTGGATCATTTCCATTTTCTTCGTAATCAGCATCCATCTAAAGAAGAAACATTCTTGAAAATTAGAAAAAAGTAATGCAAACTGTACATAGTGAGTTTGGTTAGTTAGGAAACTTCATCAATGCTCAGGTGTACAAGGGACATAAAAACAATCACCTTATCCACACCTAACATCATTTTAAACAAAAAATGATGAGAATCTTGTGACTAAGTATCTATGGTGTCCAGTGGGTCTCTACATATTCTAATAAAAGACTACTTTTCAGGAAATTCACTGATCAACGTGAGTAAAACTTACATTAAAGTTTGGATCTTCACTGTGAGGTTCTGAAATAGTTAAAAGAATGTCATAATTATTTAATTTACTACATGAGCCTACTTTGATTTCTTAACCCTTTAAGTCCCACTGGTGACCAAGACAGAATTTCTCTTTACACTACCAGTATGATATCAAGCAGACAAGTAATGAGAATAAAGAAAATATTGATCAGGGGATTACTGGTTGATCCAATTCCAAATTCTCCAAACTAACATCACATAAATTTTATGGCAGACAGTAAGGAGAATTACTAATGAAATCTTGGGAGTTAGAGGGTTAAGTGGCTGAGGCCAACCAAGGTAAAATGTTGGCAATGAAAAATTTGACACTGAATAACAGAAGACAAGACAGAGCATCAATCCTTAATATTTACCAAACGTTCCATCTTCTTGGTGTTCATCATCCACATTTTCATCATAATCGCCTTCCCACTCATCCCAGTTTTCTGCCAGAGGGAAAAAAAAGAGCTTCATGTGCATCTGCTTTAAAATAAGAAAATCTTATGTTCCCTAACTGTTACACAAGAGCTCTGTAACATTTGATTAAATCAGTTTATGATCATACCAACAAGACTTGTCATCTTCATTGTTCACCTCAAGTTTACCCTGTAACTCCTAGAATTGATTAACATGTAACTTTTCCCTATGATATACATACACTTTTCAGCAAACAGGTAACAAGAATACTTAAACTTATCAAGTAGAAGTTGTTATCTTGATTTAATACCAAATTCTTGTCACTAATGTATAAGGAAATGTTTAGCTAGCTGCTAGAGGGGAGAATTAACAATTAGATCTTTAGGCTAAAGGGTTAAGGGTTAAACCTGTCAGCATAGAAAGGAAAATGTTACTATGGGTGGGATTGTTTTACATGCACATCAAGATACAGCGAAGATAAAGCTGACTAGATCAGGAAGAGAACAGTATATCTTAACTTGGTACAAATCAAACTAACCAATATCATCCAAATCATCTTCAAACACAGGTTTTTCATTTTCATCTTCTTCATAAAACTCAGCATTGAATGCTCTCTGTGACAAAATACAATGTAACCAATATTTTAAAACAATTAATGGCATTTACACTTACACAGAAGATTGCTGCTCTTGACCCAAAGGTATTAATTACAATTCTTTTGGCAAGCTCCACATTTGAATTTTGATGGCGTTAAACATGATTGATGTGTTATTCACTAATGTAATCTTGGCCATCAACAGAGATTCCAAAGAATGTTTACATTATTCAATATCATTACATGTATATCTCTTTGTGTTTGGAGCAAGAGATTGCACTCTATAAATTTCCCATTAGGACAATTCAAAATCACCTGCATAGCCTCATCATATTTCTTGGGATCAAAGTCACCTTCTATATCTTCCTCTTTAAAACCCACATTAGGGTTTCCAGTTATTTCTACAAAAAAGAACAATTCATTATTATTAAACAGTCAAGAAGTGTACAGGATCTGTGGTTAAAACTGTGCAGGGAATACATATAAGAAAATAAAGATTCAAGCCAAGTCTAACAAGAAAAACTCAATTTACAGTGCATCTACGGACCTTTTAATTTCTCAAGCTTCTCCATAATCTCTTTTCTTTTGAGGTTTTTCAATCTCTTGATTTCCTCACGTTTCTGTTCTTTCTCCTGCATTAAAATAAAAATTAAAAGTAGAGAGTCAGTAAAGGTAGGGCTCAAGGGGGGGTCAACACCGAAAATGGAGAATAAAACCTTGACTGTATCTGACCTTTTCTTTCCTTGTCTCTCTTGTTTTTCTCTTCTCCTTGCGACGGTCATCTGTCTTTCGTACAGATGCTTGAATTGTGCGGGGATATGTTTTTATCTAAAGCAACAAAAATATTAATAAATATTAATATTCTTTTGAAGGAAGGTTTGACGTAGTCCTCCCTAATTTCTCCAAAATAAACACATTGCCAAATGGATTAAAAATGATCAATCACAAATGGCAAACAAAAAGATCCTATTGCAAACTCTGAAATACTGCAATTGTTTTTTTGAGCAATGTGCTGCAAGGATTAATTACAGTGAGAAATATTTAAGATATCGTCAGTAATTAAATTGTTGATGCATCATTTTGTCTCTTAGGCTGCTCCACTTTGTTTGTATATACCACCCATGTGGTATATATTGACAGAAAATGTAGAATAATAGCAATCATGGCTTGCTGGGTTGTTCTTTCAACTTTGTCCATGAGTATGAAGTATCTTAAAGTCCATTGCATTTTACATCATGTATGTAAATGTACTTACAAACTCAGAGTCTGGTTCTTCAAATCTAAAATTGAACTTTCGTTCAAATTCTTCTTGTTTCTCAACTTCTGTTTCATCCTAGAGAATGATACAAAAGCCTGATCAATTTGATTATGTTATTGCACAAGATAATTTTTATACTCTAAATTAAATGATACAGAAATCTTCTTTTATAAATCTTTGTGGCTTTTTAAGTACTAAGTTTCATCCATGTTTTCTGTTGGTAATTCCCAGTGGTGGTGATCAGACTTCATCATGGTAGCGATCAGTGTGTGATTGGTAGCCAGCAGACTGGTAGCGACTAGACAGTAATTCCTGACACACAACTAAATACATCAATTTTTGGCATAATGAAGGAATTTGATGAACAGACTCCTTAATAGTATAAGTATTGTTAACAGAATATTAAATCTTATTTTAATTGATTTTGTAAATAAGGGACTGTTCATTATTTAGAGTTAAAAAAGCTGATGCAAATTAAGGGAATGGTCACTAATTTTTAGGTAAGAACTGCTATTTACATCTCTATAACCCCTAAGACTGACCAGCATCTCATTTCTCCTTACAATTTCACACTCAAATCATACATTAAGGTCACAAGAAAAAAGGAAATGATCACCAACTAAAGAGCCTCTTAATTTTTAAATAATTTCTCCTTGTCAACACTTAAAATAATGTATAGAGAACAGTATGGAGAATATACATACTGATATTAGGGCGTAAAGGGTTTAACTGTACCTCATCATCATCAAAGCCCACAATCTCATCATATGTAGGAATTCTAGAAAAGAGAGAAATTACTCAAGAGATAAATAAATAAGCTGAACATCATTAATCATGGTTAAATAAGAAACATAAAAATGAAAGTAAATTTGAATATTACCTCTCTGAATCTTTCTCAAGGTAATTTCTATCCAGAATGTAATCTCTCAAAAACTGTTCCCCTTCATCTAAATTGGGATCATTCCAGTAATGACGTAAGGCCTGCTGTAAATACCAGAGAGAAAAAGAATTCAATATTATTCCAAAAGCAAGATACTGTCTCACAGACTGAAACCAAAGAAAATAAACAGCTGATAATCTAAGGCAGTGACACTGAGAAATAATAAATTAAAGCTATAAATAACAAGGGATGTGACTTTCAGGTTACCCACCACTAAATTTTTAAACTGAGTAAGCTCAGCACTCAAACTAAACAATGATGAGTAAATTCTGAATGTTTTTTAATGCTTTACTTACCATACCCATTGCAGACTTTGTGCTTTGTTTGTTCTCCTGTCCTTTCAACCATTCCACATAATCTCTTTCCTCCTTCATCTAGATAAATAAGTGTGAATTAGGTCAGTTATAGCTTCCTTCTAACAAGCAGAAAGCACATCTTTAAAGCAAGTGTCTTGTATTTGAGAGGTTCTGTCTATCTTAAATCAGGGAATGGTACAAGAAAACATTCTTGTTACCTTTTCTTCCATAGTTTTTTCTCTAACTTTCAGAAAATCAGCATCTTCACCATCATCCTGAATAGCTCTCTTGAAACTATAAGATAACATGACAACTCATCAAGACTGACATATATGTTACCTTTTAATTGATTTGAATGGCACCAGCAGAACAAGTTGTCAAGAAAAGTTGCTATGGGCAGCTCTTAGTGCTCGCATAGATACTTGTAATCTAGCAAAATTCATCTTTACCTATCTTTTATTTGTTTTTGCTCCTCCACAAAAGTAGGAGATCTTCTGCCCTGAAATACAGAATTATATTGTGTGACAATTGGACCAAATGGTTGGGGATAAATTAATAACCTACTGCATTAACATTGTGAGACCATTCACACCCCTCAAGAAACTGGACTAAGCTGACAGTATCTGTCTACTGAGCACACAGTACTTTTGTGAGTACTCTCGAGAAATTTAACAAGAGAGTATTACTTTTTGGTACCAGTGCAGTTTATTTATGGTCCAATCATCTATCTTTCCACACAATAAGATACAAGAGGCTTTCATTCTCTTTCCCTGAACTTCTATTTGCTGCTTGAACTTTGAAAGTTCCTCAAGACTACCATCCAGAGGTGTTGTACCCTTACATTTAACTCACCTCAAGCACTTTTTCATCATCACTTTCTTCATCACTCAAGAATGCCTCGCTAGAATACAAAATCAGGTAAACTCTCTTATTAAAAATAAAAAGCCTGCCCCAAAATTTTTTTAATGAGCTGGTTTTCCAAATAAGGTAATCACTACTCCTCTACTCCAATAAAAAAATGCCTGACACATGAGCAAAGTTATACCAACAAGTTTATTGATGCTAAACAATAATCTTAAAGAAGGACACATATCAAACTTCACATGATAGTATAATATGACTAAATAGTATCACACAAAATTATATTCAACAACCATGACTGTGGAATTCAGTTTAGGATAGGTGAGAGGTAGTTACAGCTAACTGGCAGAGGAGAGGCTAGGGGAATGTACAGAAAGGGTAAAAAAAAAAGTTTTAAATGTTTTACTTTCTTTTTATCATAACAACTAACCTTCCTCTTTCCAATAACTCCTTTCTTTCAAAATCTTTTAAATACATAGGCTTTTTGGGTTTATTCTGCTCTTTACTACTCCCTCCTGAAGAACTACTGTTCTCTATTTAAGAATAAAAACCAACTTTAAGTCTGAATTTAAAAAAAATTGGAGAAATAGGTAAGAGAATCAAATTTGTTTATAAGCATCCTTTGCCATACCATCTTCATGGTAAAAATTGGAATCCTTTTCATAGATTTTTGGGTCTTTATTCTTGATCATGGATAGGACAGTCAGAAAATCCTTTTCCTTTTGTGAAGTGAGTTCCTTGAAATAAAAAAAAAATTAATGCTACTCTTCAAATTTCATTGCACAGATTTACTGTGTTAAACATGAACATAGCTTTTTTGTCATATTTGGAGCTGTTCAGTGAAATATATCTTCATTGTCTCATTATGATGACAGTTGTTCAGTTCTCTTTAGAACTGAGCAATAATTCTATTTTTGCAAAACAAAGGGCATGTGACTTTTCAATCTACCAAATCTGTCAAACTCCCTGTCGTTTCTAATCACTGTATCACGAATATTTCATTCCCTTGGTATCAGGAATTGCTCATTCTTAACTATATTAAAAATTTAAACAAATTGGATGCCGCCATCTGTCTTTCTCTGCTTTATACTAATTCATTCAGCAAGGACATCAGTTGAAATCTGTTTACAATCACTGTGAAAATACTATTTGTAAGGCCATCCCTGCCTTTACATCGATTCATATATTTTTTTCCCATTATCTTTACTTTTTGACAGGGACTTCTCTATGGCAGTAAGATGGCATTTATTCTAACAGTATCTTTTCACCCTTGAACTCCCACAAGTGATTTACATGTAACTTCTCCCTATAGTATTTGTACATTGTCCACAAAACAGGTAACAAGAATACTCAAACTTATACGGCAGAAGTTGTTATGTTGACCTGACACCAAATTCTCGTAATTTTTTACAAGGAAAGGTGTAGCAACCATAGGGGAGAATTAAGAATCAGATCTTGGAAGTTAAAGCATCAAGGACTTAGCAGATTATGTATTCAAGCTACAAGGATGAGTATTTCACAAACACTGAACGGAACCCTAAATAGAATAATTCAAAACTCACCCTTGCATCCTCATCTTCTGTTTCAGATGAACTTGAATCGGATTCGCTCCCTGAATCCTTGTCACCAAATTTCTGCTTCACTGAAACGAACACAAGTTATTGAGATTTAAATTCGTAACTCACACGGAAAGCTTCTTGCAAGCAGCCAAGTTACATATCGATTATGCGCTTTACAAGAAAACGCTGGCATCATAGTTCAAATATTTATGCCTTCGAAGAAAGGCTATTAGAAACTTACACTGGTCGAGTTCAGCTTTTTCCTTCTGTTTGTGGAGTTTCTTCGCAAAATCCTTGTTTACAGTCAACTTTAAATCTTCCATGCCGTCCGCCATGTTGCTTTACTCTATTGAATATGCTCTTTGTTGTGTCGCGCAGGCCACTAGTATCGTAGTCACATTTTCAAAATGGCGGAAGATTTAGCTCTCTTTAGTCGAAGTCTCTTGGAGTTATCTCTTGATACTGACGTGTCATAGCGATCTTGTGTAAATATTGATTTTTAGATCGCTGATTTCTTGATCGTGTTCATCAGAAAAAACACCTTTCGTCGAGGAGATGCCTCACGGTCACAGCGTACTCATAGTTCTCCTGCTTCTTTGTCAAATCCTGGGCTTGATATTGTTCCTAAGAGGCTTCTTTCCGCTTAAGAAAGCCATAGATGGAAGAGCAACTAACGAGAATCTTCCACCTGAGCCATCATTCGAAGGGAAAGGAGATCTTTTACCTCCGAAATTTGGAAGAGTGGTCATCGTGTTGATAGATGCACTGAGAGCAGATTTTGTTTACAGTGAGCAGATAAGGATGCCTTTTACGCAAGAACTGATCAGACTAAATAAATCATTCAGGTGAATTAAATTAATTCAGTGTATTATAACTACCAGCTCTCAGAGATCAGGTGGATCATTGACAATAACCCTTTACACCCTAAAATTAGTATGCATATTCTCCGTACTGTTTGATATACATTTCAACAGGTGTTGACAAGAGTAACTGGTTTGACGATCAGAGTTTCTTTAGTTGGTGATCACTCCCTTTATTCTTGAGACCTTAATGTAGGATTCAGGGGTGATATTGTAAGGAGAAATCAGATGCTGGTCACTCAAGGGATCAAAGGGTTGATTCTGTTATGGTATTGGTCACAATAAAATAGAAACCTCAGAGACCTTTTAAGAAATAACCTGGAGACCCCTATTCACTATTTCCACTTTGTTATTGACTGAATTTTCAGTGAGGATGTACATGTACATATTTACTATCCTTGTGTAATATTCCTCAGTTTCATGGCAAAGGCACATCCACCAACTGTCACTATGCCAAGAATTAAGGTCAGTTAAGTATGTTTCATATCTGTAGACAAAAAAATAACTCCGCAAGACTCTTAATATAAATACTATAGATAAAAGAAAGAGTCTGTACTGGAGCCAAGTAGCCCTGCAGGCCAGAGCTTATACCAGTTTCTATAGCATGAAGTGACATGGTGTATTACTTTTTCCGTGGATTGGATGCTAGTCTATTGCAAGGTTACTCCCAGTGTTTCATCAGGATTCCCTGACATTTCACCAGTACCCATTTATACTCCTGGTTGGAGAGGGGCACTGTGAAAGTAAAATGTCTGGCCCAAGAGCACAATATGATGACTTAGTCAAGTCTTGAACCCGAAACCTCTTGATGTGGAGTCCAGTGCACCAACCATTAGGCAACTGCTTCTTCCCCCAAAAAAAAGACTGTTACTTACTGCTGGCTTACTTAACCCAGAACACCCAAATATCAGTATCCATATTCTTGTTACTCTTCTCTATCCATTTCCTTTGGCACTGACAAGGAGACTTGGTTTAACAATCAAAGCTTCTTAGGTTGATTTCCTTTATTCTCAAGATCTTCATGAATGATTCACCAGTATTACTGTAAGAAGAAATTACATGCTGGTCACTTTGTGGGTTTAATGGGTTAAGAGATTTATCAACTAAGCTTGATCATTATCAGAGGTTTCACTACATATGAAATGGAGATCTTTTGGTCAAAATATCTTGGAGCTAAAGGATGCCAATATTTCTCATGCATGAATCTCTATGAAGCACACCTTCACAAGAACTAAAAAAGAGATGGGTGCAGAATTTGTATTGTTTTCATATGACATGTTGATATGTTCTGACAGGCACTCACAACAGGTGGCATACCAGGATTTATTGATGTTGTTCTCAATATGGACTCAAGTTCTTTACAAGAAGACAGTTTGATCAGTCAGATGAAGTTTGCAAATAAGAAGCTTGTTTTTTATGGTGATGATACCTGGATGAAGCTGTTTCCTGAACACTTTGAAAGAACTGATGGAACCACATCATTTTTTGTGACTGATTATACAGAGGTACAAACAAAATATCCTTGAATTAACCCTTTTGTTCAACAGAATGAAAAAAAGTGAATTTATCCTTAAAATGTTACAATCAGCATAACCTCACACCATGAACCTCTATAAATATACAGTCAAATATGGTAATATTGTGCAACAGACAAAATATGAGAATTTGTATTGGAATAAACTGTCACATTCTCAACCTAAAAAACTCAGTCATCAACCCTGTAACTCCCAAGATCTCATAAATAATTCTCCTTACTGTCTGCAAAATGATTCTCATGTTAGAATGAGAATTTAGCTGATTTAGGACTGTTTAGCTTAGTTTTAGTTCATTTACTTTGTTTTCTTTATGATCCTTTCCCATACTTAAGAAAGGATCTTATAGATTCAGATCAACATTCTTAGTTGTTCTGATAACATCTTATTACAGGTAGATAACAATGTTACAAGACACATTGGTAAAGAGTTGAGAAGCAATGACTGGGATGTTATGATTCTTCATTACCTGGGCCTTGATCATATAGGACATATTGCAGGACCTTCAAGTCCCCTAGTTGGACCAAAACTCTTAGAAATGGACCAAGTTGTAAGTGATATCTACAATGAAATGCTCCATTGGCATCAACAAAGAAAAGCACCATCATTATTGGTGCTGTGTGGGGATCATGGAATGAGTGAGGTAGGCAGTCATGGTGGAGCATCTTTGGCAGAGACAAACACACCCCTTGTGTTTATGAGCCCATTATTTGAGAATGGTGGAGGTGAAGAGTTTTCAAAGAAACAAGTTCAACAAATTGATCTTGTTCCAACCTTGAGTCTTCTCCTGGGGCTTCCTGTACCTCAAAACAGGTAATTAATAACAGTTAGTCTTAATTGTTTATGCATCATATTATTTACCTATATCTTAACCTTCCATTCTCTCAGCTTAGGAATCCTTCTTCCCGAACTATTCGGTTCCCATAGTGCAAGAGAAAAGCTACGAGCAATGCAGCTAAATTCACACCAACTATCTCAAGTGCTCATCACAAATGGGCATTCTGTTGACAACATGTGGGAACCTCAACACGCCCACAAGCTGCACTCTGATTGGCTGAAATCAGCAGAGGTTGACCTGAGTACTACAAGAAACCAGATTACCTCAGCAACTAAGGTTGCTAAGCAGTACATCCTGGCACTTCAGAAAATGAGTGGTCATGTGACAGCCTCTCTTTCAAACTACGACCTACATGCTATGATTTACGGCATAGCTATTCTTTTTCAAACCCTATACTGGTTCGTCTGTGGTTTGCTTCAACTTTCGTTTGACATGAAGACAAGAGATGAGATGAATTTTTCAGCAACAACTGTTATTGTTGTGAGCGGCGCTGTTCTACTTGTTGCAGTTCTTCATCTCTCTACTTGCTCCAGCACAGTGTTTGGTAAGAAGATATCTCTGTGGCAGGGCCATCAGCAATTGCAGATAATTTAAAGAATGTATTCTATTACTCTATTACTATTACTTGATAGAGCATCCAAATAACTTCGCTAATTAATTTTTTTTCTGTGTTCTTTTGTAAATTACTTTGGTATGGATAGCAGTTTTAACAGTGCTCAAGTAAACTTTTGTTTAGCTTCCGCTGTTGGGGAAGTGACTGCTTTGAAGCAATTTCCATTGAGTGTGGAAAATTATCTCGGATTGCTCTTCACAAATTTCTCTTTGTAACTGGTCTACAAAAGTCACTTTATAGGGTTTCTTTAAAAATTACTGCAACGCGGCTCGTGGAGTACTGGGTTCCATTTCAGTGCATCTTATTCCTGTGACAAGTCTTAAAATGCCTCGCACCGTTTTAGAACATTTTCATCCTGACTTAACCTCTGTGTCAGACACTTAAGGCGGAGAATGTTCTTCCAAGTGTTTTTTTTTTTTTTTACAATCGTCAAATTATTCTTTTTCTTTTCTTTTTCAGGTGGAAGCGACATTTTGTGTTCAGTAACTAGCCTGGAATCTATTGTTCTCTCTTCTATATTTGCATTGCTATCAGGAGTCACACTTGGATCTGTTCTGATTGGTCTTTTTCATCATTTTTCAAGCTCTCAGCCTTTTTTCTGGGTGGTTATATCAGCCCTTTCATCACTTTTTCAAAATAAGACTTGCTGCTTTCTTGTCATAGGAGTTTTCCTCCATGTTGTCAGTCTCCCTTCGAGTAGTTTTGTAGAAGAAGAGCATCAAACTTGGTACCTTTTGACGTCTACTTTGTTCGTTATCATTTTTCTTGAGAAAATCACATCTTGTAAGCATCTCAATGAAACAGAACTTCACCATCGTTTTGTGATAAAGGACGAGGACTCAGGCATTAACAAGACACACAAATGTGGGAGAGGAAAATCTTTTGAGCTTTACAGTAAACTCGGTGACGCTAGTTCTCACAAAAATTCTCACCATTCCACAATAAGTAGACATAACGCGGATGGGCTTTGCTTGACCAGTCAAGACGTTGATAGGATAAGGACTGGAACTGAAAATGCAATCTCGAACCAGGATCTTTCTCGGTCAATTTCAACTTCAACGGGATCTGGGAATCACATAAATGAAAAAACAGCTTTGGGACTGGAAGTCATGACGTCCAAGAAGGGAGTTTTGTTGAAACTTCTGCTGTGTTTTGTACTTCTTGTTTTAGGAAGATTGTCAAGGAGCTGGAACCAAACTGGAATAAAATGGGCCGATAGACCTGATATTGGAGACTGGCTTGTGAAGCCTTACAACCGAAAAGTGCTGTCTTTAAGTTATTTTGTATCGCTTCTCTTCATCGTAGGATTTCGCTACAACTGTCAAAATGTGCTAATCACCTTTGTCTTTGTTGTCGGTGTTGTGAGCACTTACGTATATCGGACTGTCACTGGAAGTCTTCAGTTACCATGGATACCGAATGAACCTATCACGAAGGGGGTCCCAGCAGCACGATTGACGTATTGTTGCGTGGCAATAATAGCAATAGGAAATGTTATTAACTTATGTAGGAGAAAGAGAAACAGCGATAAGAAAAAGACTTTCCAGGAATATAATTTTGACGTCTGTGGATCGTTAGAAGGGATTCAATCAGCTTTACTATTGTTAGAAATTCTCCTTCAGAGGCCTCACAACGCACCACTTTTAGCGGTCTTTGTGGTTCAGGAACATATCTTGAGGAAATTGCTCTGGAAAAGGTACATGTAGGCCAAATTATGAAGATATTTCCCTTAAACTCCCTCGATCCGATTAGTAACCTTCCCTACTTTCTGCCATACTTTTCCTAGTATATTTAGACGGGAGAATTTGGAATTAATCCAATAGTGGCCGCCAATAGTGCCATCAGTTGAAATGGGCAAAAATTAATGGATAGATTAACATATACATCGGGCAAAAAAAAGGTTCCCATAATTTCTTTTCTGATAGATTTGCTGTTGGTTGTGTGCGAAACCATAACCATGCATCGCAAAGCCAAAACAGAGGTTCAGTCTTGGGACTCAAAAACATTTCAGTTATGTCTCAATCTTATAACCGCGTTAGAGTTTGTCTCTTGACAATTATATTTTGGTTTTTAGTCAGGAGAACACATGGCTTATTGTACTCAGCTCTTTGTGGATGGGACACGCTATGTACTTTTCCTTGGGAAACTCCAACAGCCTTGCGTCGGTGGATATATCAGCTGGCTATGTGGGATTAGAGGACCATATACCTGTTATTGTGGGGCCCTTAACATTTGTAGCTACTTACTGTGGGCCTTTACTTTGGCTAATGGCAGCAGTGTTGTCTATTGTGAGAAACGCTCGAGATGTTAAGAGGTAAGGGCACGCGTACGCTCTTCTTTTGTACAGAGTAGTAGTAGTAGCCGTTTCTCTCCCAGTGCTTCAGTGTTACAATGAATCAGTAATTATGTTGGAGATTCTTTGCAATGTGCGAGAATCTCCTACAGTACGAATTGCAATAATCCTTATCGCTTCAGACGATGCTTTACGTGCGGGCTCTTATTAGTTCTGCGACACAAGCGGTAAGACCCGTGTGATTCTAGCTGCGGAGTGAAGTGAGCGTGTAAGGGTTATGGTACGTGTCATTCTTCAGGGTCGTATCCTAAAGGTTGCCCTGCACTGGGCATGCACCATCTGGTGACAGAAGACATGGTCGACTGAAAATCACCTGGTATCACACTGTCCTGGCTTAGCTCGGTGAGGTAAAATTCTCGTGGGTAAGGCAGAACATGCTCACAAAACAGGGGTTAAAGGAAAGAGATTGTTGTGGCCTTGTATCGCACTAGAAATGAAGAGGATTGGCGGGTGGCAGCTCATGTTACAGTGCTTATAAGAGCCTTCTCGGAAGCTATCTCATGAGATGGATACAGAGCTGAGTAATTTCAAAAAATTGTGGACTAAGAGGCTGATCGGAAACTCTCCTTTAAGCCACACATCACATATACAAGGTGTTCCATCCTCCTTCTGCTATTTACAATTTGGCTTTGGAGGAAAACTCTTTTCTCGGGACTGATTCTCTTGTCCCAGCTCTGTAATGGTTCTCGGTAAGCTTTTTGCTGTAATCTTATTTGGTTATTTTGTACTGATTTCAGTTCACTTTTTTACGATCAGGTTACAGTATTCTCTCCATCAAGTGTGTTACATTATCTCACTCTGCCAGGCTCTGATCCTCTGTGCCTACTGTACGTTGGTATTTGTTCAGCGGTATCATCTGTTTGTTTGGAGTGTCTTCTCACCAAAGTTGTTGTACGAAGCGATGAAGACTCTTTTGTTAACTTTATGTGTTATTGTTGTACTTTGCTTAACGAATTTAGTCGGGAGAACGAAAATAATTTATTCAGAGAAACCTGATTAAAGTCATTGTGTCAGGAAGGTAACATATTTTTACACTATGAGGCAAAAACTAATATTTGATGATAAACGGCGGATTTCCAATGGATTCTAGGGATTTTGTTATCTTTTATTTCGAAGTGCATACGTTCGCACATGTGTTAATCCACTTTTGAATACTTGAAACAGATTAATCGTCATTTCCACTCAAGCGGTATGACTAAGCGACGGATAAATACATGTTTTTATTCGTATGGTAATGGTAGTATTTCGCACTAGCAATCAGTCTGGAATTTGCATAAAGACCTGTCCTAGATTGTATTTACGGTTAGTGTGTAATCATGAGAACTATCAATAAAGGGCTTTGTTTTTTTTAAGAAAACGCGACTGATCTTTCAAAAGAATTAATAAGATGAGCTTAAACAAACTAAAAGCAATCAGAATGAGCTGTCACACCTTTGTCACGTTTACGACATCAAGGGTTTTCCCTGCGATTTGACGTCACGTCGGTGTACCCACGCAATTAACCACGCTGTTAAGACATTTGTTGAAAGTTTATTAGAAAGAAGAAAGAAACAAAGCAATTTGTAGCGCTTTTTATTTGTTTTGTGTTACTTAGCTGATGTTTTGTTCTACTTTTGTCTAATTTTAATTCATGAGTGGGACGAAATGAAAAATGATGGCGGTCGGATGGCAGAAGTCACTGAGGCATCAGAAAAAATTAAGAAGACCGAGGCTCTGTTTTTCCATCGTCATTACCTTTAATTTCGCATAAGTTAACAATGTGTATCATAACATTTTACAGCATCAAGCAATTACGCTTCTTTAATACATTCACCAACATAAAGTTGGCAAGAAAAGTGTTTTGTGAATAAAATTGAACTATGTCCATTTTGAATAAATTAGCGAATCAGTGTATACAACTTAAATAGGATGATTCATGAAAACGAAATATGTACATCTAAGTTGAATAAATACAAAATAAATAAATACAATTGTGATGAGTGAGAACTCTTACGTAACAGGTCTCTTTTACATTATCAACTCATTTGATAAAACCAGATTATGCAAGAATTTTTTTTAGGTTTGGAAATTTGATGCATGGTTCGCACGACCTGGAGATAAAGCACGGAATCGAATGAAATATATGGCCTCTTGCAAAATTGTCAGTGGGCTACTAAACTCAGATAATTTTGTTCTCGAGTTTACGTTCAAAGATAACGATTTCAGTTCTCTTCGGTAATTTCACACCTCAGATATATTAAAACAAACACTTAATTGAGTAGTTCGTAAAAGTGTCAATCAGTTCAAAACTGGCACCCATTTCAACCATACCATGAACTCCCAAAAAGACACTACCCCATTTTTGTCCTTGTCGATTTTCGCGAAAGCTTTCTCCATGTCGATGGTTTCATACCCAAAGAACTTCATCAGTTCCTCGAACTGAACGCGATCAAGAGTGTCACCGTCATCTGTGGTAAAACTCTTGAAATATCTGAACGCTTTGGAAAGTTTTTCAAACATTTGTTTGTCATGTAAAATTTGAAAGTGTTCTTCGCTGCGAAGCCAGTCGCTGAATTCTTCAAAGGAGACATCATGGTCACCGTTCTTGTCCACAAGGGGAATGTACACTCCAGTTTGTTCTCGATCCAGGCCTAAATCTCCTTCCAATAGGGTTTGCATTTCTTTTTCGTCCAGTTTACCATTTCCATTCGTATCGTATTTTTCGAAGAGGCTGCGAACAACAACATCTGGGGCTTTTTTGTCGAAAAAGCTGAGTCCAGCTTGCATTTTGGATAAGTCAGTGCTTGTTCAAGCTTCTCTATCTTCTTCTTTATCTAGTTCTGCTTTCCGTTAGTTTTGCCACGAAGGAACAGTCTGCCCCCGCTTATATAGCATTTGAGCACATGAAAAATTTATCTAATTAATGGTCCTACGTAATGTGTGTTTTTGTTTTGCTTTCTTACAGGGAAATGCGCAGTTATATCCTAGACATGTAATCCTGGCTTGTGGAATAGTAATGAACAGAGATTTCCGACATAATCATTTTATTGAGAGTTTAACAGCCGCCCTGTGAGTAGTCTCTTCCGGCAACATGACGTCAGTGACCATATACGGGCAAAATAAGCGAAAAATCAACGTCTACACTTCATTTACGAGACCACAAACTCTCCAGTGTTTTAGGAAGTTGACATGAAATCGGATGCCCGTCCAAGAGTCTACCTTTGTTTTTAAACTCAAGTTCGCCATGGTGATCGTAGGCACATGCTTCTAGAATCGAACAGCGCCATAAAATTCACCATTTACTTTTATTTTTTTTTTTACATAGTAGTAAGCACATACTTTAGCCGATCCACTTTCAGAAAACTTTTCCTTAAACTTACTTCAACTTAATTTAGGAATTTTTAACTAAAATAGGAACCGAATCATCTTTAGGAAAATTAACATTGCTTCGAGCAAGAAAATGTATGAAACGCGATGTGATTAACTGCAAAAGGAAAATTTTCGGAAGTTGTGGTCATTTGTATTACATAAACACTAGGTCTTACGTGAGCTCCGCCGGTGTAAACGTTGGAACAAGGACTCTCTCACTCAAGGGGTTTTTCTCTTCGAAAATTTCACTGAGTATCACTCGAAGGTATAACTATGATGTCACACGCCTCTTTGGACATTTTCTCAACGTTCAGCCTCAATCTGTTTAGCTGAATCTTTTCAAAAAAGAGAAGAAGTAAGAAAAAATTCAATTCTGCCTTTTCAGCTTCAGAAATCCGTACGTGATCGTCGGAATGGGTTCGTTCCTGTGACGAAACCATGCCGATATTGATTTTTTTTCCAATTATTTGATGAGCCGACAAAAAAAAATTACATGTCGAAATCGATTAGCGTTATCGTAAAAATGGCTTCAAAAACCTAATCAGTCCTGTTAGCTCAACGAAAATTCAGACTTTACTCACATGGAATATTGTAATATAAATATTGGATATAAACTAATGCGACTAAACCTCCTTCCATTGCCATTATAACAATGGGTATAGATGAAAATGAAGTAAGGAAAGAAAAGCTCTGTATAGCACTTTCAAACGTTTGAGTTCAGCATAGACAAAATGACCTTGAACACTTGATTCATCTGAATGCTGTTCCCGAGTAGGTCAAGAGTTACTTTAAGGTCTGACAAATCAAATATGTGACCACTGGTCACTACCCCACGGATTTGAATGTCACTAACTAGGTTATTGGACTGACTCCAAAATGACAATTGTGGATTTGAATATTCCTTAGCACAGTTTTATGTGTTCAAGGTTGACTTTGGATTGTCATGCACAGAACACCTCGAGCGAAAGGGCTGATTGCCACTCGGAAGAAACAAAGGGAGTTGTTTATTATCATTTTCGCTGAAAGTCGTTTCCAGAAACCGTCCATGCGAGGAGCAATCTTTGTTTATAAAGATCTTTCATTGTTTATTTGATATCGTAATAGAAAGTATCGAGGCCGCGTTTGAAGTCCGCAAGAACTCATTAAATATCATTACACACATTATGAGCAATCGTATTTCGGTGATGAATGTTCACGGTTTCAATAATTGTCCTTGTCACCGATGTGACAGTTTGGGGTACTGACATGGCAGCTAAAAAGGAGAGCCACAGAAACAGAGAGGTTAGCAAATAAACGAATAAAACTGACTCATTTCGTCTCCGACTCAAACTTGGAAACTTTCACTTGGTGTGGTTCAAGTCGTTTTCAAATTCAGTTTATTTGGTCTCTCCTAAATTTTCTATAACAGCAGTAAAGAACTCTAAAAAGTTTCACTTTCCGTTACTTAACCCTTTAAACCGTAAAAGAATGACTAACTTCTAATCTCTCCTTTCAAGTTCACCCCAACGCAGAATGAAGGTCACGGGCATAAAAGAAATGATAACCAACCAAAGAAGCTGTGGATTGTTGAAAAAATTCTCCTTGTCAGCACCTGAGGAAATGTATAGAGAACAGTATGGAGAATATGTATACTGATGTTAGGGTGGATAGGATCAAGAGTTAACTTTTGATTGTAGAGTACGGCTTTCTGGGTCTTTATAGAAACGTGACTTCCAAGAAACGAGTTCTCGAAAACGAGGTTGGCTGATGCAAGTCTCGAGCCACGTTGCATGGGTAGTTGTAAATCTCTCCCAAGCCTCTCGTCCCTGAGGTAAATTGATGTACAATCCCTTCCTGTGTTTCTGGTAACGAAATCTTTTTCCAGGTAAATGTTGTCTACTGATGACCTGCTGAATTTGTACTGCACACTTATTTTGACAATACATCGTTACTCATTCAGCTTCAAAAATTAATTCTAACGATTTAGCGAGTGATTGGGTTCATTTCATTACCTTTCTACTCAATGTTCAATACCCTGGAGGATTAGGGGGCCCTCCCCATAACAGTCTGTTCAAACAAAAATCACCTTTTCGGTCATAAAATACCGGTGATGCCTCAACTGTTAGTCATAAAAATGGAGAGAAAACCGTTGTTAATGCCCTTTTCCATTAAAGGTTTGTTGAATAGAGGTTAAGAAGTAAAGAAAAGTGTATCTTTCGTCGTAAACCCCCCCTCCCCCCCCTTCCATCTCCATTGGTCTTTTTAAACATCACGTTTGAAAACTATGCTTGCCGTCTAGACATGACGTCATTTCCGCCGAATGAGTTTAAACTTTCCACACCTGTGTGACGTGTGTATCAATTAAACAAATGAATCCTATCTATCGTGTTACAGTAATGCTATTACCATATGAGCAGCTTGTTATTTTACTTATTGCCTGATCGCTTGGTTACCTTCTTTTACTCTATGGGATTTTAGTTCACAATTTAGTGAATGGAAATATTGCTATTTCAATAAGTTTCGTTACCCGAAACGAAATTGTCATTCTCGACGTGCGGAGCGGAAATTGATTTTACCTACAGCAAAGGAATAAGCATCAATTTCCCCCTCGCCCTAGATGATGTTTGTTGAGCAAATCGCACAAGTAATTATTTGGATGAGTTACAACAAACAATTCCAGGAAAGTTCTGCTAAATTTAGCTGTTACGCGTTCCTCCTACCGAGAAACAAAGGTCAATGACGTCTCAACTGGATCACACGGTTTGATCAGACGCGTTGAATCGATTTGTTTCTGGGAATTAGACAAATTTTCCCTTTCCGCATTCCTTCTTAATTAACACTTTACGCCCTGTCCACGGCTATAAAAAGGGAACGTAATCATAGGCTTGCACAGAAAAGCTTAGCGGGAAATCAAGTGCAAAGCTTTCATAAATTTTACCCGAGTTGATACATTCAATTCTATGATGTCCGCTGGTTTCAGCTATTTTGACAGAAACGTACCATCGGTGGCTATTCACAGTCTCTTCGACAAGTACGACACCAAACGAGATGGGAAACTCGACGAGAAAGAAATGAAATTTTTCCTTGAGGAAATAATGGGAATGGACCTACATCAGTCGGAAATATACTTTTTCCTCCTAGACAAAGATGGAGATCTGGAGGTGTCATATGGAGAGTTCAAAGACTGGCTACGCAGCGGGGAAAGATTTCAGCGATTAGACAATCACCCTAAGTTTGAACGTGTTTGCAGAGCATTTCAGTATTTCAAATCGTTTGACACGGATGACAGCGGTACTTTGGACAGGGAGCAGTTTGAAGCCATGATGAAATATCTCGGTTATCACAACCAAGACATGGACAAGGCTTTTGCCAAAATGGACATACATAACAATGGAAAAATCTCCTTTTGGGAATTCATGATTTGGTTGAACTGGGCACCAATTGAGTAGTTCACGGTTGACCCGTTTACAAGCGAGTGACCCACCGAACCTCGCGTCTTACAACGAACTCGCGTATATCGCGCGCGACGACTTCGAACAATTTTGACTTCCGTATAGACAAGGAAAATCATTGCAGAAAAACGATGATCTTAATTTACTACATAGCATGCTGATGTTATCAGGGGAAAAAGCTTTATACTTGTACAAGGTGTAGGTCAAGTTTGTCGCCAGACAATTTGGTTTTTTACTACTTAGACAATCAGTATGAATTTGTAGGCGTAAACGAAATAAAAAGTTGATTATTGCCAAAAATTGGGGAACAGCGTGGAGAGATTTCATTGTTTGAAGAAAACCTGGGTAAGTCGGGGGGAAAGGAATTACCTTGGACAAGGGATAGCTATGGCCCTCTTCACCTCGAGGGACTTTTTCCGGAATCCTCCTTCGAGAAGTGGGAGGTTGTAAACGGGAAACACCGTCTTGATGTTTGTTTTGTCTTGTGTTATTTTTTCAAATTAATCCGAAAATAACGCGATTTGCACAGAAGAAAGCACACCTTCGATTTTAGCGACGTTTCCAAAACTGCCCTGGGGCAATAATTAAAAAGTTTAGCTCTACAAACAATTACCTCTTTAAAGTGAATCATCATTAAGTCAAAGTCCAAAAATAATGACATCACGCTGGATCACGTATTCCCATTAGTTTTTCGGCAAAAAACGACTACAATCCTTATTTATTTGTATAAAATATGTTTCAAGGAAAAATTCTTGATTCTAAGCTTTTGAGTCACACATTCACAACGCGTCTATGGCAATGAAAATGCCGTGTCATGCGGAAAGCGCGACGTGACGTCACGTAGTTTATTTTTAAAATTAGAGAATTACAAATCAGCATAAAAACCACCTGCATTCGACTTCAAGGTCTCGATTCAAGAGAACAGTCTTCCCTCCCCATATAACGAACGACCAAGGCACCTTTCACTCACAGACTGCTCATCGATTTGCAATGCAAGCGGGAAACAGTTATTTCAATGACAACACTCCATCAATCGTCATTCGAAGCCTCTTCGACAAGTACGACAAAGACGGAACCGGACGACTGAACTGCAGCGAGTTAGACGATCTTTTACAGAAGGATTTGGGATTTGCAAAAGAGGAAGCAAAGGCTTACTCCATGCTGCTGGACAAAGATGGAGATCAAAGCATTTCCTTCGAAGAATTTCTTCAATGGCTTCGTAGCGGAGAGCGTTTTGAGGCCGTCAACAATAAAGCCAGGTTCAAGAATCTCTGTAAAGCTGTGGAATTGTTTAAAACTTATGACAAAGACAATAACAACAACTTGAGCAAAGATGAGTTCAAAGAGCTGCTCGACTCGCTGGGATATAAAGGAGTCGACGTGGAGAGGTTTTTCGAATACCTTGATGAACACAAGAATGGGAAGATTTCGTTCTGGGAATTTATGAAATGGCTAAACTGGGTCCCCGTAGAATAATCACAACTAAATTTGTAAACAATTAACTTCAATAACTACTACATCTCAATGAACAAACACTCAACAGTTAAGTCCATCAAATGCCCTTCTGTTTAGGGAGAACTTTCGAGAACTTCAATGTGGTTTTACACATCTGCCCATTAATTTCGGAAGTCGTTACCTTTTCTACGTAACAAGTTAATATTTGACTCCCTAGTTAAACATACAGTGAAGGTTTTTAAAGCGTTTTTTATTTAATTCTTAAACCGGTAAACTTAACATAGCAGCTGACCCACACTTTTGTAATCTCTTAATAGTGCACTTGTTTCCTTCATCTTTTTTCTGAACTACTACTAACAAGAGGAAGAATATTCTTCATGACTTCAGCCGAAGCGGTGCAGCACTGTATATAGAGTTAATTTGAAGTCAGTGACATCATTGCGGATTACTTTTCAACAGAGAGAACTTAGAATCAATATCCTGTCTGTGCTTGGTTAAACTTGAAGAGATAACTGTAGCACAAATGTTAGCCAAAAGTGGCGCTTACCAAATATACTTACATAGTTAATAAGTGCGAATGCACTTGAAATGACCATCAATTCCTATTTCTGTCTTGTTTCCTGCCAGTGAAGACTATTTTTTTTATAATAAATTTTTAACCAAACCATATAATTCAGCCAACAGATTCACTGTACCCAAAGACTTAACTTTTCTTATGTACCATATGTTTTGTCATTAATTTGAATAACTTCCGCACAGTTGTATTAGTCAAATATAATAAAACAAACGAATGAGAAGTTTTAGAGTCCCATATTTTGGTATGTTTTTATTTGAATAGGAAGAGTTCCCATGGAAAATAAGTAGCTAGAGTAATAGGACCTAACAATGCAACATTTATCAGCAGTAAATCAAGGACAAAGGCAAACAGTTACTCCAAAGGGATGATTAAATTACAACTTCTCCATACAACTTCATTACATAATCACAGAGCAGGTGATGAGAATAAAAGCTTAAGGGTGTTACAATGGTGTGGCACAAGATTATTTTAACTAAACTGCAAGGAAATACATAGTAACTAAAAGGGAGAATTTATAATCAGATGTTCAACTGAGAACTCCCTATGCATTGACAATGGCCCAACATGTTAAGGCCTGCACCACATCTAACATAATTGAACATTTTTAAATTTAGTATTAGATTTATTTTTTCTTCTTGTACTAATGAGTTACATTCTTTCAAGCCAATGTTTACAACAAGAAATTAATAAGTGAGATTTTGTGGTATCAGTTTATCTTAGTTAGTTGACTAACACTAACTAGAATGTCATCTCAATTATTACCACAGACATAATTAAAATATTGTTATGATTGAAATGTTCCGCACATACCACAGATATTCCATGCCTAATTAATACTCCACTACCCTCTCAGGTGATGTCAAGAATTTTGATTACTTCATCAAGAATTCCAGATCACATTCAATCACAAATGCACTATGAGCAATTAGTTGTGGTAAAATGTTACCCTTAAAAACTGTCTCATTTTTCTTTGGTTTAGTTCAATTTTTCTGTATGCAGGCACAAATTACACAAACATTTATGTCATACCCTATCAATCCACCAAAATTTGAACTAGTGGTTCATCGAATGTGAACAGATCAAAGGATTACAATTATACTATGGGAATAATACATCATTATTATCAGGGAAGGAATAAAATTGAACTAAGAAGAGGCATAACAACATAGTTGTCCATATTATCAGGAAAAATTATGATGTAATACTATTATGAAATTTAAAAAAAATATTTTTTCACAACAGAGGTATGTGTCAGGAAAGTAATCTATTTTGAAGAGTCAAACACCCAACCAAAATTAATATCATCATTGTTAACTGACAAATGCTATTGTTAGTTATGATCCTTGATAGACCCCATTGGCGTTGCTTTACTGGTCTAAAGAGTAGAAAATATTGAAAAAACATAATAAAGACCATGCAATGTGAATGGATATAACTTCCTATCAGTGTTCAATACCCTACCCCATGTTTTTATCTTATACCAAAATATTGACCAAAGGAGGTAACAAAGAAAAATAAAAAATATCAGCTGGGGAATATTGTTTGATTCAACACCACAACCTCAGAGCTAAACTGATTAGAAATGTATGACAGACAATGTAGAGAACTGGTACTTAGATCTTGGGAATTAAAGATTTGATGAGGCTCTCTTCCCATGACTGACATATTACCATCTGATGTTCTACATGGGGGCTAAGCATGTGTAACATACACTTCTTGAAAGTTCTCAAATGAAAACAAGTTGTGTGCAGTTTTATGTAAAAGAGAGAAACAAATATTTTTACAAGGTCATTTAAATTATTACTCCTGGGTAACAATAATAGTACATTGACATTTAGGATCCTTGAATGATAGCAAAGGTTATGGTTTTCACACACTGATTTTTTTCAGAGCCAGAGAGCATAGCAAATATAAATCCTTATTTTGTTATTAAGTGGATTTTTTCCATTTATGTTTACAGTCATTTACCTGTATAATAGCAATGATGACCCCAAATAGCCCAATAGCACTTCCAAAGATCTCCACTATCAAAACCTAAAAACAAAGCCAAAGAAGAATTTTAAAACACTTAGATTGCTATTAATATCATACAGTGCCTATCACCAAATTCAAAGGCATTCAAACATGGGATATAAATTACTCATACCTTGACAAAGAGAGATGAATTCTGAGCATCGGCAAGAGCGGCCCCACTGAAACAGTAATTAAAAAATCTCAAATGTCTCAATAAAATTTCATATAAAAGGGTGATTGTTGTTGCTCACACCCATGCTTATTTCAGGAAGAATGCTTCAGTGTACCTCCTTCAACTTGTTCGAAAATTCCATTTTTCTTAATACTTTCCCTTAAAAGTAAATTATCTTTTGAAGCTTTAACCCCTGAGAGTGACTAGCATCTAGGTTCTTCTTACAATATCACCCTCAAAATCACACATAAGGGTCACAAGCAAAAAGGAAATGATTACCAATGATAGAATTTCTAGATTTTTAAACAAATTCTCCTTATCAGCACCTTAGGAAATGAATTGAGAACAGTATAGATGTATTGAGATCAGCATGTCTACTGATGCTAGGATGTTGAGGGATAGAACTTTTAAATATACCCCTTATGTTCTTCAACAACAAACTTAGTTTACCCATTCTTCACTTACCTTCCAACAATCCCCACACAAATACCACAGAAGAGATTTGAAAATCCAACTGTCAAACCAGCAGCAAAAACCAGAAATCCTGGAAAAGTATTTACACACAAAAAAATCAGTTCCAAACCAAACACAAGATTACTGAGCTCAAATATCATTATTTCTGAAAATGTCTACCCAGAGCAACTGGTTTTAAAAACATTATTTCCATACTGAGAGCTGAACCCCTTCAACTCCTCCAAAACATAAAATTTTCATGGGATATGTCTGATTGAAACCTGTGCCTCTTCAGATGCACTAACCAGAAACCAAATATACAAGACTAAACTTCCATTCACAATCAAAACTGAAATAATTATGAAAGTTTAAATAAATTCACCTGTGGTATGATATTCTTGTATTGCTTCTGGCGTTTTTAAATCATGTACAGTCTGTGATCAGAAGGAAAAACAAAGAATTAATTACAATAAAGAAACACATTCTGTATTGTGTTCGAAAAGACAAAAACTAAAGATTCCCCCTTTCAATTAAGCACAATTTTGAACAAACAGAATAAATAATCAGTTAGAGGATACTGATATGTGTTTGTACAGAGGAAAGGCCAACACAGTTACATAGATACACAATGTACACTGTTGGTACAGGTAGTTGTGAAAATAGATCCTGAAACAATTCAGACTTGGACATAATTCAAAGTCTACTGCACTCTGTCATACTGGTCAAATGCTCTCAGCGCAATTGTTAAAGAACTACACTGGTTGCTAAAGACAAGTCCTACTGGTTTAATATAACTATCAGTTTAAAATTAAACTGTTAATTTTTACACTATAAAAATTTCAAGACCTTGTTTTAGAAAGTGTTATGACATCACTTTTCCTTACCGAAATGTAGTTTGACATAACAATGGACATGATGATTCCATAAATTGCAACAGCTTCACAGAAGATAATACTGCAAATGGAGAATGGTGAAGACTTACTTTCTTTGATATATTATCACTGGATGCAAAATTATTCTTATCTCATGGCATTCAACATTAACATTCACATGTATTAGTTTAAATGATTAAGGTTCTAATGAGGAATCAAATTAACCCTTTTCATTACACTACTTTGCTAATAATGGTGTTCCCAGTTCCCTCAATCATGATCTAACATTTTTCTACTCATGGAGTAAACAACAAAGGCTCAAAATAATTTCTTGAGAGTCACCTCACATGATGACCAGCCAAATTCATTTAAGCTTTGTCATGTCTTGTTTCTGGCTAGTCAAATTTATAATATAAACAACTCTTAAAACAAGATCCCATGAACCAAAAGTGGTGCTATCTATTTCTGAAAAAGTTGTTGCTTAGAGCTTGTAACACTTTATACACTCATCCTCAACAACAAAAACAAATTATAAGACTAACCCAAAAAACATTAAACATCATTTTTGTACAAATTAAATTTGTCTGGTGCCTCCAAATATAATGACTTCTGGTATATGTATCACGGTGTGTGATCTCGATCCTAAAACTCTGCCAATAATTCATGTATAACCTTTTAATTCTATAGTGTATATTATGCATGAAACAAATAAATACATAGATAAACTTGCAAAGAGAGGAATAATAATTGGTTTGAAAAAGTATAATTCCTTTGCATTATACTTTGTTTATATTTATACTGGGCTGAGGAATTACATAATATGCAAGGAGAAATGTAATACTTGAAAATTAACCAATAAAAGTGCAAATATCTTCAATTTTGTGAACGGAAGTGTGCAAACCCTGATGGGTGCAAATTGTAAACAACAATTTTAAGTTGGGCAATACACAACAACTTGCTACACTCTGGTAACAATTGAAACAACTAAATAGTACAGAAACTTAAATTTATTTAGTTTTCAATGCAATCGAATGTGACCTGTCAACATGAAAAGTGAGATGACAGGTTGACCAATCAAATCTCAAATTACTCCCAACATTATTGGTTGACTGGCCCTTATTTCAAGCCCAATTGATAAGATTTCTCACTCCTGTGCTTCAATAACTTAGGAGAAATAACAAATTCATATCTGCACTCTGCCATATAAAATCCTCTGTAAAACAAATGACATGAAAATTTACCTGATCAGGTTTTTGGTTTTGATTCTTGGTGCTTTAACACCTCCTCCACAAATACTTGAACCTGTGATTAGAATGCCCCTTGAAAAAAAGAAATAGAATAAGGTAATAATGATTACTAATTACATTAAAGCAGTTGACTACTGATTGGTTTCATTTCTATGATGCTTGCACTGTTCATTTGCTTTCATTTGTGAATTAAACCTTGGTATGTCACCATTCTACAAGAGATAACAAGCAGTTCTTTTGGTTGGAAGTGTTTAATTTGTAAAATTTTGCATCACCTAAAGAAAGCTCTTTCGCCATACTGCTAAATACTTAATCTTAAGCATGATTCTAACTTTTCACATGTGGAATATTTCAGCACTGAAGTGATTAACTTTACAACTCATGAGAATATTTTTCCCTCTAAATAATATTCCTCTCTATGATTAGTTGAGAGAATTTGGTGCTTCATCAAGATGATATCCCCTAAGTGATGAGTTTGTCTCTGCTCATTGTCTAATTGCTAGGTAATGTTAAAAACTGTCATAAGAAATTGGATGTTAATCACTCCTGGTAGTAAACAAAGAACTTACCAAGCAGCACCAACCACAGACAGAGAAATAGCCAGTCCTATTCCAAGAGAAGCCCACATGAAAGGAGATGTCTCCTCCAAAAACCTGTTAAATGACAAAGGCTTCAAAGACTGTGCTTCTTTCTTTGTCCCAAGCCCAGGTTCATAGCAGGAAAAATTGAATCCAACTTAACCCTTTCATTAAATTCAATTGAGTTAGACAAAAAAATTATCATTTAGACTAGCAGTGTATTGCATATTGCATATTGCATGTTGCATTGCAAGGATTGATTCCCACAGCATTAATAAAATGCAGGGCACTGATTGGATTGTCTTCTTGGTGCACTTTGGAGAACAAGGAATGAGAAAATAAGAACAATTGTGAGGCAACAGAATGTATATAAGTGACCATGAAACCTGCAGTTTCGCCTGATTCCCTTAAGAAATGAAATTAAAACACATATAAATAACAAAATTAGAAAGCTTCCTATCTGCATCTAAATCTAAATTTATTAATTTACAACGCTTTCACATCAATATGAAACTAGCATGGATGTTAACAACCCTTGATCTTAAACTCGCTTTGTTATGACGTTAAATTAGTTTCAGCGTCGTACTGATCCCTTGTCACCGAATGTAGATATGTATTTTAGGCGTTATCACTGCAACCAAATTACTGAGTAACCAATTCACCGTGCTACTTTCGCGAACAAATGTGAATCACACATCAAGTATCATGACAACTGAATCAGGAAGGAAAACTCTCTAACAACTTACCATCCTATATCAAATCTTGTTCCGAGGCCAGAAAGATTGTAATACAACCCTATAGGAAATTGATAACAAAACATTATTGAGCCGCCATCTTGATTGTTTCGCAAAGGACACCAGAGACCTCAAAAATCAGTAACTCACCAACACAAATCAGGATAAAAAGGCTCAAAGCGTACACTATAGAATAGTAGCCTAGATTGTTACTCGCTACGTAAGGCATGACTGATTTTAAAGGTTTAAAAATAAAGTTTTCCTAAAGATGACTCATTTCGATTCATGTGACAGCCTGGCTTTTTTATATTCTGCCCAGTTTGACGCGGTCGAGTCAAGCGGAAAGAAAACTGGGGTGAACTCGCCAGGTGACACTTTCTATAACTCGCACTCGACTTGTAATATTGTGACCTCTCTCTCGTATCACTTTCTGTTTTCTCCCAAAGACGGAACACGCAAGAAAGATAATTTGAAATCTAACTCTAACGAATGATAGTGTGGATCTTAAAAGCTCCGAGACCGCTCCACTCTATTCCGTTTTCCAATATCTTTATTGTTCAAATTTCAAAACCATAAATATCCCGATCTTAGATGTCAACAAAAAAAGAAACCTTCTCGGGCCTGGTAACTATCGGCACTTTCAATTAAAAAAAACCGCTAAGTTTTAACCTCGAGCACTCCAAGCTGGTTTCTGCTTGTCCTCGACCGAAAAAAAGACTGAATTATCAAAATAGGATAGAATTTAAATAATACTTTAATCGGTATGTTTGGATACAAATTGACGGGCTATACTGTACTAGTGCTCTCACGCACAGTTAAATATGGTAATAAATGAATTACATTTAAAAGCATAACGAATCGTAAATTTTGAACTGGAAGTTAAGGTGACTGGAAGAATCATCTCTTCAGCTTGGATCTGTGAGAGGAAAATCAGAGTTTTAACTTCAAAACTCTTCACCTGTGGAATTTTCCGAAAACATAAATCCTTAAATCCATTACGTTGACTAAGAACAGACAATTCATTGAGAAAAACAGATATATCATTACACATGGAGGTTTTAACGACTTATTCGCGTTACTATGGAAGCCTTGGTTTCTTCTCAGACGCTTGTATTATGAGTTTGCCATTTTTTCCAAATTAGTTGAAGTGCTTGAGGGCTGCCTTTCACTTTACTTAACCGGGACAGACTATTAGTGAACGAATACAAGAACTTTGAGAAGGTAATTTAACATTATTTAGCAAAGAAATCTATTGTTAGGATTTTTAATACTATGTACGTTTTAAAAATTTGAACTTTTAATAACTGAACGCCAGTAGGTAATTTTGTCACAGAGTTGTGATGTCACACATGTTATTTAGGACCAAGGCATTGCTACAGCAAGAAAGAAGCAACTTTTAGAAGTGGTTTCCCGGTAAGAAAAACAGATACAAGTTTTCACAATTGTAACAAAAACTTGGCTCATTTGGAATAGGAAAAGTTAGATTCCATCGTGGAAGGATAATTTATTCAAATGATCACGTCTAGCGATACCACAAAACTTAAAGAGTATCGCCTAAAAGGCATAATCACCGGGTTTGGAAAATAATCGCAGTGTTGACCTTATTGTCAAGGCAATATTATATAATTTATTATAATTTATTCACACGTCGACTGCGACCCGTGTGAAAATATGCTGTTTCAATATCATGTTTTTTAAAGTGACTGAGCGCGCTATTTATGGAAAAATCGCCGGAACAGAGTTATCAGAAGGAAAAAAAGTATTGTCTTTCCTTGGAAACCAAATACTTTATCTGTTTCTCTTATTTTACATATACTATTTTTAAGTCGAACCCCCGGGAATAAAACACCTTAGGGTCTTTTAACTCATGAAATGATAGTCTACAACATCATCAAGTTGGATTGCTGATATCGTGATTGCGGATATTCTTAAATAAGTCAGTCTAACTGAATGGTTGGATCGCTATATTAAATCATTCAGAAGTATGCATTGCTGGCCCAGCTTGTCTGAGACGAAAGAAGACTAAGACAAAGGACAAAAAGGAACGGGGCCAAAATTCAGCCATCTTGACAGGACAAATTTGGTCAATGGAAGGTTGACTACAAATCCACTAGAATATATCCAGCTACAAAGAGCTGCGCTCAAATGTAAATACTATTACAATACGATTCTTACGAAGTCATCATCAGGACAAAATGACAATCAATAAAATTGTACTGGTTTGCAATTAAAATTACAATTAGTTACAGAATAAACAAAAGTTATAAGGATGTTGTTCTCAACAGCCTGAGAGTCTCGGCTTCAGTCGTTTAAGGAACCTCGTATTTAACCTAAAATAATTCATCCTTTAAATCCTACGAATGACCAGCATGTACTTTCTCCTCACAGTACTACTGCTGAATTATTCATTAAGATCATGAGAATATGGGAAACGATCGCCAACCTAAGAAGCTTTGATTGTTAACCAAATTCTTCTTCCTAGTACCAAAGGAAATGTATAGAGAAGAGTATAGAATAAAGGAAAATGATGTTTGGGTGCAAAGGGTTAAAGATTGTTACCTCAACTTCGCATCTGTTTATTATCATTTTCAGATTCTATTTCTGGTGTTTATAGAGTCAAGGTATGGTGTTAGTTGGCGCGCGTCTTCTGTTCCGCTTCTTGATTGCATTTCTGATGCTTATGGGAGCTATTTCTACATACATGATACTTCAAACTAATCACATGGTAAGCCGGAAAGCGAAAAGTTTTGAAGATCAGCCGATCGTTCTCGACCAACAAGTCGAGGAAATAGTTAAGATGACGAAGACGGCGTCCGAAATTCCGCCGACGACGAAACCCGACAGAAGACGACGAAGCTTAGTGATTTTCGGTGATGATCGTTCAGGCACGACACTGCTGACGCAAATGTTTAGCAAAGATCCAGATATTTTTGCAGTGTACGAACCGTTGTGGATAACAAGAAAATGGAGTAAAACAGAGTTAGACAGAAATCTGTTAAAGGACGTTACAGAGGTGGTAGGAGCGTTGATGACTTGTAATTTCGTGGAGAACCCAACTGGAATTAAATTTTTGTCCCACACCTACAAAAACTGGGCACCTGGATTATTTGTAAACCCGTTCAAGTCTCAACCGATATGTAACGATCCTGATGCCTGCCCAAACCCCGAAACAATCCCGGATGTGGTACAAAAAGCCTGTTTACAAAATTACAAACACAGTGTCACAAAAGTGGCTATCGTTCGCGTCCCAGAAAGAAAACTCTCCAACATTTTTCAGAAGATAATCGAGGATAATCCAGATACGGTCATCAAATTTTTGCACGTTGTTCGCGATCCAAGAGGAAGCATAAATTCCAGGATCAATTTAGGATGGATACCAGACGTTGACAAAGCAAAAAATTTTGCTGGTTTGGCCCGGAGCACATGCGAAGGGGTTCTACAAAATGTTCAGTTCGGGGCGAGTCTCCAAGGAAAATTCAAAGACCGTTATATGCTTGTTCGATACAAAGACATCGCGTCTTCTCCCCTTGTGACAGCCATGAATATTTATAAGTTTGCTGGGTTTGAAATATCAGAAAGTATGATCAGATGGCTCATGCAAGCAACGAACCCGAGCAAAGAAACTCTTAAAAAAGAAGGGAAACGAGCGTTTTCATCGTTTCGAAATTCCACCGCCAATGTTGAGAAATGGCGACAGGAGTCACCTGTAAGACGGGTTCAAACTATCGAAGAAGAATGCAGTGAGCTGATGGATTTACTGCATCTCGAAAGACTTTCTTAAAAATTTAGAAAATTTATTTTATTCAACACTAGTCATCTAATCAGGGTCATAGCCGACTCTTTTCTTAATACTTCGACCCCTTAGAGCGACTTTCATTTAAAAAATTTCTCTCTCTACTATCACCCCTGAATCACATACTAAGGTCAACAGAAAAAAGGAAATGATCACCAGCTGAAGAAGCTCTTGATTGTTCAACAAATCCTCCTTGTCAGCACCTAAGGAAATGTATGGAGAACAGTTGGGAGAAAATGCACACTGATGTTAGGGTACAAAGTGTTAATCCTAATATCATATCTCCTTCTCGTCTGCCACACACGTCTTGTCTACTTATTATTAGACTAAGGCCATTTTGAAATCATTGGCTATTCGCAGTGCGATTAATCACGAATCTGACCAATATTTTGATGCTGTTACTCGCATCGTTTACCCACCCAAAAAGAATGGAACTCTAAAAAAAACCAAACTAACGAATTAGGTAATAACCTATCACATCGCAAGAAAATGAAAGACCATTAATAACCATTAGAAGGGATTAAAATGGGTGACTTCAAAACAGTCGAAACCAAGAAACCCCGCTTTTGAATCGTGAATTTGGTCTCAAATCGTACACCACCGAGTCTATTTTGAAATATGTGTATGCATTTTACATTCACTGATAACGTTATTTGCATGGTGATTTTTGTCTTGTGCACACACTAGCTCTAATTCAGATTTATGGCTAATTTAAAATAAGCGATCTGAGATGTAGTCGAGTTACCCAACATCATAATCCTATGTGATAGTTTTTCCAAATATTTCTCTATTGTGTCAGTGAGCTACCCTTAAAGTGGATGTCTAAATTACACATTAGAAACGTTTAAATATTCATATATACTGTACAACTGAGATGAAGTCGCGTAACTAAAGAAAACGTCTCAAAATCAAATTAGATGAATTTGCAATCACATTTTTACCAGAAATATATATTAAAATCCATTTTAAAAATGCTCCTCACTTGTAAGGTGAACAGCCGTGTCGGCAACGTCAACAGAGTTGCTAAGTAACCCAGATATCGATGCAAAAATGCTGGGTTCTTTTGTCATCTAAGTTTTAACATCTGAAGAGTTAGTTTCATTTGGCTTTCCATTTACCTCCAAGCGGTAAATAGTACTCTTAAAGGTTATGGTCTTTAAACGAATTATCTTTTGGGCTCCCCTTGGGGCCGCGCTAAAATTTTCGTTCAGTAACTGACTTTTACCAAAGGTTTGAACCTGCAGTTTGAGTTTGAACATCAAGGAAAAGTTGGTCTGCTTTACAATGTTTTAATATTAGATGTGAATAGGACTCACAAGAAAACGACAGAGCCCAACACAGAAATATTTACATTCCATATACGAGACTTAACAGATCTCCCTAGGAAAGGTAAGCCAACTTTTTCTTTTAAAAAGAACAGTGTTTTTCTTGGGTTGTATATATGGTACAAGCTCCGTAACCAGTTCCTTGAGTTTGAATAAAAGCCCATTACGTTTAACTGTGTATACTATTAAACATACTTAAGGAAATGCAAATAAAAACTAGCTCTCTACATAATCCATGAAGAAAATCATCAAATATACTCAAGCATTATCCACAAAATAGGCAGCGCAAATATCTGTAACACTGAAAATTTAAAAAAAAAAAAACCATACAAAATCACAATAAGTTATGCCATACCTCAGGGTTCTCTTTAAGAAATGTAATGAAGGAGGAAAATGTGAAATAACGAGAATATTATCCACTGTGATCTGAGTAAGAAATAGCTCAAAAATACTACAAATGTATTTATTACAAATAAACTAATTAATGTATATTTTTGCCATTATTCATGCAACTTATAATGTGCACCTGAATTATTAATTCCATTACATTGTAATCAACGCGCACGGCACTAATACTAGCCTACTTGTCTCGGCCTCATAATGCATTAATCACCGGAGTGAATATGTGTATTTTGGTCGTTTAATTATTTAAAATCATATTTTGCGCTCACTAATTTAAAATGCTTAAATAAAATTTGTGTTGATAATATATAAGAAAATGAGAGTACAAAAAATATGAGTAGAAATAAGTCACGTGATTTAAATGAGCTTTTAAATGAAGTAATTAAAGAAACCAAGCTTTTAAAATCAATTTTAAGTGAAATATATAAAAGTATTAATACACCAAGAAAAAAGGAAAATGTTCTTCCGAGAGGAAATTGAATTAAATAAACAACTGAAAAAAGCTTATTCCGTTACCAAGAAAAAAACCTGTTCTTCTATCAAAACCTTTGTTACAAAACCACTTACTGATGAACAAATAGAAAGAATTGGAAGTAAAAAGAAGAGTCGTTAAGTGATGTTTTGTGTAATTGAAAATACACAAACAATAATATAAAATTAACGATAAAAATTTATGATAAATTCACAGATGCAAAAAACACATTTTACAATGAAGATAACGAATGATAAAAATAAAGATTCATTAAAACTCATTGGAATTGATTCAAAGTTATATCATAACTTAATTTGAAGAAAAGTACATTTGCAATACAAGCATTAAATACTAAAATGCCACCAAGATCAATATAATTACACGAACTTAAATTTATAAAAATAAATCTCTAAAAAAATCTTGTTTAGAAAAACCTTGAAAAAAAATGGAATTTAACAAACTGTATCATATTAACTAACAACCATCATATTAAAATCACTTTGTTGCAAAAAAAACATAAAAATATCGTAAGTAGAAAATTATAGCAGAAGTTATGAGTGTTATCTTAGCAGCAGGAGGAATAGTTTCAGCAATTACGACAAAAGGTATTGCTCTATGTATATATTATGACAGAAATACTTTTAATTAAAATAGTTTACACTTCATTATCACGCATGAAACAAGTACATACTTTATTCAAATTTAAAACAAAGCGCGAAAAAAATTATTTGAAATATTCTCACGCTATCGTTTATAAATAGATTGATGTAAAAAACACTGTAAAAATACGTATATTCACTCCAATTATGAATGCATTATGGGCATGCCGAGGCGTTCTGGGAAGACAACTAAGCTATCGTTGGTGCTGCGCGTGTCGATCAAAATTTAATAACATGATATTAAATCTATGTCACGTCATAAGTGGTATAAATAATGGCCAAAATGTACATTATTAAGTTTATTTATAATAAATTTCCTATCACAATTAATACTAGTACTACTAGTTGGTATAAAAATACCAAATAAAGTTTACACATTAAATAGGACATTAGCGCACTTAAAACACAATAATAATTACCACTTAAATGTTTAATTTACAGCAGATTTATCAAATATTGAAAAAGGCATTTTTGTAGGTTAAAGTGTAATAATGCACTGGTGCACCCATAATGCATTCATCAATTTGTTTAGTAGTCTCGAGCTCCTCTTGTGGGCGATAATTTTTTTCTTACTCTCATGACCTGATCCCATGTTTGAATCACAAGTGATACTGTAAGGAAGAAATACTTGCTAGTCACTCGTAGACGTCAAATTTTCCGATCTCTGATACCTAATAGACATGGTTACCCTGAGGTATTTTGCGCGATAAATACGAATCTTAAGGTCAGTAATTAGGTTAAAAAATACAAGTGAGAATCGGGACATTCCATAGTTTACCACTTGTAAACGACCAATTTACAACCATGACATGGAAATTACAATAGTTAACACACTCAGAGCAATATACACACAAGTTTCATTTTGAACAGCTTTTAACTGGCTCCCAATTGTCTACGATCTGGACAACCTCTTCAGATCTTTTTAAAGTAATCGGTAAGGCTGGTTAATGAAAATTCCTGAAACAGAATTAAAAAAATGTATATATACATGCATATATACATACGCATATATATATATATTTATCTGAAGGTTGAACTAATCAATAAGACATAACTTTTTCTGTGACTCTGAGTTTCACGCTTACGCGATCATCAGACATATTTTAAAATCTGTCTAATGATTTTAAAATGTGTCTGATGATCGCGCAAGCGTGAAACTCAGAGTCGCAGAAAAAGTTATGTCTTATTGATTAGTTCAACTTTCAGATATACCACACTCTGAAAACGCATCGAGGTCTATATATATATATTTCCCTTTGTTCTGATTGGCCGTCGCGATTACTTTGGTTTTGGTATAACGACACAATGAGAAAGCGCTCTAAACTAACTCCTCATTGCTATTGCTCTATTTTGCAGCAGAAACACAGACGATGAGGCATTTCCGCTACGGTGTACGACTACTAATCGTAGTGATCACTGGGTTGGCAATTGCAACGGTTGCCGTTTTACTGCTTCAAAGCATTCAGCAGATGACGATTGCAGTTCCCGTGGAAACTAGTGAAAATCTCCAGATACAAGATTTTATTGACGAAATGACGAGAAGTACTCCGTATGGAGCAACAGCTTTGGAAAAGAAAGATTTGAGATTTAGTCCTGCGGCAACATATAATACTCTCAATAATTTTCCATTAAATCCCACGTCAACATCGGATTCTTCCGAACGGAGACGAAGTTTGATCGTCTTCGGGGCAGACCGTTCGGGAACGACTTTTATTAGCCGAATGTTTAGCCAAGACCCTCAGGTATTCATGATCTACGAACCCCTCTGGGTAACGAAAAGGTGGAGGAAAACCGAACCACATCGAGACTGGTCGAGAAGTGAGCTGGAGGTGATAAATGGAATAATTAGCTGTAACTTTCCAGATTTTCCTATGGCAACACAATTTTTGGCCCACGCGTCACGCAACTGGGCAGCGGCACCGTTCAAAAATCCATTCCAAACAGTAAACTTCTGCAACGTTTCCAAGACTGGTAAGAGCATGTGCCCTAACCTCTATCTCGCGCCGGAATTCGCCAAGGAGGCCTGTGCAACGAAATACAAGCACAGCGTTACTAAAGTAGCCCAGGTTCGTGTGCCTGACCTAATGCTTTCTAGCATCGTACCACAAGTGTTTATAGAGAACCCGGATACTGACGTCAAAGTCATTCAGATTCTCCGAGATCCGCGCGGAAGCTTGGACTCTAGAATTAAATTAGGCTGGATGCCAAAACACACATCGCCCTCGTTCACTTACCACGTGAAATTTCCATGCAATAAAATCGCGCAGAATGTGAAATATGGAAGAAACTTGCCCGAAAAGTATCGTGACAAGATAATGGAAATATATTACCGAGACATAGCAATGTCCCCCGTAAAAACTGCCTTGAAAATCTACCAATTTGCTGGATTTGAGATTTCGGAAGATTTAATTAAATGGATCGTTTTAAACACCAGCCCAAGCCAAGAAGCTCTTGCCAGAGAATCCTCAAGGGTGTTTTCTTCTGTTCGGAACTCTACGGCAAATATCGAAAAATGGCGCAGGGCCCCGGCAGAACAGAACAGGATAATAGAACGAGAGTGTCATGAACTGATGCAGCTGCTAGGAATCGAGAAGAAATGAAGCACGAAATACAGAATAATTCACTTCAAGTAATAAGCTGCAAACACTTGTACTGGTCTTTATTTATCACCGAAGGGGGGGGGGGAAGGGAGGTTCGGAGGATCTTGGTTGTGGAAAGATAAGATTGACCTGATCCCCCACAAGACTCTTTAATTTTCTGAAACTCCCCCCCCCCCATTGGCAATCAGTTATCTAGAGTCCCACCCGTTATACTCTGTTGGTGACGACTGATCTCCCTCGTTTCCCCTGAGGATCGTGTGACCCTCTTCAAAATCCTAACCCCCCCTTCCCCTTCCCCTTCCCCTTCCCCTCCCTTCCCCTTCCCTTCCCTTCCCCTTCCCCTTCCCCCACTGCGATAAAAAATGACTGGTCCCTAAGAGAAACATTTGACTGCGAGTCGAAAACAACTCGGGATTGCATTCATTTTATCTTATTTTCTCGATCACACGCCGTACCCCGATTTAATGCCAGCCTCATGTAAACGTTAAGCGTGAAAAACTGCAACCCCTTAACTCCCAAGATCTGATTGTTAATTCTCCCTTCTGGCTGCTACACATATCCTTGTAAATTGGTGACGAGAATTTGGTGTCAGATCGAGATAACCACTTCCACCTGATCAGTTTGGGTATTCTCGTTTCCTGTTTGCTGGATAATTTATGGATATTGTTGGGAGAAGTTACATATAAATCACTTCTGGGAGTTTAAAGGTTAAGAAATAAAAGGCCTCAGTGTTTTATCAGGGTCTCAGCCTTTACCAGAAATAGCTGTACTCGATTAAATAGAACTGCTGCTACATAGTGCTAGTTTTACTTCATAATCTTAAACATGAAAATTTTTTAAGTCTAAATATTTATCCTCGGAGAAGACCCAACGAAAATTGGTCGCGATTTCTCTGAAACAAGTTTCGAAGAAACACCGGGGATATATGGTCGAGAAAATCGGTACTTTTGTCAAGAAAACTCGTGTCACTTTTCAACCAATCAGGTGCAAAGCGAAACTCATCATCAATACGTTACACTCTCACGCGTTCAAAGCTTTGAAACTCTTTACGGTGACCAATTCACATTATCAACTCAGTTGATAAAAGCAAAATTATCTTTTTACACTCCCCCACCGAAGCAGCACCACAGTTTCTATAGAAACTTACCCGCCTCTATATATTTCCCAGATTTGCAATGACCTTGCTTCAAAAACAATGGTAGGTGAGAGTATTTATAAACGAGAATGACTATCAATTCTCAAGCAAATGAAACTCACTTGCAAAACAAAGGGTTTGCACTAAAGCTTGTTTTCATGGTGAGAGCTTTTGGAAGTCGAAAATAACACATTAGGTATTAAAGAGATGAAAAAAAAGGTTCACTAGTGCTAATGACGTGGGAATACATGCTAAAGGTTGTTTATTCTTAAACGAAAAACTCTTGATTTTTGACTAGGCTTCACTGTTCGTTTCGGGGCAGTATTAAAAATAACTTTAACAGACGTCAAAAATTTCTCAGCTTGACGCAACCTACTAGTTTTCTGTTTAATACAAATAAAGGAGTATTGAAAGTACGTAACCAATCACAACGAAGTATTTTTTCCAGACGTAAAAAGGTTATGAAACAATACTTTTCAGTAAGTTGTAGTTCCTTAGCACCGACTCCACAGTGTGTCGATGAAAAATAGTTAGAAACGTGGCGAGATGTTCTGTAAAAAGTGTTGGCACTCTATGCAAAGGTAAGTATTTCATCAGAAGACTAGTTTAGTTCAGATGAAGTAACTGTGTTTTAGCTAAAGATATCTTGCAAGTAAGCCTTGATTTTTACAGCAATTTGACAGTTAACCCAGTGGAGCGAACCAACTTCCCATATGTAAATGCAGTGAAGAATATTCGAAAAGCGGAAAAGCATTCAGCAATAATTTAATGGCGAGTTTGATAAAATTAGTCCTCAGCAAAATTATTCGTTGACTGTCTTAGAGTACAATGAAACTTATACATTAAGCTTCATACTTGTTTTCTTTTGCTCTGTTTTTTATCTTATTATTATTTCTTTTCAATTTCTACTCACAGTTCAGGGATTCTTTCAGTGATACACCGACCGGCGGAGAAATGAAGGACAAGAGAAACACCCCCTTTCGAATATGTAAGAAATTTTGTTTCCCATGCTCAATACTTCTGCTGTTTTTTTCCGCTGTTCTACTATGCAACTCCCATTATGGCCAATCGCCTTTCAAGTATAGTAAAGAGTTGATAAAGCCAATCAGGAGCTTGACTCAGAATAAAACGGCACTCGTTACTCTTTTAACAAATCCAAAAAAAGCAAATTCACCCGAAGTAGTCCGAGAATGGGCCGATGTCAATTCAGCATCATCCGATGTTCAAAGAAGTTCACGACCGAAGATTTCCACAGGTTCAATTCCAAAGCCAGCTTTAGAAGCTCGGCCGATCCACCGCGTTCAACCAGCGCCGTCCGAAATCAAAACAGGATTAAACCAAAAGCCTCAGTCGGAAGCCCGATCTACTAGCGGCGTCCACTCCGTGTCATCGAAAGTTAGGCCGAAGAAAGACCAAGAGGACCGATCTCCTTCCGAGGTTCATACAGTGTCACACTCAGTTCAGATAACTTCCAACTTTCGCTCAACAAATCGAAATTTCCCTGAGTTACAACGGACTTTTCCGACCTCCACAAAGTCCCTTGATGTGGTATCGACGCCCCGACCCGAACGCCGCCGAAGTCTCCTAATCTATGGAGCCGACCGTTCAGGCACAACATTTACCACCAAAATGTTTGCCGAAGATCCACAACTTATGACTGTTTATGAACCGTTATGGATAACAACCAAATGGAACAAAGAAGACTCTAGTCAAATACCCAATTGGACCAAAAACGTTCTTGATCTTCTTAGAGGAATTTTAAGTTGTAAGTTCGCCGAGACTGCTGCTGGTGTTAAATTCCTCGCGCATACCTCACGGCAATGGAATGGAGCAAATGTCAAAAACCCTTTTCAGTCTCAAAACTTTTGCCCCAACTGGGAATGTAAAGATCTTTCCAGTACTCCCACATACGCCGACACAGTATGCCTAACAAAATACAAACACAGTGTAACGAAAATAGGGGAGCCCAGGACACCCAACAGTTTAATTTCATCTTTTCTTCCAAAGGTGTTCTTAGAGAATCCAGACACTGACATCCGGGTTATCCAGCTTATCCGAGATCCCAGAGCGAGTTTAAGATCCCGGATTAGGTTAGGATGGATGGTAGACTGGACGCATTGGAATTTTCGGAAGTTAGTCAGAAAAGTTTGTTCAAACTTGGTCGCAAACATCAAGTTTGGCCGAAATCTGGGCAAATGGCAAGACAAGTATTTAGAAGTACACTACCACGATCTAGCCGGAAAACCGCTGGAAACGACAAGAGCTATGTATGATTTTGCAGGATTTGAAATGTCCGATAGCATTGCCGACTGGGTGGTTCGCAATACTTCGCCGAGTAAAGAAGAATTGATGAAGGAAAGCAAAAACAAATTCTCACCAACTCGAAATTCAACGGCTAATATTGATAAGTGGAAGCAAGATTCTCCAGTCGAAAGAATTCGAATAATTGAGGAATATTGTCAAGAAGCACTTGATCTTCTGGGGCTGAAAAAAATGCTATAGAACAAACAACAACTTCAACTGCACGGATTTGAAAATGACATAGATTTTCGTGGGAAAAAATAAACTGCCAATAAATGAAGATAAACAAGTAAATGAAGTTAAAGGAAAGGAAAAACAAATTATGAACAAAACTGAATCAATTATCAGTCGTACCCTTTCCCCTCCCCCTCCCCCTAATTATAATGGGATATTTAGCAAACAGAGAGGGAGAATTGAACTTCTCCGCTTCAAAGTGTAACCTTAATGTAAATTGCAATTCTCTTTACATATGCCCCATTCACACCAAAGCTTAAACATGTTTAAAAGTTGTTTTGTTAAACACAGTTTAATTTTTTTTTTCTTCATAGAAACTATTTAACCGAATATTTTTGACTTGAATGTAGCACATTGGAAATGCAAGTTAGCAAGTACTTGAATCCAATGGAAAATCAAGTTTTTCAGTTCTCTGTTTATAATTTTCATTCAATGAAAACCAGTTTAACAAAACATGTTTTGCTGGTGTGAATGGGGTATTAGTTACAAAGGAATATGTAATAAAGTCACTTCTCTGATGATTAGCTAAAATGATCTTAATCATTCTTTTCATGCGTTTAGGTCCTAGAGAGAAAAAGGAAATGATTCTTTGTAATGAACTTGGGAGATTATCTCCTACATACAAACAATTATATTTGAAACAATGATCAGAAAAATTAGACAATCTGGAATCTGAAGAGCGACATCCAGGCATATTATTTCAACAGCGATAATTGGATGAAAATACGCAAAGCACATAGTTTGTATTAAGTGATTTCTATAAGTGAATTCTAACCTTGGCTCGTTAGATATTTGGAATTCTAGTCATTTTAGAAATAAACGAAGTCAGAACGTCAGATCAAAGAACCGACACAAATACCTGAATAAGATTTTGTAAGCATATGAACATCTTGAGTCACAACAGCTTGGATTCATTCATAACCTCAGATAGCAGAATAGTCTTGAAATAGATATTCTATGAGGTACACAACATCAGGAGAGCACCAGTAAGGGAAAAGTCATTATTTAACGCCGGGGGGAGGAGTGGGGCAAGCCGAGGATTTTGAGGGGGATCACATGGTTTTCAGAGAGAACGGGGGGGGGGGGGATCAGTCGCCGCCAACAGAGTTTAAAGAGAGGACTATAGAAAATTGACTGCCTATGGGGGGGGAATTATAAGGATAATACAAGGCCGTATGGGGAGGGGGTCAGGTAAATTTAGCGTGGCGCGCGGGCTCAGAGATATTTTCAATTTTGTAAGCACGCGTACAATCATAGCGTGTGCGAGTTTAGTGTTTTCAGAGCCGTACTTTTTGAGGACTTTTTACGAAGTTTTATCATTTGTCGTGTTACTGTGTTGAGGTTGTTTTGGCCGATTAAACGTGGATTTGTTTTCCGAAGGGTTCTCCGTAATTTTGCCTGGGGACAACAACCAAAATCTCCTGCAACCCCTTAACTCCTAAGATCTGATTGTTAATTCTCCCTTCTGGCTGCCTTAATATCCTTGTAAATTAGTATCGAGAATTTGGTGTCAGATCAAGATAACAACTTCCACCTGATTAGTTTGAGTATTCTCGTTCCCTGTTTGCTGGATAATTTATGGATATTGTTGGGAGAAGTTACATGTAAATCACTTCTGGGAGTTAAAAGGTTAAGAAATAAAAGGCCTCAGTGTTTTATCAGGGTCCCAGCCTTTACCAGAAATAGCTGTACTCGATTAAATAGAACTGCTGCGACATAGTGCTAGTTTTACTTCATAATCTTAAACGTGAAAATGTTCAGGTCAAAATATTCATCTTCGAAGAAGACACAACGAAAATTGGTCGCGATTTCTCTGAAACAAGTTTCGAAGAAACACCGGGGAAGTGTAGTTGAGAAAATCGGTACTTTGGTCAAGAAAACTCGTGTCACTTTTCAACCAATCAGGTGCAAAGCGAAACTCATCATCAATACGTTACGCTCTCACGCGTTCAAAGCTTTGAATCTCTTTATGGTGGCCAATTCACATAATCAACTCAGTTGATAAAAGCAAAATTATCTTTTTACACTCCCCCACCGATGCAGTACCAAAGTTTCTATAGAAACTTACCCGCCTTTTTATATTTTCTAGATTTGTAATGACCCTGCTTCAAAACAATGGTATGTGAGAGTATTTAGATACGAAAATGATTATCAATTCTCAAGCAAATGAAACTCACTAGCAAAACAAAGGTTTTGCACTAAAGCTTGTTTTCATGGTGAGAGCTTTTGGAACTCGAAAATAAAACATTAGGTATTCAAGAGATGAAAAAAAAAGGTTCACTAGTGCTAATGATGTGGGAATACATGCTAAAGGTTGTTTATTCTTAAACGATATTTGACTAGGCTTCACTGTTCGTTTCGGGTCAATACTAAACATAACTTTGACAGACGTCAAAAATTTCTCAGCTTGACGCAACCTATTAGTTTTCTATTGAATACAAATTAAGGAGTATTGAATGATCATCGAGTACGTAACCAATCACAATAAAGGATTTTTTATTCAGTGGTAAATAATTTATAAAAGAAAAATGTTTTCCAGTAGGATGTAGTTCCTAAGCACCGTCTCGACAGTGTGTCGATGAAAAATAGTTAGAAACGTGGCGAGATGTTCTGTAAAAAGTGCTGGCACTTTATACAAGGGTAAGTATCTCATCAGAAGACTAGTTTAGTTCAGATGAAGTAACTCTGTTTTCGCAAAAGATATCTTGCATGCGGGCCTCAAGGAAACCTTCCTTTAGCATACATTTGCCATAGAAGCTCAGTGTAATGTCAAATATGAAAATAGAACAGCACTTGAGAATTTCCATTCCAAAAAGTTTTCTCAGAAAACATCTGTGTGAACAGACGGAAGCTTTTGGAGCCCGTCACTCACGTACAGAATTCGTCACACAGGTTAGATGTTCAGGTAAATATATAAATATAGGTAGAACAAACATCAACTTCAATTGAACCGATTTGAAAATGACATAGATTAGCGTGGGAAAAAATGAAACATCGGTAAAAAGGGTTCATTCTAAAAACGTTCTATAAATTCTCACTCAGTCGGTCGTAAAATGCTTAGGTTAAGATGAACAATTCAACCTTACCAGCAGCACATGTGTTTCTCCTCTGAACTAGCATTTGTTGAAAAATGACTAATTTATTGATTTTTACAGCAAATTATTTGGCAGTTAACCCAGGGGGGCGAACCAACTTCCCGCATGTAATTACGGTGAAGAATAATCGAAAAGCAGAAAAGCATTCAGCAATAATTGATCGCGAGTGTGATGAAATTTTTCCTCAGCAAAATTTGCTGACTGTCTTAGGGTACAATAAAACTTATATATTAACCTTCATACTTGTTTTCTTTCCCTTTGTTTTTTATTTTATTATGATTTTTTTTCAATTTCTACTCACAGTTCAGGGATTCTTTCAGTGATACACCGACCGGCGGAGGAATGAATGACAAGAGAAACACCCCCTTTCGAATATGTAAGAAATTTTGTTTCCCATGCTCAATACTTCTGCTGTTTTTTTCCGCTGTTCTACTATGCAACTCCCATTATGGCCAATCTCTTTTCAAGTATAGTAAAGAGTTGATAAAGCCAATCAGGAGCTTGACTCAGAATAAAACGGCACTCGTTACTCTTTTAACAAATCCAAAAAAAGCAAATTCACCCGAAGTAGTCCGAGAATGGGCCGATGTCAATTCAGCATCATCCGATGTTCAAAGAAGTTCACGACCGAAGATTTCCACAGGTTCAATTCCAAAGCCAGCTTTAGAAGCTCGGCCGATCCACCGCGTTCAACCAGCGCCGTCCGAAATCAAAACAGGATCAAACCAAGAGCCTCAGTCGGAAGCCCGATCTACTAGCGGCGTCCACTCCGTGTCATCGAAAGTTAGGCCGAAGAAAGACCAAGAGGACCGATCTCCTTCCGAGGTTCATACAGTGTCACACTCAGTTCAGACAACTTCCAACTTTCGCTCAACAAATCGAAATTTCCCTGAGTTACAACGGACTTTTCCGACCTCCACAAAGTCCCTTGATGTGGTATCGACGCCCCGACCCGAACGCCGCCGAAGTCTCCTCATCTATGGAGCCGACCGTTCAGGCACAACATTTACCACCAAAATGTTTGCCGAAGATCCACAACTTATGACTGTTTATGAACCGTTATGGATAACAACCAAATGGAACAAAGAAGACTCTAGTCAAATACCCAATTGGACCAAAAACGTTCTTGATCTTCTTAGAGGAATTTTAAGTTGTAAGTTCGCCGAGACTGCTGCTGGTGTTAAATTCCTCGCGCATACCTCACGGCAATGGAATGGAGCATATGTCAAAAACCCTTTTCAGTCTCAAAACTTTTGCCCCAACTGGGAATGTAAAGATCTTTCCAGTACTCCCACATACGCCGACACAGTATGCCTAACAAAATACAAACACAGTGTAACGAAAATAGGGGAGCCCAGGACACCCAACAGTTTAATTTCATCTTTTCTTCCAAAGGTGTTCTTAGAGAATCCAGACACTGACATCCGGGTTATCCAGCTTATCCGAGATCCCAGAGCGAGTTTAAGATCCCGGATTAGGTTAGGATGGATGGTAGACTGGACGCATTGGAATTTTCGGAAGTTAGTCAGAAAAGTTTGTTCAAACTTGGTCGCAAACATCAAGTTTGGCCGAAATCTGGGCAAATGGCAAGACAGGTATTTAGAAGTACACTACCACGATCTAGCCGGAAAACCGCTGGAAACGACAAGAGCTATGTATGATTTTGCAGGATTTGAAATGTCCGATAGCATTGCCGACTGGGTGGTTCGCAATACTTCGCCGAGTAAAGAAGAACTGATGAAGGAAAGCAAAAACAAATTCTCACCAACTCGAAATTCAACGGCTAATATTGATAAGTGGAAGCAAGATTCTCCAGTCGAAAGAATTCGAATAATTGAGGAATATTGTCAAGAAGCACTTGATCTTCTAGGACTGAAAAAAATGCCATAGAACAAACAACAACTTCAACTGCACGGATTTGAAAATGAGATAGATTTTCGTGGGAAAAAATATACTGCCAATAAATGAAGATAAACAAGTAAATGAAGTTAAAGGAAAGGAAAAACAAATTATGAACAAAACTGAATCAATTATCAGTCGTACCCTTTCCCCTCCCCCTCCCCCTAATTATAATGGGATATTTAGCAAACAGAGATGGAGAATTGACAAACTTCTCAGCTTCAAGGTGTAACCTTAATGTAAATTGCAATTCTCTTTACTTAGTTACAAGGGAATATGTAATAAAGTCACTTCCCTGATGATTACCTAAAATAATCTTAATCATTCATTTCATGCGTTTAGGTCCTAGAGAGAAAAAATAAAAGGTTTCTTGTAATGAACTTAGAAGATTATCTCTTACATACAAACAATTATATTTGAAACAATGATCAGAAAAATTCGACAATCTGGAATCTGAAGAGCGACATCCAGGCATATTATTTCAACAGCGATAATTGGATGAAAATACGCAAAGCACATAGTTTGTATTAAGTGATTTCTATAAGTGAATTCTAACCTTGGCTCGTTAGATATTTGGAATTCTAGTCATTTTAGAAATAAACGAAGTCAGAACGTCAGATCAAAGAACCTGAGGGGATCACATGGTTTTCAGAGGGAACCTGGGGGGAGATCAGTCGCCGCCAACAGAGTTTAAAGAGAGGACTATGGAAAATTGACTGCCTATAGGGGGAATTATAAGAATAATACAAAGCCGTATGGAGAGGGGGTCAGGTAAATTTAGCGTGGCGCGCGGACTCAGAGATGTTTTCAATTTTGTAAGCGCGCGTACAATTATAGCGTGTGCGAGTTTAGTGTTTTCAGAGCCGCACTTTTTGAGGACTTTTTACGAAGTTTTATCATTTGTCGTGTTACTGTGTTCAGGTTGTTTTGGCCGATTAAACGTGGATTTGTTTTCTGAAGGGTTTTCCGTAATTTTGCCTGGGGACAACGACCAAAATTCTCCTGCGACTCCCTAATTCCTAAGATCTGATTGTTAATTCTCCCTTCTGGCTGCTACACATATCCTTGTAAATTAGTAACGAGAATTTAGTGTCAGATCAAGATAACAATTTCCACCTGATTAGTTTGAGTATTCTCGTTTCCTGTTTGCTGGATAATTTATGGATATTGTTGGGAGAAGTTACATGTAAATCACTTCTGGGAGTTAAAAGGTTAAGAAATAAAAGGCCTCAGTGTTTTATCAGGGTCACAGCCTTTACCAGAAATAGCTGTACTCGATTAAATAGAACTGCTGCGACATAGTGCTAGTTTTACTTCATAATCTTAAACGTGAAAATGTTCAGGTCAAAATATTCATCTTCGAAGAAGACACAACGAAAATTGGTCGCGATTTCTCTGAAACAAGTTTCGAAGAAACACCGGGGAAGTGTAGTCGAGAAAATCGGTACTTTTGTCAAGAAAACTCGTGTCACTTTTCAACCAATCAGGTGCAAAGCGAAACTCATCATCAATACGTTACGCTCTCACGCGTTCAAAGCTTTGAAACTCTTTATGGTGGCCAATTCACATTATCAACTCAGTTGATAAAAGCAAAATTATCTTTTTACACTCCCCCACCGATGCAGCACCGCAGTTTCTACAGAAACTTACCCGCCTCTATATATTTCCCAGATTTGCAATGACCTTGCTTCAAAACAATGGTAGGTGAGAGTATTTATAAGCGAGAATGACTATCAATTCTCAAGCAAATGAAACTCACTAGCCAAACAAAGGTTACAAATATTAAGGAGTATTGAACGACCTACGAGTACGTAACCAATCACAACGAAGTATTTTTTTCAGATGTAGACAGATTAGGAAATAATATTTTCCAGTAAGTTGTAGTTCCTTAGCACCGACTCCACAGTGTGTCGATGAAAAATAGTTAGAAACGTGGCGAGATATTCTGTAAAAAGTGTAGGCACTTTATACAAGGGTAAGTATTTCATCAGAAGACTAGTTTAGTTCAAGTGAAGTAACCGTGTTTTTGCAAAAGATATCTTGCATGCAGGCCTTGATTTTTACACCAATTTGACAGTTAACCCAGTGGAGCGAACCAACTTCCCATATGTAAATGCAGTGAAGAATATTCGAAAAGCGGAAAAGCATTCAGCAATAATTTGATGGCGAGTTTGATAAAATTAGTCCTCAGCAAAATTATTCGTTGACTGTCTTAGAGTACGATGAAACTTATTATTATTTTTTTATTATTTTTTCTCAATTTCTACTCACAGTTCCGGGGTTCTTTCAGTGATCCACCGACCGGCGGAGAAATGAATGTCAAGAGAAACACCCCCTTTCGAATATGTAAGAAATTTTGTTTCCCATGCGCAGTTCTTCTGCTGTTCTCTTCCGCTGTTGTACTACATAACTCCCATTATGGCCAATCTCTTTTCAACTATAGTAAAGAGTTGATAAAGCCAAACAGGAGCTTGACTCAGAATAAAACGGCACTCGTTACTCTTTTAACAAATCCAAACAAACCAAATTCACCCGAAGTAGTCCGAGCATGGGCCGATGTCAATTCAGCATCATCTGAAGTTCAAAAAAGTTCACGACCGAAGATTTCCACAGGTTCAAAGCCAGCTTTGGAAGCTCAGCCGATCCACCGCGTTCAACCAGCGCCGTCCGAAATCAAAACAGGATTAAACCAAAAGCCTCAGTCGGAAGCCCGATCTACAAGCGACGTCCACTCTGTGTCATCCGGAGTTAGGCCGAAGAAAGACCAAGAGGACCGATCTCCTTCCGAGGTTCATACAGTGTTACACTCAGTTCAGACAACTTCCAACTTTCGTTCAACAAATCGAAATTCCTCTGAGTTACAACGGACTTTTCCGACCTCCACAAAGTCCCATGATGTGGTATCGACGCCCCGACCCGAACGCCGCCGAAGTCTCCTAATCTATGGAGCCGGCCGTTCAGGCACAACATTCACCACCAAAATGTTTGCCGAAGATCCACAACTTATGACTGTTTATGAACCGTTATGGATAATAACCAAATGGAACAAAGAAGACTCTAGTCAAATACCCAATTGGACCAAAAACGTTCTTGATCTTCTTAGAGGAATTTTAAGTTGTAAGTTCGCCGAGACTGCTGCTGGTGTTAAATTCCTCTCGCACACCTCACGGAAATGGAATGGAGCAAATGTCAAAAACCCTTTTCAGTCTCAAAACTTTTGCCCCAACTGGGAATGTAAAGATCTTTCCAGATCTCCCAAATACGCCGACACAGTATGCCTAACAAAATACAAACACAGTGTAACGAAAATAGGGGAAACCAGGATACCCAACAGTTTAATTTCATCTTTTCTTCCAAAGGTATTCTTAGAGAATCCAGACACCGACATCCGGGTTATCCAGCTTATTCGAGATCCCAGAGCCAGTTTTAGATCCCGGATTAAGTTAAGATGGATGGTAGACTGGACGCATCGGAATTTTCGAAAGTTAGTCAGAAAAGTTTGTTCAAACTTGGTCGCAAACATCAAGTTTGGCCGAAATCTGGGCAAATGGCAAGACAAGTATTTAGAAGTACACTACCACGATCTAGCCGGAAAACCGCTGGAAACGACAAGAGCTATGTATAATTTTGCAGGATTTGAAATGCCCGATAGCATTGCCGATTGGGTGGTTCGCAATACTTCACCGAGTAAAGAAGAACTGATGAAGGAAAGTAAAAACATATTCTCACCAACTCGAAATTCAACGGCTAATATTGATAAGTGGAAGCGAGATTCTCCAGTCGAAAGAATTCGAATAATTGAGGAATATTGTCAAGAAGCACTTGATCTTCTAGGACTGAAAAAAATGCCATAGAACAAACAACAACTTCCATTGAACGGATTTTAAAATGACATAGATTTTCGTGGGAAAAAATAACCTGCCAACAAATGAAGATAAACAAGTAAATAAAGATAAAGGAAAGGAAACACGAATTTTAAACAAAACTGGATCAATTCCTTGAATCACTTCACAGAGATGTGACTGACTAGCCTCCGTGTAGCCGTACCCTTTCCCCTCCCCCTCCCCCTAATTATAATGGGATATTTAGCAAACAGAGAGGGAGAATTGACAAACTTCTCCGCTTCAAAGTGTAACCTTAATGTAAATTGCAATTCTCTTTACTTAGTTACAAAGGAATATGTAATAAAGTCACTTCTCTGGTGATTAGCTAAAATGATCTTAATCATTCTTTTCATGCGTTTAGGTCCTAGAGAGAAAAAGGAAATGATTCTTTGTAATGAACTTAGGAGATTATCTCCTACATACAAACAATTATATTTGAAACAATGATCAGAAAAATTCGACAATCTGGAATCTGAAGAGCGACATCCAGGCATATTATTTCAACAGCGATAATTGGATGAAAATACGCAAAGCACATAGTTTGTATTAAGTGATTTCTATAAGTGAATTCTAACCTTGGCTCGTTAGATATTTGGAATTCTAGTCATTTTAGAAATAAACGAAGTCAGAACGTCAGATCAAAGAACCGACACAAATACCCGAATAAGATTTTGTAAGCATATGAACATCTTGAGTCACAACAGCTTGGATTCATTCATAACCTCAGATAGCAGAATAGTCTTGAAATAGATATTCTATGAGGTACACAACATCAGGAGAGCACCAGTAAGGGAAAAGTCATTATTTAACGCCGGGGGGAGGAGTGGGGCAAGCCGAGGATTTTGAGGGGGATCACATGGTTTTCAGAGAGAACCAGGGGGGAGATCAGTCGCCGCCAACAGAGTTTAAAGAGAGGACTGTAGAAAATTGACTGCCTATGGGGGGGAATTATAAGGATAATACAAGGCCGTATGAGGAGGGGTTCAGGTAAATTTAGCGTGGCGCGCGGGCTCAGAGATATTTTCAATTTTGTAAGCACGCGTACAATCATAGCGTGTGCGAGTTTAGTGTTTTCAGAGCCGTACTTTTTGAGGACTTTTTACGAAGTTTTATCATTTGTCGTGTTACTGTGTTGAGGTTGTTTTGGCCGATTAAACGTGGATTTGTTTTCCGAAGGGTTCTCCGTAATTTTGCCTGGGGACAACAACCAAAATCTCCTGCAACCCCTTAACTCCTAAGATCTGATTGTTAATTCTCCCTTCTGGCTGCCTTAATATCCTTGTAAATTAGTATCGAGAATTTGGTGTCAGATCAAGATAACAATTTCCACCTGATTAGTTTGAGTATTCTCGTTCCCTGTTTGCTGGATAATTTATGGATATTGTTGGGAGAAGTTACATGTAAATCACTTCTGGGAGTTAAAAGGTTAAGAAATAAAAGGCCTCAGTGTTTTATCAGGGTCACAGCCTTTACCAGAAATAGCTGTACTCGATTAAATAGAACTGCTGCGACATAGTGCTAGTTTTACTTCATAATCTTAAACGTGAAAATGTTCAGGTCAAAATATTCATCTTCGAAGAAGACACAACGAAAATTGGTCACGATTTCTCTGAAACAAGTTTCGAAGAAACACCGGGGAAGTTAGTTGAGAAAATCGGTACTTTGGTCAAGAAAACTCGTGTCACTTTTCAACCAATCAGGTGCAAAGCGAAACTTATCATCAATACGTTACGCTCTCACGCGTTCAAAGCTTTGAAACTCTTTACGGTGGCCAATTCACATAATCAACTCAGTTGATAAAAGCAAAATTATCTTTTTACACTCCCCCACCGATGCAGTACCAAAGTTTCTATAGAAACTTACCCGCCTTTTTATATTTTCTAGATTTGCAATGACCCTGCTTCAAAACAATGGTATGTGAGAGTATTTAGATACGAAAATGATTATCAATTCTCAAGCAAATGAAACTCACTAGCAAAACAAAGGTTTTGCACTAAAGCTTGTTTTCATGGTGAGAGCTTTTGGAACTTGAAAATAAAACATTAGGTATTCAAGAGATGAAAAAAAAAGGTTCACTAGTGCTAATGATGTGGGAATACATGCTAAAGGTTGTTTATTCTTAAACGATATTTGACTAGGCTTCACTGTTCGTTTCGGGTCAGTACTAAACATAACTTTGACAGACGTCAAAAATTTCTCAGCTTGACGCAACCTATTAGTTTTCTATTGAATACAAATTAAGGAGTATTGAATGATCATCGAGTACGTAACCAATCACAATAAAGGATTTTTTATTCAGTGGTAAATAATTTATAAAAAAAAAAAATGTTTTCCAGTAGGATGTAGTTCCTAAGCACCGTCTCGACAGTGTGTCGATGAAAAATAGTTAGAAACGTGGCGAGATGTTCTGTAAAAAGTGCTAGCACTTTATACAAGGGTAAGTATCTCATCAGAAGACTAGTTTAGTTCAGATGAAGTAACTCTGTTTTCGCAAAAGATATCTTGCATGCGGGCCTCAAGGAAACCTTCCTTTAGCATACATTTGCCATAGAAGCTCAGTGTAATGTCAAATATGAAAATAGAACAGCACTTGAGAATTTCCATTCCAAAAAGTTTTCTCCGAAAACATCTGTGTGAACAGACGGAAGCTTTTGGAGCCCGTCACTCACGTACAGAATTCGTCACACAGGTTAGATATTCAGGTAAATATATAAATATAGGTAGAACAAACAACAACTTCAATTGAACCGATTTGAAAATGACATAGATTAGCGTGGGAAAAAATGAAACATCGGTAAAAAGGGTTCATTCTAAAAACGTTCTATAAATTCTCACTCAGTCGGTCGTAAAATGCTTAGGTTAAGATGAACAATTCAACCTTACCAGCAGCACATGTGTTTCTCCTCTGAACTAGCATTTGTTGAAAAATGACTAATTTATTGATTTTTACAGCAAATTATTTGGCAGTTAACCCAGGGGGGCGAACCAACTTCCCGCATGTAATTACGGTGAAGAATAATCGAAAAGCAGAAAAGCATTCAGCAATAATTGATCGCGAGTGTGATGAAATTTTTCCTCAGCAAAATTTGCTGACTGTCTTAGGGTACAATAAAACTTATACATTAACCTTCATACTTGTTTTCTTTCCCTTTGTTTTTTATTTTATTATTATGATTTTTTTTCAATTTCTACTCACAGTTCAGGGATTCTTTCAGCGATACACCGACCGGCGGAGGAATGAAGGACAAGAGAAACACCCCCTTTCGAATATGTAAGAAATTTTGTTTCCCATGCTCAATACTTCTGCTGTTCTCTTCCGCTGTTCTACTACATAACTCCCATTATGGCCAATCTCTTTTCAAGTATAGTAAAGAGTTGATAAAGCCAAACAGGAGCTTGACTCAGAATAAAACGGCACTCGTTACTCTTTTAACAAATCCAAACAAAACAAATTCACCCGAAGTAGTTCGAGCATGGGCCGATGTCAATTCAGCATCATCCGAAGTTCAGAGAGGTTCACGACCGAAGATTTCCACGGGTTCAATTCTAAAGCCAGCTTTGGAAGCTCGGCCGATCCAACGTGTTCAACCAGCGCCGTCCGAAATCAAAACAGGATCAAACCAAGAGCCTCAGTCGGAAGCCCGATCTACTAGCGACGTCCACTCCGTGTCATCAAAAGTTAGGCCGAAGAAGGACCAAGAGGACCGATCTCCTTCCGAGGTTCATACAGTGTCACACTCAGTTCAGACAACTTCCAACTTTCGCTCAATAAATCGTAATTCCCCTGAGTTACAATGGACTTTTCCGACCTCCACAAAGTCCCTTGATGTGGTATCGACGCCCCGACCCGAACGCCGCCGAAGTCTCCTAATCTATGGAGCCGACCGTTCAGGCACAACATTCACCACAAAAATGTTTGCCGAAGATCCACAACTTATGACTGTTTATGAACCGTTATGGATAACAACCAAATGGAACAAAGAAGACTCTAGTCAAATACCCAATTGGACCAAAAACGTTCTTGATCTTCTTAGAGGAATTTTAAGTTGTAAGTTCGCCGAGACTGCTGCTGGTGTTAAATTCCTCTCGCACACCTCACGGCAATGGAGTGGAGCGTATGTCAAAAACCCTTTTCAGTCTCAAAACTTTTGCCCCAACTGGGAATGTAAAGATCTTTCCAGATCTCCCAAATACGCCGACACAGTATGCCTAACAAAATACAAACACAGTGTAACGAAAATAGGGGAGCCCAGGACACCCAACAGTTTAATTTCATCTTTTCTTCCAAAGGTATTCTTAGAGAATCCAGACACCGACATCCGGGTTATCCAGCTTATCCGGGATCCCAGAGCGAGTTTAAGATCCCGGATTAAGCAAGGGTGGATGGTGGACTGGACGCATTCGAGTTTTCCAAACTTAGTCAGAAAAATTTGTTCAAACTTGGTCGCAAACATCAAGTTTGGCCGAAATCTGGGCAAATGGCAAGACAAGTATTTAGAAGTTCACTACCACGATCTAGCCGGAAAACCGCTGGAAACGACAAGAGCTATGTATAATTTTGCAGGATTTGAAATGCCCGATAGCATTGCCGACTGGGTGGTTCGCAATACTTCGCCGAGTAAAGAAGAACTGATGAAGGAAAGCAAAAACATATTCTCGCCAACTCGAAATTCAACGGCTAATATTGATAAGTGGAAGCAAGATTCTCCAGTCGAAAGAATTAAAATAATTGAGAAATATTGTAAAAAAGCACTTGATCTTCTAGGACTGAAAAAAAAGCTATAGAACAAATAACAACTTCAATTGAACCGATTTGAAAATGACGTAGATTTTCGTGGGAAAAAATAACCTGCCAACAAATAAAGCTAAACAAGTAAATGAAGATAAAGGAAAGGAAACACGAATTATAAACAAAACTGGATCAATTCTTTGAATCACTTCACAGAGATGTGACTGACTAGCCTACGTGTAGCCGTACCCTCCCCCTCCCCCCCAAAGTGAAACAGTTCCCGTGCTTCCGTTTCACTTTTGGGGGGGGGAGGGTAAGGCTACATGTGGGCAAGTGACTGACATGTAACTTCTCTTTACCATCAAAATAGGATTTTTAGCAAAAAGGGGAGAAGCAGAATTGACAAACTTCTCAGTTTCGAGGTATAAACTTGATGTAAATCGCAATTCTCTTTACTAAGTTACAAAGCAATACTGTAACAAAGTTACTTCTCTGGTGATTAGCTAAAATAATCTAAATCATTCTTTTCATGCTTTTAGTTACTAGAGTAAAAAGTAAATGATTCTTTGCAATGAATTTAGAGGATCATCCTCTACATACAAACAGTTATATTTGAAACAGTGATCAGAAAAATTCGACAACCTGGAATTTGAAGAGCGACATCCTGACATAATATTTCAACAGCGATAATTGGATAAAAATACGTAGAGTACATAGTTTGTATTAAGTGATTTCTATCAGTTAATTATCAAGATTAACTACTTCTTTTGGTCAGTCACGATAATTCAAGGTTTTTCTTCTGCTTCTTGCAAAAAACCACCTTAACTGAAAGTAATTTGCGAAATATTCGGTTCGGTAACAGAGCAAACCAACAAAGAGATTATCATGAACCAAGAAGTAACTAGAATTTTTAATTGCTTACTTCTAGCAAAAAATTAATAACGTAGTTTTTGAGTAAGAGCCCCGTATAAGGAATCGGTATGTAACGAAGACCTTAGTGTAACATAATACTTTTAGGCCCTTTGCGGAATTCAGGGAACCTCCCTTGGTTGACACTGACTTGTTGATTTTTAACCCTTTAACTCCCATGAGTGACCAAAACAGAATTTCTCCTTACAATATCAATACAATATCAACCAGATAAGTGATGAGAATAAAGAAAAAGATCAATCTGGGGATAATTAGCTGATCCAATACTAAATTCTCTGAACTATTATTGTAAGAATTGTATGTTTGACACTAAGGAGAATTACAAATTTAATCTGGGAGTTAAAGGGTTAATAACGTAATCACAAGATGTGATTTTACTCGGTCGGAGCATTTTGGTGTGTATGTTTTCGTTGCGTTTATGGATCAAACTCTGAAATTCTAGTTTAAACTCGGTTGGATGCACTTAAGCCAATTGTTGTAAGTCGGAAAACGGAATAAATTCATTTTAGGCCCACTAGTAAAAACGGGTACGAACAAGAACCCAGTGTTACCACATTTCGTACATTCGTCAATTCCTAGGGAGCCCTTCGTAAGGTTGGAGTTTCACTATCCCTATAGAAAGAAGGAAACAAATTGATGTCAATTTTCCACTTGATGTGTGTAACCTTAGCTCGTTAGATATTTAGAATTCTAGCCATTTTAAAAAAAAAAAAAAAAAACGTGATCAGAACGCCAGATCAAAGAACCGACACAAAGACCCGAACAAGATTATATAAGCATATGGACATCTTGAGTCACAACAGCTTGGAGTCACGAGAGGGATCACATGGTTTTCAGGGGGGAACGGAGTGACGATCGGTCGCCGCCAACAGAGTTTAAAGAGGGGACTATAGAGAATTGACTGCCTATGAGGGGGGTTATAAGAATATTACAAAGGCGTATAGGGGGGATCAGGTAAATTAAGCGTGACACGCGGGCTCAGAGATATTTTCAATTTGTAAGCTCGTAAGCAAAGTGACGCGTACAATTATCGCGTGTGCGAGTTTAGTTTTTTCAGAGCCGTTTTTTTTAAGGATTTTTTACGAAGTTTTAGAATTAGTCGTGTTAAAGGGCTTTTCTTATGTAAGTTGAAAACCTCGAAATGGACAACTCGCTCAAATGGGTTCTTTTCATCAAAGTAAACGGTCAGATAAAAAGTGATACGCTGTGAAAGTAAGGTGCATCATTTTCATTGAGAATTTGACGTATCGTTTTATTCCTAAGAGCGGTCGTAAATATTCTCATACAAACTCTTATGATTCCGCCGTGACTGTTATTGTGCAAGATGATCATCTCACAGCTGGAGCTTGGGCCGCCTGTGCCGTTAGCAGAGAGTTGACTGTAATCAATAAACTGATTATATCACCAGATAATTGTATTTTGTACCATCAGTCACCTCCCAGGAAGGGTGGAATCAACCTGTAAGGTGACCCACAGAATACTTCCAGACGATTAAATTATATTTTATACAACTTTGACAGATACCAAATAGATTTTTTAGATTAATTGGATAATTTCATTTGTAAAACTGATTTAAACGATTGCAACTGAGGAGGCGGCGAATTCGGAGCTTTAAACTGTTGTGGGTGGCAAATGTCGTGAATATGAACGTGTCATCAAACACGGTTGTACAATTGTCTTAAAGCCGATTAAGACCTTTACCCCAAGGAATTTCACTCAAGGCTCTCTTGGAGACAAAACATCCCCACTAACTAAAAGCCAAGATAAAACTTGAATGATATAGCACGCGAATACTTTTATTTATCGATCTGGTGGTTATTTGTGTGGAAATTTCGACAGGAAAGGTTATAATATTACTGGATTTGGGTTTAAAGAAAAGCACGCGATTGACTATCGATCAATTAAAAAATCAGAGGGTTATCCAAAGGAAATAAATGTACCAATATAGGGGCTATTGACAGCGGTTATCTGTGATGACAACCTACACAGCAACAATTTTAACCCCTTAACCCCTAAGAGTGATAAAGTCCACCATTAAGTCATTTTTCGCCATGATCAAAGTATTCGGAGCAGGCAGCTGGTGACGGCAGATATTTCATAAATTTGAAAAGAATTTTTTATCGTTCCATCAAACTGTCAACAGCCGTGAGCAATTGTTCGAAACTGCCAAAAACAATCAAGGTACCATGTCATGGAAAAATATTCACTGCGGATTTGTGGCATGCGAAACGGAAACCAAAAGGTGGCCTTCTTGTTAACGTACATTGAAAATATTGCAAGCCGAAGCACTTACTTGCGAAATCATTCATACTTTAGAGGTTTTGTCACAGAATAATCACAGATAATATTAAGCATTACGAATAGAGTGTTTCATGAATCCGCTAGTTTCATTGGGAATAATCTGAAGGCTCGGAGAACCAATGTGTATAGGGGCTTGGGACATAAACCGAAGTTACGCGGCGCGAATTTTGAAAAGACAACTGTGCGAGTGTCTCGTTAACCGCAGATCGCGCTTTGAGCGGTCGAACTATAAATTAGTGCCAATTAATATCAAAATGAGCTCAATTAAGAGAGTCAACAATACTCAATATCCTCTAATTTATTGACACAAAAAAACACTGAAAGTGCTTCTTCCATGCAGACCGTTTCGCTCATGATGGGACCGTTGGTTGCCATATTGGGAGATTACTACATTTGAGCTGAAACAAAGAGGCGGAGCTAACCTATTTATAGCGCGCTTTCGTGTTTAATATCAAGGATCAAGGATCAAGGATCAAGGAACGGAAAGAGGAAGATATGACTTCATAGCGAGCTGAAAGAAACTTGTGCTCGATCAAGCGGTTGTTTGGTTTTTCTTCTTCAAGTTTTGGTCTCTATGTGGCCGTGTGTGAGAAGACGAAGATCATTTTTGTCGAGATGCACTGTTCCATTTGGTGTAAAGACTTATGTTATTTTCAGTATTTTCATCATGTATCATCTGTTTCGTGAACAAGACAACAAAACTTCAAATTCACCTGGCGTTTTTCGGAAGAATTTTCCATCACTGAACGGATTACTTTCATTGAAACGGTTTAACAAAACTGTCGCTAAAAAATTATCAACGACACGGTCTAACAAGGTGAAGAGTGTAACTTTAAGGAATATTCCGCGAGATGACAATTCGAGTGTTTCGCCAATTATTAATTCTGGATCGAAACAAAATCTCAAATTCCTTTTTGTTTTACATCATTACGAACAACTTACAAAGACTACAGAAAATTTGCTACAACTGGCTGCGGTGGCCAAGCAAACTGGTCGTGTAGTCGTAGAGCCTTTAGTGCGCGATTCTAGGATGTGTGGTTTGCCTGACGGTTGGTTCGGACAAAGACGGTCGGAGGCCAGAAAATTTCATCCGATGTCGCTGTATTTTGATGTGACATTTATGAAAAATTTGCTCAAGAGATCTCGCTATGCCCCGTTGGTTAAACTAGAGACTTTCAAACGGGAATGTCAATCAAGCGTTACAAACACAACATTGCTCCATTTTATGTACAGCGATCGCAAGGAAGAAGAAATGGTACGTTGGTACAAAATATCCTCGGATATTTATCAAAAGACCGAAAGTGCTTTGAAAAAATCCGGCTGGTGTGAATGCAATTTCATCGATAGCGGTCTTAATTTTTCCAATAGAATCGGTAATTTTCACGCCGGGAGACAGATTTGCTTAGACGCCGAAAAAATAAAAAGTCTTCAATTATTCAAAAGTAAAATCCTGAAAGAAGACAAATGTGTTACTATAATTCACTGGCGAGGGATAGGTACACACAGATGCCACTTCGAACCAGAAGTAAATATTGAAAGCCGGAAGTTGGTTTACTCCTTGCGATCGAGTGAATTTGTTAATTCACTGGCGAAAAAAATCATCGACACAATTGGCGAGGAATATATTTCGATTCATATCCGAGCTGAACGACAAATTCTTTGGTATGGATTCGATCGACTGTCACGGTGCATCGAAGTGCTGATGGAAAAAGTAAAAGACCTTCAACGAAAGTATAAAATTAAGAGAGTCTTTCTGTCATCTGATTTTACACGTTTTGGCTCAGACACATTGCGTACATATACATCACAGAATATTTCATTCGCCAAGAAAATAAAAGAAATATGGAGATATTTGTCGAAAACTTTAAAACCCACAATGTACAATCCAAGTTTTGGAGATGCATTAATAATGGACAGTGGGGTCGTTGCACTTACAGAGAAGAATGTTCTTATAGAGGGATCACACTTACTGACAATTGGCTCTGGCACTTTTCAACAATGGATTGTTGATGGATTTATTGAGAGAAAAATAAATTATGACAGGCAGAAGAATTGGATAGTCACAAGAGTATGTCTCAAAGAGGACAAGGTTAATAATTACAAACCCAGCTGACAGCAATACAACTCATAGATCAAAATGGAATTTCTCCTCTGGATAACAATAGATTTTCTAGCAGAAAGGTGTTGAGAAGAAAGAAAAATATCAGCAAGGAGATGTTTTTGATTTAACACCACATTTTCATCACTAAAATCATAGGAAAACATGGCAAACTGCAGATAATTGACATTAGATCTTTGGAGTCAAAGAGTAAACATTTTTCAATTTTTTCAGGAGCCTTTACATCTTGCAAAGCTTCTTACTTGTTAAGAAAGCTTGCCATAGACAAAATAATGGATAATATCATATAAATGGAAGAAAACCACCAACATGTTAATTCAACTCCCTTCTCACCTGATTAAAAATACTTTTCACCTTGATCAACATGTCAGTCTCACAGTCCCTGTCTCACAGTCCCTCACAGTCCCTGTCATCTAATCAAAGACGTATAAAATTAGTGAGGAGAGCATCTCTCCAATTTTGTGCAATAGAATAACATGAGAACAAGAGTAATCTTCATGCAGAAAATCTGAGCTATATTTGAACCAGCTTTCACTCCCAGGGCAAACTAAACAGCTGCTTCTCCTTACAATATCAAGAACTTAAGAAGACAGCTGATCAAAATATCAACTGAAGATTATAGTTTTATTTAACTCTGAAGTTTTACTGTTTCTCCACACAATATTATTAACTTATTGAGAAGAAAAAGAGAGAAGAGAACTGATCAAAATATTGACTGAGGATAATGGTTTTACTCAACTCTGAAGTTTCAGAACTGACACCAAAAGAAATATTTTAAAGGCCATGTAAACAAGGGTTAATATTCAGATCTTGGAAATGAAATGGTAAACTGTCCTGCAAACAAATTAAAATTGTGATTGACCAACTAAGAATGTCCCTTATTCATTGTAGAAGATAAAGAAAAGCCATTCTAAGTTAGAGGGATGTAATGATTCTTCATGTATTAGCCTATCAATAATTTTCATTTTTATTTTTGGAACAAATTTGGAAAAGGTATTCTGGAGGTAAAAGACAGAAATACTCTATCAAAAATAAATTCAAAACATTATTTGTTAAATCCAGTTTAGGATTGTAAAAAGGAAAAATAAAGAGTACCTGAAAGAGTGCTTTCCTTGAAAGACAGACTTGTCATTAACCCTTTAACCCCATGAGTGACCAAGACAGAATTTCTCCTTACAATATCAATACAATATCAAGCAGGCACATGTTGAGAATAAAGAAAAATCTTAATTAGAGGATTATTAGTTGATCCACTACCAAATACTCCAAACTTACATCACAAGAACTGTAGGGCAGACAGTAAGGAGAATTACTAATGAGATCTTGGGAGTTTAAGAGTTAAGGCCAAAGGACTGAGATAAGAATCCCAAATCCCTCCCCTCTAGGAATATAGAGGAAACCTGTTCCTAAAGTGCATTATCAGTGTACATAAATCTAACTGAAAAGGGAGACATCTACCAACTATCAGTGAACGATCACTCGATGTGTTAGCCCCTTGATAACTTTTAGGCAGCCCACTACTGCCAGATATTTATTTAGTAGTCAGCCAATTGGCCATCAATTCCATTAAATATTAGCTTCTATATCAGCTGATTAAAGACCACATTAGCTGGAGCCAACCTTTTTATTCACTACAAAAGAATTGTAGTTGTCTTTCATCTAATGACAGCCCTGTGTATTTATGTCCCCACCAGCTTTAGAGAAGAATAAATATACAAGTTATTTACCAGCTGAAAGGTCTGTTCAGTGAAACCTGTAGCCTCAGGCTTAAAAATTGCTACCTTCAGCCTACTGCCTTGTTCAGACTTGGCTCACAGTATTTCACTATATGGACCTCTCCGCTAGGAAATAACATACATCTATTAGAACCGGGTAGTGTTACTCTCCAGTAAGGTACAAGGTTATGTGTTAGTGAAAGCTAAAGATGTTTCAGATGTTGAAGATGGTCAATTTTTTTTTAAAGTTCATATGAAATGATCCATCACAGACCGATGAGTTCATTAGGAAGTACTACATTTCTGTAGGGCCTGTAACAGTGCATCCTTGATTTATACGCAGTAGCTAAGTTACTTAAATTTTCCCTCACCGCAACACCGTTCAGATCGAGGAAGCTTTGTTTACATGTATCAACAGCGACTGTTGTAGCTCAGAAAATTTTGAGAAGACCTCATTTGATGAAGAGAAGTTTCAACGCCGACGCCGTAATTTATTTCTAGTTTGGGATACAGATTAATCACATTTTAACTGGCAGAGGAAATTTTCTTTGCGAAGACAATTCAAGAAGACCGCCATTACTCGAGTAGCTGTAAAATGAGCTTGCATCACATGGAAACATTAGAGCAAGATCATTGGTTAGCCTTAGTTTGACTAAAAAAAAAACATTTTTTTTTACTCTCAGGGGTCCTGCGGAGTCAGACGCGCTCTTAGCTGGGACTGGTGATTTTTAACAGTAAATTTTATCGTAAATAACATTATAACTATCCCTCGACGTTCCTTTTGTTACAATTTAGTTGTATGTGCATTATTAGATTTCTTCGATTGATCATTAGTTCCACTAAGCTCTACGCCAAAAGAAAGAGGAAAAACAACGATGGGAGACTGAGTACAAATCTGCCGTATACCGCGAAGAGCTTGAGAACCAGTAACGAGGGGCTTTAAAAAAATGGTGGCAGTAAGATATTGGTAAGTACTTCCCTATTGAAATGTTAAACTATTCGTCGTAGATTTGCATATTCATGAATTGACGTTTGTCTAGATTAATTGTAAACATTGGTCCTAGTGGCTCTTCAACGGAAACGGAAAAGATAAAGCAAAACGTAACAGGATAAATTGGTCCATTTCGTTTCATTTCTCAATTTTCCACGTGTGTTTGCAGTACCTTGAACCTCTTAAAATGGGAAATCATAAAATTCAGTGGCATTTGATCATGGATTTCGTATGCCTTGTCGCTCTGGGTGTTGCGGAGATGTTGATCCATGTCATCCCGATAGAACCATCTCACAGAGGATTTTTTTGTGATGATAAAAGCCTTCAAAAACCTTTACAAGAAGAAACTGTCTCTACATGGCTCACGATAGTTGTGGGTTTCTCTGTGTCGATTTCCGTGGTAAGTGTTTAACTTGATATTAACTCAATTACATTTTTATTTACAGGCTATTATGGATTTACTTAGCAAATAGCCACTAAAGTCAATACAAACAAAATTACTCCAACAAACTTCTAGACCTGCTAAGAATGTTGCTGTAAACGTTTTTATACTCAGAATATATTCGCATGATCTTCCCAACGGAGTAAGTGGAGGGCAGTCATAATTTTTTAATAACACGCTGTGAACGAACATTTATTTGTTTTGTTTTATTTTCAAACAGTGAACGCTTTACCCAATCACGTTCTAGCCGTTTGAACTGTGACAACTTCTTTATCCATTGCCTATCTTCGATACTTAAAAAAAAACCTAATCACTTTCGATGTTACCAAACTTTAATGAATTGCGCAACTGATTTATTATATCGGCAGAGGCGTGAAAATAGAATATGTATTTCTAATTTGCCGGAACGAGCCAATACCGACTTTCCATTGTCAAACTTATTCCTACTAACACAAACGTTTGAGTTTGTGCCATTTTGATCCATTTGAATTTGTAACTTTCACTCTATTTAACAGCAGTCACGATTAAACTCCTGTGTTGAAGCATTCCCTTATTTCCTGCCAAGCCCTGAAGAAGAAATGCAGAGGTGTTTTCACACAGATATTACTCGCCCAATAAAGTATTGATACTCCTTTGAACAACATAACGACAGATGCAGTGAAGCATGAAACACCCTTTGTCGTCTCATTTCAGTTCATTGTTTGAGCAATAAGTATCTTACATTTTATTTTCACTAAGATTATTCTGTGTGAAACAGTGAATGCTAAATCTAAAAGAAGAAAACAGCAGCTTCAAGTTGGCAAATTCAACATCAAATGTGGACCATTGATATGCACACCAACAGCATGGCAAAGAAGGTGATTTATAGCTCTTACTTGTCCCCCAAGACTATCTTTCTTGTAGATATTATCACTTTTATCATGTTAAATCCTCTTCTAGTCCACCATAAGAACTAACAGCACTTATTAAGGAAAAGTCAAGAGCAAAGATCTCCTTAAATAGACAAGCCAATTTTTGGATGCAACACCTAAGAGAATTAACAAGTACAACCTGTACTCAACAGCCCCCAATCAGAGTCTATTGGATAATTGCCTCCCTCACTTGTTATTAGGTTATATAATTTCTGTAACTTTCTAGATCTTATTTTTATAAAAAGAGGGATATTTTTTGAAGGTGGTCTATCTTGCAGAGGGTCTTTGAATCTTCTATAAACCTTAGTACAAGCTAGATTTTTCTGTAATAATATACCTTTTTCGCTTTCATTATTCAACTATATTTTACCTGCAATCATTTATTACCATATTGGATGGTTTTTTTTTTTTTTCATTTTGAAAATTTCTGGATCATAATAGATGAAATATACAAATATAACCAGTCTGCTATGCATGTTTATTATAGGCTTGACTGAGAGGAAATTTTTATTGACAGTTGGTTTTGAGTCACTTCTCTAATTTTAACCCTCTGATCCCAAAGATTGACCATTGCTTAATTTCTCCTTACAGTTCTACTGTGGAATCATTCATTAAGATTATGAGATTAAAGGAAATGATCGCCAGCCTAATAAGCATTGATTGTTGAATGAATTCTCCTCATCAGTTTCAAAGAAAATGTATAGAATAGAGTATAAAGAATATGAATGCTGACATTAGCATGCAAAGGGTTAATAATTTAAATAGTGTAACTATACAAAAATTTAATATGTTTTAATCAGGTTTAATTTTTGCTTCTCTGGTTATTTTACAGAACATTCTTTCTTCTTTTCATGTTTGGTTTTGGTGCACTTATTACAAACTTGTTCACTGACATGGGTAAAGTGACTGTTGGAAGATTACGACCATACTTCATTGCAATATGCAAACCCAATGCAACTCTACTTAACTGTAGTCAAGGCTTTATTACAGAGGACATATGCACAGGAGATCCTGTAGATGTTTTGGATGCAAGGTAAATACTATAGTTGTCATGCAATACAACAACATTTTCTAAAGAATTATGTCAAGTCATTGCTCTTCCCCCTTGATTTTTATAACTGACTATAACACTGGTTAGAGTCAATGGGTTTTATTTTTGAGAAAACAACTATAATGTCATAGTGCCTTTCTCCAACTTTGAGTATAAACTAGCCAACTAGTTTAGCTCATTGGTAGCTCTGTTTCTAATGTTACTTTTCCTAACTAATCCCCTTGCTGTATTAATTGTTTTACCTTTCAGAATGTCTTTCCCTTCAGGTCATGCCTCATTTTCAACTTATTGTATGGTATTTTTGGCAGTAAGTATTGTTTTGTTTCTGTCACTAGTCAGCCAAGTAACCTGATACCAGACCTAGAACATTACAGGCTCTGCATGGGTAGTGACATTTATCTTAGAATAATGTTGTACCCATATTGGTAATGCTCATAATCTCACACCTAAGACTTGTTTAGGAGTATCCTTAGTTATTAAAAGAATTCAAAAAACATAAATGGGGTTCCAAACTATACAGAAAGCTTCCTTCCAAAAGTGCATAAGATTTGGTGGGTGAAAGTTTTTTTTATAATTTTCCAACCTTACATTTGAAATCTCTTATTTAAGTATAGTTACTGGGGTACCCTCGACTCTGCTGGTAATTTTGTCACGAATCAGTTATTTTTTTATTTACAGCTGTATCTAGAATCATCAATGCCAACAAAACAAACCAACTTGGTGAAACCCTTTTTGCAAGTGGCCTTCCTGTCACTGGGACTGCTGTGTTCACTGTCTCGCATATTTGACTACTGGCACCATTGGGGAGATGTGTTGGTTGGCATGTTTCTTGGTACCCTAGTGGCTTTCTTTATAGTAAGTGTTCAATCACAACATCTGAGCATAAATTCTTACTTCAGTCCCCACTTGTTAATTTCCAGAAGGAAATCTGGAAATCTTTTGCATTTGACCTGTAACAGATCAGCATTTTACTTACTCAAAATCAGTTCATGCTTTGGAAATTGGGATGAATTCTAGAATTACAGGCTTCCTAGCTCATGTGCAGTCTGCAAATATTAATATGTGTATGATTTGTTGCCTTTTTTCCAGACATTCCGATCACTGAGGCTGTTTTCCTCTCCTCCCTACCCCAATTGTTACCCTACTGATGAAGTTGACTTTGTATCAAGAAACCCTGTGAACAACAGTGAGGAGAGAGCAGATCTGAATGGTGACAATCAATTTCCACTGTAGCTTCACGTTGTATGTCAACAACTGGATCATTTACAAAAAGCACCTCCCTAAATTATAGGGTTATACTCTACACTGGGATGCTTCTCCCACAAATCAATACCCATTCTAAGCTCAGAGGTATATGAAAGCATACATCTTAAAGTTTAACTCTAAAGAAGTAGTGTTGTGATTGGCATGTCTCTATGGCAAAAGAACTCTAGGAGGTGTATGTCTAATTTTTAGGGGAATTTATAACAAGATATTATTCGCCTGATAACTCTTTAGATATTCAAGCAACATCCAGCACACAAATGTAGAGGCTGTGAAAGGCAGATTTTAACTTTTTGATGAAATTTTCCATGAATATTTGAAAGGTTTTATATAGCAAGAAGTATATACAAAAGTATTTTAGAAATTGTAGCTTAGTGTAAAAAAATTAATTAAGAGAAGTGAAACTTAAAGGAATGCTCAAGGACAAGATTTAAAATTTCCAAGAAATTTCTATTACGAAATCCACAGCAGGGTGCATAGATTTCTTAATAATGGAAATATTGGAAATGAAACTTCAATTGATCATCCATGAGCAGCAAGAAGTTATCATGCAGATGGAAAGTATTTTAAATTATATTAAATTATTGTTATGGGAGGTTTTTTTTGGTTGTTTGTGAGCATTTTGAGCAGTGGAGAAATTAAGTGTAAACATTGTTCTGTTATGTGTGCAATAATGCTACAAACATTGCAATTAAGGGTAGCTGACTGGTTGACGATGGGTCACTGATAAGTCGGCCATATATAGTATTTCAACATCACTATATAAGTAAATTAGCTTGTTGAACTCATTTTGTTTCAACACATTTAGACTATATATTAATAAATTTTATAACATAGCTAGTAAATTTGTCTAATCAAATTCAATTACGCGAGCGTGCTTTATGTTCCTATATTGTGCACGCTCACGACGTCAGCTAACAAATCCCTCGAGAGAAAAAAATTTCCATCGGGTTGAAAATGTTATAAAACAATTGGTTCATAGGTCAGCTGTGCGTTCATCGAGATATGAAGCACTTGGGAAGTTTGGAGAGCACTCAAGAAGCTAGAGTTGCTCTCAGCTACGCCTCGAGCAACTCTTACGCATCTTTTGTGCTCTCCAAACTTCCCGCGTGCAACATATCTCGATGAACGCACGCTGACGTATGAACCAATTGTTAAATTTATTGAATTGTTGTTGAATCCAAATCTGCACTTTTGCAATTTGGTGAACCACTCGTTTGGGTATTTAATAGTTAAAATTGCAATATATTGCGTTTTCTATCTAGAGGATTATTATTTGACATGCATTTGCCCAAGTTGGCAAATGGTAGTTTAAAATGTCTCATCTTGATGGCTGTTTCCACATACATTGGTTAATTGCACCTCTTTATGGATTGTCTAGTGAAAATCAAGCAACTTTAAGTGGGTTAGCTACCAACAAAACCAACAATTGATGTGACAGTACGACGACTTTTGGATTGCTGTGAGTTTTTTAGGGGTATTTTCCAAATCAGTCGCTTGTACTTTTAAAGAATTTTTTTTTCAGCGTTTTGGAGAAGAGGGACGATAATTCTTACTTCTCCTTGACGGTTAATTGAATGCAAATATAATAAAAGTGAGACGCAATTATGGACAAATGATCAAGCATGTTTAATGTTTTTACTGGGATGTTCCTACACTTGTGGTTTTGTTTCGATATTAGAGACGAACGAATTCAAAGCCACCTAAACTTGATAAATAAACTCCAATTTGCATGATTGTCTAAATCAATTAATCTTCTTGTCTTCGTGAGCTTAACAAGGGATTACTTTACGAAAATTCCTTCAAGAGAGTTCAGATGACCAGCTTAAATTCGAACCCTTGAAATGAAAAGATACGGGTCTCGGTTCATGATCTATTTTGTTATTATGGTCAGATGTTGAGCGAAGCGGCTCGCAAATAACTAAGAGTTCTGTATTATCAGTTACTATTAAATAGATTATTCATCGCAGCATTGAAAAAAAACTGTTGTTAACAGCTTTTAAAGAAGTTCTTAAAAGGCACGGCGATTCTCTGCCGTCATAGAGAACAGCTATACTCACTGCAAGATAATTTGATCACATCAACTAAGTGAGTAGTGTGAACTTGCTATCGTGAAGAGCTTCTAAAGCGTTTCGAGCGTCAGCCCCTTTTCAGAGCTCCTTGTCTTTCGCCCTGACGAAAGGCTAAAGTTTCAACTTCAGCTTTATAAAATATTTTCGGTGCCAATTCACTTTATCAACTCAGCTGATTAAGATGAATTAACCTGTAATGCTCCCCACTCAGCGCCACGGTTTCTCTCGAAACTTACCCTCTTTATACTCAGCGCATTCCTATTGAAAAGCAGTGATGCATTAAGGGTGCAGTTATTTGCATATTACACGCTTGGAGATAATCCAAATGCGAAAGTCTGAGTAATTCAGCGAAAGGGTTAACCTTGCGTATCGATCTGCAACGACGTTCACAAACTAAGATGGCTCGTGACTCTAAAACCATCAATGTCGCCTTTGATTTCTTATGTTTTATACTAGTACTAATTGATTATTTGGTGACGAAGACTTTGGTGTATGGTACAACTGATAAGCTATACCCGATTAAACAGGGATTCTTCTGTGAGGACAAAAGTATTCAGCTGCCGTTTAAGGAACCTTGGATGGACTACGCAGGTCTCTGTGCGCTGGTTTATATTGTTCCCATAGTTGTGGTGAGTAGATCTAGTCCTAAATCCATTAGAAGTGATAAAACCAAGGAAAGCTACACAGAAAGACGGTCCAATCGAATTTGTGCATTTAGAGGAAAATTTTATCAATGGTAATTCTTTGTTTTGACCCCGAAGCTATTTGAAAATTGTGGGTTTTATTTTCAGTCTTAATTACCAAATATCTAAAGTTAAAACCTTTAGGTTAATCTCACAGAAAGTCGTTCATTTCCGACAATATTTCTCTCTTCTTCTCTTGGATCATAATCAAAGATTAAGCGTTGTTAACAAAGAATTCCATTGGGAAGATCTCTCTCACTGTGCTTCATGACCATGAGCTGAAAACACTTTGCAGCATCCCGAAAGGTACTGCAGAGTTTTGTCACTATCGTTCTAAAGCTTTCTTTCTTTATAACCAGAAGCAATGACTGCCAGAAAATGGCGTCTTTAGACTTGAATTTTCGTTTTTTACCTAGAGCTCAAAACTACAAAAAGAACAACAGGACTAATAATGCCACAGATCGCGCTAATCATCATATCCCAAAAAATCCATCCATCAAACGTGGGATATAGTAGCCATCACCGGCAGTCAAATTTACTAAATATTTCCGTCTTTCCCGAACAAGATCATAGATTCTAAAAGTCGATCAGCTGAGGTCTTTCTCTGGTAGATTCACTTATAGAAGGATAGGAATGCAAATTATTTTCTGTTTTGTTTGAAGTTATTCAACCAAAATTAAAGTACCATCTTCCAATTCTAAAACTTAAGCGCCCTAAACCTCTACGAATTAGACATTCTACTGCCACAGGAATGATTCGAATTTTGTTTATTTCCTCGTTGTTTTGAGCTTGAATTTTGGGTAAAACTACAGAATACAAGGCAACTCATTTACATCTCATTAAATCACTGTTAATCCTATGGCGTCATAGCCTTGTTCTTCAAAGCATGCCGACGAGGTAGACCTTAGTGTCCCTGTAATGTTTAGTTGCTCATTTCAAGATACTCATCTATGTTGATGAGATGTGAAGCAAGTTTAGGAGTACTTAATTCAGTTCCTTGATTTGCCGTATTGAAGTCGATCTATTGACCGCGAAGTTTTTAACAAGAATTAAAAAGTCATCCTACAACAACTCAGTGATTCTATTGTTCCCTTTGTTAAAAGAAGGCTTAATTGATTTAAGTGGGCATTTGGTCTCCCCGCAAGTAATCAGGGAGTGAATAAACAAATGCCACGATTGTTTACGGAATATTTTCGAAGGAAGGAGATCTCAGGAACTCATCAAGCAGTATTGTGACAAATGCGTTTTCAATCACTGAACATTTCACCAAGGTGTGTTGACAGAGTACTGACGCCAGCTACGTTTTAGCGAGCCCTATTCATCACAACTTAGAAATCTTTTGCATTTTGAATGTCAAAATGTAAGAGTTACAAGAATTATCTTATCATCATTTCCCACCACACTATCCGATTTGGGAAGGGTGGAGGGGTGAGAGGGGCTGGAGGGATTGGAAGGGTAGAAGGGGGGGGAGGGGTGGGAGGGGTGGAAGGTGAGGCCAGAAAGACGTTGAGGAATGGAAATTATTTTAGAAAACGGAATAAAAAGGTCACTAAGGTCCCAAGGTTTGGAACACGTCACCCTGTGATCTCACCTTATCCCCTAGATATTCTAGCTTTAAGATCTTACTTATAAAATTCCTGATCAAAAGAAATCTATGTTAAACTTGCCCTTCCTCCAAATATGAATTATTAATTTGTGGGAAATAAATAAATTAGCGAGGCGGACCTGGGAATTTGTAGAAAGGAAGTCAGAAAAGAGAATGAAGAAGCAGAAAATTTGGACATACTCGTGGAGTTAATATAAATACTGATCTCTTCCACGAATGAGGATCCCATCATTAATTAAGGCGCTTGTTCTGCTAGATTGACCGACTGAACCATCATTAAATAACCAAAGTGCAATGTTTTCATCCAACGCTCACAGATTCTGATAGTTGAGTCCTGTAACAACTGGAAACGATCAGGAGAAATAGATGAAGAGGAGGAAGAATCCTTTGGGCCAATCACCATAAAGCCCTGGATTGTCAGGTAAAAGGTCCAATAACAACTTGAAACAGTCTCCCTAGAAACTTAACCCTTTACACTTGAATATCAGTATGCATATTCTCCGAACTGTTTCCTATACATTTGTTACCTATTACCCCCAAATCACATGTTACGGTAATGAGAGTAAAGGAAATGATCACAAACTAAAAAGGCTCTTGATTGTTAAACAAATTCTTCTTGTCAGCACATTAGGAAATGTATGGAGAACAGTTCGAAAATGTGCAAACTGATATTAGGTTGGAAAGGGTTAAGGAGGCACTGAACACCGATACAATTCCAGATCACTTTTGACACTCTATTGAAGTTCTTACTTTCATGGTCCGAATTCAGACCTAGTCTTCTTTTGGTATTTTTTTTATTTTCAGCACGATTGCCTTGATATTTGTCTTCGTGTTTGGCGGATTTCTGAATGAAATCATCACCGACCTCGCCAAGATAAGTGTGGGTCGCCTTAGACCCAACTTCAGGGATGTGTGCCGGGCCAACTTGACTCAAATTGATTGTCAGCAGGGATACATCTCTGATGGGATGTGCACTGGGGACGAGTATAACGTCAAAATGGCCAGGTAAGACAAGAGGCTGATATGAGCTTGTCAGAACAAATGTTCTAAAATGTAACTCAGTATGATTAACCTAGAAAGCACGTTATTAGTATCTGAGGAATAGTTTGCAAATTGATTTTAACTTTACAAATGCGTTATCGAATAACGACGTAAGATTACGCTAAACAGATTCTCGAACTATTTGAGTAGTAGTAGACATATGAAAAAAAAATTAACTGAAAAGAAATACATCTAAGTGTTTTGACTGTTGGTTTTGGATCAGATTTTCTCTTTCATGAATGATCCCTTGTTGAACGTCAGACACAACTCCAATCACCCTGCACAGTCACATTAACCAATCAGAAGACAAGAAAGTATGGGGGACACCACCAGGAACCAATTACCGATCAGAATACCAGGAAGTACGCTAGGCGCTAGAGTAAAATTTGAGATAAAAAATGCGTAATGCTTGGGAAAACGCCAGTTACCGAGTCTTACTCATTGAAAAAATGGTAACAGTATCACTGTTTTTAATAAATATTTATTTCACAGGATGTCTTTCCCATCCGGCCAATCTTCTTTGACCATGTATGCCATGTTGTATCTTGCGGTAAGTGCACATGTCCGCTCAGTCTCAAATGATTCCCTCCGCTCTTGTTGTATTTCCACGTTCTACATGAGTAGCTTAGGAAAAGACTATCCCACCGGGTTCGCACCCGGTATACCATCGTTACCTCACCGATATCCCTCAAGGTTCCCCCGTACCCCATTAGGGTTGCCCGCCGGGAATCTTAGCGGTATTTTCGAGGAAGTTTCTTCATTCACACAACAACATTGAGGAGAGAAAAATTCTCGGCATACCGGTTCGTCTACAAAGTCTTGTTTTCAAAAGTTTTTATTAAATTTATAAACTTCTCTCCCCCCTTCCAAGCAAAGTCGTGCGTTCACTTAAACTATGGATGGTGGATAGAACTTAAGACTGTATTGACGATGAAAAGGGAGAGAAGAGGTGCCAAACAAGCTGGCAAGTAAACAATGAAGCGTACAAAGACTCTGAGCAGTCAAAAAAATCCTAAGGTGTCTTGGTTCTCTCGTGACACTAGAGTAACAGGACATTTTTCTTTTTTTCGTGTGTAGTTTTATATCCAGTCAGCTGTGAAGACAGAAACGAAGCTGATTAAGCCATTGCTCCAGATCGTGGTCGTGTCTCTGGCGCTCTTCCTGGGACTGAGCCGAATCGCTGAAAATGCTCATTTCTTGAGTGATGTTGTTGCTGGTTTCGTGCTTGGAGCCATCATTGCCTGGCTTATGGTGAGTTTCCCTTTACAGATCACAAGAAATCAAGATATCTTAGAACCGTGGCATATCAAATTAAGTGAAACGCCTTTTTCACGATTGTCGTCTGTCACTCTTTTGACTTTTTGTCTGTCTGTCTCTTTTAACAGTCTATCAGTATTTCCTTCTTCCTTTATCGTTTTATGTCTGTCTAGCATGTCACTTCGTATGTCTGTCTTTGTCTATCGCTGACGGCATATATGTCTGGTCTCTTAGCCAACCATACAGACAGGCTATCTCTCATCAAAGTCTCGCTCGTTTTGCTCGTCTGTATCTATAGCCAACCTCTCCGTCAACCAGCAAGTCTGTCTGTCTGTGTCTGTCTGTTTGACCAACTGATTGACTGCTGTCTAGTCAACTCATTGCTGTCGGATTAATTGAATGACTGACAGATGTCAGATTTAATGACAGACAAATGTCAGATTTAATGACAAACAAATGTCAGATTTAATGACTGACAGATGTTAGATTTAATGACAGACAAATGTTCGATTTAATGACTGACAGATGTCAGATTTAATGACTGACATATGTCTGATTCAATGTCTGCCTGACTGACTGATTGACGCAAGCTGTCTGACTGACTACATGTTCTTTTCTTTCTCTCTCTGTCCATTTTTCTGTTAGCCAGTCTGGTCAGATTGTAATTTTGTCTCAAAAGAAGTTTCGAAGCTGATATTTCGAGCGTTAGCCGTTCGTCATTCACTCTGACGCAGGGATAACGCTTGAAACGTCAGCTTTAGAAACCCTTTACAGTGGCCAATTTACATTATCTACTCAGTTGATAAAACCAAACGATCTTGTCATGTTCAAACCAAAAGTTTAAATTTAAATGTTACGACAACGATCGTCGTACATCAATCATAAGTTAGTGATGTGAGAAACCCAAGAAGAAGATCGGCTTTGTAAGACGACGAGCATATCCCTGCTTTGGAGTCAAAATAAAAGCTTTTATACATGGGTATCAATGTTTCTTTTCCTCGTAGACTTTCAAGGTGCTGAAGTTGTTCGCCATTCGAATCCATAAGCCTAAAGTTTACACTTTGTTACCACAACAGCCGAGGCAGATCTCAACTGAGGACTAAGGAACTGGCGAGGACTCCCGAAAACGGAATGCCAGATACTTTTGTGTTATTTAAATAACCCTTAACACCCTCACATCCGTATGAATACTGCACCTTAAACGTTTTCTGTGCCACTTACGAGGAGAATTTGTTTGACTATCACGAGTGTCTTTAGTTTGCGATCACTTTCCCCGTTATCATATATTATTGTTATTATTATCATCATTATTACCTTAATTTTTGATGCAGAAGTGACTGTGAGGATAAATCAGATCCCAGTCTTCTACCAAAACATCTCTTGTATCTTTGGCTCTGATTATTTGGTGTCAAGTCAAGTAATACAAATACTCAGAAACAAAACTTTCACTAGAAAGTGTCTATTGAAAATTAGGATTCAGTACAATATTATTCTAAGTGAAAACAATTTACGAGAGCACATTCTTGTAGCAGAGGAAGTCTTTCCTTTCGTTCTCATTATCTTGGTTGTGTCTTTATTTAACCTTTTGCATTATAACATTGGTATTTACACTCTCCAAACTTTTCTCTTTAACTTTCTTCTAGTAATTACAGGGAGAATTTGTTTGACAATCAGGAGCTTCCTATATTGGTGGTCGTTTCCTTATTATTAGGCGGACCTATACATTTGATTTCAAGGTGATACAGTAAGGGAAAATTAGAAGCCAGTCACTAAGCCTTATGAGTTAACTGGTTAATGAACCGAAATAGGAATTCAGCCGAAACTTATCAAAACCCAGCTATGCCATTTTTCGGGCGCTCCGTAAACTGCATGATCAGTGATAATAAAAACACAAGCACTGCTTGCATGGACTATGAAACATTAAAACGACGATACCTGTAGATGAAAAACAAAAAGACCCTCTGGCAAGAAATTGATGCTGTAATCACGTTATCTATTACTGTAATCTGCTAGAGAAAAACATTGGTGTTGACAGATCACGATATCAAATGAAAAGGGATGTGTCGTTTTTTGGGACTTTCGTTCAATTAATAAAAATTTCGTTTAGTCCCATAAACTAATTAAGTGGATTTCTTTTTTTTTATAAAATGACACCTGAATTACGAATGCGTGTGAAACAACAGCTGATTCAGCACCCGCTAATTAGAAAACTGGAGTTTAATTCCAGAAGAGAAGATCAAGTTTAAGGAGTGGAGATGGTGAGGCGGCAGTGACTTGACCATCAAGGACATTTGTCACATGGCCTTACCGCACCTATAACGTTTCTCTGTGCAGCAGACGGGCATCCGACAGCGAAGAGAAGTTCTGAAGTTCGAATCATTAGGCGTCAAACAGAGTTTTTTTTTTTGTTTTTTTTTTTTTAAATCTCTGAAGCCATCGACCAAAACAATTTCAATACGCCATCTCATGTTCTCCCGTGGTAATCCTGTTTTGGACTTTCAGTTAATGAACTTTAGACATTCAATCATACTACCTAATACATGTGTTGTCTTGTCTTTTTTCGTGGGGTCTTTGTAATGGCATCTCGCATTAATTTCTTCGCCCTTTAATTTCAAACTTTCACGAAAACTTCGTTAAAAGATAGAGCTACTTGGATTTTTTTTTTAAGTAGGTAACGAATTTTATTACACTTTCTATAAATTTGTCTTTACTTCGCTACAGTTTCATCAAAAACATTGGATAAAAGATGTGCGATTAGGATAAATCTATTTCCGTTTGGTTCCATCACAAATGCTGCAATCTGATTGGTTAAGTACTTTGCTATCTATACCTTGATAGACAGCGAGTGAACTGAATGACCAAACAGAGTGTGGTTGAAAAAAAAAATAAAGAAAAAGAAAAAATAGGAGCCTGGTTTGTCGCTGAGATTTGAACAGCTAGTAGATTTATACTTAAACAATTAGATTATTCGCTCGCGAATTCCATGCGTGATACTCAATTCAGGCTTCGTCTTCGTACGATCAACCATCACGCGATATTAATTTTGTCTTCATCATCTAATTGCTAACTTTAGTAATAGGCATGTGATGATCACGCAATAGTCCTTTTCTGTCAGCTCTAGTTTAAATGATTCCCTTAATTTTAGTAAACTAGATTCGGGGAAAAACTGGTAACCAGCTTACGAAAAAGACAAAATTTTGTGCCAGGTGACTTCTTTCCATAACAAAGAGGACTTTTATCTTGTGAGCATCGCAAAAATTTGAAGCTTAAAGGGGGTAAGTAGAATTAAGAAATTCCTATGCATTTTGTTTACATTTTTCAAGCAGCTTATTCCAAAGGTCGTATGATGTCAAAGCCCTTGTTTTGCTCTAGAAAGGTTCATGTTTTTATTCAAATGATACCAAGCTCTCTACAGAAACAAATAACTTTCACATCAAGTATAAACATTAGGTCTGAGCATCAATAAGTGACATCAAACAGAAACAACATTCTCTTCCGGAAACAGAAGCCGGGCGTTAATCAGACATAAACGTTATAGATACGGGTCATTCAAATCACGTTTGACTTATTAGTTAATCTTGAAAGTTAAACATTGCAGTTGCTCTGTGCCAAGTCTTTCGATTTCAAAGAGCTATAAAGTAATTTATGATTACTGTTCATCAACTAGTCAGCTTTTAGCAATATTTTGCAACAGGCCACCGCCATGAGAAAGACTTCCTCAACAAAGCCACGGGAACTTTATATCCTGCCTGTGTATCTCACAGAGAGCCCGATTTATGACCGTTGCCTTGCAGTTAAAATGAGTTTCTGTAATAAACTCTTTACAAATATGTAATTGAACTTAGCGACATTTGCGCTGTAAACTTTAGAGTTTACTTCATGCAAGAGTGCTTAACATTGGCAAAAAAATTAAAACGGAGGTCAGCTGGTCTCGTTATTCGCTCGACTGTTCAATCTGAGGGTTTTTAAATTTCGCGCTGCGTCAATAAAATTTTGTTCCTAATGTGCACAAAGAGCTGAATATTCTCCTTCCTCTAGCGCCAGAAACAAGGTCTTTAATCGCCTCGAGGCTCTATAGAGAAAACCGTCACTTTCGATTGCATTTAACACCAGTAGTAAGATCAAGAAATATTTTTGTACGTTGAATTTTTACTAGGCGACTTGACTTGCACATAGAGAGAGGTAGTTTAAATGAGTCAATGCAATACGAATAACTTTCATTATTTGTGAACTTGCGAGCCTTTGGCTCGATGTGCTCATCAAGGGTCGAGTCTACCCTTGGGTACGCCGACGGAGATTTATTTTACTCGTGCATATTTACACTACCCACTCCCCCAATGCAGCAAAATTGTCACTCCGATTATTTTCTCGATCAGTTACGAGCTTTTCCGCCTCCCTTCGGCCAAAGTCCCTGAGCGCTACCAATAACAGAAGGACTTTTGTTTGATGCTTAATGGAAAAGTTGAGCCGGACCATTTCTTAATACGTGTTTGTCATCCAAGTCACAAATTAAAACAAGGATCCTTAAATAGATTACGTCCCAGCGAATGTTCTGTAATTTTTGCTTAGTTGTTTCTCGTTGAAAATCTTCGGTGTTTTGTCTAAGCTTGCTGGCACGCTATAAGAGCTAAAGTTAACTTCAGTTTCACGTTTATGGGAAGGCACACCCTAACCAAATTTTGTCAGTCAAAGCTTGATTGACGGGCGTTTGTAAAACCCGTGACTAAGAAACACCTTTGAAAAACTGAAAGGAAAGTTTCGACCCGATAGAGCGAGACGCTTGTGTACGTGACACTAAATAAAGGTTTTGTGCGTGGAACCAAAAAAAGAGTTTTGTGATGTTCATCTTTTATCATTGAATTTTTATTAGCAGGAGTTTCAATAACTTTTTTCATAAGTGATTGCCAATGGTGCATATATTGGGCAGCTCTGGCCACAAAAGGGGCGGTAAGGCAAAACCCAAACCTCGCAGGCTAATCAGTGGGCGGTAAGATGTCTTATAGGTGGTTGTAGACCAGTTGTTAGCGGCTTTTAAAGAAACTCCTGTATTAACAAAATATGATCCATCTTTCCACCAAGTTTTCAAAAACTCTGAGCTTTACAGCCACCTTAATTTTTGATCAAATAAATAAGGCGGGTCTGAAATACATTGAGAGAGATTTTTTGGGCTACGGTTGTTTCGTTTATCAAGTGGGCGTCGCCTCTTATTGATAGGTTTATTGCATGACAAGAATCGTGATTGACATTAAAATTCTATACATTGATTTAAAAGCGTTAGGTTATTATGTTTCAAATCAGTTTTCAGCAGAATCGAAGTAAGAAAGAAGTTTTTTTAATTTTATTTTTCTGTCTCTAAATCCGCTTACCTGGTGAATCTGCTAACCTAGAAGGTGAGACTGTTGTAACGACCCGCACAGAAGTAAGTTTACATTGAAGTTTTTTAATTTAGCTACGAGATGAAGACTTGATTTGCGTTTGTTCTGATTACGAATTATAAATATATTTCTTTGAGATCGAATAATTATTAAAGCTTGGTTTGATATTATGCGGTTTGTGGTGATCATTTGAGCTAACCAGTTCTGAGTAAGGAAACAGTTGATATTACGAAAATAAAGAGAAGTGATTTACATACTTGTCATGTGAATATCAACAAAGCCTTTGTTTGTTTTGCGGCGAGTTTTGAGTTACTTGACGGTTCACATTTAGTAAAATATTACCTCCTTTAGCTTAAGACTCGGTAAAAGAAAGGGCCGTTTTAATAATATTTATGAGCTACGATTAATTTCAGCAGGTTTTCTACCAATCGACTTTCATATCTTTCGTCGTGATTTTGAAAACTCCTTTTCATCAACCTCTGGACCCTGCGGCGGAATATGAGACCAAAAAATTTCTAAGCTATGTGATAATCCTGTTTTAGACAGTTGGGTCATAATGATTTTCCTTTTGTTTATTCCAGTCAGCACTGAGTCGGGAACGAATCTGGCAACCAGTTTACACGGCCCGTAAATTCTGTGCCAAGTGACTTCTTCTGCCATTAAACAGAGGAGTTTTATCTTTTGAGCATCGCAGGAATCCAAAGGCTTCAAGAGGTAGGTCGAATTTAGAAATGAACTCGTGTTTTAAAGTCTTGTGCATATTTTTCACATATTCTAAGGGACGCACTATCACGGGACTAATTTTTTTTCTAGAAAGGTTCAGACTTTAATTCAAATGATACCAAGCTCATAAGAGAAACAGAGTTTTTAGAAAAAAATTTCAGAGAAATGAATCAAGTAAATTTTGGGCCTAATATGCAGCGTTATTTCAAACTGAGTATCCAGTCTTTAACGAAGCCACAGAAAGAGAAATATTGCGCTGAAAAACATAAATATATCGTGAGTCGAGCGCTATAGCAAATATCACGTAGACAAAAAAAAACGTGATGCACGTACCAGTCATGTGAGCGCTTCTACTTGGATTTGCTAAAATACAATTCTCAGTGTTCTTCCGGTAGGAAAAATGTATACCTTCCTGTGTACAAATTTGACAACAGAACAGCTTAAACAAAAGCTTATTTTCCTTTTTTTCTTTACTCTTTGCACCCGTCATGCCTAAACCTGAGGTTTTTGAAGAGTTGTAGTTGAAAGTTGCCCAACATTTTGATGTGTATCTTTTATCAAATTCTGGACACATAAGCTAAGATGTATTTCTAAATCTAAACCTACATGTACCAATACCGCGAAGATCACCCTCATAATCATTTACATGCATCTGTAAGAAATCTGTTCAGCTTTCAAAATCCTACATTTTTCGTGGATGAAAATTTCATCTGATGAGGCATCGACAAATGCATCTCTTGCAGATTTAAACATTCACAGAGTCCAAGATCGTCGGAAACATGCCTGAGGCCACATCTTTTGTGGAATTAATATTTGAAACTCTGTCCGGGGCTTTCAAGAAAAAAGACGAGGTACATCATCATCATGAATATGCCTTTTTAACAATAACGATAAATGAATTTATAAGGCGAGAAGACCTCAAGAAACCACCGAGTTTATTGGAAAGGCCACCTCCCTTAAAACTATATATTTAAAAAACACGTGCTTGGCCACAAATTCAGGGAATATCCTAGAATTTGCGTCTTTAGGCTAAGAAGAATTGACGCTCGAGTGACTGTTACAGGAAGAAAGTTCCAAATTTTAGGACCTTAGTGGAGAATTGCAATTTCTTGAGACTTGCACGACACAAATGCGGTCGGTAAAAACTGACTGTAATGGTACCATACTGGTATATTTGACTATTTATTACGAAGAGATTGAGAGGCAATGGAGGCTATAGGTCATTTTTATCATAAAACATAAATTTGTCGGTTTCAAACACATTTCTTCAGAAAATATTAAAAAACTCCTGGGTTGGAGAATAACGGAGCAGAACGATCTCGTTGGTCTGACTTGCTAAGTGCATGGTTCCGTACACAGAAAACTGAGTAATCATGAAGATTCCTTTCCTCTAAATGGTGAGCCACAGCGAATGAGGTTTTGAAATTTTTTCGATTTCTTTGGCAGGTATCAGAGGTTTTAAAAATGTTCGAATTGTCAAACGAATCCATCCAAGAGATTATGAATCTTCTACGAAAAGACTTCGACAATGGTCTCTCTGCTAGTGAAAATCAGCGAGCGGAGAGCTCTGTCAAAATGCTTCCTACATATGTGAGGGCAATTCCAAGTGGCTCAGAATCTGGTGATTTCCTAGCTGTGGATCTTGGTGGAACAAACTTCAGGTTGTTATCAATCTCCATACGAAATGGCCAAGTCAAAGATACAATTGAAATCCCACCGTTGACTCAGACAGTTAAAACCAGTGACGCGGAAACGTTTTTTGATTACATTGCTCATCACATTTCACTCTTTGTGAAAAAACACGACCTCTCTGACAAATCACTGCCGCTCGGATTTACGTTTTCTTTTCCAGTCAAGCAATCATCACTCATATCAGGGTCGCTGATCAGATGGACTAAGGGATTTTCTGCCTCCGGAGTGGAAAACGAGGATGTTGTCAAACTTCTCAGGGAGGCGCTTGTAAGAAATGGAATGGTAAGTTAATTTTATCGAAACATTAAAAATTACTATGGCTTTTCTTGTGATGGATTTAAGTAATATACTAATATAATTCTAGCACTTTTATCTCCCCTCCCCCCCCCACTCCCTCCTTCGTTTACTGATGGGGGAGAGGAGGGGGTAAAACATTGTCGGATTGTGGTGGAAACCCAAACGTGTTGACATTGCATTGACATGTAATAATAAAAGGCCTTAAGGCTACGTGCAAAAAGAAAATGGGCCCACATTAAAACTAATCATGCTAGAGACGAACAGACATGTATATGATCTCCATAAAACGAATATCTATTCCTTTATTGAATTAAAAATTGGATTTCATGTTACCGTGCGTCTGATTACATTCAGATGTTTTTACTAAGAACATCACTGAATCCCATGAAGCAGATGGCCCAAATGTTCCCTTCTTGTTCTCAAATTTTAGCACTATCTATGAACTATGATTATAAAATTTAATTTGATTATAAAGAAATAACGAGCTACAGTCGAACATCAGGGGGATGTCCCCCCCCCCATAAGGAAACATGTACGTTATAAGATTATACCCGTGGGATACTTAGAAGTTCAAGTATGATGTCTGGTTTATTGACGGCACAAAGAACTACGATTTTAATTTGTTCAAACTGACTTCATTAATGAACGTGTGGTAATGGGCTTCCTGTGGTAACGTCTTTTCTAGGTAAGCTTTGCTGCTATCAATAGTGAATATATCTCAAGGGCTGGGGGAATGGGGAAGTTTGGCTTTAACTGTAAAGAACAGCAGACAAGCTTGATTTTAATCTCACTTTGAACAGTCAATAACAAATGCTAAAGAAAACTATTTTGATTATATTGCCCCTGCAGAGTTCCACAGTGGATGTTGTTGCCCTTGTCAATGACACCACAGGCACAATGATGTCTTGTGCATTCGAGAACCCTTTAGTCAGCGCTGGTCTTATCTTGGGCACTGGAACAAACGCTTGCTACATGGAGAGCCTTGATAATATTCCTAAATGGGACGGTGATCAAGATGAACCACGACAAGTAATCATCAACACAGAGTGGGGTGCGTTTGGCGACAATGGCTCGTTGGATCATCTTCGCACAAAGTACGATGAACAACTTGACAGAGAATCCAGTAACCCTCGTGAGCAGATGTAAGTAGTAAATGTTTAAATAGAGCGCTTTTCGATGGAGTGTTGTGAAACCAAAACGAAGGTAATCACAACGGCCAATCAGAAGAAAGCAAATTACCTTTAAGAGCCAATGAGAGATCAAAAATGAAAAAAAAAGCATTAACTGTCTAAAGCGCGGGAAAACGCGAGCGACCAAGTCGTGATTGGTTTTAGTCTGGCATCTGATTGGCTAAGAAAGTGTTTTAAGTTTTACGGACCAATCATATAGCAAGTAAAACAAAACGTAATCTCGAATTACTTTCGACGCTCAATTAAAAATTGTCTTATCACAGTAATCGAACAAACAGCTTTTTTGCTCTGCTTTCCAAACATTACTGTAGGGTTTAGCAGAAAGTTTTTTAATTCTATGCAAACATTACTTCTTTTACACAGATTTGAGAAGATGATATCTGGTATGTATCTTGGTGAACTTGCCAGAATCGTTTGCATGGACCTGGTCGAAAAGAAACTCCTCTTCAAAGGGCAAGTTACAGAAAAATTCAGGAGAAAAAACAGTTTCCCTGCTGAGTTTGTTTCTCTGGTTGAAAGGTATTTGAGCTAGAGTAGAGAAAAACTTTGTTTTATTAAATTTACGTTGACTATTTCAATCATTATAACTTATAATAGTATACATGATAGAATAATAATCTCCATGATCAATAAGAACAACTCCTAATTCTTTCAGTCGAGATGGGCACAAGATAGAGGAGGTGCTAAAAGCAATGGAAGTTGCGAAACAAGCCTCAGAATCTGACATCGAAAATTTGCAGCGAGTTTGTGCTGCAGTATCCCTGAGGGCTGCTAAAGTAGCTGCAGCAGGGGTGGCCACAATTGTCAAGGTGTGTGTTACTAAACTGTCATTCATCTTCTTGACCCTCGTAATTTTAAATTTCAGTTGAAAATTTGAATCTTGACGTCTTTAAAGTTTTTTTCTATGTTGAGTTTTTGACTATCTGTTTATTCATTTATAATAATTTCATTTGCATCCCTGATTACTTCCCGTTAAACTCAACAGACCATGAACACAGGATATGTTTTTGGTACGTTATCATGTGATAAGAAAGCACCAATCAAAATTGAGAAAACTAGAAAAGATAGCCGATAGTTTCTGGTTCTCATGGTATGCCTGTGACACTTTGATCTCCGATGCGTGTGGTCACAATTTGAAGTTTTTTCCGAATTTGAAAGTAACAATAAAATATGGTCAATTAGAGTGGTAAAATAATTTCTTGCTTTTGTTCATGTATTCATTGATTTTAATAGATAAAGTTTGTGTTCATTTTGTACACAGAAAACTGGTAACTATACGACTACGATCGCCGCTGATGGAAGCCTCTTTAAGAGACACCCACAGTTCAAGAATTACATGCAAGAGACTCTCGCTGAAATTTTGCCGGAAGCCGACATCACCTTAATGCTATCTGAAGATGGTTCAGGAAAAGGAGCAGCACTCATTGCTGCTGTTGCATCACAAATGAAAAAACACTGAGTTGTATTATCTTTTGTAATCGAATAGGAGTCAGATGGGACATTAAGCCAGCGGTATCACTACAATGGTACATGGTTATTAAATTAAAAGTTTTAGAGACAGTAGCTCAGCCTCGCATTGGCGTTATGGTTCAATTTTAACCTTAGATTTAATTTTGTTTTTCTTTGTTTCCACGGATGAAATCAGGAATTGTACGTCCGTTTGTCCGTGTCCTAACACAAAAGTCTCTAATAAACAGACTGAAAAATTACTTGTAAACGATTCCTACTTGAAGTTTAGTCATGATCAAGTGCCTTTTGATAAATTTGTGAATGCGAATAGGTTAACTGTCAACATTTACATGTCAGGCAATGTAACAGGATGTGAATATATTTTTGCTCATCAAAAACAATGGTCGGTCGGGCGATGAGAAACGAAACATCTCATGTGAATGATTTAGGATTTCTTGCATTGTAACTTAAGTTTTTTTAAAATCTAATTTAGTCAATTAAAGTTGCGATGTATCTGACTGGATTTGTTAAAACATGCCAGTGAGCAACGCGAAGGAGAAGTTCCTCACACAAATTCCCTCCACCCTACCCCCCTCCTTTTGAAACAGCGTTGACACACCCTTTAACCTTCTAAGGCCATAAGGGACTAGTCATGATTTATATCGGGGGGGGGGGGAGGGAAGTGGAGGATTTTGGAGGTCAAATAGTTCTCAAGGGGAAGTGGAAGATTTGGGGATCAAATGGTTTTCAGGAGGGAACATGAGGGGGGGGTTAGTCATCACCAACAGAGTATAGAGGGGGACTTTAGAGATCGTAAGAATATCACAGAACCCAATGGGGATCAGGTAAACGTTTTCATGACACGTGCAACCAAACTCCTCCAACCCCGACCTCCTCCCCCCTCCCTTACCCAGACGATAAATGATAACCGGTCCCTAATAGCCCAGTCCTTCGGCTGCGTTTAGGTGTTGAAAATGATATCAAGGCCTCTGTGTTTTAAGCAGCCAGTCTGCCTCGAAGACAAACAATACCCTCACAGAGAATGCTTCGACCAGCTGCGCGTTTAATATTTAGATAGTTATGATTGTTTAATGATAAAATGTTGAACTTTTCATTTGAGCTTTTTGTTTCCAACTGTTTCAATCCTGGAAATCCTCGACAATACTTCCTCACGAGTCGAAGTCGCAAAATGTTGTTGAAAATTGAAAAATTACATTTTCTGTGTTTGTCTGAACTTGTTGTTCACTTCATCGTTGATCTTTATTCATTTCTTCCTCATCTAACTTGAAAACCTTTCTTTTCGCGATACGGCTTGAAAATATTTATGTCATTTACAGAAAAGATACAGGAAAAGGCACGAAAACATGATATACCAAATCGTAATTTCGCACCTACTTGATTCGTTGACGTGAGTTGGCTAATGGTAAAATTAAAAAAGAAAAAACCCCAGCAATAACGAGTGGTAAGCAACCTTCAATCAACGAAAGGGCGCTGCATTGTGTACAATCACATCTGCAAAATAAGAGCGAGGGGTCAAAAAAGAGATAGTAACTACGCATGATTTTGTTTTCTCAAAAAGTCACCGCATAGTCAAAAATTGCTAAATTTATCTCCTCTCACGAAAGGTCAGATACAGATCTTTGTAAAAAAACAACTTATGATCCAGCAACAATCACGCAAAAGGACACTAAAGATTCACAGAGCAAGAAACAAACCGACTTAGAGTGCATAGACGCAGTGAAACAGATCCTTCTCGATGTCGACGCAAAGGACCTCCGTTTTCATTGAAGTTCTAACCAGAAAACAAGCAGGCTGCAGAGAAGTATCAAGGACGCTCGTAAAATAAGAATTTAAGATATGTCGTATCTTACCTCCTAGTCTTTTTTTTGGCTCAAATATGGCATCCGACAGCGAAAAAGGAAGATATTAGGTTCGCCTACTCCTACGTGACCCAGATGTTTCTCTACTTACTCTTTAAAGAAAACGACTTCCGCCATACGATAATTTGTACTCCTGTGGCGGTCATTTAGACAGCAGCTCGTGTTTCTACTCAGTAATCAGACTTTGAACAGAAATATCAGGATACCTGATAAGAATATCTTTTCAAAGTGTCTTGAGTTACGTTATGGTCTTTTGTGATGACACTTCACAGTCAGCTATTTATTCATCTGACCTAAAAACGCATTCCAGCAACTTCGTATGAGGAAGAAGCTCTTGAATCATAGGTCTGAGCGACAATCAGTTTTAACAGAAAACTTTCCATCAGTCAATTTTTATATTCTATGGCACAGTTTTTGTAAGTCTAGTGCATTGAGGGTCCTTTCGATAACATCTGAATTCCGCGGATATGGCACGAAACAGATGACCCTAGAATAAACAGTTAGCTCGTTTTCAGTTCCCTACACACCTTTTCCGAATCAGGAAAGAATCTGGGTACCAGTTTACAAGGACCATAACTTCTTCGCCAAGTTACTTCTTTGTCCATAACAGGACAGAGTTTCATCCTGTCGGCACTGCAAAAATTTTCAGGCTTCAAGAGGTAAGAGAAGCTTACATAGAGATGTTAAAGTTGGTTTAAAGTTGCTGCGTAGAGTTTTCACTTTTATGAAACTTTGTTAACACTTAGCAGTCTTAAAGTTGTTCGTGAATAGTCACCTCATAATGATGAAAAACTGAGCTCTGTGGCGTGTTTCTATATCACCACCCGAATATGGTTAAACAAAATAACTCCAGAAAATATCCTATCATTTCTCTCCTGTTTTAGTCTCAAGGTTCGTTTCGGAATAACGATGTTACGTTTGCTGGCAATTTTTCTTTTCCTGGCGGTGAACTTTTGCTGCACAGGTAAGGGTTGAATTTTCTGTTTTGATCTCACACTTGCGGACAAGACTCCGATGAATTTGGGGGTGTAACAACTCCGAAGTTAGCGCAATAGTCTACCCACTGAATTTCAACAGTGTTGTTTTACTGAAAGATGGCTGAAATCTGTTCAAGGTTCCCCTCACAGTCTTCAACAACAGTATTTTCCACGGCTAACAACTGTGAAGGAAAATCACTTTCATTTCAACGTAAAAAAAATACTTAAGATCATGATTGCACTGTGTATGATAAAATGGTCCGCTAAAAATACTTAGAGATAGAGATTTTATTGCATAAAACCTCCCTGAAATACTTGAAAGTACAAACAGCTTCCCATTGTTCTTGTCGTATCATATGATCTTCTGATTGAAATCACAGAGTTACTGATGCCACTGTATCGAATCGGTTCTTTAGTAACATTATCGGATGTAGTTGACGTGGCAGAATATCTGATTTACATCATAATTTTTACCAAACTTTCTGGAACTTTGTGAAGACAACGGAGGCACGTAAATGTGCATGACGACATGGTTACTTTTATTGCAAGCTGGAGGCGAGGTTCAAAGTTCATAGTTGGTTTTGTCTGATGTGCTGTCTGTGTAGCCGTTAACATAAAGTGAATGGTAGTTTCGAAACTGTAACTTCGATTTGCATTGATCTTACATCTGAGAGTATTTTGAAGAATTAAAGACGAGTAAAGCAAGTATTGTGAAAGTTCTCTAGGTTTATCCGAAATCCATTCTCGCATATACCGAAAGTAAGGACGGATTTCCGCCCTCAGCTAGCTAAGCGAGAGTTCCGAGTTTAGTTCTTCCCTTCCCCTACTTGAGTAAGTTAGTTCAAATTGTACTGTTATCTACTGTAATCTATATATTTACACCAACATATATTTTAAGAGGGATACTGGGACCGGACCTGTGAACGGAACACGATGTACTTAAGCTGCAACCATGGGGTGATCGATGTTCGAAGCGCATGGTACGGACGCGACCGGTCGGGAGTTTGCTCAGAGAGGGGAAGTACAGAAAATACAAACTGCTACACCGGTGCTACGAGTTACGTCAGTGGCGAATGCGACGGGCGATCATACTGCAGCCTTTACGTTTCGAATTCAGCTTTTGGAGATCCGTGTGTTGGCACTGTGAAATATCTGACGGTAGGTTCAAAGTTCAAAGAACAACTTAAAGTATATGACTTACAGGGAGGGACTCTTCAGCCCAAATTTACAAGTTAAAGCCTAATTGATGAGCGCTAGCAAAAGCCCTAGCCATAGAAGCTCTTAATTTCTTTCGCAGAACATAAGTGGGAAAAATGTATGAAAGCTTATGGTGAGTGTCCTGTGATAACCAATAGCATGTTAATATGACTAGAATAATGATCATATGACTTTCGAAACCAGTGGTGAACACCCAGTTTAACAATTTGATGTTTCGTCTGTTGTTGGCTGTCGAATTGAAAAAGGTAGAGAAAGGAATACTCTGACACCTGATCCTGTAATCTCCTGTCCTCCTTTAAAGGAGCAGTTGAGGTAAGTTTTGTAGTATTCTTGATCCACAGGTCTCGTATAGATGTAAAACGGGAGGACGACAAAGACTGAAGAGAATTTGCGAACGCAACTGGGGTGACATTCGTTGTTACGGCAGTGACAGAATCGATGTCCTATCGGCGTTTTACGGCCGCAAGACGGGTGGACACGTCTGCTCAGGTTCGGTATATACCACATCCTGCGAAACTTCAGCGTACAGTTATGTGTATCGGAACTGCGATGGAGATCAGAGTTGCAGTTTGCACGCACATAACCACCGCTTCGGTGATCCTTGTCAGGGAACAACTAAATATCTGGAGGTTAGTGAACGTAACGCACGCTTAGAGGAGAATTATTCAGAAAAGTCTTTATATTAGTTGCGCGCATTTAAGCAACCTTCTGACCAACCCCTTGCTGATTGTTACTCATTTGTTTCTATAGTTTCATGAGAATTGAAGCTTTTTATCCAACTAGGAAATTTGGTATTATCAGCTGAGTTAATAACGTAAATTGGCCACCGTAAAGAGTTTTGAAGCTGACGTTTCAAGCATTAGCTTTTCGTCAGAGTGACAGACGAAGGGCTAACGCTCGAAACGTCAGCTTCGAAACTCTTTACGGTGGTCAAGTTACGTTATCAACTCAGTAGGTAATATTAAATTACCCTGTTATACTCTCTCACTGACGCAGCACCACAGTCTCTTTACAAATTTATCCCCTCTATTTATCTTAATCCAACTGTCTACCTCATCCAACAAGGGGAATCATAGGAATATTAAAGAGCCTTATTGGGGGGAATCAGGTAACTTTTAGCGTGACACAGCCGGTATCCGGCTAACACTACATAATTAAATGAATAGATTTGTTGATAACTGGATTCTTTTTGCCTTAGGGAATATATAGATTGAAACTTTCCACACTCATTCGCTGTTGTTATTTTCACAAGTCTTGGCAGCAGTAAAAAAGAAAATAAAAATGACGATTGCCTTTTTTTTCATTTTAATACAGGTTCGATACAGATGCAAGTGATCAAAAGCTTCAGCCACCCGCGGGAGACTGGACTCCACTAATCAAGAAATGATCCAATGTAGCTTATAGAGTTTCTGTGAAAAGGATCATTAAACTTCACTTCAACTCCACGCTGATGAACTTTTTCTTTTCCTGAATAAAATTGGTCGCGATTTGAGGCTGAAAATACGGAAGTAAAGACGTACTTGTACGAAGATCTCCGCAATTTGGGAATGTTCAATCATTTTTATCAGAAGTCTTTGCCAAAATTTATAAAAGTGACTTTTCCTTAAACATAATCTGACTCAGCACTCACGTCAATCCGGTTTCATCCAGTTGTGTGTTCGTCCGTCCCACATGGAAGTCCTCTTGATTAAAAGTTGACACAACTTCATAAATCGAGTTTAACCCCAACCTCCCCTCCCATGAACTGAAAATCCAATACGCCAATGGTTAATAATCGCGACAATACGCAGAGAACAACAATATTTTTTTCTATTTTGTTCACAACAACAAGGAAAACACAGAAGCTACATTCTTTTTTTCACACCAACACGAAATTTTTTTGTTTCTTATTGTAGACATGAAAAGATCCAAGATTGCGTGAAAATTAAAACTAAATCAAATTGTCGAAACGATACTTAACTCTCTACACCCTAACATCAATATTCATATTCTCCTCACTGTTCTCTTTACATATGCTATGATATTGACAAGGAGAATTTGTTTGAGAATCAGGAGTTTCTTGAATTGGTGATCATTTCCTTTTTTCTCGTTACCTTTATACTTGATTCAAGCATGTTACTGTAGGGAGAAATTAGAAACCAGTCGCTCTCTGGGGTTAAAGAGTTCATGGGAAGCATCAGATATTTTGTCAAGCAAATATTTCATCATGACCTTGGTAAAACGATCCGTGAACATTTAATTAATTATGAACATGTTTTTTTTATTGAGAACACAAAAGATAAGTGTTTCATCTATAAATTCAATACAAGCCGCAAAGCAATTATACAATAGTTGATTCTTCAACTCATTAAACTGGAGAGCTAAACGGGAAGTTGACAAGTAGTTTGCGGTGACACCCGAACCTCTGAATGTGCACAACTCCCTTAAGCGATTATTAAATTCAGGTCCATGCCTAAAAAGGCCGAAATACAGATAAGTCAGCATTCAAAAATACTTTTCCGAAGCAGACACTATTTCTGACCTTGAAAATTCCTATTACGAATGTTTCCAATTTATTTATTAGTTTTTGCTAATCAATTCATCAAGTAGTCATAATGACAAGTAAAAAAAACAAACAATAATATTCCACAGGTATTTTTAGATAAAGCAATTACATAACAGCCACATGTGAGTATTTCCAAATTTCCAAGTTAGTTTTTGTGTAGTGACTCACATCAGTTTATCTTTCCTCAAAAGAAGACTTTTTAGAGAATTCATACAGTAAACCACTAAAACAAAATCTTAACGTATTAGTGCGTGATATGTGTACGTGACTTTGCAAAAGTGACAGTGTTTATACGAAACATTTAAAGATGAATTATTTACTTACGTGGAAAATGATAGATAACACTTTAGCTTAGATGAGATTCCTTCTATTTAGAAAATGTTCAAACAAAGCCCTTTGGTAGTCTTATAAAGATGCATACAAAGTTTCTCTCACTGCAGTGTCGTTAACACATTTGACTACGGATCAAACATTTCAGGGACTCAGAGGGAAAACAAAGCAATAAGGTGAGAAGAAAGTTTTTCACTAATTAAACATTTCACCTTGAGCTAAATGAACTTCGGCTCAGAAAAACTTGATCTAAACTTATCCGACTGGAAAACTACGCAATAAAATTTAGACAGCCTTATCACGAAGTCTCGAACTTTCAATCTATACACAATAAAAGGCATTACAATTGGAAACAAAAAAGGTTTGAAATATGTCTAAAAAGATGTCCTTCCACAACTGAAGACATTGCGAAGACAGTATTCTTATTTCCAAGAAATAAAAAACTATCATCGAATAAATTTCACTGAACTCTCAATAATTGTATATATTTGCTCTAAGAAGTGTAAGAACGCTTTATGATTTTCAAAATCCGAGGTTTGTTTTAGATTTCTTTCAGGTTCAAGTCGTAAGGAAAAAAATGTTGGGTTTCTTGGCTCTCTCCCTCCTCACAGTGGCGTTTGCTAATGCAGGTATAGTTTCCAGAAAAAAGGCTTGATATTACCCCTCGTCTTTTTAGTGATCTCGGCCGCTCTTCGAACTCACAAAAATACACTCCAGATCTCTTTAGAAAGAAGTTATGGACACTAAGGAGAGGCCTTAAAGTTTTTCAGGATTCCAAGAAAAACATAGCAGAAATATAATACCGTGGTAATATCACAGAACAGGTAATAAGAAACGTGGACGGGCTCAACTTAAGAGAAGGAACTTTTAACGGACACATTCGTGATAAATTTTGACATGTTTAGTCTTTATCTCAGTTTCCCTGCTAGGAATTCAAAATTTTACTTACAATGCACGAGAATCATCGTTGTCTATTGTGGCCCAAATTCATCAATCAGAAAATAAAGTTTTTCTCCTAATTTAAACAAAGATGAAAAAAGATTAATCTTGGAAACGTTAACCAAGCACCTTAGTAATGGTCTCTTTTTGTCACAGCGGAAAAGACAGTTTGCGAACATAGGCACATGACAATTGACTGCAGAGGGTTAGACATCAATATTCTGAGCGCATCCTATGGCCGCACCCAACAAGGTGTCTGTGGTCGCGGAAGAAGCACAAACTGCCATGCTGGTAGCTCCATGAGCGTCGCTAGATACGAATGTCAAGGACAGACGAGATGTACTCTATACGCGAAGAACCAAGCGTTTGGTGACCCCTGTGTTGGAACCTTCAAATATCTAAAGGTGAGTTCAGCTCGAGGAAGGACAACTTAAGACTTAGATTATAAATATTCGCTCCAGTTCTTATGTTGCAAATAATAGCTAATATATTTTTCACATGTAAAATTCAATCGATATGGATCACTTCAATACTTGCTTCCAGAGATTAATGTTATTTTTTTTTGCAGCTGTGAAATTGTTTAGTTCATGGTAACTTTGATACGAGTGACCTCATTAGCGTGATTATTGATTGGTTACCAGCCAGCCAATCGCGACTCAACCACAAGCAGTTTCCGAATAATCGTTTAAGGACATTGATCTTTATCCAGATCTTTTACTAAAATCAAACTCGTTCTGTTTCAGTAAAATTTGTAAAAATATGTTCCTATTTCCATACACAGGTGAAGTACGAATGTGTGGAAAAAACTGTTCTTTGCGCTGAGAATAAGCTCGTTCGCATCTGCGAAGGACGGTCACAGCACATTTCGTGCCCCGCCCCGAAGAAAATCGATATCATTTCGGCGAATTACGGTCGTTTAACTGGTGGGCATCTTTGTCCGGGACCAGTTAGAACCACAAACTGTGGAGCTGCAGGGTCGATTGATAAAGTGAGGAGCAAGTGCCAGGGAAAGCGAAGCTGCTTTTTGCAGGCAACAAACGGCCAGTTTGGCGATCCTTGCCGTGGGACAAAGAAGTATTTGGAGGTGATTATGGTTTACTGTATTATTTTAGATATTATCAGTCCTCACCAAACAAAACTTTGATCTAAAAATTACCAGGGGCGTATCTTTTCATGGAAAGTGAATGATTGATCAAGAAACACACTACCATGCCCTTAAATGCTAGACTGGACAGTTTTGAACTACGACAACATCACATTCCCCCCCTCCCTCTCCATTTTACACAAAGAAGTTTGTCAGAGATCACCATTTTAGTTAAAGAAACTGCAATCATGCATGAATTACATTGAACACAGATACAAACATCCTATTTAGCCCACGCTACTTAACTAACGTGGGTTCTTCTACTCTCGTTCCAATGTTGAATGTTACTTAAATACCAATTCCTAGTACCTGAAATTTTTTTGCCAACTTTGCGCATTACAGGGGGTGGGACGAAATTCACGACTGGCAAAATTCCCAACCGTGGTAACCAAGGTTGTAACTCATTCAGTGTGCGGAAAATTTCATTATGATCAATTGGTCTTCAAAAAACCTACACAAGGCGAGACTAACTACTGTACAACGACCTTGAACTTAAGCAAAAAGCTAAACAGACTAAAGCATGAACAAACCTGGAGGACATATAAAAGAAACTAACTTGCAATTAATCGTATCGTTTCACAGATCAGATACAGATGTGACTGGTAAAGGATTCCACTGAGTATTCCAAGCGTCAACCAGTGAAAACAAGTGATCCCATGTAGTTTGTGTAGTTTATGTATCAGGGACCATTAAAAATAACTTTCGACGCCATTGAATGTCTCCATGTATTCGTTTCTTTGTGGAAGTATTGATAGCGTTCCAGCGGGCCCCCGTTATTAGTGTTTTACATGCCCGCCGATTTGGGACGAGTTGGGGAGAGGTTTTCTTGGGGATCTGGCACTAACAATTTTCTCATTACTAGTGCCAGACCCCTCAAGGCCCTTGCAGACCTCTCGCTCGCTTGTACTGTTCAAGGCCTCACATTCCCTGGCGTGCACCGATGTGCCACTAATCCTCTAACCCCTAAGAGTGACTGACATCTAATTTCTCCTTACCATATCACTCCTGAATCAAAAAATTGAGGTCAGGAGAATAAAGGAGCTGATCACCCACCAAAGAAGCTCTTGATTGTTAGACAAGAGAATCCCGGAGTGTTGCCGGGGGGATTCCGGTCGGATCCCAGGGGGTCCAAAGAGCACCACCCAACTTAGCATGACAGGATTATCTCAGTGTTACGGGTTACCTTTTCAGGAACGCTAATTTTCCTGTCAGTATCCTGGTAAGATCCTTATGAGAATCCCACGGTGATGCCGGGGGGATTCCAGTAGAATCCTAGCGGGCTGCTAAGAACTTTCGTAAGGGTGTACCTTTTCGGAAACGCTAGGTTTCTGTCAGTATCCTGGTAAGATCCTTATGAGAATCCCACGGTGATACCAGGAGGATTCCGGCAGAATCCCAGTGGGTTGCAAAGAGCTTTCGAACGGGGTACCTTTTCAGGGACCCTAAGTCTACGTTATAGGGCGCCAAACCAGTCAATATTCCCTTCGTATTTCTGTAACCCAGTTTACTTTTTATATGGTCAACTTTGTACTTTTTGTATGGTCAAGTCGACTTTTTATACAGTTAACTTTTAGTATTTATATGGCCAACTCGAGTTTTTTATATGGTCAACTTTTTACTTTTTAAAACGCAGACTGCAGACCGGAGGTAAAGTGCAGACTGAGGGTAAAATGCAGACTGAAGACTACAGACCAGGGGTAAAAGGCAGATTCGGTTCTTGAAGAATCAACCGTTTATGACCGCGGTATCGACCTGATCGTGAAGCACAAGAGCGAATTGTTGAATATCTTGAAGCTTCTGATATAAAGCACCATTCCAAGGTCACGCTTACCTTCACAGCGCAAAACAAAGGTATGAGAAACAGGTTTTTATTCTCCAAGTAATAGAAATTGCCGATGTGTGATGAAAGTCTATCGCTACTACTTTTAAGGCCGAACAAAGTATGCACGAGCTACATGTATGTTAAAGCTACCTAATGTTGCTCTGCAGAACTGTTTACTTCTTATATGAATAAGGGAAACGTATTTAGCTGGCTGTAGACTGCATGTACAAACAGTTACGTTTCTAAGTGTTCTTACCTTAAAACAATATGTCAACGCCAAAACCATCTGAGGACGTGAAGTTCGAAACATTGATCGCCGTGACGATTATTTTCAGCCTCTCACAACTTACGCGGCCACGATCCCAGGTCACTCTCGAAGTTTTTCCGGGGAAGCAGGTTGTTTTTGAACCGAGTCTGCCTTCTACCCCTGGTCTGTAGTCTTCAGTCAGCATTTTAACCTCAGTCTGCACTTAACCCCTGGTCTGCGGTATTCAGTCTGATATGTGCAGTCTGCCTTAACACTGACCGATATAAAAAGTAAAAAGTTGACCCTATAAAAAGTCGACGTGACCATATAGAACGTTAAAAGTTGACCCTATAAAAACTCGAGTTGACCATATGAAAGGTAAAAATTGATCCTATCAAAAGAAAAAGTTAACCCTATAAAAACTCAAGTTAACAATACAAAAAGTAAAAAGTTGACCGCATAAAAAGTCGAACTGACCATATAAAAAGTAAACTGGGTCACATAAATACAGAGGGAATATTGACTGGTTTGGCGCCCCATAGTCATTCTCTGAAATTCATGCTTCACACGCGCCGGTAAAAGATGGGTGGGCATAAATTACAACGCCAATAATAAGAAGTAAAATGAGAACTTTGGCCTACAGTCAGTTCAAATATGTTCGTTCAAGGTCTCTTTTTAAAGCTCTGAAAATACTCTGTTTTAATAAATACAAATCAAACGTGAGAACATTGAGCGAAAAAACTTCAAGTCATAAAATGTTAGACATGGTTTGATGCTACTCTGGTTTACAGATTTAATGAATGTAACCGAAGAAGTTACAATTCATAGACCCAACGTTTCGACACTCCTGTCTAGTGCCTTCATCAGGGGTGATCTAAACGCTGCAACAAGAGGTCCTTTTAGGCGATCACTAATAAGCTGCCTTTTTTTCTGACGAGGTGTAAATAGGCGTCAGGAAGCAAGCCGCCATCGTCACGAATTAAAGGAGCGTGGGCGGAGTTAATATGCCAAGCCTCCAAAAAAAGGCGCTGGGGGTAACGCCGATTAGTGGTTATGATGAAAAATAAAAAATAAAAAAATCATTACCACTAATCGACGTTACCACCAGCGCCTTTGTTTGGAGGCGCTGGTGGTAACGCCGATTAGTGGTTATGATTAGAAAAAAAAAATCAGAGTAGCATTAAACCATGTCTGATTGTCCACCTGGTTGCCGTGTGAACTTTAATATCTTTCGTAAAATGTTCTCGATTATTCTTTGGCGTTCATTGACCCGTTAAAACAAAAAGGATACGCTTGTAGACGCAGCCGCTTGAGGTCACTTTATTGCGCTATTGTTTCATCTCTTAGAGTTTTCCTCCAAAATGATCTCACCTTTTCTAGAACGCATTAATCCGAACTTAATTATTACGCTTCGGCAGGTCTACGTGACCCCGAAGTAAATACCAAAAGGAATAAATCGAGCCTTCTATGCACAAATTCCAGCGGTAACACCCATTTCTAAATGACACTCAAATCGACGTTAAGTTGTAATGAAGGTGAAAATGGGCCTTATAGTGAGCTACGGAATGTTTCACCGCGGTGCTTGTAGATATGGCTCACTTAATTATTATTAAAAATTTACGGATCGCGCATTAATCAATCACACCCTCTGGCATCCATCTCCTAGGGTTTGAATCCTTGAGCCGTATCGCCGGTTGTTTGCTTTTGCGCGACAGGGCGACGCAGATTGCAGAAAATTACTTCTTGACTATAAATAGTTTCGACACCTTAAATAATAATAATAGTAGTAATAATATTAATGATAATAAACCAACAAACAAACAAAGTTAGGATCCAAAAACTTTTTTTCTGAAATCATTCTGTAAGTTTTTCATAAATCTTCTACAAATGATGAGGTTAGCATATTTTCAAATGTGCAAGGGAAACACCTCAAGAGCTTCAAACATTAGTCAAAAAAACCCTAGAGGGCATTTCTGATTAAGAAAAGAGAAAGTCCCTTAACAATTGGCACGTACACAGTTAATTTGCATTCGTAATTTCTGAGATGCAATCTGAACATTGCAGACGCCCTCAGTCTATGTGCCGAGTTTTTTCCCGCTTTATGACCGGATAAGTGTTTGCGTTCACCCTTTTCCAACATTTTAGAATTACTCATATAATACAAGGTGACTGGTATACTCTGTTGTTACCGTGATCAGGATACTGGAATTTGCGAAGGCCTACAGGTTGCAATATCCAGTTACTAGTTTTGGTAAGCAAATTTATCGCAGATTACTTTATTAGCGCTGACGGCCATAAAACGTCGTAGCCATTTTATGGCGAACGGTAGCTTATTTCAGTTAAACTAAAGAAAAATCTTTACGGTTAACTTTTTTTTATGACTAACAAACTTGTTCGTATTTTTGGTGGTGACTTCATTTGAGTTTACTTTCTTTTAACCCGAAAGATGAGAGCCGATTTACGAGAAAGGTTTTTCTTGACTGTGAATAGTTTGAATGCAAATTAGAATTACGCTGACGAGAAAGTCCCTCCATGGGTGTTTTCGTATTCATATTAATAACAATACAAGTATTTTTATTATTTCGCCTTTGTAGTCTGATTTGCAACATAGACACTGCAAGTGTATTTCGCTGCTTTGTTAGGTTTTAGTGCAGCTTATTGTCTGGATTAGTTTTGTTCGCTTGATTGTTGATGTCATCAGTTGTAAGTCGCTCTTACAGCCGATTTTGGAAGATTGGCAGATTTTCGTGTAATTTCCTCATCACTGACTTTGTATCTTTAAATTGAGAAAATTGGAGACAAATCATCATGTGACGTAATATGGTTTGTATAACCCATTGCTGGAAAGATCTGAAAGGCAAATGTCGCAATTGAGGGTTTAACTACTGCAATCCAAGAGGTTCAGTTCCTTGCTATCACTTGATTTGCGTTAAACCTCCTGTAATGGTGGACTTTGAGCTCAGTTCTTACGCGTAAATGTGCCCTAAAGGCCCACTTCCAACTTTGATGCAACGCGGTCGTTTACTTTTGTTTTGAACCACCGCTTTTGTTTAAATAGCGCCTCTGATTGGTCAGTTATTTTACCTTGCCACGTTGTCTCAAATAGCTTCTGCGTTTTCTCCGATTAGTTTGGTGAGCTTGTCAAAATAATTCTGTTTCATACAATACTACACGTTATAATCCGGTATGGAATCAGATGAATCCATTGATTTGGTAGATTCCAAGGTAATAAACACAAATGGGTCGGTTGCTGCCGAAGAGGAACACGAAAATCCTTGCGAGCATTTCGAGGAAGGTGAAATGTTGATCCACCACGTTTTCATTCCAACGTCATTTTTTTTTATTGAAGTTTGCCATCCTTGGGCCATCCTTTAGACCATAGGAGCAAGGTTCAGTTGAAGTTTTCTGCCCGTGGAGAGGAGCTTGCGCTCGAGAGGGTGGTCGAGGTTGTTGTCCATGCAAAGCTGCAAATACAAATTGTAACGCAAACTGTCAGTGTCGCTGATGTTCCTGCAATGAAGTGACTAAACGTCCGGCAGCTAGACACGGTCTTAAAACAACTAAACGTCCGGCAGTCCGATATATTTCCATATTTCTCTTCGAAATCCAAAAAATGTCTATACGAAAATGTTCTACCTTTATTTACAATCCTAAAGCGCTTCCAGGCAGCCAAAAGTTTCGAACTTGATGCTTTTCGCCAACCCAGTATACAGAGTACGAAGCCATCCAAGCGCTTGATACTTAGAAACTTTTCAATGACACGGCCGGACACGATCCTTAATTAGTTCAATATTTCTCTTTGAAATATACCAATTTTCCTTGGGAAACATTCTTCCTTTATTTAGAATCCTCAAACGCTTCTAGAAAGTGAAAAAATTGGAACGTTGTCCGTTTCGCCGACCTTGTACACAGAGTACGGAGAGATCCCAGCGTAACACTTAGAAAATTTTCTTCGGACACTACCGGACACGGTCTTCGAATAACTAAACGTCCGGCGGTCTGATAATTTTCCATATTTTCTTTAAAAAATATCAATTTCTATTGGAAAGTATTTTATCTTTATTTAGAATCCTCAAGCGCCTCTAGATAGTGAAAAAACTCGAACGTTGTACGTTTCGCCAATCCTGTTAACAGAGTATGAAGAGATCCAAGCGTGTCGGTTAAAAAGACATTTCTCTTCGGACTCTACTGAATAAAAATTCAAAATACTGTAAGGAAACTGTAAAATGACGAACATTTAATGTATTTACCGTAAAAAAATTGACTATATGTACAGGATGGCTCTTGAGAAAGACAATTTTAGAACTGGGTTTTCAGTCACGTTAATCTTGGAATTTCGAGTCACAGGAAATTGGTTCGCGGCGCGCGTTACATCAAGGGGGAAAATGGGCCTTTAAGTAGTCATAATGACAAGTAAAAAAAACAAACAATAATATTCCACAGGTATTTTTAGATAAAGCAATTACATAACAGCCACATGTGAGTATTTCCAAATTTCCAAGTTAGTTTTTGTGTAGTGACTCACATCAGTTTTTCTTTCCTAAAAAAAAGGCCCTTTCGAGAATTAATACATTAAACCACTAAAACAAAAAATCTTATCGTATTAGTGCGTGATATGTGTACGTGACTTTGCAAAAGTGACAGTCTTTATACCAAACATTTAGGGGTGAATTATTTACTTACGCGGAAAATTTAAGATAACACGTAAGTTTAGATGGGATTCCTCATATTTAGAAAATGTTCAAACAAAACCCTTTGGTAGTCTTATAAAGATGCATACACAGTTTCTCTCACCACAGTGTCGTTAACGCATTTGACAACAGATCAGAAATTTCAGGGACCTAGAGAGACTGTTTGAAAACAAAGCAATCAGGCGAGAAGAGAATTCTTCACTAATTAAACATTTCACCTCGAGCTAAACGAACTTCGACTCAGAAAAACTTGATCTAAACTTATCCGACTGGAAAACTACGCAATAAAATTTAAACGACCTTAAAAGAAAGTCTCGAACTTTCAATCTATAAGATACAACAAGAGGTATTACAAGCGGAAACAAAAAAGTTTTAAAATGTGTCTAAAAAAATAGCCTTCCACAATTGAAGGCAATTTAACTGTTGATTACGAAGACAATATTATTATTTCTAAGAAATCAAAAATTATTACCTCATAAATTTCACTGAACTCCCAATAATTGTATATATTTGCTCTAAGAAGTCTAAGAACGCTTTATGATTTTCAAAATCAGAGGTTTGTTTTAGATTTCTTTCAGGTTCAAGTCGCAAGGAAAGATGTTGGGTTTCTTAGCTCTCTCCCTTCTTACAGTGGCGTTTGCCAATGAAGGTATAGTTTCCAGTAAAAAAGGCTTGATATTACCCCTCGCTTTTTTGGTGATTAAGTAAACTGAAGTATCCTGATCTCGTCCAGTCTTCGAACTCACGAAATACACACTCCAGATCTCTTTAGAAAGAAGTTATGGACACTAAGGAGAGGCTTAGAAATTTTCAGAATTCCAAGAAAAACGTAGATATAATGCCAAGATAATATCACAGAACAGGTAATAAGGAACGTGGACGGGCTCAACTTAAGAGAAGGAACTTTTAACGGACACATTCGCAGTAAATTTTGACATGTTCAGTCTTTATCTCAGTTTCCCTGCTAGGAATTCAAAATTTCACTTACAATGCACGAGAATTATCGTTGTATGTCGTGGCCGTAAGTTATCAATCAGAAAATGTAGTTTTTCTCCTAATTTAAACAAAGATGAAAAAAGCTCAATCTTGGACACATTAACCAAGCCCCTTAGTAATGGTCTCTATTTTTGTCACAGCGGAAAAGACAGTTTGCGAACATAAGCAAATGACAATTGACTGCGGAGGGTTAGACATCAATATATTGAGCGCATCCTATGGCCGCACCCAACAAGATGTCTGTGATCGAGGGGGAAGCACAAACTGTCATGCTGATAGCTCCATGAGCGTCGCTAGAAACGAATGTCAAGGACAGACAAGGTGTACTTTGGACGCGAAGAACGAAGCGTTTGGTGACCCCTGTGTTGGAACCTTCAAACATCTAACGGTGAGTTCACCTTGAAGAAGGACAACTAAGACTTAGATTATAAATATTCGCTCCTGTTCTTATGTTGCAAATAATAGCCAATATAATTTTCACATGTGAAATTCAAACGATATGGATCACTTCAATACTTGCTTCTAGAGATTAATGTTATTTCCGTTTGGCAACTGTAAAATTGTTCACTTCATGGTAACTTTGATCGAAGTGACCTAATTAGCGTGATCATTGATTGGTTACCAGCCAGCCAATCGCAACTCAACCACGAGCAGTTTCCGAATAATCGTTTAAGGACATTGATCTTTATCCAGATCTTTTACTGAAATCAAACTCGTACTGTTTGGGTAAAATTTGTAAAAATAACATGTCCCTATTTCAATACATAGGTGAAGTACGAATGTGTGGAAAAAACTGTTCTCGTTCGCATCTGCGAAGGAAAGTCACAGCAGATTTCGTGCCCCGCTTCGAAGAAAATCGATATCTTGTCGGCGAACTACGGTCGTTTAACTGGTCGGCATCTTTGTCCGGGACCAGTTAAAACCACAAACTGTGGAGCCGCAGGATCGATTGATATAGTGAGGAACAAGTGCCAGGGAAAGCAAAGCTGCTTTCTGCAGGCAACAAACGGCCAGTTTGGCGATCCTTGCCGTGGGACAAAGAAGTATTTGGAGGTGATTATGGGTCAGATCCTTTACCAAAATCAAACTCGTTCTGTTTCGGTAAAATTTGTAAAAATAACATGTTCCTATTTCAATACGTAGGTGAAGTACGAATGTGTGGAAAAAACTGTTCTAGCGCGAATCTGCGAAGGAAGGTTTCAACAAATTTCGTGCCCCGCTTCGAAGAAAATCGATATCATGTCGGCGAACTACGGTCGTTTAACTGGTGGGAATCTTTGTCCGGGACCAGTTAAAACCACAGACTGTAGAGCCGCAGGGTCGATTGATATAGTGAGGAACAAGTGCCAGGGAAAGCAAAGCTGCTTTTTGCAGGCAACAAACAGCCAGTTTGGCGATCCTTGCCGTGGGACAAGGAAGTATTTGGAGGTGATTATGGGTCAGATCTTTTACCAAAATCAAACTCGTTCTGTTTCGGTAAAATTTGTAAAAATAACATGTTCCTATTTCAATACATAGGTGAAGTACGAATGTGTGGAAAAAACTGTTCTCGCGCACATCTGCGAAGGAAGGTCACAGCAGATTTCGTGCCCTGCTCCGAAGGAAATCGATGTCATGTCGGCGAACTACGGTCGTTTAACTGGTCGGCATCTTTGTCCGGGACCAGTTAAAACCACAGACTGTAGAGCCGCAGGGTCGATTGATATAGTGAGCAACAAGTGCCAGGGAAAGCAAAGCTGCTTTTTGCAGGCAACAAACAGCCAGTTTGGCGATCCTTGCGGTGGGACAAGGAAGTATTTGGAGGTGATTATGGTTTAGATCTTTTACCAAAATCAAACTCGTTGTTTCGGTAAAATTTGTAAAAATAACATGTTCCTATTTCGTTACATAGGTGAAGTACGAATGTGTGGAAAAAACTGTACTCGTGCACATCTGCGAAGGAAGGTCACAGCTGATTTCGTGCCCCGCTCCGAAGAAAATCGATATCATGTCGGCGAACTACGGTCGTTTAACTGGTCGGCATCTTTGTCCGGGACCAGTTAAAACCACAAACTGTGGAGCCGCGGGGTCGATTGATATAGTGAAGAGCAAGTGCCAGGGAAGGCAAAGCTGCTTTTTGCAGGCAACAAACGGCCAGTTTGGCGATCCTTGCGTTGGGACAAGGAAGTATTTGGAGGTGATTATGGTTCACTGTGTTATTTTAGATATTATCAGTCCTCACCAAACAAAACTTTGATCTAAAAATTACCAGGGGCGTATCTTTTCATGGAAAGTGAATGATTGATCAAAAAACACACTAGCATGCCCTTAAATGCTAGACTGGACAGTTTTGAACTACGACAACATCACATTCCCCCTCTCCATTTTACACCATGAAAATTGCCAGAGATCACCATTTGAATTAAAGAAACTACAATGTTGGGTGAATTGTATCGAACACTGATACAAACATCCTATTTAGACTTCAAACCTACTTAACTGGCGTGGGTTCTTCTATTCTCCTTTCAATGATGGATTTTACTAAAATACGAACTCCTGGTACCTGAAGCTGTATTGTCAAATTTACGCTTTGTAAAAAATTCCCAACCGTGGTAACCAAGGTTGTAACTCATTCATTGCGAGGAAAATTTCATTATGAACAATTGGTCTTCAAAAAACCTACACAAGGCGAGACTTACAATTGCACAACAACCTTGAACTTAAGCAAAAAGCTAAACAGACTAAAGCATGAACAAACCTGGAGGACATATAAAAGAAACTAACTTGCAATTAATCGTATCGTTTCACAGATCAAATACAGATGTGACTGGTAAAGGATTCCACTGAGTATTCCAAGCGTCAACCACTGAAAACAAGTGATCCCATGTAGTTTGTGTAGTTTACGTATCAGGGACCATTAAAAATAATTTTCGACGCCAATGAATGTCTCCGTGTATTCGTTTCTTTGTGGAAGTATTGATAGCGTTCCAGCGGGCCCCCGTTATTAGTGTTTTACATGCCCGCCGATTTGGGACGAGTTGGGGAGAGGTTTACTGGGGATCTGGCACTAACAATTTCCTCATTATTAGTGCCAGACCCCTCAAGGCCCTTGCAGACCTCTCGCTCGCTTGTACTGTTCAAGGCCTTACATTCCCTGGCGTGCACCGATGTGCCACTAATCCTTTAACCCCTAAGAGTGACTGACATCTAATTTCTCCTTACCATATCACTCCTGAATCAAAAAATTGAGGTCAGGAGAATAAAGGAGCTGATCACCCACCAAAGAAGCTCTTGATTGTTAGACAAGAGAATCCCGGAGTGTTGCCGGGGGGATTCCGGTGGGATCCCAGCGGGGTCCAAAGAGCACCACCCAACTTAGCATGACAGGATTATCTCAGTGTTACGGGTTACCTTTTCAGGAACGCTAAGTTTCCTGTCAGTATCCTGGTAAGATCCTTATGAGAATCCCACGGTGATGCCGGGGGGATTCCAGTAGAATCCTAGCGGGCTGCTAAGAACTTTCGTAAGGGTATACCTTTTCGGAAACGCCAGGTTTCTGTCAGTATCCTGGTAAGATCCTTATGAGAACCCCACGGTGATGCCAGGAGGATTCCGGCAGAATCCCAGCGGGTTGCAAAGAGCTTTCGAACGGGGTACCTTTTCAGGGTCCCAAAGTCTACGTTATAGGGCGCCAAACCAGTCAATATTCCCTTTGAAAACTTTGTAAACTGCATATGAAAACAGTTACGTTTCTAAGTGTTCTTACCTTAAAACAATATTTCAACGCCAAAACCGGGACGCGAAGTTCGAAACATTGATCGCCGTGACGATTATTTTCAGCCTCCCACAACCTACGCGGCCACGATCCTAGGTCACTCTTGAAGTTTTTCCGGGGAAGCAGGTTGTTTTTTAACCGAATCTGCCTTTTACCCCTGGTCTATAGTCTTCAGTCAGCATGTTATCCTCAGTCTGCACTTAACCCCTGGTCTGCAGTATGCAATCTGATATGTGCAGTTTGCCTTAACACTGACCGGTATAAAAAGTAAAAAGTTGACCGTGACCATAATAGAACGTTAAAAGTTGACCGTATAAAAACTCGAGTTGACCATATAAAAGGTAAAAATTGATCCTATTAAAAGAAAAAGTTGACCCTATAAAAACTCAAGTTAACAATACAAAAAGTAAAAAGGTTGACCGTATAAAAAGTCGAACTGACCAAATAAAAAGTAAACTTGACTGGTTGGTGCCCCATAGTCATTCTTTGGAATTCATGCTTCACACGCGCCGGTTAAAGATGGCTGTGCATAAATTACAACCACAAAAATCAGAAGGAGAATGCGAACTTTGGCCTGTAATCATCAAATATGCTCGTTCAAGGTCTCTTTTTAAAGCTCTGTAAAATGCTCTGTTTTAATAAATACAAATCAAACTCGAGAAAAGTAAAGTAAATGGTTTGAACCCAGGAGTATCAGTAGTTCGTGTAGTGTGATCGTCCGGGTGATTGTAGTTCTGAAAAGAACTGTTGTTGGTGACTGACGTTTCGACTACCTGTGCGGTAGTCATCATCAGAGTCAAGTGAAGAGTAGTTGTCAGTCGATGATGTTATAAAGTCTGGTCTGTTGAACGTGATTGGTCTGTTTAGCCGTGATGTGATTGGCTGGAAGACTCGTGTAGAGTTTGTTAACAGTCATCGGTCGGTTTCGATCCGTCTGTTGTTTGTCGGTCTGTTTGTCGGTCTGTTTGTCGGTTTGTTCACGTCGTTAATGAGTCGTTTGTAAGGTGCTGGTAATTGTTGAACTCGAGAACATTGAGCGAAAAAACTTCAAGTCATAGAATGTTTTCAATCATGCTTTGGAGTTCATTGACACGTTAAAACAAAAAGGATACACTTGTAGGCGCGGCCGCTCGAGGTCACTTTACTGCGCTATTGTTTCATTCCTTAGAGTTTTCCTCCCCGCCTTTTCCAGAACGCATTAATCCGAACTTAATTATTGCGCTTCGGCGGGTCTACGTGCCCCCCCCCGAAGTGAATACCGAAGTGAATACCCAAAGGAATAAATCGAGCCTTCTATGCACAAATCCAGCGGTAACACTCATTTCTGAATGACACACTTAAATTGACGTGAAGTTGTAATGAAGGTGAAAACGGGCCTTATAATGAGCGGCGAAATGTTTCACCACGGCGCTTGTCGATATGGCTCAGTTAATTGTTACTAAAATTCACGGATCGCGCATTAATCAACCACAGCCTCTGGCATCCAACTCCTATGGTTTGAACTTTTGAACCGTATCGCCGGTTCAAAATCATCCGTGCAAACCACAGGCGACCCAAGCTCACGTCTCGAGAAAGCCAACGATGAATTCATGAACGCGTCACGCGTTGTGTGACTCGGTGTTAAGTTACGGGAGGAACCGTTGAAAATTTGAACACGTTATAAGGAATAGTATGGGGAACGAAATATGGTCGATTTACAACGATAAATATTTCGAAATATGAATATTTTACATGTAAAATCAATAAAAACTTACTCATGCCCCGTGTATCCGTCGTAGTTTCTGGCGATTTCTGCCGTTTTAAGCTTGCTTTACCATCACTGTTATCCATGTCAAAAGACGAGACTTCGTCTTTTTACATGTAAAATATTCTTATTTCGAAATATTTATCGTTGTAAATCGACCATATTTCGTTCCCCATACTATTCCTTATAACGTGTTCAAATTTTCAACGGTTCCTCCCGTAACTTAACACCGAGTCACACAATGCGTGACGCGTTCATGAATTCATCGTTGGCTTTCTCGAGACGTGAGCTTGGGCTGCCTGTGTGCAAACTAACAATGGGATTAGATGTTGCATGACAAGCAATTTGAAAACGAAAGTAGGGAAAACACTCAAGAGCTTTCAAACATTAGTCAAAAAAAACCCACAGGGCATCTCTGATTAAGAGATCCTTGACAAGTAGCACGTACACAGTAAATTTGCATTCCTTAGGTTTGAGATGCAATCTGAGCATTGCAGACGTCTTCAGTCTTTGTGCCGAGCTTTTCGCTTTATGACCGGATAAGTGTTTGCGTTCACCCTTTCTAAACTTTTTAGAATTATTCATATAATACAAGGTGACTGGTATACTCTGTTGTTATCGTGATCAGGATACCAGAATTTGCGGAGATCTACAGATTATCTACGACGAGTTACAATATCCTGTTACTAGTTTTGGTAAGCAAATTTATTGCAAATTACTTTATTAGCGCTGACGGCCATACAACGTCGTTGCCATTTTATTGAGAACGGTAGCTTATTTCAGTTAAAACTAAAGAAAAATATGTACGGTTAACTTTACCAACTTTTTTTTATGACTAACAAACTTGTTCATATCTTTGGTGGTGACTTCATTTGAGTTTATTTTCTATTAACACGAAAGAGGGGAGCCGATTTACGAGAAAGGTTTTTCTTGACCGTGAATAGTTTGAATGCAAATTACACTGACGAGAAAGTTCCTCCATGGGTGTTTTCGTATTCATATTAATAACAATACAAGTATTTTTCATTACTTCGCTTATGTAGTCTGATTTGCAACATAGACACTGCAAGTTTATTTCGCTGTTTTGTTGGGTTTCAGAGTAGCTTATTGTCTGGATTAGTTTTGATCGCGGGTTGTTGATGTCATCAGTTGTAAGTCGCTCTTACATGCCGATTTTGGAGGGTTTGCAGATTTTCGTGTGATTTCCTCATCACTGACTTTGTTTTTTTAAATTGAGAAAATTGGAGACAAATCATCGTGAGACGTAATATAGTTTGTATAACCCATTGCTGGAAAGATCTGAAAGGCAAATGTCGCAATTGAGGGTTTAACTACTGCAATCCAAGAGGTTCAGTTCCTTGCTATCACTTGATTTGCGTTAAACCTCTTGTAATGGTGGACTTTGAGCTCAGTTCTTACACATAAATGTGCCTTAAAGGTCCATTTCCAACTTTGATGCAACGCGTTCGTTTGCTTTTGTCTTGAACCACCGCTTTTGTTCAAATAGCGCCTCTGATTGGTCAGTTATTTTCACCTTGCCACGTTGTCTCAAAGTAGCTTCTGCGTTTTTTTCCGATGAGTTTGGTGAGCTTGTTAAAATAATTCTGTTTAATACAATACTATACGTTTTAATCCGGTATGGAATCAGATAAATCCATTAATTTAGTAGACTCCAAAGTAATAAACACTAATGGGTCGGTTGTTGCCGAAGAGGAACACGAAAATCGAGGAATGTGAAAATGTTGATCCACCACGTTTTCATTCCAACATCAATTTTTTTTATTGAAGTTTGCCATCCTTAGGTCATCCTTGGGCTCATACGACCAAGGTTCAGTTGAAGTTTCCTGCCCGTGAAGAGGAGCTTGCGCTCGAAAGGGTGGTCGAGTTTGTTTTCCATGCAAAGCAGCAAATACGAATTGTAACGCAAACTGTCAGTGTCGCTGATGTTCCTGCAATGAAGTCCTAAACGTCCGGCAGCCAGACACGGTCTTAAAACAACTAAACATCTGGCAGTCCGATATATTTCCATATTTCTCTTCGAAATCCAAAAAATGTCTATACGAAAATGTTCTACCTTTATTTACAATCCTAAAGCGCTTCCAGGCAGCCAAAAGTTTCGAACTTGATGTTTTCGCCAACCCAGTATACAGAGTACGAAGCCATCCAAGCGCTTGATACTTAGAAACTTTTCAATGACACGGCCGGACACGATCCTTAATTAACTCAATATTTCTCTTTGAAATATACCAATTTTCCGTGGGAAATATTCTACCTTTATTTAGAATCCTCAAGGGCTTCTAGAAAGTGAAAAAATTTAAACGTTGTCCGTTTCGCCGACCTTGTACACAGAGTACGGAGAGATCCAAGCGTCTTAGAAAATTTTCTTCGGACACTACCGGACACGGTCTTCGAATAACTAAACGTCCGGCAGTCTGATAATTTTCCATATTTTCTTTAAAAAATACCAATTTCTATTGGAAAATATTTTATCTTTATTACGAATCCTCAAGCGCCTCTAGATAGTGAAAAAACTCGAACGTTGTCCGTTTCGCCGATCCTGTTAAAAGAGTATGTAGAGATCCATGCGTGTCACTTAAAAAAAAAATCCTCTTCGGACTCTACTGGATAAAAATTCAAAATACTGTAAGGAAACTGTAAAATGACGAACGGTTAATGTATTTACCGTAAAACAATTAACTATATGTACAGGATGGCTCTTGAGAAAGACGATTTTAGAACCGGTTTTCAGTAATCTTGGAATTTCGAGTCACAGGAAATTGGTTCGCGGCGCGCCTTGCATCAAGGGTGAAAATGGGCCTTTAGGTAGTCACAATAACAAGTAAAAAAAAACAAACAATAATATTCCACAGGTATTTTTAGATAAAGCAATTACATAACAGCCACATGTGAGTATCTCCAAATTTCCAAGTTAGTCAAGTTGTGTAGTGACTCACATCAGTTTTTCTTCCCTAAAAAAAAAGGCCCTTTAGAGAACTGATACAGTAAACCTCTAAAACAAAAAATCTTATCGTATTAGTGCGTGATATGTGTACATGACTTTACAAAAGTGACAGTGTTTATACGAAACATTTAGAGATAAATTATTTACTTACGCGGAAATTTTAAGATAACACGTAAGCTTAGATGGGATTCCTCATATTTAGGAAATGTTCAAACAAAACCCTTTGGTAGTCTTATAAAGATGCATACATAGTTTCTCTCACCACAGTGTCGTTAACGCATTTGACAACAGATCAGAAATTTCAGGGACTCAGAGAGACTGTTTGAAAACAAAGCAATAAGGTGAGAAGGAAATTCTTCACCAATTAAATATTTCATCATGAGCTAATCGAACTTCGGCTCAAAAAAATTTGATCTAAACTTATCCGACTGGAAAACTACGCAATAAAATTTAAACGACCTTATTACGAAGTCTCGAACTTTCAATCTGTAAGATACAACAAGAGGTATTACAAGCGGAAACAAAAAAGGTTTGAAATGTGTCTAAAAAAAATATCCTTCCACAACTGAAGACATTTTAGCTGTTGATTACGAAGACAATATTCCTATTTCTAAGAAATCAAAAATTATTATCTCATAAATTTCACTGAACTCCCAATAATTTTCAAAATCAAAGGTTTGTTTCAGATTTCTTTCAGGTTCAAGTCGCAAGGAAAGATGTTGGGTTTTTTAACTCTCTCCCTCCTTACAGTGGCGTTTGCCAATCCAGGTATAGTTTCCGGTAAAAAAGGCTTGATATTACCCCTCGTTTATTTGGTGATTAAGTAAACTGAAATATCCTGATCTCGGCCATTCTTCGAATTCACGAAAATCACACCCCAGATCTCTTTAGAAAGAAGTTATGGACACGAAGGAAAGGCTTAGAAATTTTCAGGATTCCAAGAAAATCATAGCCGAGATATAATACCAAGATAATATCACAGAACAGGTAATAAGGAACGTGGACGGGCTCAACTTAGGAGAAGGAACTTTTAACGGACACATTCGTGATAAAATTTTGACATGTTTAGTTTTTATCTCAGTTTCCCTGCTTATAATTCAAAATTTCACTCACAATACACGGAAATTATCGTTGTATATTGTGGCCGCAATTTATCAATCAGAAAATGTAGTTTTTCTCCTAATTTAAACAAAGATGAAAAAAGCTCAATCTCGGACACATTAACCAAGCCCCTACGTGATGCTTTCTCTTTTTGTCACAGCGGAAAAGACAGTTTGCGAACATAGGCAAATGACAATTGACTGCAGAGGGTTAGACATCAATATATTGAGCGCATCCTATGGCCGCACCCAACGAGGTGTCTGTGATCGAGGGGGAAGCACAAACTGCCATGCTGGTAGCTCCATGAGCGTCGCTAGATACGAATGTCAAGGACAGACGAGATGTACTCTGTACGCGAAGAACCAAGCGTTTGGTGACCCCTGTGTTGGAACCTTCAAACATCTAAAGGTGAGTTCACCTTAAGGAAGGACAACTTAAGACTCCAGTTCTTATGTTGCAAGTAATAGCCAATATAATTTTCACAAGTGAAATTCAAACGATATGAATCACTTCAATACTTGCTTCCAGAGATTAATGTTATTTCCTTTTTGCGACTGTGAAACTGTTTAGTTCATGGTACTTTGATACAAGTGACCTAATTAGCCTGATCACTGATTGGTTACCAGCCAGCCAATCGCGACTCAACCACGGGCAGTTTCCGAATAATCGTTTCAGGACATTGATCTTTATCCAGATCTTTTACTAAAATCAAACTCGTTCTATTCTGGTAAAATTTGTAAAAATAACATGTTCCTATTTCAACACATAGGTGAAGTACGAATGTGTGGAAAAAACTGTTCTCGTTCGCATCTGCGAAGGAAGGTCACAGCTGATTTCGTGCCCCGCTCAGAAGAAAATCGACATCACGTCGGCGAACTACGGTCGTTTAACTGGTCCGCATCTTTGTCCGGGACCAGTTAAAACCGAAAACTGTGGAGCCGCAGGGTCGATTGATATAGTGAGGAGCAAGTGCCAGGGAAAGCAAAGCTGCTTTTTGCAGGCAACAAACGGCCAGTTTGGCGATCCTTGCGTTGGGACAAAGAAGTATTTGGAGGTGATTATAGTTCAGATCTTTTACCAAAATCAAACTCGTTCTGTTTCGGTAAAATTTGTAAAAATAACATGTTCCTATTTCAATACACAGGTGAAGTACGAATGTGTGGAAAAAACTGTTCTCGTGCACATCTGCGAAGGAAGGTCACAGCGGATTTCGTGCCCCGCTTCGGAGAAAATCGATATCACGTCGGCGAACTACGGTCGTTTAACTGGTCGGCATCTCTGTCCAGGACCAGTTAAAACCACAAACTGTAGAGCCGCAGGGTCGATTGATATAGTGAGGAACAAGTGCCAGGGAAAGCAAAGCTGCTTTTTGCAGGCAACAAATGGCCAGTTTGGCGATCCTTGCGTTGGGACAAAGAAGTATTTGGAGGTGATTATGGGTCAGATCTTTTACAAAAATCAAACTCGTTCTGTTTCGGTGAAATTTGTAGATTTAACATGCTCCTATTTCAATACACAGGTGAAGTACGAATGTGTAGAAAAAACTGTTCTCGTTCGTATCTGCGAAGGAAGGTCACAGCAGATTTCGTGCCCCGCTTCGAAGAAAATCGATATCACGTCGGCGAACTACGGTCGTTTAACTGGTCCGCCTCTCTGTCCGGGACCAGTTAAAACCACAAACTGTAGAGCCGCAGGGTCGATTAACATAGTGAGGAACAAGTGCCAGGGAAAGCAAAGCTGCTTTTTGCAGGCAACAAACGGCCAGTTTGGCGATCCTTGCGTTGGGACAAAGAAGTATTTGGAGGTGATTATGGGTCAGATCTTTTACCAAAATCAAACTTGTTCTGTTTCGGTAAAATTTGTAAAAATAACATGTTTCTATTTCAATACATAGGTGAAGTACGAATGTGTGGAAAAAAACTGTTCTCGCGCACATCTGCGAAGGAAGGTCACAGCAGATTTCGTGCCCTGCTCCGAAGGAAATCGATATCATGTCGGCGAACTACGGTCGTTTAACTGGTCGGCATCTTTGTCCGGGACCAGTTAAAACCACAAACTGTAGAGCCGCAGGGTCGATTGATATAGTGAGGAACAAGTGCCAGGGAAAGCAAAGCTGCTTTTTGCAGGCAACAAACGGCCAGTTTGGCGATCCTTGCGTTGGGACAAGGAAGTATTTGGAGGTGATTATGGTTTAGATCTTTTACCAAAATCAAACTCGTTGTTTCGGTAAAATTTGTAAAAATAACATGTCCCTATTTCAATACATAGGTGAAGTACGAATGTGTGGAAAAAACTGTACTCGTGCACATCTGCGAAGGAAGGTCACAGCATATTTCGTGCCCCGCTCCGAAGAAAATTGATATCAGGTCGGCGAACTACGGTCGTTTAACTGGTCCGCCTCTCTGTCCGGGACCAGTTAAAACCACAAACTGTGGAGCCGCGGGGTCGATTGATATAGTGAAGAGCAAGTGCCAGGGAAAGCAAAGCTGCTTTTTGCAGGCAACAAATGGCCAGTTTGGCGATCCTTGCGTTGGGACAAGGAAGTATTTGGAGGTGATTATGGTTCACTGTGTTATTTTAGATATTATCAGTCCTCACCAAACAAAACTTTGATCTAAAAATTACCAGGGGCGTATCTTTTCATGGAAAGTGAATGATTGATCAAAAACACACTAGCATGCCCTTAAATGCTAGACTGGACAGTTTTGAACGACGACAACATCACATTCCCCCCCCCCCTCTCCATTTTACACCATGAAAATTGCCAGAGATCACCATTTGAATTAAAGAAACTACAATGTTGGGTGAATTGTATCGAACACTGATACAAACATCCTATTTAGACTTCAAACCTACTTAACTGGCGTGGGTTCTTCTATTCTCTTTTCAATGATGGATTTTACTAAAATACGAACTTTGGTACCTGAAGCTGTTTTGTCAAATTTACGCTTTGCAGGGGGTGGGACGAAATTCACGACAGGCAAAATTCCCAACCGTGGTAACCAAGGTTGTAACTCACTCATTATGAGGAAAATTTCATTATGATCAATTGGTCTTCAAAAAACTTACACAAGGCGAGACTTACAATTGCACAACAACCTTGAACTTAAGCAAAAAGCTAAACAGACTAAAGCATGAACAAACCTGGAGGACATATAAAAGAAACTAACTTGCAATTAATCGTATCGTTTCACAGATCAAATACAGATGTGACTGGTAAAGGATTCCACTGAGTATTCCAAGCGTCTACCACTGAAAACAAGTGATCCCATGTAGTTTGTGTAGTTTACGTATCAGGGACCATTAAAAATAATTTTCGACGCCAATGAATGTCTCCGTGTATTCGTTTCTTTGTGGAAGTATTGATAGCGTTCCAGCGGGCCCTCATTTTTGGTGTTTTACATGCCCGCCGATTTGGGACGAGTTGGGCAGAGGTTTACTGGGGATCTGGCACTAACAATTTCCTCATTACTAATGCCACCTCTCTAGCTCGCTTGTACTGTTCAAGGCCTCACATTCGCTGGCGTGCCACTAATCCTTTAACCCCTAAGAGTGTCTTGCATCTAATTTCTCCTTACCATATCACTCCTGAATCAAAAAATTGAGGTCAGGAGAATAAAGGAGCTGATCACCCACCAAAGAAGCTCTTGATTGTTAGACAAATTCTCCATGTCGGCATCTCAGGAAATGCTTAGAGAACAGTGTGTAGAATATGCATAGTAAAGGATTAATTAGGGCCTGTTCGCAAGTTAAAGTGTTAAATTTTGTTAAGATTATTCCAGCAGGAATCCTGGCAAAATCCCATCAGGCTCCAGGGAGGATTCCTGCGCAATGCGTGATACAGTTGTTTAAGTGTAGGTCAGTAATGGCTCCCGTGTAATACCTAAAAGTCAGAGAGGGCGAAACTTTCGAGGCGGAGTTCAGATTTAAGTTGAGGGTATATTTACACTCTGTTAAAACTTTCGGTTTTTTTTTAAGCATTGGTGGATGTTAAATGGAAATTTCAAAACTTTGTTAGAAAAGTGTTTTTGACTGAATAATACCCACTAGTAAACAACAAACTATCGCTTTCTTTATTTTTGCTCCCACTTCCCGCCCTCTCTCGCCCCCTGTTCTCCCGAGCTCCCGCCCCCTGTCCTCCCGAGCTCCCGCCCCCCTGTCCCCCTCCACTATCTCAGTGTTACTAGGTACCTTTTCAGGAACGCTAAGTTTCCTATCAGTATCCTGATAAGATCCTTATGAGAATCCCACGTTGATGCCGGGGAGATTCCAGTAGGATCCCAGAGGGCTGCAAAGAATTTTTGTATGGGTGTACCTTTTCAGAAACGTTAAGTTTTCTGTCAGTATTCTGGTAGAGGTTGCGTGACGCGTGATGGCCCCAAAATTTGCGAGATAACTAATGAGCCATATATGAGATCAAACTACGAAAAAATTGTCAAAACTACGACTACTGACTTATCAAACAATAAACTATGATGACTATGATGCCGGGACGAACACCTCAGGTGTTAAATCTGTGTACGATACTAGTAAAGTACGATTTGATATTGCGATACGAAGCCTAAGTAAACGCTCTCAGGGCGTCTAGTTTCAACAAGTAAGTCGTCTTTATTTTTCTGGCATAAAGCAATATGACAAGTGATACGCAATTCATTCCAGGATAAGAAAGGTTAGATGCAATATAATTTTTAATCATACATCCGATAGGTTGAAATCTTACACTATTAGCTTGGCGGACTTACTCCTTTTTACGTGACGTGTGATTGGTTAAAAAAAAATTCCGTGATGCGTGATTTAGTAGAAAAATTCAGCGTGATGTGTGACTGGAACCCCCTCTTTGTCACCCTCCAGGCAAGATCCTTATGAGGATCCCACAGTGATGCCGTGAGGATTCCGGCAGGATCCCAGCGGGTTGCAAAGAGCTTTCGAACGAGGTACCTTTTCAGAGACCCTAAGTCTATGTCACTTTGGACAGTTTCATTTAACACAGACAGACTACCATCTACCACTTTAGTAGTATCCGGTGGGCGTTTATTTCCAGTTTACTCACGTAACTACAAAATTAATGCACATATATGGAAAAACACACGCAACCCCGACTGACACTTGTAGGAAATTTTTTCCTTTTCAAAGTCATAATTAATTTCATAGGGAGGTAGTTTCTCGCTTCAAGATCATAATCATGACGCGGCCTGCTAAAAAAAATCGCATTAGTGAAAAGAAACACAATTTTGGAGTCGTCTTTCTTGGGCGGGAATTACTTAATTTTCTTACTAGGACAACTGTCGAATATTTTGCCAATATTTTCGGAGGCTTTTAGGCGGTAGCTCTCCCCTTTGAGTTCCGAAAAAAGTAGTAAAATGATGATGATGTTAAACACCATTTAATTTCTCGTCAGACCGCACAACATCCCTACAGGAAAACAAGTCTTGAAGACATCTTTCAATACTGTGAGATTTAGGGCAAGGACGACACCGCACCGGAAAATCGGTGTTCATGAACTCTCAGAAAGCTTTCGTTGGGTTCGGCTTTAGCTGAGCGGGTCTGTACTTTAAAACAAAAATGCGTTCAGGTGTGAGATTTAAAGTTAAGATTTCAAATTACGCGACTTTGAGATAAAGGTTTAATTTGATTAAATCTATCTCTGCAAAGTGAAGATAAGCGCATGTCGGTCCGATATCTAAAATTTGGTTTTATAATTATGTCACGTTTCATCCGTCTTACATCACAGTTCACTTCAATCGCTTGACAGGGTCAGGCTAAACATCTCTTTTGTCGTATCAGGTATACTTCTCATTTGCGGCAAGATATCATAGCCGTTCTGCGGAGGGCACCTTATTATGTAGTAGGTAATAAGGTGTCATAATTCTCACTATATCATGAAGACAAATGCTTATCAAACACACATCCTGTTATCGCTCCTACTTCGGGGAGTTCACGCGATTTACCCGGGTTTCGCGGCGCCATTTTTCTTGTATTTTTAAATTTCGAGTTATCAAGAGGTTCCGGAATTTGTTTACATTCTATTCGCCTTGTTTATTCTGATATTCCCTTTAAGGCTTCGCTTGGGAAAAATTACGCCACTCTTAGTACAGAGCAGAGGCGACATTATTCCTTGTGTAAAAGTCGCACAAAAGTCGGAATGCGCAAAACATTGAGGAAGGGGGAGGCACTCATTTGATTTGTGGGGCATATCCTCCCTAGTCAAACTGTGAATTTCCGTTAAGTTATTTGAAGCAGTTGAGGGAACTTTCAGAAAATTTCAATGATTCTTGAGAAAAACAAGACATAGCGAGACAACTAGCCAATGAAATAAAAATATTCACGACTTGCGTCTTAAAACCTAAAAATCTGTCCACCCCTCTAAGATATTTTTAAATAACTTCCCTACCACCTACGGGCATGTTACAGGCATTACTCAAGTTTGTTTTTGTGATCAGTCAAAATCAATCATCAGCACTGTGTGCGTAACTACTCATTATCGTGAAGCGTCGCGACCGCCTGTTCGCCACACAACGTTACTTGAAGCCTCGAATCTTCAGCATAAGACGTGAAAGAAGGAGAGAGAGAGAGATCGTTCCGATGTTGCCCAAAAAGTTTTCTATAGTGGTAGATTTAGGATGTTTTCTGATTGTAAGTATAGTAAATGCCTTTTTGGCACTCATTACCCCTCCATTCAGACGTGGGTTTTTTTGCAATGATGACAGCATTAAATACCCGTTCGTCAATGAGGAACTTCTTCCCACTTGGACGTTGCTATTAGTTTCAGTTATTCTACCGGTTTTTACGGTAAGTGTTTCTGTTTCAATGTCATTTTATTAAAACAGTGTTGAAATATGTTGTTAGTGATGCTAAGAACACCTTTAAACAATAAACAACGCACTCGATTATTCCATTGATATTAATGTCCGCTTATTGTCGAATTAACTCATGAATTAGCGCATTCCGTGACGAATATTGCTTAAGTTATAAGCATTGAGGCCATTAGGAGTCACAAAAGCTTCTTTTCACGTTGTAAGCTAAGATTTAAAAGCAATATTAGAGACGAAAAACAATAAAGGATTAAATGAGATGCCGTATTAAAGAGCCCGGCGCTTCCTGTGGTAACTCAAAGGGTCTAAAAACATCTCACGTTTACCATTTTTGGGTTTCCAACTGTTTGAACTATTTCAATCCACAAGTTAAGTAGTGGTTAAAATAAGACTATCGTTTTCACGATTTGAAGTTAGAGAGTTATTGAATCGCAAAATAAGAATGAAAATTTAGCTAACAAACCGATTATTGACTGAAGGGAACAACAACACTAGCGCATGAGGAAGTTTCTTTTGAATATGTCGCCTTGAATTCATAGTTTTCTAAAGGATTGTTTCTCTCGTTGATAAGCTTCTATCATGACCGTAAATTGATTTCTTGAAGAAATTTCTCACGGATTATCGAGAAATGAACCCGAAACATACTAGTGAGCAATGGCTGACGTCAGACACGCTGTGAGGGAAAGGGGAGGGGGTCTGAGGGGAGTGGCATTGGGAGGAGTGAAATTTGATTCCCTATTCTTCTCTCCTGTGGGAAAAGTTTCTGGGAAGGTACTGATATCATTTGATCTGGGTTGGACGAGTTCAGATGAGTACTTCCCTTATGTCAGCTGATATACATTTTGTTGTAAATTTGGGAATTTGATGTTTCATGACTTTTCTATGCTGAGAAGTTACATGTCAGTTACTCCTGGCATCTTAACATTAACAGCTTATTTAGGATTTCGTTTTAGTTTTTCTGTCTTGTATGCAATGTAGACCTTTTCCCACAGTAAATACTTGACACACCTTTTTCCTATTTTTTTTGGTTTACATCTTCTGATAAGAATTATTTAGCTTTACCAAAATATGACCTTGGCTTCAGGATATTGGAAAAAAAAATTGAAACACTACGAAACACTCCTCTTCAGCCAAACTGGTCCAATATTTGATCATTTTGAAGGATTAATACTTCACTGTCATGGATCATGTAAATTATATCTTCTAGATGTATTCAATCTTAATTGATCACTGCTGTAGTTATTTTAATGTTGCCACTATCAGTAAATCCATCAAAAATCAAAATAGCTAGGGAAAATTGCCAGCTCTCATCACAGTTTATTGCAGTTGAATAATATCAGATCATTAACAGTCATCGCTAAAATTGTATTTTTTTTAAACTGAATTAGATCATCATTTGTGAAGTTGGAAGGCAATACCAAAATGGTCAAAATACCAAAAGAGAACAATATCAGAACAGTGAAAACAGCGCTGTCTGCGGGTCATGCATGAAAAAGCCGTTATTCCAGAGGTAACACAAATACAATGATTTTATTATGGTAACAGCACTAGGTGGAGACATATTCAGTCTGTGATCATACAAGTGATCGATGCAACCAGACGACTGCTAGGCAGTAGTTAGATTTGTTAATCTTGTTATATCATTGCAAATAGAATTGGAAGACACAAAGTCCTGCAACCAAATTAGAGATAAAGTGTCTATTGATTTTCTCTTTAAGACTGCAAAGCAACTGGCTTCTAACTTCTCCTTACAATATCAGCCTTAAATCAAACAGAAAGGTTATCAGAATAAAGGAAATGATTACTACTTTAAGAAGCTCCAGATTGTCAAACAAATTCTCCTTGTCAGTACAAAGGGAATATAGAGAAGACAGTGTGGAGAACATGACTATTAATGTTAGAGTGTTGAGCATATCCAGAAGTAAAAAAACATCAGTGGTGACTTTTTTTCCACAAGAAAATGCTCTAACAATGCACCCAATTTCAAGCATGACACACACGCTGTGTTATTAAAGCGAATTGAGCTGCTTATAACTAATTGCATTTTAGAATTTCATTATAATTTTATTTAACTGTTTTATAAGTAAAACATATCAGAATGTGATGATAAATCATAGCCATAAGACCCACCAATCGGATTAATTTTTCCCAATTCTTTTCAGGTTATTTAAAACAATGTCTTTATTCTTATACGGCTCACTAATTAATCTGCTCATCACTCTGCTTGGGAAGACATATGTTGGTGAATTAAGACCCCATTTCCTGGCGTTGTGCAAACCAAACATGAGTCTAATTGACTGTAACCAGGGATACATTACAAAGTATGAATGTACTGGCAGTAACCTTGATGCAATTGAAAAAGCCAGGTAAGAAACAGTGTTTAAAATATGTAATGTGAAATTAGGGAGATAAGTCCAGAAATGTATGCAGTAACAAAACTGGAAAAAAATGCATCAAAACTGTAAAATCCGCCAAGCTGACTTGGCTTTGATGAATTTGATTAAAATTCAACACAATTGTCAATTCCGCCAAACTGATTTTCCTTTGAGGAATTTAACTAAAATTTGCCAAAATTGTCAAATCCATGAACATTCTCTTGGTTAGATGATATTTTGCCAAATCTGCCATTTTCCCTACTACATGTAATTCTGGACTTAGGTGAAATTAGGATATGTCAAAACAAATTTAGAAATATTTTACTCATTGTATTAAGATATCATGATAACAAATCATAAATAAACGTTAATTAGTATTTATCATCAAATGCAGTGCAACCCAATGAGTCTTCATTTTTGGTGTTTGTTTCCCTAACCCTTAAACTCTCATGAGTGAGAGAGAAAGAATTTCTCCTTACAATATTAATACAAAATCAAGCAGACAAGAGATGAGAATTAAGAAAATTTTCAATTAAGGGATTACCAGTTGATGCAATACCAAATTCTCAGTATTAAGATCATAAAAATGTTATAGCAGACAGTAAGGAGAATTACTGATGAGATCTTTAGATTGAAAGGGTTGATAAACAAAACAGGATTTGACATGGTTATAAACAATTATAAAACTTATAACCCATACTTGGGTATGTTCATTACTAAAATGGATATCCCAGGTGGTAAAAAATTTACATAAAAAATCTGCTGTACATGTGAAATAAATAACATTTTCTTTTAGGAGATCATTTCCCTCAGCACATGCATCTCTCTCTATGTATGGCATGCTCTTCTTAGCAGTAAGTAACCAGTTTTGCTTTCAATGTACCTATGTACCTGTAGTTATAGTTATCATCTAATATTTAATGAATGAATGTGTGGAAGCTGATGATGTCAATGTTACCAAAAAGAATATGGAACCCAAGTGAGTTCAGACTGTCACAGTATAAAAATGATATCCTTATGTCTGTGAATTAACCACTTAATGATTGTAACATTTTTAACCATTTTTAGTTCAAACATTTATAATGAGGATATGAAACAAGAAATTGCAAGAGAAAAAGCAAAATAAAGTTCAACTGAGTTCATTGTTATCTAATATCACATAAATAACAGTGACAGGATTTACTCCACTGTCTTTAAATTCAACTTTGAATGTGAGTCGTAATGTCACTGAGTGTTTTTTTTTCTTGCAGGTGTATTTTGAATCACTCATAAGGGAAGGAGGTTCTTTCCTAAAGCCTTTCATTCAGTCTGGTTGTTTCATGGTATCACTACTGTTTGGACTGTCCAGGGTGAGAGACCACATGCATCACTGGCATGATGTTTTTGCTGGGTTCTTGTTGGGCGGATTTTTCGCTGTATACATGGTGAGTCACCTCCACACACCCCATCCTGAGTCACATTCACCCACCCCACCCCGGAGTGGAAGCAAATGTCAATTCCCTCACAGCTATCATTTAGCTTACACTCTAAATGATGATCATAGAAAATGTCTGGAAATAGATGGCATCTCTCCATGGTGTTAAGTTAACGCTTCGTACCCTAACATTTGTATGCATATTCTCCATACTGTTCTCTATACATTTCCTGAAGCACTGATAAGGAGAATTTGTTTAAAAATCAAGAGCTTTATAAGTTGGTGATCATTTCCTCGATTCTTGTGACCTTACTGTTTGATTCAGGGGTGATATTGTAAGGAGAAATTAGAAGCTGGTCACTCTTAAGGATTAAGGGGTTAACGCTTTGACCCCTAAGAATGATTAGCATCTAAATTCTCCCTACAAAATCCCCCCTAAATCAAACATTAAGTTCATGAGAATAAAGTAAATGGTCACAAACTAAAGATGCTCTTAATTGTTAAACAAATTCTCCATGACAGCACCTCAAGAAATGTGTACAGAACAGTATGGAGAATATGCATACTGATGTTTCTGAGTAAAGGGTAAACCAGAAGTGGTAAAAAGTCTCTTATCTTACTTTCCAGTGTGTGAACTCAGGTGTTACTATAAATGTTTAGCTTATAATGTTACCTAATAAGACTCCAGTCACCCAGACCCACCCAGTAACAGTTATGTTTTTAAGTCTTTTTTTCTTGGGGGGATTGAGGATTACTGTTACAATTTGGCAACTTTAAAGTTGTAATATTATTGTCTTTAATAAGGAAAACAAAAAATAGCTTAAAAGTACAAAATATCAAAATTATAGAAATCCAGTCTTCATATCAATTTGCTTCACTTTTAACCTAGAAACATTTTGTTTTCCTTTCTGTCTTTCTATTCCATGAACAGGGCATTAAAGTCCTGAAGCTCCTTGAGGAAAGTCATCAAACACCAAAAACAGGCAATATGCATTGTGAAACCCCGAAGAGCTCAATGGGCAACAATGAATTCTATCTGCATTCCCCTGACAAACTAATACCAACCACTCCACAGTTTCCAGTTGTTATATAAGCTTGGTAGATCCCTCATGTGAGGGGTGTATTTTGAAGAATTTCCCTTTGCAGCTGTAATTTTTAGTCATGAAAAACTTTACACTGGCCATGACAAAGAATTAACATTTGGGAAAGTGTCAGAGAGGGAGGTATTTCTTAAAGAATGGAAACTGAGGGGTTTGCACAAAGAAATATAGAAGTAGCAAAAAAGTGTTAAGTAACAGGAGAGAACTAAGGTCATCAAAGTTTGGTTGAATAGTTCTGCATTGTAGGTGGAGAATTCTCCTATATCCAATACCTAATTAACATCTTGAAACTATAGTCAAATATTTTTATATAAAATAATTAATCAGTGATTACCATAAGTTCCAATATCAACACATCATGAAATATTTTAGTTCAATTCTATAACGATAGGGGTTAAGATAAATTAACAACTTGCATTGACAGTAACACAAAGTTGTTTTTGTCTGAAATCTCAACTATTATAGAGAAGATTAATTTCAATTCAGAATAATTGACAAACAGCAACAATTCTGTCTCTGTTGGCAAATATGTATCATTCTCAAAGATGTATAAAAGTATGGAGAATATGGAAACTGATATTATAGAGTACAGGGTTTAAAGTTGGATGAAGCCATAGAAGAGGAGGAAGTGGTAGAGGAACCACTTTATGATGGGAGCAAGATTCTCAAATAGCATTGACAACTATTTAGCTAACATATGTATTGACAAATAACATTTCATAGCACTGAGTGCTATTTAATATATTTTTTCATATAAAAAAGATGCTTAATTTTTATAAGCTACATTTAGAATTGCTGTATGAATACTATGTATAGTGCAGTTATTCATTTGTCCACTGACAGTAAATAATCTTTAAATAAAAAAAAAGCTTATCTTTGGAGTGGTCTGCACAATTTCTTGTGATGATACTCTGGGTATCACTTCATTGTCTCAGTTTTGTGTCTTGTCTTTTTTCTCCTTTAAGATTTTTTCCCACGCTTTTGCTAAGCCTTCAGTCGTGTTTGGAGGTTTCTATACAACAATGAGAAGCAAACTGTCATTTAACCATCCTGCAGGCAATTCTGCCATCAAAGACATCAAAATTGGAGCCCTGTTTAAACTTACTGGTACAGAGTGTACAATAAATAACAAAGTCTTACATTGCACTCTTCATCTGGTGGGTAAAGTTCTTTCTGTGAAAAAATATCAGCAGAAATATGGATCAGCAAGAAATTTGAAATATATTGTATATGCATTGCTGTATTATAATTATTGCTGGAATTAATGCTGAAAATGGCTTAGAGAAGGACAGTTAAAGTCAAAAAGTCAAAGTGTTTGTTCTATTCATTAGTCCAATGAACACAAAAACCTGATTCAGATGGTCATGGTAGTTGATGAGAGTTTCAATATTCATTCACTATTATTGACTAATGTATAGATTTAACCAAGCCTAAAAGTGGACCTTGCATTTTTTTCCCGCACGTCTCAAGGGCACAATGCCTTGCCCTGGCCAGGACTAGAACCTGGGTCGTCTGACTCAGAGCCCAGTGCACTGACCACTGGACTACTGGACAAAGCCGTGGTGTTGGCGTGCCCGCGGTACAGTTGACCACGCATGTAGCACCTTGTATGGTCGTATGGTTGTATGGTGGTACATCCAAATTTTTTCGGCTTGATGGGTTACTACTATTTTGTATAATTATGGGGCTATGCTCTGCAAGCTCCGCTATCATATTTGAGCTCAAATGGTTCATGATGTTTGATGATAGCTAACAAAATCATGTGATGGGATTGCTTACTTGTAAACAAATATGGCATGTCCTGAGGTCCACAATTTCAATGGCATTTAAAATGTTAGTCAAGAAGTTGTGAGTAGAAGATACTGAAACTTTAACTTAGGTCATTTTGTTATTTGTTGTTTTGGTTTATGCCCATTCTTAGCAAGACTGCCGACTGAGAAAATATCACTACCTATCAACTGCTCATTCAAGTGGCAAAAACTATCATCAACTATCAGTTCAAATTTGAACATGTCCGAACTACATGATAGTTGATGATAGTAAATGATAGTGCATGATAGTTTGTGTTCAAATGTGCTTGATATTGATAACTATCATCAATTATCATAACTGTTTAAACTGGACCTACTTTTGCCCTAGTAAGAAGTAACAAGTATACCACTAACCTTCTTCTGTGTCATGAAGTCTTCATATGATCCTGGCATATTAAAGTAGAAGAATATTGCCACAGGAAAAAACACATAAAGAACAATCTGCAAAAACGTTAAATTTCTTTGGTATTGGCTTCAAAATTAATCGAAAATCGGGCTATGAGCTCTCAGCCATTCACAGTACATACTTCATGTCAGAGGAAAAAGGAGTAAAACTTTCTTATTTTATTACCTCTGGCCTCTCAACATACTAGAAAAAAGTTTAAAATTTGCAGGGAATGGTCACTTTTCGTTACATCTCGTGTAAAGAGGTTAATCAAATGCATTGTTTTACGAAATAAAAACCATCAGACGTGCAATACCTGTGTTGGAAAAAGAATTCCCGGGCAGTCTTAGCCCTTGCTTGAAAATTTGATGTAATAATAAAAACGACATCACTATTGATCCAAGTATGACCTGACCTAACTAAAATTTAAAAAAAGCTTAACAAAAAACACAAAGAGTATAGAAATTACCCGTCCTAGTTCTATCTTCGATCCGATCGCCATCTTGGACGAGGAAACTGGTACGTACTCGCGCAGTAGCCTTGATACGCATACATATAGGGAGAAAGCCGCTAGGGTTGTGATTGAAGTATGAGCCTGCGCTATCTCCGGACATAAACATGGCAGTCTCAGTTGGTGTTCCATCCATCTCCCAGGTTTGTGTTGTCTTTTTTAATGCATTGTTTTAGATTATCGTCGATTGGAACATTTTTTGTCGAATATTCATGTTTCATCTCATAGTACCCCTCCGATCTCGAGAGATTTCTGTCATTTTACCAATCAAATTTCCAGCTTTTTCTTGCTCCCGTGTAAGCTAATAATTTGCAAAATTAATAGGTAATTTCTAGTTGCACAAATTCAGTCCATCGCTCTTGGCTTATCTGAAATACACCAGGCGGGTTCAGATGTTTTTTTTTTTATATACAGAACAATGTATTTAGATGCTCTAAAGAAAATAAATGCCGCTCGTTGGTGAGCTAGTCCGTAACAATATTAATCAAGGCAGGCAGGAAGATGCGAAGATGTTACCTTGCCCATTTAATTGTGAAATTTCTAAAGCAAATTCGGCGCGTAAATTACAATTTTTTTTTATATTTAGTGAAATTCTCGCGACTGCTGTAGTTTTGTTTGAAATTGACTCTGTTTCCAGCGTGTTTCTTTCGTGACATTTCCTTATCAGTGCATTGTAAACATAGATTGAATTTTTGAAAAATCTAATCTTTATAGTAATAACGTGCTCTTCATATGTTCTTCCTTGATAATGGCCTGTTACATTCACAGCTGTCAGCGGGACATGCGACTGTCTATGAGAATTTTTTCAGACAGGTATGTTTTAGTTAAGTTTTAAAAATGTTAGCATCATATAATTCGAAACAGAAACAGTTACTTAATGAGTTGTTACTTACATTTTTGATAGCACCAGTATTAACAAGTAAAAGAAATGCGAGCTTGCGGTTCATTTCTTGTCTAAAATTCGGGCTCGACATTTGTTACATTATATTTGAGAGTTATACTGAAAGTGAGCATTTACTAGATGACGACAGAAGATCGATTTAATTATAGACAGTTTTGAATAATTATGGAATTACCGACTCGTGCGCTGAATAACAAATACCTGGAAAAAAATCAGAATTCATTTGCATGGAGCATTGCCCGAGGAACCAGGATAATTTTTGCTATGCAAAGACCATATGTATTGAGACTATTTAAAAGCCAACATATGCATATTAGAGAGAAATGAATAATCACAAAACTGTTCATAAAAATAGAAAATTATTTTGTCTTGCTATTGTTTTACTCAAGGAGGTAAGTTTCTAAAGAAACTGTGGTGCAGCATCAATGGGTGATATTTCAAGACAATTTGGTTTCATCAGCTGAGTTGATAATAGGAACTGTATGTTAACCCTTTAACTCCCAGATCAAATTTGTCATTCTCCTTCCTGTTTACCATATAATTTTTATTATGTTAGTTCAGAGAATTTAGTATTGGATCAACTTATTATCCCCAAATTAATATTTTTCTTTATTCTCATCTCTTATCTGGTTGATATTGTATTGATATTGTAAGGAGAAATTCTGTCTTGGTCACTCATGGGAGTTAAAGGGTTGACAAGACTACCTAAATGCTCAGCCAGAATTGTACTCGATAATTACTTTTTTTCTGTATGTGTCTTAAATTATTTTAACAGGCAGATGTGTCTAACACTGGTCAAATTGGAGCATCTGATGCTGCAGCCTTCCTTAAAAAGTCTGGTTTAAAAGAGGGAATTCTTCACCAGGTAAGCATAACAGTTTTCCATTGTTAACTGTTTTATGTAGTGGAGGCAGCTTTTATAGTACATCTTCTGTAAATAATAATTATATGTTACCAAAATGGCATGAGGAGTTTTTTAAAGAAGATACTTCGTGTTTTATTGCAAATGAGATGATTAAGCTTAGAGTAATAATAACTGACCAAGAGTATTGATCAGTTGGTATGAACTTAGTTTGAATATTATGATAATCAGAATTTTACTAACAGAGAAGGGAGTGAACCCAATCAGCTTCACCAGAGCCCCATTAGCCAACAGATTTCCTGGTTGATCATAATAAGCCTTTATGGCAACTGTGTGAACTTTTGTAGATTTGTTTTTTTATCAGGCGTCCCCATGTTTTGCAATTCCATACTTTGCCTGTTTCCACCTCCCTTAACATGGACTGAGGGTTGGACTTGGGAAGTATATGATACATGTGTCTGAGAAGATGTTCAATGTTAACTGCATCCATTCATTTTTTACAGATTTGGGAGCTATCTGATCCACAAGGAACTGGATTTCTTGATAAACATGTAACAATATATGGAATTACTTTTAATTATAAATTTAGCACTAGTAAATTGTTCTCTTCTTCTTTATCAAATCTTTTAATACATTTCAGAGATGTTCTTATCAGTAAACTGCTTATAATCAATTTTACAGAGATTTTTCTTGGCACTGAGATTGATTGCCCTAGCACAGAATGGTAAAGATGTCTCACTGTCAAATCTGATGTTGCTAGTTCCAGCACCAAAAGTAGTGAGTATATAATGCTTATCAAATGCTGCTGCAATTTTTACAAATACATTTGGGATTTTTTTCAGATTTTTCTGTTTCCCTGCTTTCAAAGGTTTAAGTTTGAAGATTATGTTCAGTTTAACACTCTTGGACTTTGGCTAAGCAGTACTGTATATTCAAAATTCAGTGTTGTAGTTGGTGTAAAGAAATGCTGTACATGTACCTATTGTGTTTTTTTTTTGTACACACTCAGTAATCAAACTTTTGAATAAGTTACCACCTGTAAATATAATTTTTTCTTTCTATTGATTGTTTCCTGTTCCTTAACCCCTTACACCCTAGAATCAGTATCCATATTCAAATTTTTTTTTTCAGGGTGATGTGATGCTTCCAGCTGTACCCCCTCCACAGGAAAGTACACTATGGGCTGTAAAACCAGCAGAAAAAGCTAAATATGACAACATTTTTGAAGTAAGTCAACCTAAGTAGAAGTAGAATCTATGATCTTGAAAAAATGTGGTATTAATTTATTGTTTCAATTTAATATGCCAATAACTTTCCACCTTCAATAATTTGCAAAAACACTTTTTCTTAATTTAAGGGGCTACAACCAGTCAATGGTCTTCTTCCAGGAGAAAAAGTGAAACCTGTAAGTTATGAGTTTATTGATTAGTGAATTTTATATACAGCCCTGTTATAAGCAGCTAAATAGTAACAAGTCTTTTTGAAAGTGATTTGAATATTTATTTTTTTTGCAGAAAAACTTTTTTTAGTTCAATCACTTGAATAATGTTTTTTTCCATCTTGTAGTTAGCTACCTCAAATGGTTATGGTATTTCTGTTCTTTATATTGTCTCTATATTGCCTTATACTGTAAAGCAGATGATGATATGTCTCTAACACTGACCTTTTTTTTCAGGTTCTTTTAAACTCAAAGCTTCCTATTGATGTGCTTGGTCGTGTGTGGGAGCTTGCTGATATTGACAAAGATGGAATGTTAGACAGTGATGAATTTGCAGTGGTAAGAAAAATATGATTCATTATTTATCAAGATAAATGGCACATTTAAGCCAAGTTTAAATCAAATTAAGGTTCAAACTCAATTTCTTTCAAGAGTCACTCAGATTTCTTTTGTTTCCATCATTGATTCTGTCACTGTGAGAGTGTGAAAGGAGGTAACTTAGTTACTTGTGAAAATACTGTAGTTATTTTTAAGAAGTTCATGGCAGAGTGCTGACTTGTTATTTTATTGTAGGCAATGCATCTTGTGTACCGTGCATTAGAAGGAGATCCAGTCCCCCTAACGCTTCACGGCAAGCTTATACCTCCTTCAAAAAGGAAATTAAAATTGTCTTCATCAGCTCCTTCCTCACCATCTCCAAAGGGACTTACTCCACCATCAGTCAGCAGTTCTGTTCTCTCCACAGGCACAGTGAGTTTTATTCTGAATCAGTGAAACATTATTCAACTTTTGGGTCCAGAAAATATCCATGCCCTCCCTTCCCCTTTAAGGATTGGTCAACCCTTCCTACCCCTGTGAGGATTGGTCACTTGAAATTCCACATGGAAGATGATGGGGTATCAACTGCCTAAATATTCCAGAAAAAGAATAACCAAACTGAAATTTCTCAATTTGTGGATGGCTGAAAACCATCTCCTTTATGATAGGAACATCAAATTCTATTTTCTAAAAAATCCAATATTGTTGCTGTACAAGTATGTAGGACAAGGTTGCAACTGTATTTAGCACATCAAAAACAAGGGTTTAAACTTTCCAAACAGCCAGAAAATAGAATGATATATGTTATTGTAGAACTACATGTAGAAAGCATGTGAACCTGGTTGTCTGAAATTATCTGTAAACAGAAAATTCAGTGTTTAATCTCCTGCCAGATGTCTATTAAGTTTTTAGTGTATTCTGCAAGGTCAAACTGTGAGGTCAAACAAGGTGAAACTATCTTTCTGACCAGTTAGGTGTATTTTGATAAAACCAAGCACAGCCTTGTCTCTCGTGTTTTCTCACTCTTCTAGCATTTTGCTTGTTTTTGCTTTAAGAATTACTTTTTAGTAATTCCAAACAAATTATTACTTGCTATCTCAGACTACTCAGGAAACCCCATGGGTTGTTACAAGTGCTGACAAGTTGCGTTATGATGCCATGTTCAAACAAGCTGATAAGGATGCTGATGGACTTGTTTCTGGTATTTTTAAATTCAGTGATGTTCCTAATTGTTAAATTGTCATCTGCAGTCCAGTAATATTGTTGTTCAAGGTGTACACTTTTGAATTTTTTCCCCTTACATGAAGAAGAAAATGTGTGAACTTCCACATCTTTAACAGTTATAGAGACTCACTTGTTGAGATATGGAAATGTTGATTTGGTACTTTGGCAGTGCCATTTTGAAACAGGAAACTTTTATTTTCCAAAACAATGCGGAACAAAGCAAGCTGAATGCATTGAATGAGACTCACTCTTTAATACGCGCTTTTTTCCTTGAACGAAACACAAAAAATGCATGAAGTTTATGTGTATATGTGGGCCATCTACCTCTGGGCTGTACTGTAGGTGTTATTGGATTATTTTCACATACAGCGGAGTTGTAGACTAAATCATACAAATTATGTAACTTATTCCGTCTGGTTTTTTTTTTCATTTTGTAGGAGAAGAAGTGAAGAGTATCTTCATGGCATCTGGGTTGCCGCAACAAGTTCTTGCTCACATATGGTTAGAAATACTTTTACATGATGCCACATACCATGCATTACATAATCATTTTATTTATGCTAGTGCTAGTTTGAAATAACCATAACTCTAGTGTTAAAAATTCTTCTAAAAAAGGGCTGACTGACTTGAATATGGCGTCATGATACATATAAGTGTGTAGTTTCTGCAAATGATTTGCTGCTCTGAAGATGATATTTTGGCGGTGGCTGTTTTGGATCACTCCATTTCAATTCAGTGTCAGAAGAGTTTATGTTTGCTGTGTGCAACTATATGCAATAATGGAACATTTTATATTTTTACCATACATAGTGTTGAGTCACAACTGGTATAACTCAACACAAACTTGCCTAATGTTATTTTACTTTTCTTTAAGGGGACTGTGTGACACAACAGGCCAAGGACGCCTAAACTCTGAGCAGTTTGCCCTTGCCATGTATCTTATACATCAGAAGGTTATGGGTGTAGATCCACCACAAGCCTTGCAGCCAGAGATGGTTCCACCCTCCATGAGGAGTGGAAGTGCTGGCAGCCCTGCTGGGGGAGAGGAAAGAGTAAGATTCAGTTTCTTATAGATTATACTTATTAGGGATGGCTTAGTGGATTTACCATCAATAATATTTTTTCTTGTTTCCTAACTGATTCAAATGTAATGTTATGGCTAGTTGCCTGAAAAGTTTAATCTCACATATACAACAGATTTTCAGACATGTTTTGGAAGTTTGATTTATTTACTTTACCACCAACTCATCATGTGACAATTTATTTTTATATAAGGAGAAAGGATTTCATAGGATTTGAGTATTGGAGAGTTTTTTTCTCTTTTGTTCTTCAGGAGGGGGGAGGTGCTGGATCTGTCATTTCAACACTGAGTGATTTTTCAGCCATCAAAGAGCTGGACAAAATAACCAAAGAAATTGAAGACCTTGGGAGGTTAGTGTAATACCATTAATATTGAATTAAAATTTTATTTAGATGGTAACTACAATTTGTCATTTAATAATGGACTAAGGAATTTGCCATGATGTGTTTAGATTTTTCTGTTGTTATATAAGGTATTTCTTCACCTGATTTAGCTGTTTTTTTTTTTTTTTTTTACTTTTAATGAGAAGGAAATATCTTCAGAAGGCCCCCTTGACATATACATTTCAAAATAAAAATTCACTCAACCTTCTTTAAGTGTCCCAAAATGCTTTATACTATACATCTTTAATTTTGTTCCATTATCCTTTTAGCTTTGTGAATACATATTTCATATACATATTTCATATACTTTGTTATAATTTTTTTACGTAGAGAAAAAGCCAGCTTGCAGCATGAGATTGAAGAGAAAGAAGAAATGATCAGACAAAGAAATGGAGAAATACAGGTAAATTGTCATGTTATCAGTGTCTTATATGAAACTTGTTATTTGTCCAACATCATTATGGCTATCTTACTCTTTGTTTACAGAATCTACAGAGTGAACTTGAAAAAACTAAACTGAAATATCAAGAATTAGAGAGACAAAAAGCAGATTCACAAGGCAAACTTGATGACTTAGACAAAGAGGTGAGACATGTCTGTACAGCTCTCACTCTTCTACTTTCTGGCATTCATCTTAACTGTGATATTTATAAACAGTTTTCCTTATCAGGCTTTGTGATAAGGTATCTCTCTATTTCTCTTCACTATGCCAGAGTTGCAAGACAAATTCTGTTCTAAACTTTGTCTTTAACCCTTAAACTCCCAAGATCTGATTTTTAATTCTCTCCTTAGCTGCTACCCATTTCCTTGTAAATTGGTTTTGAGAATTTGGTGTTAGATTAAGATGACAACTTCTACCTGATACATTTGAGTATTCTCATTACCTGTTTGCTGGATAGTGCATAGATATTGTAGGGAGAAGTTACTTTTTAATCACCTCTTGGAGTTAAAGGGTTTATTTGATGTTTTTTATTCTTGCTCAATCCAAGGTATTGCAAAGGCGTGTCAGGGGAGGATCAGGGTATATCTAGCCTCCTCTTTGCAGAGATAAAGGAATATTATATGATAACAAAGCAATTAGACAGTCTAATAGCATCCTTGTGCCAATAAGAAGCTAGTGCAGAATTTCTTGAGGGGAAATTATGTCTGTCATTGTGTTTCTGTGCAGAGCATTTTCCTGCTGTCCTTAGTCACACAATAACTGCTTTGCCTGCCTGATTGTCACTAGTGTTGTTTATTTTCCTTTCTTTTCCAGAAAGCCAAATTGGAAGAAATGTTGAAAGATGCAAAGCAGAAATGCGAGGAAGAAACAAAAACGGTTAGAGTAGTTCAAAACAGTAAATACTAATTGGACATCTGTTTCTGCAGTGCATGAATAATTACTAACATTGGGAATTAATGTAAAAATGAAAGGAAAATATGATTTTTGCGAATCTCTTTTCCAGATAAACAGTTTGCAGGCGCAGATCGCATCTTCGAGAAAATCAGCCCTGGTATGTGAATCTCTTTTATTTCTACACCTTTTACCAAACAGTAGAAAAAAAAATTCATTCAGTTAAGGAAGCATGCCCCTCTCTAACAAAGACTATGGGGATCGAAGGTTTTGTATTATTCCCCCTTTCCCCGTCCGTGAATCCATGTATAATCTTACGTGCTAATAAGATGCTTGTGAAGGATCCCAACCCCACCCCTGTCTATAAAACCCTCCCTACTCCTACTACCTAAATGTTGGTTTTGGTGTGAGGAAGAAAGTACATCTTATTTTTCACTTTCTGTTTTTTCTTTTTTTACTTGTAAAAGCTTGAACTGCTGATCCATAAGAAACCATGAACTAGATAGTTTTGTGAGATGTTATCTACAATTTTTGATTAATCATCCCTTTTACAGCAACAAGAAGAAGAACTTAGCGACGCGAGAGATGAATTGAACAGAATTAGAGAAGACGAAACCAAGCTAGAACGAGAGGTGATCAGAGGATTACTTCTTTTTCTGTCATTTAAGGTTGGAAATTTCGTTTCAACGGTGAATTTTACGTCTACAGATCGAGTCCAGTAAAGAACACCTAGAGACAGTCCAGAAACAAATCAAAGCTGTTCAAACAGAAATTTCGCAGGTAAGTAGAATGAAATCTTTGAGCAAGGAAAGTCCAGGTTATAGACATCATTCACCTCTTTTCTCTCTCCTGAACAACAATTTCGGAACCAATATTTCATGCATTCAAGCGAGCTCCCACTCATATCGCAAGTCTCTTTCACTTCATGAGTTTAGAAAGGATATCAATTACGAATATTTCTTTTCTAGGTCAGATCAAAGGTTTCAACACTTGAAGAAACAAACAGTAGCCTAAACGCCAATATCGCACATTACAATTCGTTGATGAACTCCAATAGTTTGTCCAGTGGTCCAGCGTCCATTCCGGATTTTGCACCTCTGACAGATGCGTTTGACATGACGCCGACTCCTTCAGAAGCCGATGCCATGAGTGTCAGGGCGACGGTAAGTATGGTAGTGAAAGCAAACGCGATTAAAAAAAAAACAAAAATACGTCCTCAATGTTTTCACTTGACTAGTCGCCCAAGGCAAGACTTTGACGGTGATTGGAAACAGTGTACTGATTTTTAACTGGTACTCTGTGGGTGTAAAACCAGATAAAAGATGGCAGCCACTCTCAAGATTGTCAAATATCAAAATTGAAGAATAGTTTAAGAGATGTCGTGGTAAATGTTAAAAAACAAATAACACCATGGGGAAGTACGGCTGCCGAAGAGGGTCTTTTGAATGGTCACAGCACAGGACGTCGTTAACCCTTTAACTCTCAGAAGTGATTAACATGTTAATTATCCCTATAATATCTATTCATTAACCAGCAAACAGGTGATGAGAATACTAAAACTCATCAGGTAGAAGTTGTTGTCTTGATCTAATGCCAAATTCTTGTAAGTAATTTACAAGGAAATGTCTAGCAACAAGACCAGAAAATTGACAATCAGAGCTTGGGAGTTTAAGGGTCAACAAGGTCAAACCTTAGCACGATGAGATGCATCTCCATAACTGGCTTCTTGAAATTAAAAGGTGGAAGTTTCTTTTTTCGTTTAGGCCGGTAGCAGTCCCGTGAGCAGCATAAGTGGCTTTAGTGTTGGATCTGGTCGAGTAGATGAAGCTGTAGATGATTTTAAGGTTGGTTACTTGTTTGAAATTTAAGGAGTTTACCACAGAACTATGTTTCTCTAAACTCTTTGTTTTCATCGTCGAATATTCAAACTTGAATCAACTTTCTAACTTCTTGGTTTCAGGATACAGATCCCTTCAAGAGCAAAGAAAATTTATTTAGTTCTTCGGAAACGGGTAAGCAGTAATTTTGTCACATTTTCCATTGTGAAGTCTTCATTTCGATTTCTTTACCTCTTTTTTTTTTGTAGTTAATATTGCCAGGTGTTTTTAGACCAGGATACAGGGAATATTTGGTATTAAGTCTCTGCCCTACCAGTAAATTTAAGAGTTTGACATGGTATAGTTAGAGTGAGATTAAATGAAAAGTTACCACATCGACCTAGCAGAACATAGGTATACAACTCAAAGAACCAATGAGAAATTCAAGGTAGTTGCATGTGACCGGCCTCAAGCGCGGGAAACAGGAAAGACCAAGTTACGATTAGTTGTATCTGATTGGTTGATAAAGAAGCACGAGTTTTCTGAACCAATCACAGAGCGACACTAAATCAAATATTGCTTTTGCTTATATTCTCTTTCAGAATCTAACGATCCTTTCCACGTAGACGATCCTTTTAAAACAGACCCATTTCATTACAAGAGCGTCTCGTTCGCGGACCCTTTCCCAGGCGATCCGTTTGAGGTAAGACTACTTTGACGTATACACCACCCCTGTGATTATTACACCGTCAGTTTTACATGTTTCATACTTAGAACACTGAGGCGCGTCATGACTGGCATTCACGTTCTTCCCAGGGCGAAGATTTGTTCAAAGGTGATCCTTTTAAAAGTGACCTTCCAGCCAATGCAGGAGCTAATGGTTCTGGGGCAGGAATAAGCAATGGTGAGTTGGCAACAGATTCTCCTAACTTTACATCTGTTGGGGTAAAATTTTTATGATATTGAAGAACAATCTTTTTAAAAATTTTTTTTTTTCAAGCTTGTGAAGAAGATTTTCCCAATTTCTGTCACTAACGGACACGTGTGTATCATCTGTATCATCACACTTTGTCGCTTCGCAAAAGGCACAACAACTCAGTTCTTTTCTGTTAACACAGAAATCCAGAGGGTGAAAGACTTCAGGCCCCTGTTTTTCGAAGGGTAGATAACACAATCTATCCATTGGATAGTGCAGTACGTTTTGTTAACATTTACCCTCTGGATAGTGATTTATCCGCTGAATAGCGTTATCCGCCCTTTGTTCAACTGGTTCCTCTGGTGGTTTGCCGTAAGATTACTAGATTCATCCGCTTCTTTAGCAAAGTGAGAGAAATGTTGTCACAATTGTTTACTGAAAGTGCTCTGACAGTCCATCCTGAATTAACTAATTATTATTATTATTTTACTTTTTGAAGGTTTATCGTCTTCACCAGCAAAATCAGATCCTTTTGCTATGGATCCCTTCCAGAGCACATTTCCAAGCAGCAAAGTAAGTTGTAATGTCTTCCCTCTTAATATTTGTTAAGGTCAGATATTCTACAAATGAATCACAAGTAACTCATCTACGAATTAAACCCCTTCCCACCCCCTCGCCCCCCCCCCAGGAAAATTCTACCTACTCCCCTAAAGAAGTTTCTTAGAATGAGCTGTGCTGTGGACTGAGAACAGTTCAGAGCCCCAGTGTAATATCAAAATTTTATTGTATCATGTTTTCCTTATCATTTCAGAGTCCGGCAGATAACTTTTTCAGCTCGGATCCGTTTAAACCATCTGGGAGTGGTTCAGATACTAAGAAAAGCACAAATAACTCACAGGATAAAGATTCTCTCTCTTCTGTCAAAGATCCTTTCAGCAATCCCTTTGGTCCTGATCCATTTGGTCAGTTTATTTATTACTTCTTCTGTCTCTTTCTCTCTCTCTTATTTAAATGATATACTTATGTATGTTTTGTTAGAAAACTTTGATCATTTGCTAAGTTCTAATTACCCGCCTTTTTTCTTATGTATTTTAAAATATCTTCAGGAGAAAATAAATGTGGTGCTTCAATTGTTTATCTCGGTTTAAGTAACGTATCTTTTTTTTGTTTACTTTATTCTAGGTTCCTGATGAAACTCGACCTTTCCCGATTAAACATGCCGAATTGTCTGAATGTCTTCAAAAGTGTCGGCAAGAACAAGATTATGGCTCTTGTAGTCTGCGGCCTCAAAAACTTTGTTCAAAGTTAACGAAAACTAAGCAACGACTGTATTGAGAGTCGATGGGAAAAATAGCAGTTTCGGTCAAAATTTAATTTTGGAGAATTAGCTGAGCCCGCGATCATCTGAGCAAGTTTTGTTAAGTGACTTTTTGATCAATTTAGATATCTGGTACGTTACTAACGTAACAGCGTTCGGCGTGCTGATGAGCCTTTACTGATAAGTAAGAACACTTGATTTCAAAATGAAATAGATGCGTGAAAAATTGTGGTGTTTTCGAGAGGGGTTCGTCTTCGCAGATTAAAGTGTCCGTTTGTGCGGTCTTTACTACGGGTTCAATTACGGTTGCTGGGGCGAATCAAATGACCGAAAACAGTGATGGCGGGCTCAGACAATACTATTGGTAAGGAAAGAAAGCAGAATATGAAGCTCGTAAAGTTCGCTCGCTATCCTTTCACATAAACCTATGCAAAGCACATTTTGAGTGACTGTTGTAAAAACAATAACTGAGTATTTACAACAGCCAGTCAGAACAAAGGTAGTTATTCCAAGCAGTGAGCGAGAGTACAAAGTACAAATGGCACACTACTTGTAAGACCAGAAAAAGCAGATGACTAAGTCGCGTTTTGTTTGAATTGGGCATCACATTTCCTGAAAGGATGACTCGAGTTTCTCGTACCAATTACAGAACGAAGTCAGAGCGAGGTGTGAACCATAACCGTTGAAATGTCGGCTTTCTTTCGAAAATTGCTCTGGATTGGCCGACCCTGCTTACCTTTATGTAAAGGAATAGAGTTTGCTATGAGTTCCTTTTGTGAACAAAGTATGTTTTCATTTCGTATTCAAGGAGTTTCCCCTTCACTCTCAGAAAAAATTAACATGTAACCTCTTCCTATAATATCTATACATTACCCATCAAAGGTAATATGAATACTCGAAGTTATCAGGTAGAAGTTGTTATCTTGATTTAACACCAAATTCTTGTAACTAATCGAAAGGAACTGTTAAGCAGTTAAAGAAGAGAATTAACAATTAGAACTTGAGAGTTTATGGATTGAGGTTGCATCGCGTTACTATTTTTGGATTTTTTTAGCTGACTCAACTTCTTTGTCAAGTGATTGGTCCAAGGACGAGTTGTTGACAAAAGCTCATTTGATATGTCGGGAACGTATAATGTATTTAATCACTGAATTATTTTATTTTTAATCCACAGCAATAAACACATGCTAAGAACTAGGAATTTTATTGAACACACCACAGATGCAACTGATTCTTGCCTTGAAGTCTTAACATTGCTTGACGTCACTGCTGACCTCAGTGAATGAAGTAAAATGTGAGATAAACTTGAACTATAGTCACAAATGAGTCCATCTTGTTTGAAATAAAACGTGACGTGACAGTATTACGTTGGATCCTTTTGCAACACAACGAAAGGTAGAGCAATCTTTAAGGCGGAAATTAAGAAACGTGTGGCAGGCTTTCGATAAAGCGTATTCCAGTAAGATAGCTTGTGCTTAAGTTGCGTAACATAAAAGCATTCCAAGTTGTAAAAAGTGACCAATCTCCTTTCAGTAACTAGCAGGATGCTGGATCAGGAGGAAATCGTGGCTGCACATCGAAACCGTGTTCATGATTGGAGCTAAACAAGAGTTGTGCGTTACGGCTTTAGTGTCTGGAATCAGATCCATGATAACAAATGTTAAAAACGTTTGCGCGCTTTGTTATCTAACTAAAAGAAAAAATACCGAATCAGTAAAAGTTTATAACTTCGCCCCTGGCAACAACAGAAGCTACGCGAGTAACATTCATTCCTCTGTTCAGTTCCGATAATCTAATCCATGTCGCAGAAATATCTCGTATGCCTTGCGCTGTTTTTTAAGTTCCTAACTTCAAGCTTGTTCTCCGCGGATTCTTCGTCCCAGCTGAATAGCATTCGGAATGTTAACGTTTCGTCTTCCTCCGTGAACTGGAGACTGAAAGCTTCTTATTTCACTCAGTGTCTCGTTGTCAGGTCTGTAGCGGGTCATCTTTCTCTCCCCGTTTAAAATTCCGTTTACAGCAGTTTCGTTTTTCTGCTCCATAACAGATTCTTCTGGCCTGACCATCCTTTGACTTTGTTTCTCGAACGGTACGCAAAGAACACGCAATAACTAATGAATTCACGCTTTTGATTGCAGTTTATGAAGGGCGATTTTGAAAACCGCACGTTCTGCCTAAATGAAGAATTTTCATTGGTCGAAAGAGTAAGGAAGCAAGATTTAATTGGTCGGAGAGATAAACAAAGGAATTGATATTTTCACACATCCTGCATATCTTATAACTTATAACTTACTCAGAGTTACTCTAGTTCAGTGTTGGAAAATCTGCCCGACACGATAGATTCGCCACATTTTTTCAGAGTTAGATGAACAAAATATTTCCTAGTTCTTTCAAGTTCTCATTGACTCTGAGCTTGGCTTTGATTGAAGTGCTGTAAAACAGATACTAATTACCCTTGAGAAAAGCAATTTTAACTACGTTTTCATTTTAGTTTTTAAGTAGTCGCATGTTTATAAACGTTTTTGTCCATTTTACAATATGCTCTAATTTCTTTTGTTAGCCAAGACTCCATCGTTCGTCTGTAGCCTGCCTCTAGGCGTTTTACTCTCTCCAAGTTATCCTTTCAAATCATCTACGGTCAGAAGCATCTTCCCATCAACTATTGTCCCATTTTGTTAAACTATCAACTTTTCTGCCTATACGCAGCCTTTCTGTCACTTGTATTCGGCGACGACTCTCCTTCAAACTACACTTGCCGTCTGTTTCTTTGTTGCGGGCTTCTTTGTCTACCTACCGTCGCTTTTTCTTTTCATGCCGCGCGTCAGAGTTGAAAGAAATGCGCTCTACGGGTTGCCTTTGTAGCGAGCCACTTCCGAGGAGCTTGTCTACCACTTGAATAACGAACAGTTTGCAACTGATGTGCAAGTTAGTAGATCTCGAGTTACAAAAAAAGTAAACCTTAACGGTTTCAGTGGTTTTCTGTCATGCTGTTCCACACTCTTGAAGTGATAGCGTGCTTCGCGCTAATTGGAAGAAAACAAAGGTATTTTTTTATGGGTCGGTAAAAGTTTTGAAAACAATTGTATTCCTAGTTTGATCTGATTATCCTAAGTTTTCTTTGTTAAAGCGTCTGTGTTTAATTTTAAACCCGTTAGAAAATTTCACAAGCATATTTGGGACTCTCTCAACTCATGCCCTGTGTGTAGGCTAGGCGAAGCTATTCACATAGGCAGAATGGGATTGTTAGTCGAACCAAGTTGTTTGTGGTAGCCAGACTACGCCTTCTGTAGTCGGTCTTATTTTTGATGATATCCATGATGCAGAGTTTGTTTACTTTGACAGCCAGTAACTGAAACTATAGGTTTCCTTTGAGATTGGCAATCAGGCTATTTAGAGATAGCCGATGAATGGGCAGGTTATCAGCCAACTGGTATCCGGTCGTTCCGCCCGAGAACTATCCGCCTGAACTTCGAAGTAATTTCCCCCGATGTATATGTCGTCTTATCTATGCGTTGTGTAGAGTTCTTGAACATGGTATCTTAAATAAAACTAATGTTTTATGAGTTTTTGTAACGAAGCACAACATGAATAGTTTAATATTTTTGCTGAGTTGTATACTGACTTTTGATATATAGATTTTTATCGCTTTTTAATTTATTGGTAAATATAATTTTTGTTTTCATTTTGTAATCTATCATATTCCCTGCGGTTTCTTTGGATATTTTTTAATTTATTGTAAAGCGCATTAGATCATAAACTTATAAGGAATTTTGCGCTATATAGGTATTAAATTTATTATTATTATTATTTTGTTTATTATTTTTATCGCAGAAGTTCTGGAGAGGTTCAATATCCCTGCGGTTGAATGAGCTGTTGTTTTGATAACACGGTCAACAAATATCTACAAATATTACTAAAAGAAAAAAAAAACAAAACAAAAAAACGGAGTAACAGCGTCATCTTTGTAATTTAATGCACTGTTTGTTCTTCGGGCGGATCGACTCCCATTCTCGGGCGGATTGACTTCCATTCTCGGGCGGATTGACTTCCATTCTCGGGCGGATTGTCTTTCGGGCGGAACGACCGCAATTCGGAGCCACCAAATCTTATAAAAGACATAACCAGCTCATAGGCCCCCACTAATGAATTTCTCTGTTGTTGAGTATAGTTATCCTACCAATAGTTCGTGTGGGAGCCTCTGCTGAGCAAATCTGATCTACTCCTAAGATCTATCCAGTTTTTAAGGGAAGGTTTCTAAAGAGGAAATTTTCAGAAGCAAACAGATCCCCTAACATTATTAAGATCACAAAAGTAAGACCACCCCCTCTCAGCCAATCAGCTTCGCGTAAATGAATCATTGCATCACTGGTCGAAAAATTCCGCCATTTTTTGTTTTGGTAACAGTCGCCTGTCGTATTTTGGCAAACTTTTAGAACTTCAAGTGATTTTCTTCGGTACTATGGGGGTTATTAATGTTAACGAACATTTCCGACATCGTCGTAACCAAGGAATGATCGAAAATTATGGAGCAGATCAGTAAGTACCGCCGCATTACATAACTTGATTTGTTTACCTTGAGCGGTTTTGAGGTGGGAGCCGGCCTTCCTTTCCATCGCCACGAATCAGCTGATTTTTTTGTCTAGTCGTTCTAGTTAGCTTTCAAGTGTGATCGTCATTAAGAGATCAAGAAACTATTTCGAACGATTAAATGCCTGTATCACTTCTCGTGATCGTAAGATGATAACAGGTGATCGAAACGGCGTTGAAAACAGAATAATATTATTATTTGGCGTTTTTTCGGCTCAATCGTAATAATTTTGTTTTCGGCGGACCACTTTCATCTTCGCTGTACCATGCAGGCTAACAAAACGTTTTAGCTATGTCAGCTGTGGGTCAAAATACACTCAGCTGATATATATTATTAAAAACCGAAGCCGCTTTGCTCTTTCAGTGCTTCAGAGGAAGAGTACTTAGAACCTACACACCCTCAGACTCCCCAGCAAGACTCAAATCAAAGGCGGCATACACGTAATCGATCGCAAAAGAAAAAGGTACAATACAACTCAAGGAACGCTGGACGCAGAGTGAAAACCGGAAGCCGGCCGATGAGAAGATATGAAAATTGTAAGTCAAGAGTTAGGCAAGAGAAAACCTGAAAGCTGAGTATTTGTTTCTTAACACTAATTCTATCTGTTTCAAAATTGTAATTTTTAACCGTGAAATATTTTAGAGGGTGTCAATGACGTGATATTCCAACATCCCACATCCATTTGATTAAGTACACTCACCCTGGTTAAACAAGATTGGGTGGCTAGAGGGGAGGGGGGTATAATCAGAGGACATTGGACGAGTGAGTCAAACTGACAACTAGATAGTTTTTGTGGCCCTTTGTTTGAAGATACCTCTTTCTGCTTCAAAGTTCAACGCCTCAGCCTTCACTCACTCAGAGTAGTTTTAAAAAGACTGCAATGGCAAATTTTAAGCTTTCCTTTTTTTTCTCCTTAATCTTAAATTCAGTGTGTTTTCTGCTGAGTTTGGTTGACCATGAGGAAATTGGAGAACTTGACATCTCTGATTTAGTCAGCAACAACACATCCGTGTTTGCAAAACTTTTGAGTAATGAAGAAAGCATGAAGGTAATGCTCTTAATTGTTTATTACTCAATGGGAGGTGAACAGTCGACACTTCGGTAAACGACTCAATTGTTCACCAATTCCTTGCCGACCAAATTTCATTTATCATCACAGGAATATTACATTTTTAATCAGACATGTGATGAGAATCAAGAGAACTATCAACAAAGGGATTCCATCAATCTGTCATGAAACCAAATATTTTTCAAAGTGAAATTATCAATTAAAGCCTTATCACATCACAGCAATTAACATTACAGCTGCGGTATCTTTGCCAGACAACAACTATGTACTTGACTCTGATTATAACTTCTACTCAGGTTGTGGAAACATTAGTCACTTCTACCAACTACAGTCCTTCAAAGGACCACACTCACACAGACAATCTGACTACACTATCACATAAAGCCTTGTCAGTCAGTAACGTAAGTTTTCATTGAAAAATAGATTTGGAATGGGTTTGTAAACCTCTCTGAAGAAGAACAAGAAGCTTTTATGGTTCCAAAGAGGAAAACAGCTGCACCTGTTCAGGATGTTGATAGGGGAAACACAGCTGAAGATGAAATCCCAACAGAGCGAGGTATTGTGTTTCTCTGCTTTATTTAATAGTGCTTGGTAAACATGCTTAGTCTTATTGATGCAGGTTTTTCTATATATTTTTTTTTTTACTTAGATGCAGTAGCAGTTGCAGAAAAGGCTTTCAACAGAATTGAAGGACGTATCAGAGGAACCCTTACGAAAAAACGTTTCCCAATGGTACTGCAGCTTTTTCAATTAATAAAGCTTTGAGAATTGATAATGACTCATTTTAAAAATGCAAAATTCCCTTTATAGTAAAATTACATTGATGAAAAGAAGAAACAAGATTGCTAAATAAAATTTCATGCTACCTTAATCTTCTAAGTACCCCGACCCCCTTCTCATGAAAACAAATTATGTTAAAATTTAGAAAGTTTTCTATCATTCTTTTATATTTTTTTATTTTGTACTTTTTTTGTCATCAGGGTGGCCTAAAATACCATGAACAGGAGGTGGTTGCATATTTTTCTGATGATCCCACTGCAGTCATGATTTCCTCTGTTCCATCCAGGTACGTAGATACAAATCATTTTTAAGGTCTACATTTATTCTTTTTGTTAAGGGTAAAAATATGAAAAAAAAATTGTGAAAATATATCACACTTTTCAACCAACAAATGAAGGGGGAAGTGGTGTTTGAGATGGATAGTTTACATTTGGATGTTACATTGACAATAACTAATGACAAATTAAAATAAAGTAAAATCCTGTTTTTTCTTTAGTTTTGATAGGCTGTTGGTGCATGGTGTATGTCAGTTCCTAGGTTTGAAATCAAAAAGTGAGTATTATAGCAGTGAAGCAGTTGTTACTTTGTTTTATGTTAAGGAGCAGTCACTGGATGTCAAGATTAGCCATAATCATGCAAGTTGTAATGTTTTTATGCTTCACCTGCATCAATTTGAATTTGGCTGTGTGGGACCTTTGAATGTTGTGTGAATCAATGAATTCCAGCCTAAATTTTATCTGTAAGGACCATTTTATGATTTATAGTCACAAAATGGGAACTTTGGAGGCCTTTATAAATATAAAGAAACTAAAGGTTATAACTATGGGTTAAAACAAAAGTTTCATCAAATCATTTGAGGTCTTATCTGCATAGCCCAGGAAATAAATTTTATGTCAACAGCAGCCCCACAACTAACAGAGCTGTTTGGTAAGAGCTGATTAGGGGCTGGGGATGCAACACTCAAGGGAACCTGTTTGGTGGCTAGCAACCAAAGAAGAGAAAACTAGATACATTCCTAAGTACTATAGCAAACTAATGTGGCTTTACTTATAATTTAATGTGTGATATCACTTTCTTTACTCCAAGGTACTAGTCGTAATGGAGACCACATCATGGAGATTGAAAATAAACAAGACACGTTTTGTGTTCCATCTCTCCTTCTCTCCCAATACTTGGAAAAGCGTAGATAACATTACAAATATGGACCAGTTGTTTATATCAGAGGATTATCAGACAACATTGATTATTAGTACAACGGTGTTTATAGAAATTTAATTGTGTTGTAGATAGCATTCAAAGAAATATTTCATTTTACTCCTGGATGCAGTGGTCATTACATTAATGAAGAAAAGATAACTGTCATTGTCAAACAAATTTAGTTTATATTACCTTGGTTGACACATACATGGGAAAATGGTCAATAAAAGTTTTTGGCCTTTTTCAAATTGTATCATTTTATCAAGTCACTATTTATAGCCTTGTTGGTTTCAAAGCGGGAGGTGAGATCTTAAGAATTTGATATGGGAAACTAGATAGTTAAACTTATGTACTGTATAATGTTATAATAAAAACTTATCCATTACAGATTAACAAGATGTTTCTTGGAAAATCAATCACACTACACCCTATATATGACCCACCTCCTGTAAGATGTCATTTAGACTTTCTGTCTGACAGTAAACTACCCCCACCCCCTTATAAAGAGGTCCCCCTATGCTATGACAAACACCTTCATATGCCCATGATAGTTGGAGTGTGCTCGGAATCAAATGACGATTTTAGTCATGTTTTTTATAGAGGGCTCTAAAGTAACTACATCTTAAACTGTGTGAACCCTGCCTGATATCAGCAAACAATTAGTGCAAAATGGAAATACATAAAAAAAACACCCCATAGCATCTGCATCAATTGCTGTTCTGTTGTTGTTGTTGTTGTCTTTGTCGTTGTTTTTCTTCAATCCCCATAAGCGCATGATTAGGTGACTGCTCTTTTCCGAATGTGTCAATTGTGGATAGGTAGCCATCACCTTTGAAGCATCAAGCCAAGGAGCCTTGCTACTCATTCATTGCTCTGCTGCTCAAGGCTTCACAGTGCACATCGAACCATTTGCCTTGCAGGCTTTTGCCACAGGCTGAACCTTTTAAAAAGACTCCCAGCTAAGAGTTCTGAATTGACAAGAGGTGAATGATTTATAAAGGATGTAGTTAACTCACTAACCAATTTTTCACAGGCAATTCACACCTTAAAAGAATCTGAATTACTTTTATTGTTTGTTAACAATATACAAAATTTTGAAGTTAAAAGTATCACACAAAGTCAAGACAATGTATCAGATGCTAATCTTTCAAAAACAAAAATAGCTCTATGGTATTCAAAAGGTCAAATATAGCTAGCAGCTTTGGCACTTGTTTACTAATGAAGATTTGTATTACTGTTAAACTGTATGCAGGAATGAAAATTTGATATGAAGCTAGACTGCCAAGACCACCAAAAACCTTCTTAATTCCTATATTTGCACTTACTAATAAGGACATAACATAGGATAACACAAGTAATGGGAAAGATTCCTGACTATTTCACCAGCCATTAAAAGGTAAATCAGACATTCCATTAGTTATGTCCTGGGCACTTAATTGAGAACTTAGTTAAGGAATGTCCTTGTTTTCAAATTTCAAATTGGGTATATTTTCCTTGTGCAGAGGTAAATTTGATAATAATTTTGCTATAATGTTTTTTAAAAAGCCTAACTAAAATACACCATTAAACCCCTGTCTCCCCCCTCCCCCTCCCCCACCCAAAAAATTTAAACACCAGTATTTCACAAAATCTTACATCTTGGAGTTACAAGGATTTATAAATCGAACATTATTTGGCACTCCATCATAAGGGTACAAGTGCGTAGAGCACATTTAGCTTTCCAGCAGGTATCAATGCACTCCACTTAACTTGATTACCTTAATTTACCATGGGATAAATTAATATTATCAGAATCTTAGTCATGATCTCTCCTGAATGTAGAGGTTTACGAGCATGCTCCATTTAATGAATGTTCACAATTCACAAGGTTTGGCTTGAATTCTGTAGAACTTTGTTCCTACAGGAACTCGAAACCTGTTGTGTGGCTAAAAATGAGGAATGAAAAGAAGATTTTGGTTAGGTATAATGTTACCAATCAGATTAACCCTTAACTCCATAACATCAGTATGCATATTCTTCATGACATTGTCTACACAGTTCTTAGGGGACTGAAAGGGAAGAGAATTTTTTAACAATCAGAAGCCTCTTCAGGTTGTGATCATTTCCATGATCTCATGAATGAAGCTAAACATGAGGGTGGTACCTACTATGCATCTGAGCTGAAATTCAAGGATAATCAAAATGGATAATAATCATTCAGGCATTCCTATTTATAAGGTCAGCACTGCTTTGAGCAGTAAAGATTAAGGCAGAGAATATGTAATGAAAACTTCGAGAGGGATTTGAGGAAACCTTCCAAAAAGAATTAGTTTAGACCAATAAATATTTCCTATTTCTCACTGCCATAAAATATTTCAGCAATAGTGATTGATTCATGGTCAAAGCAGCTTTCATAACAAGTATTAACCTATAACTCTACCTTTTTAGCTTGACAGTATTCTTTATCAGTCATCTGTGCAAGCATCCATGGTCTAAGAATCGAAATGGAAAAACAGTTTAAGTTTCCACCATGTTCAAATAGGATTATTTGTTTGTTGAACAGGTTGTGTTCAAATCAACTGAAAAAATCTTAAGAGCAATATAAATAACTTAACAAGGGGGAAAATAAATCAACAAAATTTGAAACTTACCGTTTTTTAGGGCCACCTAAAAAGGAAGAGGGAAAAGGAAAATCAGAAAAAGTGCTATTGTTATATCCTTTAAACAAAAAGCAGCAGTTTCCTCTAAAAATATTTGTCACCAATTTAAATATTAGTGAAACTTGTTTTAAAACACAATGCTCAAAAGTGGATGTTACTGTCAAACAAAATGAGTAAGCTTCATTAAACACCAAGAGGAGTTCTTCAAAAGCTGGTTGACCCCTTAACTCCCAAGATATCATCGTTAATTCTCCTCTCTAGCTTCTACTCATTCCTTTGTACATTAGTTTGGAGAATTTGGTGATAGATCAAGAAAACAATTTCTACCTGTCTAAGTTTGAGTATTCTCATAACCTGTTTCCTAAATAATGCATGGATATTATAGGGAGAAGTTACATGTTAATCACTTCTTCTACTATCAGCAGCCTCTTAGGCTAAAGGTCAGAAAGACCACCCTGCTCAATACTCACTTGTTGCAAGATCTAATCCTGCCATTGAGTCTGGGTGTAAAAAGAACAACGTTGGTCCTGTACTCAAAGCTACATAGTTCTCATATCGTTCATCAAATACGAGAAGAATCATATCACCACTTTGAAAGCTGTGGGGAAAAAAACAACACATGGTGAAGATACATTTATGTTATTGAGAGTTTTAATCTTAAAGTTGGAAATGTTAACACTAACGAGCTGCTGTTTCGCTTCTACCCCCTGGATGTGGCTTCCAATAAGAACAGTCCCTCTTTCCCAGCTAAGTCCAAAAGATCACTTACTATACTGAGTTGAGCCAGAAGCTTATAACCAAGTAAGTCAAGTCACAATGTAAACACTGATGACTGAGTAGTAATGCTGTTGATACAATTCATTTTTAAGATAATTCAATTTGACTTGTGAAATGAACTAAGCTAAGAAAAAACACCACTCCTAGCCTAGGATTTTATGATGTCAGCACCCACTTGTAATCCTAGATTATCTAAAGTGGAAAAAAATTTTATTCCATAACCAAATTTAGAACCAATTCTTACTCTCTCAGAGAGATTTTATCCATCTTTGATGATACTGCACTTGCTCCACCCGGTGGTTTTATCTGATTCTGTAAATATAAATGAACAAATACATGATATTGCTACTTGAAGAAAATATCATTCTTGCATGCTTATTCCCTATATGATACCACTCATCGTCATTAATACAGTAGTACATAAACCCATCCACTCCAAGAACTGACAAATAATTTTATTATTTTAAGCTCCTTACTTTTTTATATATACTTAATGACTGAGTGGGAGGGACAGATAGGAATATACATGGCTTAAAGTCATGACTCATGGACCTCTTGTCAGCCCATAAGGATTTTAACATGTGATTGTCCTTCTCCATTTTTTTCTATTCTTCTTTCAGCGTACAGCTTTCAGGGCCATATGTCTTGGTATAGCCTTGCTCATGCCAGAGCCTTTGGCCCTGCTCATGCCCCAGCCTATGGCCCTCATACAGTATTTTTTGTCACATTTTTTTCAATAAAAGTGTGTATGTGGCTATATGGGTCATAAAGTAGGGTGGGTTTTGTTTGATTCAACAACACATTCTTAGAGCTACCCTACCAAAAAATGTACTGTAAACGGTAAGGAGAGGTGATATTAGAATCTGGGAGATGAAAGAGGTAGGTTAGTTTACTTACTAGCTGTTGCTGAAGAAGTTTAATCTGTTGCTCTTTTGACTCCAGAGCCTGTAAAATATAAATATATTTTCAAGATCTTTCCTGGTTCTCTCATGTTAGTGAATCCGATTGGTGTAAAATGCATACCCTCATGGGGTGATCTGACTAGTGTGAGATATGTAACCTAACGCAGTGATCTGATTGGTGCATTGGTGCAAACAACATAACACTCGATACACTAACATAGAGTTATTTTATACATCCATTTTAAATATCCATCTTTCCATTTTATATATCCACCATTATATATATAATAACTAACTAAATGCTTCACTTTTTGGACTCACTTGTTTCAGCTGACCAAACTTGTCCACAGTTTGCTCTGACAACGTTTCAGTCAGCGTTTTGTTTTCCTGTAAAATGAAATGTTAATTGCAATAAGGTCTGTCATCTATATGACACTTGAACCTCCTTATTTTAAATACAAATTAAGGACATCAATTAAAAATTTGTAGTACCAAAAAGTATGCACAGGAACAACATTTAAAGAAGTGTGACTTAGAATTTGGTGATTTTAACATGACATCTTAATGAAGAGTTCATCACCTCTTCCAGGAATTTCATCTTCTGTTGATCATCCTCCTCAAGCACAGCATCAGTACCACACCTGCAAACAGTGGTTATGATGTAAGATTATAACAGACTATTACTTACACCTTTATGCCTAATAATTAATAAAATTCCCCTTTGCTCAAGTGTCAACACCCAGAGAGCTATCATCTTCAAGAGAACATCTCACAATTGAGTAAATATCACGAACTGACTCCAACGAATGGCTGTGTTTTAGTCCCAACTGAAGACCTGACCCAGTTTTTCAAAGGGCAGCTAACGCTATCCAATGAATCAATATTGCTTTTCAGCGAATAAGTGTCAACAAACTGTACTGAACTATCCACTAGATAGAGATTCATCCAGTAGATAGTGTTATCCACTGTTTGAACAACAAGGGCCAGATGTTAACTTCTCGGTAACTAATAGCCCAGTATGATTACATTCATCTCTGACTCACTCAGTTTCTTTATGTTTCCCTGGTAACCCTTGCGCTCTATTTGCTTCCCACACTTGTCGTTCAACTTGCAGCAATGCCAGTGCTGATGCTTTCTCCTGTTCAATCTGCTCTAAGAATTCAGCCTCTTTGTTTTTCATTAGGATGTCTGAATTCAGAATACTGGATTCTTTGTCTTGAAGAGCTGAACATGAGAATTTCCAAAAAGTATTTTAAATAACTGGTGTGAAAGGAAAGGTTTTTTAATTTAATGATGAAATGCCTCATGACTGCAGGCACAGGAATATCTCCATAGAGGTGCAGGCATAAGCCCTGGTTGGGATCCCTGTATTATAAACTTGAGTAAAACACTCAATGGAGGTTGTTGGGAAAATTTCAAAGAATCCTAGAAATAGTTAGAACTCGAGAATCAACTCTGACAGCTTCTATTTCCCAACAAAGGGAATTCATTTGAAATAACAAGAAAGATCAGAATATCTCTAAGCTTTCAATTACATGGAATAACACAAAAAGTGGTCAATACGTACTGTCTCCCTAAAATATCCATACATTGTCCAGCAAACATGTTATGTGAATAGTCTTAACAGTTGGAAGTTGTTATCTTAATCTAACACCAAATGCTTGTCACTAATTTACAAGAAAATGCATAGCAGCTAGAAAGGAGAATTGACAATCAAATCTTAGGAGTTAAATGGTTAACTGGCGCTTTCCAAGGCTGAAGTGACTTTTAGCATCTTATCCCACACTGCAGTAAATAGACTACAAACAAAATTGTAAAAAAAAAAAACACTACCTGCCACAAGCTCCTGTTCTCTTTTGCAAAAAGCACTGCGTGCTTGTCCAAACTCTTCTATCATCCTGTCTTTTTCCATTGCTAAGGACTTCATATCTTTCTCCTGTTGTTCAAGTAACTGTTTCAACTCTTTAATTTTTTCTTGTGCCTGTAAAACAGCATGTTCTTTCTCCCTCTTCAGTTTCATCATTATGGCATTAAATCGTATTTGCTGATCTTCCTCATAGCGTGACTTGTTTTCCTGAACCTTCTGTGCTGCACCTTCATGTTCTTCCAGTTTGGCTTTGTACTCTGTCACAATTTCACTCCACTTTTCAGTTTCTTCTTTATGTTGAGATTCATTTCTTTCCTTGTCAGCTTTCAGTTGTTTTAGTTGATCTAGAATTTCATTTTTTTCAAGCTCAAGTCTAATTTTGATCTCTAAGAATTCTTGTTTTTCTTTCTCAAACTTTGCATTCATTTGCACCGATTCTACTTCAAACTCCTCTTTAGTTTTTTGCATGTGTTTGCCACACAAATCCCCTTTTTCTTTTAAATTGCCAACAGCAAGTAAAACATCCTCCTTCATCTTTGATTGCAACTCTATTAACAGTCCTTTAGCATCATTCAGACCCTGACGCAAAAAATTGAGCTCATCCTTCACACAATCTTTGACCTTCATGTTCAATTGTTTAAATGTCTCTTTTTTCAAAATAGCCTCCTCCCAAGATTCTTGTGTTGATGTTAACTGATCTTGTAGCTGTTGCAATCTTTGAACCACATCGTTTGGAATTGACAGAGTAGTTGTCTCCAGCTCCTGGCTTCCAGAATCTAAAGCTGAAACATCAATAGATCTTTCAGTGCTCTGAGTTCCAGAACTAGCCAGAGTTGGTGTTTGACTAGCTTCCTCAAGCAGCCCAGTGCAGTCTTCTTGAACTTCACCCACAGGTTGTAGATCAGGTGAGATTTCCTTCTCATTGAAATTAACTTCTAAATCTGCATCAATAACAGTCACATAATCCTCATGTGCTGAACGAAAAACTAGGTCACTATCATCAGCTGCTGAGCTTTTCTCTGAAGAAGTATCACTGTTACTTTTCTTCCTCTCACTAGAGTTACTATCATGAAAATCCTCAGTGGTCTCTGCAGTATCCTGAGTACAGTAGTTTTCTGTTGCACCTTGCCTCCCTTCCTGTCCAGGAGTGTTCTGATTGCCACTACATGTCCATTGAATTTCTGATGAAGCATCCACACTCATTTGGGTAGCTTTGCTTTCAGAAGAAGACATGTCTACAATTGAAGATGTCACCTTCTTATCTGTAATACTATCACTAGTTCTGTCAAATTCTGCAGGAAATTGAGCAACACTGCTAACATTTTCAAGTTCTTCTGATTGTAAAAAACTGTTTTTTGCACCCTCCTCTCCCATGCTGACATTGACTGAACTAGACTCCAGATAAGAAGCTAGCTCTGGAATCTGATCTTTCAATTCTTGTAGGTCATTTTCAGATATGACTGGAAGCTGTTCATCAAAAGGTCTGGGTGGCTTTTCCTACAAAAAGAAGGTTAATAAGCATTAATGATTGTTTTAACCCTTGAGCTCCATGAGTAACTAGGACAGAATATCTCTTAACAAAATCAATACAAAATCAAGCAGACAAGTGATATGAATAAACAAAAATATCAATTAGGGGATTTTCTAATTGATCCAATACCAAATTCTCAGAACTAACAACACATGAATTGTTTGACAGACAGTAAGGAAGAATTATTGATAAGATCTTGGGAGTTGATTTGGTATTGATCCAATACCAAATTCTCAGAACTAACAACATCAAATGACAAACTAATATTAATAATAGGGATTAATTTATGTGTAAAATAGATAAATAAGCATTTCTGATGGGCAATACAGACTGAAAACATACCGCAAATATAGATGGCCTGTCAGACAAGCCACTGAACAAACTTTGTAAAAAATGCTGGCCTAGAAAAATATGAAAAAAATTGTGGTGATTATTGATATTTCAATAGTTTCATAGATGTACATAAATTTTGAAAAAGGCTAGATTGAAGTTTAGTATACTTTAAAATTTATGTCTAGCAAATCTTGATGAATAATAAATACACACCACACTTTCAAGATAAAAGAAAGCTATTTCATTTAGATGTGGTAACTCAATTCTCAATGTTTGATTTAAATTATAGTTTCTTTTGCTTCTGGTAATGTAACATACATGTCATGCACCTAATTGACATATAATAGCAAGTTTGAAACAAAAGAACAGGCAACATGTTTTTACTAACCAAAGAGCAACTCAAATTCCTCTCTCTGTGCTGTTTCCTCTGTCCTTGCTTCTAATGAGCTCTTACATAATTTACTCGCCCACTGAAAAAAGAAAATTATTAACAAAAGGATTGACAAGATCTTGAAAATTTAATTTCAGAAAAATACAAAATTACTTATGAACATAGAGTAATTCAGCATGAATTTTTACCTTTTGAAATTGTGAAGAAAATGACCTTCGTCTCACAACTTCTGCAACAGCTAGGATGTACATGCGTGGTGCCTCGTTCACTTGTTCAATAATCTCCAATCTAAAACAAATTAACTATTATCATTAAAAACAAAAAAGATTTGTAAATCATCAAATTTTGCTTACCTTCGCTTTATTCTTCTAATATTTTCATGGTACAAGATGATGGTTCCATCGCAATCACAAATTTTCTTCTCAACATACATAATCCATCTAAATGAGACAGGATTTTTGATCAGCATCAATTAAAAATGAAATTTGTGACTTGTAGAGAATTTAGGGCTGAACCTAAGAGTGACTAGCAGCTAAATTCTCCCCTGAATCACACATTAAGGTAACAAAAATAAAGGGAAATGATCACCAACTACAGAAGCTCCTGATTATCAAACAAACTCTCCTTTTTAGTACATTAAAAAATGTATGGAGAGCAGTAGGGAAAATATGCATACTGATGTTTTGGGGTAAAAGTTAAACATTGTTTAACTTGAGCCACAGTGTTAGAAAATCAAAACACCTAAGATTTCTTTTGACATTATTTTTTTGAAGTGGAAAAAGAAAAAAAAGAAAAAAAAAAGGGTTTTCCAGACTCAGCTAAAATCTTTCCATATTTGATAAAAGTATTCTTAAAACTCAACATTCAAACTTATCATGAAATTGCAGAGGGTTTAGAACATGACTAAACTTAGGCTGAGCTTTGTTGAAATAACCAGCTCTACAATTCAAAGCAAAAAGTTTTTTCATATATTTCACGAAACTATGATAACAATTATCATAAGTTTAGTTTTTATTAACATTTTTTTTTTTCTTCATGAGACAACCACATACCTTAATCTGGTGTGGAGATTAGCAGACAACTCATCCTTGGCTTTGGCACATTTTTTCCTGATATCCCTGATGTTAAATTAAAGGAAAAATAATACTATCATAAAATAATACAGTATAATTGCTGTGTAACTGTATTGTGCAGTATGACTAGTCAGAAATTGTATCATTTTCCCTTTTTAATCTACCCGAGGATCTCATTTTGACTTTGATGAATGATTGTTGAATGAACCCTTTTAATCATATATTGTTAGTTTAATCTAGAAATGGGGAAAAAACACAGATTGCTCTACTGATTTAAGGAGAAGTAAAAATAACAGGGCAGGGACAAAGCTGAAAGCATGACCACATTATTTTTACCTGAGTGGTCTGTTCTATTCCACACCATTTATTTACTTGATAGGTGTTTTGTAGTATGTCACTAAAATACTCCCTTTCTTCAAAAATTCTCTGCACCATTTACTAAACAGACCCTTTCACTGATAAGTTTCAATTATTTTCAAAAGCTTTCACAGATTTTTAAATTAAAAAAAATAAAGTGACCCTTCTTTTTAGGACTAACTATGCTTGCTACATGAAATTTATTCTTGACTTATGTCACTGATAATCCTGAGGGAAAAATAGCTCAAAACACTGGAATAATATATTACTACAAACCTCAAATAGGAGTGGTTCTTTGTCAACATCAAAAGCTGTTTTTGGTGGCTGGCACATAGATCATGAAGAACTGACTGGTCACGGCCAACATTTTGAACACTTGTCAAATTCTGTTGCAGACCCTGTGACATGTCTGCTTGGGACTGACAGAAGGCTTGCACATTCTGAAGAATGTGTTGAAGTCCAGCTAGTCTTTCATCCAATCCTTTGATTTCTTTCATGTTTGTATTATCAAGCGACTCTGTTTTGATTTGGGGAAATGTCAAAAGGAAGGGGATAAGGTTATGTCTGTTAGAATTCAAAGGGAATCCTGGAGCTATTGAGACCTTACATTCTCAAAACCATACTCAAAACACACAGTGATGAGCTTAGTTGACCTTTTAGTTGACTCCCAGACATCATTAACAAATTTCTCCCAATAATATCCATACATTACCCAGCAAACAGGTAATGGGAATACTCAAACTTTTAAGTTAAAACAGGTGGATGTTGATATCTTGATCAAAAGCCAAATTCTCCCAATTAATTTTAAAAAAAATGTGTAGCTCCTAGAGGCAAGGATTAACAATCAGTTCTTGGGAGTTAAAAGGTTAAAGCCCTGGAAAGCTTCTGAGCCAGAAGGCCAATCCATCCAAAGCTTTTCCCTATTTCAGTACCATGAAGTGACTTTGTGCATTGAGACTCCCTCCTGAATATGATGGTAGTCCATCCCAAGGTTACCTCCCAGCATTTTATCACACTTCCCTGACAAAATGCCAATATCCATACACCTCCAAGTGATGTGTGGCTCCTTAACTCTTTAACCCTAAAAAGTGAGTATCATCTCATCTCTCCTTACAGTAACAAAACATTAAGGTCATGAAACAAATTCAATCATTTTATACATATTCTCCTTTTCATCATCATAGAAAACGTAATGAGAACAGTGTGGAGAATGTAAACACTCATGTTTAAGAGTAAATTGTCCTGGTTAAGAACACTACACCTTAGCATAGCCATCCATTGCACTCAGACCTTTCAACCAAGAGTCAAGCACTTGGCACAAGCCATTGGGCAACTTCATCTTTCAAATAAAGAATAGGTAAATGAACCAGTTGCAATCAGGAAGTATTAAGACCTGGGGTTTATTCTTACCTAAAACCTGATTTACTTCTGTAGTAATTTGAGTCAGATGTGATTCGTCAAACTGCTCCACTGCCTCAATACACTGTTTGACCATATCCTGAAGACTATTCTTGTTGTCCTACCAAGAGAGAAAGGGTAACCTAGGTGCATGTAGACAATTTACTCATTGCCATTTGGTAAAATCATGCATAGCATAATAGCATCAACTGGAGAGCCTCAAGTCTTTTGCTTTCTTTACTTCTTAGTTAATGAATCGTAGTGAAATGTAGATTTAAAAAAATCCTGACAATCCACAAAGTAAACAAGTTTAATCTGCTCACAGGCAAAGGTGTTCCCATTATTAGGGTTTACCATGATAATTTTAGCATGATGTAGTTAGGAATTGTTTTCTTGCCCTTGATGATCATGGAACTCTGATCCATCATCCCCTCTCCTTCCTCACCTCCCTCCCCTTATCCCTCCCCTCTCCACTCCCCTACCCCTATAGGCTTTCTTAGTGCTTCACTAGTATTCAACCATATTCCAGGGTGGAGAAAGGAACTGAGAGAATAAAGACCCTTGCCAAACACAATAACTAAGCCAGAACTTGCACCTGGACATCTCAAACTAGAGCACAATACAGCCTGCTGTAATTACACCTCTGTTTCTCATTCCAAGGAATATATACTAAAACAGGGCTGTAATTACTGGCTAATAAATAATATATACATTTAGACAAGCCTAAAAGTGGAGCTCGCATTTTTTTTCCTGCATGCCTCTTCAACAAAACTTAAGTCCCTACTATGGATAAAGTGCATGGTAATATTAATGGATTTTCATTTGCAACTTCTCCGTGTCTGAGTAGAGGACTGATTATAAGATAGCGCCTGTGGTACAGTTGGCTGCACATGCTAAAAGTAGCACCTTGTGCGGTTGGTAGTACCATCGTACATCCAAATTTTTTTGGCCTGATGGGTTACTACTATTTTGTATAATTATGGGGCTACGCTCTGCAAGCTCCGCTATTATTGTAAGTTTCAAGAAATCTGATCAGAAGGCAAATTTTATCGTTGGATCAAATAAAATACAAAAGGACATTTTTTGCTTTGTTGCACTTATGAATAAAAAAAAAAACACTTTATTATAGGGGCTTCAAACAGCTGTATTTACCTGTGCACTTATCCAATCCAGCAGACTAACCACATTATGTTGTCTAGCTTGGGAAAACTGCCTTGAAATGAGGCATGGGAGTACAGGTATTCTAGCCAGTAGAGGCAAGATCTCTTTGAACCTACAAAATCATTAAGTAGCTTTCAGTTTTCTTGTGATAAAGTAGAGGACAAATGGTTTATCTACAAACTAAAATTAATGGGAGGAAAATTTACATCTGCTTTGCATACCTGTCAAGTAACTCAATATATCTCGTCCTTGAATCCAGAAACTCTGAGTAGATTTGATTAACACTACTTGATCTGGCTTTGAACTCACTGGTGAAAAATTTTATTTAAAAAGAAAGACAGGCAAGTTACAAAAGTTGAACATTAAGATGAAAGTATCACATAAAAATTATTAAAAATCAGTTCAGCTAAGGTACTTTTAATGCATACTTGTAAGTGTAAGACTCTAACTGTGTTCTAAATTGCTTACAAATGATTTAAAATAGAATTCTTATTCTGACACATTCCCATAAAGTACTTGCTTCAGTTTAGGGTGTCTAATTTGCTTCCATAGGATGCACGTTTCATATTAAAATGAATTCAAACTTGTTTGAATAGTGTTTTTCTTTGGTCAAGGATTATTGTGATAATGTATCAGGAACAAAGGGAAAGAGAAATTAAACTAGTTTAAAGCCATATTGACCTGAGATTCATTTTAAACTACAACATATATGTAAAGAGGCTTCAAAAGTACAATATAGGTGGAAGGATTTTTTTGTTTTGAAAAATACCTAGCAATACTCTCCAAATTTGCAACAACTGCTGCCCATCCTTTCTGTTGCAGCTTTTGCTCACACACTAGATTTTCACAGCTCTCTGCAATTTGTATGGAAAGTGAATAGAATTCCTAAAATAAAGAAAAGAAAATGCATACGAGTCTATTAATTTAGTAACAAGTGTAAAAAGCGATCAAAATTATAGTAAAATATAAAGTCTAATTAGATAGGGTGCAAGTAAGAAGGACAGCATATCATCAAATAAATGCATACACATATCACTAAAAGTGAAACCTTTCTGTTTTATTGTCAAATATCCAAATATTACTCTCACTAGTGTCTCTTTCAATTAATAAAAGAGTCTGCTGAGAACATAGGTTGCTATTTACTCAATGCAACATATCTGGCAGTTTTTATTCACTACAAAATCTTCAGAGAACATACAGATGCTAGCTGAGTTCTGGATACAAGAGTTTCATATGTGGGTGGTAAATTCAAAGATTTTTCCACTTGCTCCTTCAAATTTGCCTCTACAAAAAATAATCAAATATCATTAGTATCGATCTGTAATCATTACTACATATAATAACAAAATATATCTAACACCCCCTTCCCGATTCCCAATTACTCCCATGAGTGACCAAAACAGAATTTCTCCTTACAATATTAATATAATATCAAGGAGACAAGAGATGAGAATATCAATCTGCAGGGTATTGGTTGATCCTATATACCAAATTCTCTACACTGACACCATAAGAATTGTATGACAGACAGTAAGGAGAATTTCTAAAGAGATCTTGAGAGTGCAAGGGTTAAATTACTGCCTGTAAATTGAAAAGTGACTCAGTACTTACCTGAACCTAAGTTAAGACTGGGAGATGGTGGAATAGAGGACTCAATGGTGGATTTGCTGAACAAAAATATTGGGTTGGTATCCTAAAACAGAAACCTTGTGTTAGAACATCCTTAGCTAATCCAACATTTTTAGTCTAGGCCTTGGTGCATGGGGCTCAATTACATTCTGGTTTTGTGTAAGTAATGATGCTGAAAAGGTTTATCTGAAACATCCAATAAACAAAAGTATACTGACACAAGATTTCGCTTGGTTTGTAATGAAACACTGTTAGTGCTTTTATAAGCTAATTCCCCTGGTATATCATGCCCCTTCTCTAATACATCCCCTATATACGTGCATAGGACTCCTAAAGCCTTGCAAAGTAAGTAATGAAATTCACTAGCTGCAAGGTGAACATTGATTCTGAAAAGATAAATCTAGAACCAGAATACACCACTGGTACTTACAGTGCCAGCACTGTTATAACTGTAGACTCTTTCTCTGGGATCCAATGCTTCACCATTAGATATTAACAAGACTTGTTTATCCTCTGGGATCCCTGTTTCAGCAGCCACTGTACTCATCAGCACTTGAACACTGTTTAAAAGAACACATATCTCAACCTTGGGTAAATGAAGGAGCTGGGATAGTTACTAATCCCTCCGAATCAACATTGATTCAACTCTTTTGTCTGGTAAAGGCAGTTGTTTAGGTTTTTTTTTTATTTCCAGAGTTTGAAACTGCCAACAACACCCCAGTTCATCTGCTTAGAAGATGAATGATCTCCAGCAAAAATAGACTGAATTAGACCAGTTTCTAAATGTTCTCTGTCCAAACTGTCAGGCCAAAATCAGAGTCACAAACTATAATATGGAATCAAAAATCCAATAAAGCCTTGACAGTTGATTTAAAATCCTGAAAAGCATCATCATAAAATAAAAAGCAAATTTTTTTCTTCCGATCTTGATTACTCATCATAGCAACTATTCAATTGCCGCATTTTCTACAATTACTCCCACTGAATGCATAGAAATTCTGTTGTGTATGACAAGACAGCACATCCTTCTTCACTTGGCAGCACTCAAAGTTCCACTAATTCTACTTCATGTTGCATGTCAATGCACAAATGCCATGTTGGATTAATAAAAACATGTGTTTTAATACCATAGTCAATCATTGGCTATGGTATTATCATACACAATGTATTTTCCCTTTTTGAAGTTCTATTTTCAGATCTGACATAGGGAAGTTTTTGAAATTCACCTTTCAGTATGTCCTTTGGGAGAGAAATATTTTGCCTCAAAAATGCATTTTATATCATTGATTATTGTATCCACACATACAATTATTACTGGGTTCTGGATGTAAACTAAAGCAAACATACATAACACCTAAATTAATCATTTATATGTCGTTCATTCATGGCATACTGAAATATTTTACAACCGGGACATGAACTGCTTCAGCCAGCACCAGGACTGTCAAAACAGAGAGAATAAAAGACAGTTAAACATAACTTCGTCATAAGTTTTGATCAAACTTGTTTGGTCACGTTTCGATGAGCACGTAAGTGACCTAACATATGCCAAGTAAAAAGTCTTCCCTACCAGTTGTACAACATTATAAAATCCTCTCTCACCTTTCCATTGCCAGCTCCATTTCAAAAGTGTACGTACTCCCCAGGTCGACATAAAATACATGCAACATTTTTGTTAAATTTTGACCTTCGAAGCTTCCTTGCCGTAAACGTAAATAGCAGTTTGCGCTATTGCAAAAATTTCGTTGAGTCCATGTTGCAGTATAGGGTTCTTCGATATGAATACTTCAGACAATGCCCATTAAACCACCTGTTTCTCTTCATTTTCCCCCAAAATGTTCGATTTATTTCGCTGAAGAATTCTCTTCTTTCATTACTAGCGAATGTTTCTGAGAAAACAGGGAACCATAATACTAATTTCGTCGATTCTCTGTCAGGAAATGATGACTTCACTTATACTTTGTTCCAAGGTCATAACAGATATCACGCAAGTAGGCATGCGTGACATGTTTGACTGCTGACCGGAAATGTAAAATATTGGAGGGTGGTTCAAAAAGTAATTGATACGGTAACGCAAGATCACCTTGTAACAGGATTGACAACATAGAGTTCCGTCACTAAAAATAATTAGTTTCACCACATAGGCTTTTTCCCAAGCAGGTGGGAAAAAGCAGATGTTGTTCTGTGATAAATTTCCCTTCTCAAGGCAAAGTTATATTCTATATCAAGTTCCTCCTTATATAATTCCACAATCTTTTCATGGAAAAAAAAAACATTATCCAATAGTTCTGAACAGTTTCAGCTCTAAAATACCAATCAAGCATTGAGTATTCACTAAGACCACTCTGATGATCCCATCTTTCAAAACAAGGTCAATTTTCCACTAGGTCAGCAAAGTTTATAACCTGCCCCTAGTATTCTCCAAACTAGGAATTTTAGATATTTTCCAAGTCAATAAATTTGAAATTGCCAAATTCATGTTTTATCATAGAAATAACTTATTGCCTCCATTGCTTCTCAATCTTTTTGTAACAAATAGCCAAATTCACAACTATGGTACCAGAACAGCCAGTAATTATTGAACGCATTTATGCCATACAAATCTCAAGCAATTTACAATTCTCTACCAAGATCCTAAAATTTGGAACTCTCTTCCTGTTTCAGTCACTCATTTGTCAAACCTTCTTAGCTTTAAGACAAAAATGCAAGAGCTTTTACTTAAATAATCACTGAATTGGCCTAGCCGCACATTCACAGCACTTTTTCTTTACTTTATTTATTAATATAAGTGAGGTGGCTCTCCCATAAGCCCAGTGGCTACCTGGATCTCCTCGCCTTCTAGCTATAGCTGCTGTAAATAAATTTTTTGTATTGTGTAAATAAGGCAAATAAAAGATGATTAAAAAACTCAAAAACAAGAAGATTATTTGTCTTGTAATGAGCATGGAGAGATGAGAAAAATCTAAGTCCTCCCCAAGGAATTAAACCCCAGACATACAGATTTCACATCAGTTTTATTGTGATGTGATTAGGCCTTCAGGTAATTAAAGAATAATGGTGCATACATTAGATTTAGGGTGACCTGGTCTACCCTCCTTGATGTTACAAAATTAATTGCACTAAAATCACTTAACACTCAATGGGTACTTAAAATATTTTATTTCAATAAGGACATCTTTGAAATAACATCTCTAAATACATCTGTGATTTGGTCATGGAACTACAGTAAAAAATAAAACAAATTTTAAGACTCTTGGACTATTATTAATACATTTTTCCATATTAAGTGAGTGCACTTTGTGCATGGTTTGACTTCATTTCAAATGCTCACAGTAAGTTAATATCAAAGTAAAAATTCAGAAACCATGTAATTACAAGATGTATATTTTCATAGATGAGAGATAAAGAGATAAATTCCCTGAGTAAGGGGAAAGGTTATATATGAAAGAAAATCAAATAAAAACAAAAGAAAGACTAACTTAAGGAATAGTGCTACACATTCTTGTGAAAAAAAATTGTGATAAACTGAACTGATACAAATTGTAATTTATGATAAAATAGAGAACACTTTTAATTGGGTATGGATGCTTTCCACAGAACCATTTTATCTCCTATGCACCTCCTTCAACTATAGAGTGTTTAACCATTTAACTCCCAGAAGTGATTAACATGTAACTTCTCCCCATAATATTGATACATCTTCCAGCAAAAAGGTAAAGAGAATACTAACACTTATCAGGTAGACACCGTCATCTTGATCTAACACCAAATTCTCATAACTAATCTACTAATAAATGTGTAGCAACTAGAGGGGAGAATTAACTATTAGATCTTGGGAGTTAAAGGGTTGAGGGAAACATTGTGTTCTTAACACTACACTAATTAACTTTCTTTCTCTCAAAAGAAGATTATGATCTGCTATTATTAACAATAATCACATAATGCTGGTAAAAATATGTCTTGTGAATGGATAAAACTATATTGACCCAAACCAATGTTTTGCAAATTTGCTTATGACTATCATCATCTTTTCTTCACATTTTGCTAATTTTTTTTTCAAGGTCTAGTTCAAAACTCTAATTTCTTTGGAATTTCCCAAGTGAAACCTGGCTTAAAATGACCATAAACACTTGTTGCCTTGAAAATGGGTTTGCGCAGGTCTAGATCCCTAATGATTGCACCTGGCCTTAGATCAAAATTCTTTTGGATGATTCGCAAAAGCTCATCATCTGACATTTCACTACTTCCATAGCTAAAAACAGACACTGACAAAGGCTCTGGAATACCAATTGAGTAAGATACTTGTACTAATGCACGCTTACAAAGCTTTGCTGCAACCAATGACTTTGCAATCCACCTACAGGCATAACTTCCTGACCTGTCCACCTTTGTTGCATCTTTACCTGAAAATGCCCCACCCCCATGAGCTCCCCACCCCCCATAAGTGTCAACAATAATTTTGCGCCCTGTCAGGCCACCATCAGCCATTGGACCACCGAAGAGAAACTGCCCTGCAGGTAACAGATGATAGACTGTTTGCTCATCAAGGTATTTTTCTGGGATTACACTTTTGACAATTGTCTCTTTCAAATAATGCCGGATTTCTTCTGCAGACATTCCATGTGCATGTTGACTTGAAATCAAAACAGTGTGCACTCTTTGAGGCATGCAAGCACCATCTTTCATACTGTATTCCACAGTAACCTGTGTCTTACCATCAGGTCTGAGCCAAGGCAAAGTTCCGTCTCTGCGACACTCTACTAGTCTTTGCACCAGTTTGTGTGATAGAACAGTTGTTAAAGGCATAAGTTCCTCGGTTTCATTCGTTGCATATCCGAACATCAAGCCCTGATCTCCAGCGCCTATGTCCAAATCCTTCTTATCCAAGTGCACAACTCTTGCGATTTCCCCAACTTGCTCTTCGATGGAAAGCAAAACGCTGCATGTTTTGTAATCGAAGCCTTTAGAAGAGTCATTATATCCAATTTCCTTTATGGTATTTCGGATAACACTTTGATAGTCAACCTTCGCTCCAGATGTAATCTCGCCAAAAGCCATAATCATGCCAGTTTTTGAAGCAGTTTCGCAAGCGACTTTCGCCGTCGGATCTTGTTCCAAATGAGCATCTAAAATCGCATCAGAAATCTGATCACACATTTTATCTGCATGTCCCGGGCAAACTGACTCTGAAGTGAAGAGAAACTTACTGCGATCGCTTGCACCAGTCAAGAAAGAGCGATTTAAACAAAATCTTGCAACTGAAGCAGACTTTGTTGGAATGATTCGAGCTAGCTTTGCTTTAGAACTCCACATTTTGAAAAGATGTTATCCTCTCGTGACTGAGTATTACGTAGAAATACTCAAACTCGGAAGGAGAAAAGCTTAAAAAAAAAAAAAATTGCGTGAGTAAGCAAACTTGCGTGTGGTGCAACCCTGTCGTGTAAACCCAACGCAATCGCAATGCAGCAACAGAAAATCAATACTTTGTCGCTGAAATTTGTTTCGTGTACGTTTCACTCTTAAAAACGATATTTTGGGTTAAAATAATGAGCTGATAATGAGAGATATTTAATCTGAAACGAAAGCATTGATTTCAAACCTGAAATCATGATAATATCCATCTCTGATCCAATCGGAGAACTCCGTAGTAATTCGGGATATTCCGTCTTGATGGTCGGAAATATTTGCCTTATAAACAAACTGTATCTCATTTCCGTTTCAAAATGGAAGCAAGAGGACAGTCTGTTGTAATCGAGTCCGATCAGCATTCATCGTCGCAAACTTTATGGCCTCTTCGCCAAGCACTTTATGCAGAATCTGTAGGAACAGATGATGAAGAGAATGAGGACGAGCTATCTCGAACTTGGTGGGTGAAAACTCGCTGGTTTCAGCGTCTTGTTCAAGTGTGTGCCGTAGTCAGCCTTACTTCTACAGCAATGAATTCGCCGGAGACGTTTAAAGAATCCGGTTCACTTCAATACATCACTCTTGTATTGGATATTGTGGTTGCAGTTGTATTTATTACCGAGATGATCGCTCAGATAAACATGTGGGGTCTATGGAAAAAACAGAAGGCCTACTTCAAGAAACCGCAGTGCATATTTAACGCTAGTATGGTTTTCCTCATAATACTATCGATCTTGTTTCAAGTAATTGAAATTTCAGGCCATTCTCCCGATCCGGCAGATTACATTGCATTTTCTATTCCAAGAGCCCCAAGAGCTCTTATTATTGTTCGATTCTTCAATGTTCTCATCACAATAAGCCTGCCAAAGACAGTTGCTCGCCGATGCAAGCGACAGATCTGGGCTGTCACTTTATTTTTGTTATACTTCATGGCATTCGCTTCAATCATCGGCGTTCAATTATTTGGACGAAAGAATTATTATTGCGTGAAAAACGGTGCTGATTTGAATAATGTTACATACAATGATGTTTTACTCACAGACCATCGATGCAATAATGACACTGGTGAAAGAGGCTATTTTTGTCCTAGAAATTTCAGTTGTGTCTTTGTCGATTTTAATAAAAAGGACAAAGACTACTTCGGCGATTTTCTTCGCAGCATTTTAACCGTGTACGAAAGTTCCACTCAAGAAGGCTGGGTTCTTGTTATGTACAGAATGACGGACTTTCGATCTCGTCCATTAGTTTATGTTTATTTTGTGTTGCTTATTTTCTTCATTGCCTGGCTCGTGAAAAACGTCTTCATTGCTGTCGTCTCGGAAACCTTTGCCGATATTCGGAGCCTGTATATGTATAGTCGGAAATCTTCGAAGCGTACTTCGGCTCGACTAGCTTCTCAAGTCATCAAGGAGGGAGGAACTGGTTGGCATTTAGTATCGTTAGATCATGAAGCACATAAGGGACACGCACCACTGCCTGTTAGACAATTAGTTAACTCTAGTTACTTCAAATACACAATGATCTTCTTTGTTGTGGTTGATGCTATCGTACAAGCAGCTTTGAAGTTTCCCTGGAGAAGATACCCACAGTTCGGGTTTACCATACTTTTCGACTTGGAAGTTCTTCTTAAGATCTCATGTATGGGTTTTCGGCCTTTCCTTCTTCGTAAAATGCAATTGACAGAGTTTATATTAGCTGTTGGTAGTACTGTTTTCGCTTTGCCACTTTTGATCTCCGAGAAAGCTGCTTTCTTAGCTTTCTTTAATGTTATGAGGATAATACGACTTGTTGGGGCAATACCGAGTTTGCAAGAGTTCTGTGAAAAAATCTTTGGTACGGGAAAAAAGCTCGGAGCGGCCATTGTATTTACGCTGTTTTTCGTCATGGTTTCCTCCGTGATCAGTATGCAGTTCTTTCTGACTTTGGATCCTAAGAAATTCGGGACCTTTATGCTGTCAGTCCAGTCCATGTTTCAGATTATTACTCAGGAAGGATGGGTCGAAGTTTTAGATGGACTTATAAATGCCACTACCAACACCTTTGCCAAGATTCTAGTTGCGATAATCATCTTGGCATGTCATCTTTTCTCGTCGCTTATCATTATGAGCGTATTTGTTGCAGTCATCCTGGACAACTTGGAACTTGACGAAGAGGTGAAGATCATGAAACAGAAGAAAATTGGCCAAGAGAGCCGAGAATCCACCGAGGAACTTCCACTGCGTCTTCGGGTCTTCGAGCGTTTCCGGGATGACCCGCGTCTTGTCAAAATGAGTAGGATTAAAATGTCCGCGGATTTTTCCACGCCTAAGATCCGCGACAGTTTCATGAAGAAGTTTATAGACGGCTCTAGCGTGGAAACAGCACTGGCTGTTGATCCACGAAAGCAGCTCGGGGAGACTTCGCAGCTAAGAAGGCGGCGGACTGCAATTCCTATAAAGCTTTTAAACTCGACGGTATCTGAGGTGGATAAGCTTTCGAAGTTTGTCCGCAAGCAGTCGAGTATTACTGCGTTGATCAACGATTCCAATCGCCGAAGAACGTATGCGCTACTTTCACCTACCGAAGTTTCCCCGAGGAGCGCTGCAATTCAAGGCAGCAACAACAACAAACAGCAGCCGACGTCAGTCTTCCGATCTGCGTCGAGGCGATTCCGGAGCCGCCCGCCTCCGTCTCCGAAACCAGCTCAAGGTAATCCTCAGGTCATGAGAATGGCCAGCCAAGCTACAGGTCTCCACGCCCAGTTGAATCAGGATGACACCAATATCGGGCGAGATTTCGACATCCAGTGGGTTCGGGTCAGACGTGAAGAGGTTCAGCGGAAAAAGAAAGCTCAAATTGACAAGCTTCGCGAGAATCATCCCTACTTTGACCAGCCTCTCTTCTCACTGCAGCGTGACTCATGGTTTCGGATATTTCTTCAGAGCTTAGTGAACGCGCGTTACTCAATTCCTCCTGGTTATACGGAGCGGGCGTCACGCAATAACATTGTCACGATGGCACGGCTTCAAAAGTGTCTCGCGTCACAGACGTACCTGGAGTGGATAATGATCATTGTTACGCTTATCTCTTGCATTGCTATGATGCTCGAGACTCCAACCCAGCGAACCTTTATGAATTCTTCAACAGAAGTCGTCGAATACATTTTCGTGGTTGCCATGAGTTTGGAACTGGGTGTTCGAATCCTTGCGAACGGTTTGATCTTCACGCCTAATGCCGTCATTCAGAACTTTGGGGGTGTCCTTGACGTCACTACGTACCTCGTGGCACTTGCCTATGTTTCCTGGCAACCACATCCGATACCTGCCCGCTCAGGGGCTCAAGTGTTGATGGTTTTAAGGTGCCTTCGTCCATTGCGCATTGTCACATTGGTGCCTAAGATGCAAAAGGTGATTCTCGAGCTGGTGGGTGGCTATAAAGAAATACTTAAAGTTAGCGCACTACAGTTGCTGCTCATGTTCATCTTTGCCAGCTATGGTGTTCAAGTATTCGCTTTCAGATTTGGAAGCTGCAACGATCGCACGAAAAATACCCGAGAGGAGTGCATTGGAACCTTCGAAATAGAGATCGCCCCACCTCGTGAACTACGCGACCTTTCAGGGACGTCTACAATCCTTGTTCCTCGTGTATGGAAAAAACCCAGAAATTTTGACTTTGATAACGTCATCCACGCATTTCTGGCTTTGTTTGAAGTTCTTTCCTTAGAAGGTTGGCTGGAAGTGCGAGATGTGATCCAAGCAGTGGTGTCTCCTGAGTATAGTCTGTATGTCCACATTTACGTACTCATTGGAAGTATGATCGGACTAACTTTGTTTGTTGGAGTAATTGTTATGAATTTTAACGAGAACAAAGGCATCGCGCTTCTTACTGTTGATCAACGTCGCTGGCAAGACTTGAAGAAGCGCTTGCGACTCGCACAACCTCTTCATATTGCGCCAAGACCGAGAAAAGAGGGGATTCGTGCCGTATTATTCGACGCCACACAGTCAAAAATATACAAAGGTATCGAAGTCATTTTGGTGGTTGTTATCTGCTTGACTGTTACGATTGCTCAGTGGACCACTGAAGACAACCTGCGCCTGCGAGACGGCTTGACCAGCACTGCAGCGGCGTGTTCGATATTCTTCGTTGTAGACATGGTTCTCAAGATTATCGCCTTCACATTTCAAGGATACTGGCAAAGCCGGAGAAACCGGTTTGACCTGTTTTTGACGAGCCTTGGAGTGTTGTGGGTAACTCTGAATTTTTCTCTTAAAGGGAGTGGTATGCCGTACACAGTCACCACCGTGTTTGGAATGGTGATAATCCTGTTCCGTTTCTTGACGCTTGCTGGTAAACACGACACGCTCAAGATGTTAATGTTGACCGTTGTCATGTCGCTAGTAAAGAGTTTCTTCATCATCTCTGTTCTTATCATCATTATGGTAAGCTACTCGCTCGCTGGTGTGATCTTATTCGGCACAGTCAAATACGGAGAGGCGTTAAATCGCCATGCCAACTTTAAGACAAGTTTCTATGCTATGATACTGTTGTTTCGAATCACCACCGGAGAAGACTGGAATAAGATCATGCATGACTGTATGATATCGAAACCGTACTGCACAGAAACGCCTGATACGCCGAATTTCTGGCAAACCGACTGCGGCAACAGTGCAGCAGCGCATATTTACTTCATTTCGTTCTACATTTTCGTAACATTTGTCTTCCTGAACCTTTTCATTGCTGTTATCATTGAGAATTTTTCGCTTTTCTACTCCAGCGACGAAGATTCTCTTATAAGCAACACAGATCTGAAGGACTTCCAGTTGACTTGGAACTTGGTGGATAAGAGTCGTAAAGGCGTTTTATCGGTCCGACAAGCTAAGCTTGTTCTTCGCTTACTCAAAGGCCGTTTAGAGGTGGACACAGGGTCGCTATTGTTCAAGCACATGTGCTGTGAGATTGAAAAGCTTCGCAATGGCTGTGATGTTTCATTCCATGATGTCTTAGGAGTGCTAGCCTATCGATCTGTTGACATCAGCCGCAGCTTGCAACTCGAGGAGCTGCTCGAGCGAGAAGAATTAGAATACCAAATCGAGGAAGAAGTTGCCATACAAACAATTCGTGACTGGTTCGTCAACCTTCGTAAGAAGCGCGTCGAGCGGGAATGGATTCGACATTTGGAGCAAGGAGGAATCCCATTGGCTGGCGGTTTCCAGTTTGATAAAAGCCCTGGAGCTTCAAGCGTAGAGAGCTTGGAACACTCAGCAAATGAAGACCAAGATCGAGAAGACCGTGACACAGAACGCGAGATTCGTGATCACGAAAGCAGTGAAGATGACGATATTTCACTGTCATCCCCTTCAAAAGGACCGGCGATTCTCCTTTCGGCCCCACCTCCGGTTATGAAAACAGAGCGCAGCATTTCTACACCTCGTAAGAATTCTGTTACGTTTCCAGAAGAAGTCTCGATGTCACCAAAACGAAGAAAGAGTTTACCCGAATCTCTAGCTAATTCTAAGTCGCGAAGGAAAAGTTTGACTGAGGTGAAGGAGTTCGCGGGAGAAGTTCGTGATTGGTGGAATACACAGGAAAATAATCTGTAGGGCATCTGGACGTCCAAGCCGACGAAACTGACACATGTTAAGGATGGAAAGACCTGAGATGAAGTCTATGATCGTCAAGATGTTTTTGCCGAACTTTTGATATCATTAAGGAACTTTTGACTCCGTTCCGTAAGGTCACATCTCGTAAAATTTCAAACAATGACTTTTCCCGTCGATAAAGACAGAAAAGAATCCAAAACCACTTTACAAAGCAGGCAGTGTATCAAATTTTTGTCGTTAAGACGACGAGCTTAAGTTTACTTGAGTGTTTAACTTATAGGTTGCCAAGATAAGCTTAGGTGACATTACAAAGCTATCTGTGAAAAGAAACTCAGAATATGAAGACCTCAGAAAGTAATTACATATAGAAAAACTTTTTTAAATTGTTTTTCTGGTTAGATTTTGCCAAACGTCTTTCCTGTCAGATGTATCGTTAAAAAAAAGTGTACAGTATCACAAAAGCACCTTTTTCGTTGAATTAAATGTTTAGACACCAAAAATGTAAAACGAATGTTTATTTTTTTGGTGTTTAAACATTAAATTCAACGTATCATGAAAAAAGCATGAATCAGGCTTTTTAATCTATATTACAAGGTGAATTTATAACTTGAAAAAGTGTTTTTTTTTCTTGAATTTAATTAACCCTTTTACCCCTAAGAGTGATTGGCGTATAATTTCTCCCTAAAATATCTCCCCATATTTAAACATTAAGATCACAAGAATTAAGGAAATGCTCACAGACTGAAGAAGCTCTTGATTGTTATACAAATTCTCCTTGTTAGCACCTTAGGAAATGTATAGAGAACAGTAAGGAGAATGTGCATGCTGGTGTTAGGGTGTAAAGGGTGAAGCCGCTGGCCACACAGTCGGAGCTTCTCCCTGTTTCTGTGAGGTTTGGCTTTTCTCTTTAGACACTTTCCTTCTCCTTTCTTTTCCAATCCCTAGTAAGTAATTACTACCCCTACCTTCTTCCTTGGATATTCGCCAGGCTTCTCTGATAGCTCGCCGGTACTCGTTTTAATTCCTGGGTGGAGAGAGACACTAGGAGTGAAGTGTTTTTCCCAAGAACATAACACTTGTCCAGGACCCGAATCCAGACCACACGTTCCGGAGTCCTGGGTACCAACTGCCAGGCCACCACGTTTCCACAAATATTGTTAAAGGATACTTCAGACGAGAACAAAGTTGGTGACCCTTGGATGTTAAATTTACCGGAATAAGGGAGTCTCCTCAGTGGAAGTGACTGATGTTGAGGTTCTAGGAGCAATTTGGTTTAGTTGGGACCATTTTGAGCATTGTTATGTAACTGGGTATACATCCTCGGAGACCCAAGGGCTGTAAGTCGATTTCAAGTTAGGGCGGGAGAGCCGGGCTCTCCCGTCCTGACTTGAAATCGGACACTAGTGTCCTTTTTCGAATTTTGGACACAAGGGTCCGATTGTTTATTTTGGACGCTGATGTCAGATTTTGAGCACTAGTGTCCGATTCTGGATTTGGACGCTACAGTCCGATTTTGGATTTCGGACACTAGTGTCCAATTATGAATTATTTGAGACACTAAATTCCTATTTTGAATTTTGGATACTAGAGTCCGATTTTGGGTTTTGGACAGTTGAACAAGTTGGTTTTTATGCGAGCAATTTGTATTTGATGAAAGCAATTTGTTTTCGATGTGACACGTGGGCCGCCGAGACTGGGCCACCGAGGGCCACCGTACATTCCCCCTCTCCACTCCCCATCTTTTTCCCTCCGCCTCCAACCAACCAGAAAAGACTGGGTAGAAGTTTGGGGAACAAGACCGTGCGCAATAATTACCAAGCGCAATTAATTACCAAGAACTTTTCACTGAAGTTGTTTCTAACAGTTTAGGCTGTGTTTCGCTTGTAAAAAGGTAAGAAATTTTCATCCGTCTTCAGTTATGTTACAGAAACTATTGTCACGGCGATAAGCGATCTCCGTCTAAATCAAAGGCAATGACATAACTTACTTGCACGTTGTCGATATCGATATCACGACAGGTTCGTATCTGTCTGTTTTGCATTGTGTCTGGAAATTTGAACATTTAATAAAGCCTCTATTTCTGATTTGTGGCCCAAAGCCAAAGCATGGAAATTAAATCTAGACTACTGCAATAAGAAATACTCGGAAAAGTGGTGAATTTTACTGTGATTTCTTAAAAACTTTCCGTCAGATCGAAAGTGATTACAATGTATGGTTCAACGAAAGTTAAAGAGAGGTTTTGGTTTTTCTGTATCAATAGAAATCTTAATTTCTTTTTATAAAATTTCTAATCATGTGATTTCTCTCGTAAGTTACTGTCGACTATTAGGCTTTTCGTTAATTGTTGTTAATAATCCTTACATTGTATTGAACCTCTGCTTAGATAAACTTTCAAGATATTTTGGTTTTGTCAACTGAGTTGATACTGTGAATTGACCAACGTAGAGAGTTTCTAAAGCTGAAATTTCAAGTATTACCCATTTGTCATTCACTCTGATGATGCTTGAAACGTCAGCTTCAGAAACTCATTGCAGTGGCCATTGTATATTATCAACTCAGTTGATGAAACCAAATTATCTTATTTTATAACCCCCTTATTAATTTTCATGCCACTCCATTGGCTTCTTTATGTTGTGCAGTCCAAAATCAAGGGACAGTTATCACATGATAACCCCAATCTACACTGATATTTGTCCCCCAGTTAATATCTGTTGAAAAGTTACAAAGCCAGTAGGAAAAAGCCAGCCCAAGATTTCTGCTTTTTTTATATCTGTTACTTTAACATGGAAGAAAATGAGCTTGTTTTGTGGAGTCCAGTGCCAGTGATGTTAAAAAGATTATCTCAAATACTGCTCTGGAAAGTACACAAAGTTATTTGATCCCCAAAGTTTCACATTTGTCCTCAAATTTTTACTTCCTGGCCAAATATTCTTTCTTGGACAATCTCTCAGCTGCTTACATTTTCAGCTGACATACATGTTTTCCAAAGGGGTTTATTTACTTAATACCACTCCCTTTCGTTGATGCAAATTTCTTAGGAAACTTTCCCCTTATATTCAACTGAAACTTACACAAGAATAAGATCTCTAGTTAATGTTATATCCTAATTTCTTCTTATAATATCATCCCCAAATCATACATTTAGGCTACAGGAATAGAGGAAATGGTCACCAACTAAAGAAGTTGATTGCTTGATTGCTACACAAATTCTGCTGTTCAACACCTTAAGAAATGTATAGACCATAGTATGGAGAGTTTGCATACTGATGTTAGGATGTAAAGGGTTAATGATTTCAGTCTTTCAACTTTCCAGTATGCAGGTGTCCTTCTATAAGGATTTTTTACCCTTAGGTAAATATTTTCAGCTGCTCTTATAAAGGGTCAGTGGTTTCTTTTTATTATAGGAATGGGTAGTACCTCATCAGCATCAGTTGCAGCAGACTCAGGTGCCGGTGTTGCCATTGTCGCCCAGACCCCTTCTGCTGGTTGTCCAGTCCAACACAGTACACCTGTGCCATCAGTCAGTGAGTGTCCTGCCCATCAAGGAGGCAGTGTAAAACCACAAGCTAGCCAGTGTCCTATCAGCGGAGGAGCTGGCTGTGATAGTGCTGCTCTTGATAACAGTTCAGATGCGTTGGATCCAAGTAACATGGTAAATATTCTTTAGTACCCTTTGGTTATTGATTTGGTTGCCATGGCATGTTGAAAAAAAATATTGGTGACTGAAATTGTACCCAAATTTATTCCAAAGTCATGAATTTGGTGACCTATATTTGGTGATCGTGCTGCAGCCTGTTTTCGTTTTTGTTACATAGTGTTTATGGTCTCAAATTATAGTGTGGCTTGAGCATTTGGTTATAATACTTTGTACTACTCAGTACAATATGTTTGTCTCCATTTTTTTTCATTCTATTTTTAACTTTTTTTCCTGTCAACAAAAATTTTATTTCTGGCAGCCATGTTATTTTACAAGGTATGGAAAATATTTTACGCTTGAAATACTCAACACTTACATCCTCTGGCCACATTTCTCAATTAAAACCCTGATTTACACTGAAATAAAACACTAGTGGTGGATTCCATGTGTGCACTTCTGTCTATGCTTTGGAAATGCCATGCAGTTACTCAACCTTTTAACCCCTGTAAGTGATGATCATCTAATTTATCCTAACAGTATTACTCCTGAATGAAAGTGTAAAGGGTTATTTGCTCTCTTTGTAGATGCCACCACCAAATCAACAGCCCTCTCCAGGCCAGCCCTTTCCTCTGCCAATAAATCGCCAGGTGTCTTCCATCCCTAGAGGAGGCACTGGCAAGGATGAGAACTGGGTGTACCCATCTCAGCAAATGTTTTGGAATGCAATGTTACGCAAGGGTTGGAAATGGCAGGAGGATGAAGTACAGGAAAATGATATGGCCAACATTATCAGGATTCATAATGCTAACAACGAGAGTGCATGGCAGGAAATACTGAAATGGGAAGCACTTCATGCCAAGTAGGATGATAATTATGCTTAACCCATTAACCCTAAGAGTGATCGGCATCAAATTTCTCCTTACAATATCACCCCTGAATTTAAACATTAAACATGAATTTAGATAATAGTCACTCCAAGGGGAGAAAGGGTTAATCACTTCTCTGGAAACTTAAATATTGGCTATTCCCCATTTATTAATATTTATTATTTTTATGGTAATGAATACTTTTTTTTTCCAGTGAGTGTGGAACACCCAGGCTGCTTAGTTTTAAAGGGAAGGCAAAAGAGTTTTCTCCAAGAGCAAGAATGCGGAATTGGCTGGGGTAGGATCAAATACATGTTCCTTCCTGTAAATGGTTTGAATCAAGGGGTAATGTGTAATCATGTAGTCTGATTTCCCAGGTGGGTATAATCCTGAGAAGGACTGTTGCTGGTAGTAGTGACTGAGGTTTCAACAACCGTTGTGATCAAGATGAACTTACGCCACTTGAGTCTTACAGCCAATAACATTATGGCTAAACTGACAAATCAGTTTTCACAAACTGGATGTAGTGCATTTGACTGACAACAACTCCTCACTTGACTCTGATGATGACTTCCTCTCAGGTTGTCCAAATGTCAATCACTATTACTGACAACAGGCCTTCTCCGGATTATTGTCACCTGGATGATCAGACGACTTGATTACATAATAATTCCTTCCTTGCCAAAAAAATTGTGTGTGTTATATTAAATCTTTGGCTTTGCATTTTTCTTTAAAGTCATGTTTACTTGAAGTTACTTATGTCAATGGCAAACTTAATTTCATTTCTAATATATAGGATAGAACCTTTTTAATTTGGTGAATTGGTCATCTGTATACAAAGTGATCCATTTTCATTCTTGTGCTCCCCTGTTTTAATTTTGGTGAAACCTCATATAAGAAGAAAACCAGGTCACTCTTCTATGGTTCCTTAATAAAAATTTCAACCTTTTCTCCTTAACTCAATCACTCCTAGGATCTGATTGTTAATTACTCCGTCAAGCTTCTACACATTTCCTTGTAAATCAGTCACGAGAATTTGGTGTTAGATTAAGACAGCAACTATAACCTGATAAGTTTGAATATTTTCATCATCTGTTTGCCGAATAACGTATGGATAGGATAGGGAGAAGTTACATGTTAATCACTTCTGGGATTTAAAGGGTCAATAACAACACAAAGTCATGGTGTTAAGGACAGCAATAATTTGCCACACTCCCCCTCTATACGTAGAGAGAAGAATTATATATAATATTTATGAACAGAAAATATAATTTACACAAATGCATGCGCTAACATTTGAAATTTTAACTTATATTCCCCAGTTACGAGCTTCCATTTGATCGTCACGACTGGGTTATCGATCGCTGCGGCCGGGAAGTCCGATATATTATCGATTACTACGATGTAGGTGACGAAGAGGCTTACAAGAGAGGAGAGTTTGTCGCTCTTGATGTCCGACCAGCTATGGATTCTCTCCAAGCGGTTTTAGACCGTGCGAGGATCGCAGTACTACGATGGACACTCTATTTTAGAAGTGGAAATGACGAATAAATGAAGAACAATTTTAAGGAATTAGAAGGCTTGGTGCATGTTGTGCGGAGGGAAACATGGAGAGAAATGGAATTGATTCAGAGGAATTACAGATATTTTTGCAAAAGCTGAGCTCAAAGGAAGGACACTGATCTTTATTTGGAGCTGTATATTTAACTGAATACTGTGAAGTATTTCAAAATTAGCGAGTGACTAGTGAGTTATACACTCTACTACTCTATACTCTTTTGACACAAGGAGTGGACAAATTTTTTGTTCCACCGCCAGAGTTCGTCTTCATTTTGAATTTTACTTGATCGTTTCATAATTTATTGTACATATACATGTCTATGAACTGGTAGTTGAATAAAGTTTTAAGATTTATAATTTGAAGAAACCTTTAGTATTATCAATTTTTTTTACAAGTGTTATATTTTGTTTGGTCCTTTGAGAAAGTTGTGATGGTCAGTAATTTTTATTTTAAGTTGCCTCTTACAATATCGGGTCTTGGGAATTGCAAAGTAACGAAAAAGAAAAAATTGAACAATATTTTGAGACAAGAACGAAGTACTTAGTCTATCTTCCAATTTAGAAATCGTTTTCATCAAGAACAGAACAAAGAACAAGATTCTAGCAGTCAGAGTTCGTCTACTCTCGTGGTCTTCCTCGCCTTTGTATCCTTTGCCTTACTTGAAGCTTTCCTGTAAACGAAACAAACATGAATCTCGTTTTTTTTCGACCATTCCCTCTTCCTCTTACAATCCCACCCTAGTTTTTCCGAGTTTTCAGCCCCACCCGAATTCTCCGGTGGTAAACGTTGACCAGGAGTACCCCTCTTAAGAGATGGTTGGTGTCTGTGGTACTTACTGAGGGGGGAGGGGGACAGTTAAGAGTTAAAGTTAAGCGATTAGTTCCAGTTTTAAATATGTTTGGACGAGAAATGGTGCAAGTTCTTTAGACCAATCAGAGTGATTGCCCAGCACGACTTTGATGTCTACACTCTAAATTATACTTACTTTTCGCTCTTTTTCTTCTCCTTTCTTTTCATATTCTTATCTTGATTTTCCTCTCTCTTAATTCGCTTCGAAGGCGCCCCTTTCTGGCAGTCAACGGGGAGAATTTCGTTAAACCGTGAAAAAGGCGACAACGCCTCACGGTCCAGAAATATATTCCATATAATATCACTGACTTTTTCCTTTGTAAAGCGTCCACTCAGAGTTTTAAACAACCGCTGCATTGGTTTTGCAAACAGCAACATCGGAAGGTTGTGCGGAGAGATTCCAAAAATTTCTCCATATTCAGGATGGCAGGATCCGTTAATCCAGAGATAGAGTACAGGTTTACCTGGAAGAATTTTAAAAGAAATAATCTCGTTAAGAATAATTTCAGCCGAATTTGATTAATTCAATTCTCTTCTAGGGGAGGGACGGACGGTGAGGGGGGTAGGGATGGAAGGGAGGGAGAGAAGGGAGGGAGGGAGCTCGTAGGCAGAAAGTCTAAGCTATTTTAGGGACAGCGTGCTGCGGTTTTGCAGGACTTTCTGGTAAAGAGAGGATACCTGGTTGTGGGATTTTCCTGTCCTTTATCCTTTGAGGTTTTCATACATTCTCACTTAAATTATCTTTTATTTTACACTAGATAATTGTAATGGCGGGCTTTTTTTTCTCCAAAGTAAGACAAACGTATTATTCTGCATCGCTACCGGAACTAATAATTAACTCAGTATTATAAGAATAAAAACCTATCATGTCCCTAAAGCTGCTTTTCTCGGATGCCGTCTCTCATTCACAAGAAACATTTCAAGATGCCTTTAGTTATAGATCGAAATATTTTCTCACCTCTGACGTTTGACATTTTCCGTAGATCTTTAAAAAACTTCAAAGCCTTTCTGACCCCTTTCTTGTCCTTGCCATCCACAAAGTAGATGAGACATAAGCCCCTATTAGAATCTGCACACATTCTGTTTTGATTCTCGAACGTAATTTCTTTGGCCACTTTACTCTCATCTTCTCGTTTGTCACTCTCAAACTCTCCCCCCAGTGTGTTCTTCACGTCTTCAATGAAGAACTCTCTCAAGCCAACTTTTCCTTTGTATTTCTTCGCGTCTGGGTGGTCTAGCCAATGCTTCTCATGGACAGAGAAGAAAAATCTTGTCAAATTAAGGTAAGATATTCCACCATATTCCTTGGTGTCGTAAATCACTGAGCTAAATCTAATGATTTGCTTGTCTTCACTTTGTGTTGCAATCATGACCAGGATTGCTGGAGTCTGTCTTAGTTGGAAATTGTGCAACACCTCTTGACTCGGCTTGTGAAGGACAACAAAGTTGAAATATTTGGAATATTTGAGGGCAATAGCACGAAAAACAGGCGATGTGATACTTTTGTCTGAAAAAGAAAAAAAGGTGAGAGTGGATCAAAATATTTATTAACCCTTTAACCCCTAAGAGTGACTAGCATCTAATTTCTCCTTACGATATCACCACTAAAGCACACATTAATGTCACGAGAATAAAGGAAATGATCACCCGGCTAAAGAAACTATTGATGGTTAGACAAATTCTCCTTGTCAGCACCTTAATAAATATACAGAGAACAGTATGGAGAATATGAATACCGATCTTAAGGTGTAGAGAGTTTATTTTATGACTTTTCACTGTTATCTTTGTACACCTGTGTTGGGAGCGTGGCACAAAGACAGTCAAGCTCCTTATACATGAACCTTACCCAATTATTGTCACTGTATGAACTTCATAATAGACCTCGCTCACCATGGGTCTCTGTGGCTCAATGATAGAGCATTGGAGCGCAGAAACCGAAGGTCTGAGGCTCGATTCCTCATGGGGACTCAGAATCTTTTCTTTGTCCCACGCTCGTGATAAGAGGAAAAAACATCTTTCTCCACCATCACTTTATTGTCACGGGTATTGCGGCTAAATGTATTTTAGCCCGCTTGCACACTCGCGTGGCTGTTCAGACTGTTCTGTCGTCTTTTTTCCTCAGTTTCTTATTTCTCAATGCCTTCCTAGGTGGTATAAAGTCTATAAATAGTAGTACAGTTTATGTTCTTGGGAATAAATTTGTTTTGAGCCCTCCTCAAAGTCATCATCTACCGGCTCGGGCTAAAATGACTCCGAGTTGACCCAAAACATGTTTATGCCCGTGAACGTAAACCCTACTGTTTTATTAGACCAAACACACTATCTTACATGAAAGTTAACCTTAGCACTCGCGAGGGCAGTACATGCGTAAGGCCCCCACTCATTTCAATTTTATGGTAACCAGTGGCTTTATTAGCTAGGGAGGTGTTGGGTACAAAGGTAACATACCACCCCTACCCCCCTTTGTCAAGAAAAAATTGATTGAACACCACCCCCTCCCTCCCCTACTGAAAAATATGTTACCTGTCAGTAGCAAAACTGGCATTTTGAGGGGTTTGGCTGTGTATCCTCTTCTCACACAGTGCTGTAGTTCTTCCATTGTTGAAACTTTGGTTGTTTCATCTGGAAGACTTTCTAGCACCTCAGTTTCGGCTTCTAATCGAGATTTCACATCTTTCTTTCCCGCTGATTTTATTTTGTAACCACCGTAAGGAAAAACACGAGCCACCGAATATTTTTTGTCTCTCTGGAGGAAACCCTAAGGTACAAAACAGACGTTATTGTGACCATGATGTGTAATCAGTATGATTACCATTAACAGTATGACACGTTGATTTCCTTCATAGCACACGAGGTGTATTATCCATGGGGATACATCTTTATCTTAACGCTTTAATTCTTCTGAGTGACCAAGACAGAATTTCTCCTTACAATATCAGTTCAAATATCAACCACGTAAGTTTTGAGAATAAGGAACCATATCAGTTAGGGGATTAATAGTTGATCTAATAACAAATTCTCAGAACTATCATTATAAGAATTGTATGAAAGACAGTAAAGAGAATTACTAATGAGATCCTGGGAGTGACAGAGTTAATCGCAAAATGACTGATAAACTTTGACCACGAAATAACGAACAGTTTACCTTCCTCTTCAAAAATGCACCATCAGTGTCTGGATCAATTATTCCGACTCGCACAGACAAGCCACGCATATCAAGCTCAGTTTTCCTCCATTCGTCCATTGAAACTTTCCCAGCACCTTTCACAGCGACAATCCAGGCATCTTTGTCTCCGTCAATCACTAAACGTTGATAATTACTTGCAGTGATTTCCACTATACCATGTTTCGTAGACAAGGAAAACTCGAGTTTTACGAGGAAAAATATTATGAAAATTGAAAATGTTTGGAGACTCATCTTTTTCGGAAGTTCACTCATAACAGGTGTATTCAACAAAAATATTTGTCGTCTCTAAAAACTTTTTTTCCGAATTACAATTTTGCGTCGGAAAAATCAATCCGTCCGCTTGAAAACTTTTCTTGAACCTTCCCAACTTGAAGAGAAATCTATGATTCTTTTGATCTGGTCAGTGTAAACTGCGATCTAACGTTTGAGCTCTTGATTAGAGAGGAATCAAAGCTTCGACTCAGATAAAAGATTTTTTTAATGAGTTGTAGGGTACAAAACCTAATTTTACGTGGCATAAGATAGGTTTACATCAGTTAATCAGCTGTTTAAACAATATATGAATTAATTAATATGGTTTTGTTGGCGTCTTATACTGTAACACGTTGTGTGCTATTGTTCATTTAATCGCCAGGCTCCTGTGTCTTCTAAATTCAGTCTTACATCTCAGAACCTTCATGACATTCTATATTGAAAAGTGTAGTTCTTAAAATACGCGATTTGTTAGACAGTCAGAGAGTTGAATGTGTCATGCAGTAGAAAACCTACATAGGTCTGCACGGCGTAGAGAAAATAAAACCGGAATATGAAAGAATAATATAGCTTTGTAAACTGCAAGTGAAAAACGGACACTTGGTACACCATGTGGTATTTCTCACCTTTTTTTCGTTTTTTCTTTCTTTCTTTCTTTCTTTCTTTCTTCGTCTTAAGAAGTATGGGAAATATGTTAGGGTCGATACCATTGGATTCTATGCAACGTTAATTTAATATTTCAACAACATCTTAGCGACACCGACAAGAAGACGAAATGATAATCATTCTTGAAATTAACGGAGAACAAGTTTGAGTACGTCTCCATAGGAAAGGAACGGTTTTTGAGTGACCAGTTCTACGTCCTTTTACTCGTACCCAGGCTCTATCAAGCCTTTGCGAAAAGTTGCTAGTTTCCAGGCTTCCTGAAAAGACAGCTATGATCGGTCAGCTGAGGAACTTCTGCCATATCATCAAACTTTTAACCACCTTTTCTAAGCAGACTCATTACTAAAGGACAAAAACTCAGTTCGTGTGGGAACCAAGCTATTTCAAGATGAGTGCTGCACCGTTTACGGTGGAAATGATCTTTGTCTTCCTTCTTACCCTATGTCTTCTTCACCAGTATGGAAACTGGCGAAAGCAACATTGGCTTGTCACAACAGCAGTTTTTATTTCTTGGTATTTCTCGTTTCTCATCGTCTTCATCCTTCCTTTAGACGTATCAGGGGTAAGTCTAAGTATTTTCCCAGAAAAGAAGGACTATCTTTGTGATATATTCTCGAAACGAGGACCCGTAAACCCTGTTATGAAACGTCAGACCTTGTTGGTTTTATTTTAAGTGGATTTCACTTCAAATTACTTTGTTTATAATATCAAAAACAAACGTTCTACCTGAGCAGGAAGATCGGATTCAAAACGTAGAATGTAACGTTTTGTGCACGATTCAGACATTTTATAGGAAATGTTTGTTTGAAGCTGGATTAAACATCAATGAACAGAAGAGAGATCTTGGCTCAAACTCATCAAAAAATAGCTCCGTTAAGAACTCCAGCAAGACGACTCCGTCAAGTGACTGTGAGAAGCCCTGGAGTTATCTACCAGAGCACGTTCTTCCTGATCTTTGGCGGGTTGTATACTGGTCTTCCCAGATACTTTCATGGTGAGTTCAAGGACTGGACAACAATGATAAAAATCGCACATGAATGAATAATTTTTGATGATTGACACTTCAGATTCATATGTTGCAGTCGGTGACATGACTGAATTTGGGGTAGAGATTAGTATATTTTTTCATAATTTTTCATAATGAATTTCTGGGAGCAAGTTTTAGAATTTAAGTGTGTATGCTTTGAAGCTTTTATCTAAAAGCTTTGCACCTGTACTCCAAAACACCTTTTGTTTGGATCTGTTTATTTTCACTGATTTCTTTGTGAAATTGTTTTAAATTTTGCTTCTAATTACATAATTTTCAAAAGGATAATGACTCTTTTGTAACCCACATATGGAAACTGTGATAAGAATCAATGATTGAATTTTTCTAACAATTTACTTGACCCAAATGTATCCAAGATGCAGAGAAAATCATACAAATATGCCTTATTCACCTTAGCTGTAGAGCAGGCATAATTTTGGCAAGCTGGTACTCAGAATTCTCTTCATGAAAATTATGGTGGCCATCTTTGATTTCAATTGCAGTGGGGTGCTGGGGAGAGAAATAAATTTGTACCAAGGGGGTAATTGATGGTCAAAATTAAGGAGAGGGGTGGGAGTCGGGAGTAAATATTTTGCCTTTTCCTGCCCCCTCCCCCACCACTGCCTCTATCTCCAAATAAAAAATGGCTGGTTGTACAAACATTTTTTCAGAATTAAGGAAATTATCACCAACTTGAGAAGCTCTTCATTGTTAAACACATTCTCCATGTCAGCCCCTCAGGAAATGTAAAGAGAACAATACAGAAAATGTGCATACTGATGTTAGGGTGCAAAGGGTTATGTTTACACACTGTGTTAGTGTGAATAATTAAAACATGCAGCATTCAAGCAAGTAAAAAGTGACACAAACTTTCACTCTAAAATTTTTTTTCTCTTTTGTTTAGGCTTATCCTGCCTATAATGCAGTCATACTCCTATGCTGGAGATTTCACTGTGCGTGGAAAAATAAAAACTGCACTGTATGAGAATGCACTGTGGTATGGCAGCTATCTGATCATCTTTGGTATCCTTCTTGTTTATGTCATTGTGAAACCTGATATTCATTTAGATGGGTGAGTGCTGTTTCCTTTTTATAAAGAAATTCTTGTTTTCTGATGTGATATTTGGGTGACTGACTGTTTGGGTTGGTAGAGAGATAGATGTTTTTCATCTTGTCACAAGCATGGGACAAAGAAAAAATTCTGAGTCCCCATGAGGAATTAAACCTCAGACCTTTGGATTCCACGCTCCAATGCATCTGAAGGTCTTAGGTTCAGTTCCTCATGGGACTCATAATTTTCTTTGTCCCATGCTTGTGACAAGATGAAAAACATCTTTCTCTATTTATCTACCAAGCTCAAAACTTGCCATCTCTCTTATTCTACTTACAAAATTTATTTAAGTATGAGCTTGTTATTTTTTTTTATCAAACCAGAGCAAATCTCCAAATTCTTGGTATCACTGCTTCTAATACTTGGGGACTACTTCTACTGGTATTTCTGATGGGTTATGGATTGGTTGAAGTGCCACGCACCACATGGAATACTGCCAGGCTAGAGCTCCAGATGGCTCATGCATATTTCAAGATCTCAAAGCTGAGTGTTGAAAAAGAAGAAGCTGATGAACAGTTTTCAGAAGTCTTAGAGGTAGCCAGAACTGCAGCCAGTCTTATCATTTTGAGTTCTAGAGTAGTATGTGTACCGTCTTTATGGTAAATAAGTTTTAGCCTGTTATGTCATTCAGACAAATCTTCTTTAATTTTTTTTTTTTTTTTTCACTGAAGGCTTGTGATTTCTTTCTTTTGTAGTGTTAATAATCTGTTTTTTCCGCATGATGTGTTTTCATTTTGACCAAACCAATGGAGACCTTTATGCTCTCTCAAGAACCCAATGATCTTCTTTAAAGGAGAGCGGATATATTCTTTGAGATACAAGAATGATAGTAACCAAAATTGTTAGTTGTGTTTTTGACTTTGTTGTTGATGAGATTTGATTAATCTTTTTACAGGAGGTACATCGTGCATCAGAAGCCATACGTTACAGGCACCCTCTTAGAAAATACCTTGAAGTTATTATAAAAAAGGTAAATTGAATCTTACCGGCTCTCTTTGCTAAAGCTTATTCCAGTTTAACCCTTAGACTCCCAGAAGAGCTTATCATATAGAAGACTAGGTAGAAGTCGTTATCTTGATCTAACACCAAATTCTTGTAAATGATTAACAAGGAAATATGTAGCAGCAAGAAGGGAGAATTAACAATTAGATATTGGGAGCTAAAGGGTTAAGTAGCATAAAGTGAGAAGTGAAGTGAGACAATTGCCACTCTCACTGGATGGGATGCTAGTCTGTTGCAAGTTCCCCCCACCCCCAAGCATTTTGTCAGTTTTCCCTCTGGCAGTTTGCCTGTACCCATTTATAATCCCAAGTAGAGAGAGGGACTGTGCGAATAAATTATATTGCCCAAGAACACAACACAGTGACCCTGCTAGGGCTGAAATCAGAACCTTACAAACTAGATTCCATTGAGCTAATCATATGGCCATCACATCTCTCACTCATTTCTATATATGTTGACCCTTTAAGTCCTAATAGTGATAAGCATCTAATTTCTTCCAATGGTATCACCCTGAATCAAACATTAGGGTCATGAGAGTAAAGAAAAGAATTGCAAACTCAAGAAGCCTTTGATTATAAGACAAATTCTCTTTGTAAGTACCATAGGAAAAGTATAGAGAGTAGTGTGGAGAACTTGCATGCATGTACTAATGTTAGGGTCAATTGATTATTCATGGTGTAGTTCCCAGAGGAGTCGGGCTTCAATAGAGGGACTGATGACTATGTTGATTACGAGGACTACCTTAGGGAGACTGGAAGTAAAATCACAGAGACACACACTGAGAAAAGCTTGGTGAAACTTCACAAGAGAGTAATCATTGTCACTCACACTTCAAGACGGACACATTGGTGAGAAGATAGTAGATATTATACACTGCTTTTGTATCAATCCAATTAGAGTTAAAGTTTTGTTAAGAAGATATAGTGCTTGATAATGGCTTTGTTTTGTTTTCTTATCCTAGTCAGTGGAACATGCAGCTTGAAAAGGTGTTTGAGTTGGAAGACTTATCACGGAATGCTGGTAGCAGTGATAGGTGTGTATAGCATAGTTTATGAAAAACTTGAAGGATCTTTACTTCATTAGAGGGCAGAAGGTTAAGAGAATGAGTCTGGAAAAACTGAAAGTTGGGGTATTAGTGTTACTGAAATCCAGTTTTAGAGATGAATGGTTTAAGCTCTGTCTAACTGTAGCTTTCTTAGTAGTGTTTTCTAGTTGTGTTGTTCTGGTCTTATGAATCCTTTCACTTGTAAGGGTGAACAAATTGGCATTTCTTATAACAATGTTAATGCTTATTCTGAAGGACAAGGTTATGAAAAGAAAGAAAAATAAATACTGATTTAACAGAAAATTCTTAGAGCTAAAATTATAGGAAATGTATTGCAAACAGTGTGGAGAGTTGATATTTAGATCTTGGGAGTAAAAGGGCTGACTTAAAGTGATCTAAAGGGTGTGAAATCAATATAAAAAGATGCCAGTGAAATGTTAAAAATTATGGTGTTGAGTCATGTTGGACTTTCTCTAAGGCTCTATCTAAGGGTGTAGTCTTTCATCCTTGTCTATCCCCAGCTGCAACTGTGTCAATTTATTCTCTCAGTATTTTAAAAAGATGTCTTTAAATTTTTTTTTTTTCTTTCCAGACATTACAAATCATCTTTAAAAGGGCCTTCCACTGGAATCAAACCAGTTCTGGGTATGTAAATGTGATCTATTCCCTTAAAACTGCACGAGATTAAGTTGAAAATACTGAATGGTGACTTTTTTTAGTTCTTTACCTTTGAATGAAATTTTTACCTTTTAAATCTGTAAATAACCTGATTTCCAGAAAATTGAAATGTACTTTTCATGGAAGTTTTACCTTTTTTCTATTTCACACGTCATTTTAGAGTGGTATTGGCGTGTCTGGCTGTTTCCATGGTTACTGCGCTTCACAGCAATTCTTCTGTTTTTATTGTCTGTGACTCTGGTGTGGTCAGAGGTGACATTCTTCAATGTTCAGCCAGTGTTGTCGATATTTGCACAGATGATACGCAGTGCTAGTAAAGGATATTATTATTTCTACGTAGAGGTGAGTTTATTTCGAAAAAAAAAACTTGCAGATGTCAGCACAAAATATTTCTTTGCCTCTTCTTTATTTACTGTGGAACTCAGAAAATCATGAACCCTTTGATTTGCTTCTACTTGTTAGACTGTTTACTGTTCACTATAAAGTTCAACATACACAAGCAAACATGAAAGCTATATAGTATTGAACTGGTTAACCCTAAAGTATTTTTCAAATATTAACAAAAATTGAGCTCAAGTTTGTTTTTGTTTCAGGTTATATCATGCATAATCATTTCATACATGTGTGTTTGTGTGTACTACACTGTATTCAGAATGAGGTTCTTCAACTATTACTACTTTGCACCCAAGCATCAGACGGACCCAAACAGCTTGCTCTTCAGTGGATTGTAAGTAAAACAGGGATCAGTTTCTTTAAGCCTTGTCAGCCCAGAGAGTTATGGGAAAGGAATTTCTCCTTACAACATTAGTGTATATTTTAAAGCAGAGAGGTGGTCTGTAAAATAAGGGAAAAAATCAATGGTTATTGTTTTATTTGGTACCAAATTCTCAGAATGAGTGTAAAGAAATGCATAGCATCCAGGGAGTAGAACTGATATAATTGTAAACTTGGAGGTGAAAAGGTAATGAAACTCTTTGAAAGTGAAGAATATATTTAGAGCATTCATGACTGATGTTTGAAATATATTTCAAGCCAGGGAGCATTCAATTTTTAGAACATCAGATCAAAGATAAAGACATTTTAAGTTAAGATGCAAAACAGCACTTGACTAGACAAGCATTGATTGTGGACTCTTAAAAGCATCATCACTGTAACATCAGAAAGTTTGTGTTTACCAGGATTTAAAACAAAACTTTCAATGTTAGCTTTTGTCTTTCTTTGCAGACTTCTCTGTCGCCTAACATATGCTTTATGTCTTAACTTTCTTGCTGTTATTCATCTTGATGGCCATGTGACTGAGGAAGCAGAACCGGTGGAAACTTCCTTTACTAAAGTAAGGATGATAATCTGTCATGTGCAACACCTTACCAAGTTGTAGGGGTGGGGTGGGAAAGAGTTAGGAAGGGGGGGGGGGGGGGGGGTGGGTGGTAATACCAACCCTGAACTTAATTCTTCAAAGTCTTTAAATGTTAAATGAAATAAAAAAGATTACAGCAACATGATTTATCATAAGGACTCCTCAGACTTTGAGTGTGGATCATCACAGCCAACTCTTTTAGTAACTGAGAGATTTAGATAACAATTATTGTGAAGGAAAGGGTCCCAGAAAATATTTATCAAAATACCCTTCTTTTCTACTTGTTTGTGTGATCCTTCCGTCTTCTCTCTTTCCTCCATTAGCAAATTTGAGATGATTGGTGTAGATATGGAGAACATTGTTTTGGGCTTGTTTGTCATTTCTAAGATTCTGACATGGAGAATTTGTTTAAAAATCCAAAGGTTCTCTGGTGATCATCTCCTTTATTCTTGTGACCTTAAAGTTTGATTCAGGATTGACATTGTAGGCAGAAATTAGACGATAATCACTTTTAGGGGTTTAAGGGTTAACCTCTTGTTGGATAGACAGTTAGATTTACCCTTCTTTTTGTTTTACAGTTCATGGGTCACATGGATGTACTGTCATTAATTTCCAAAGGAGTGAACATGTACTACCCAATGTGTGTTGTACTGGTGTGCCTGGCTACATACTTCAGCCTTGGCACTAGATGTTTAAACTGTCTTGGTTTCCAAACTTTTATCATTGAAGATGATCTGTCAGCAGAGTATGTCAGTGAAGGAAAGGACATAGCACGAAGAGGTATACTTAAGTTACATGCGTAATTACAAAGATGAGATAGTTTTGTAACATTTCAAAGAAGCTGTTGCAAGGTTGTGTCACTATCAGATTTCCTTTTCAAACAAGTGTCTATGACTTTAAATGTTGAGGATTGCAGGGGTAGGTTGAATAAGGCCTTTAGTGACTTTTGATGAAATATCAAATTCTCCTTGTGATTTACAAGGAAATACAAGTCAATTTGTAAGGAGAATTTTGGAGAATCTTGTTGTGTCCACAGGCTCCATAATTTACTCAGCTTGTAGTGTTTCTCTTCACTTGCATATTAGAATTTAATTCTGTTCACATGACATATCTGTCAAGTTTGTGTACAAAACAATCAGCATGTTTCTGTCCTTTGCAGAGAGAAGAAAGAGAGAAATGCTGACAGAAGATGGCAGTAGAAAGGTTAGTTACAGTTGTCCAACTTTTCCTTCACTAGTATCTTTTTGTTTGGAAATTCTATGTAGAAGGAATTGCATAAGTTCAAACTCATGAAGTTTAATTACCTGTTAGAATTGATAGGTACAGCAAGTGATCTTATGGTAATGGTAAGAACCTACTCTGTGTTTTCCTAGGAAACTTGGTCAGAAAGAGCTGAATCAGCAAAAAGAAAACTTACTCGTAAATCAGATCGTGAAGGCAGAGGACTCTCAAACAAGGATCATGCCACATCTAGCACAAATTTAACTGCATCAGATGGAAATTATGCAAGGTATTCACGGTTCGAGCCTGAGAGTGATCGTGTAGAGTTGCTGTCAGCTGCAGATTATGATATCAACAGTTCAGGATCCAGTTATGGTGGTGCCTCAGGTTATGGAATATCCTCCTCTAGTCGAGCACCAAAGAACATTTTTGATGATTTATAGTGATTGAAGATTTTAGACTTATTCTTGTCTTTGTGAACTTGAAAATTGTAAATGAATGTGACATTTTCCTCCTAGTTCTACCAGAGTCACCTTTCAGAAAATAAGCATTATCAAATAGTCTCAAATGTCTTCCTTTTCTTAAGCTTTATCTCTTTGTAAGGAATTGTTTGTTTTGATGAATTGCCCTTTTAGGCAATGTTGTTCAAAGCAAGATCAATGTATATTCTGGGCTAAGGGTCTCAGCTGAAACAGTATTGGTCATTTTTTTAACAGATGATTCCTGACTTGATTCAAATTACACTTGTGGTCCAGTAAAGAAACAAGAATGAATGATAAATTTTCAATTACTGTTGACTTGAACTTTGGAGGAAAAAAATGTTGGCTTAAGTTATAGGGGTCAGTGTTGAATTTCAAGGTTCTTGTTAATAATCAAGTAGGTATTTTGGTTTTATCATGCGTTTGCTGTCATTGGTCATTTTTTAACAACAAATTTGAAATGTCAGCCTTTTCTTAAGGACTTAAAGTTAAAAAATCTTAACCAATATTTTGCCAAACTTGAAAAATTCAGTTGTCTGGGGCAAATATATTTCTGTCTTAGCAAAGTAACTTGTGTAGCTCATTAACCAATCTGAACAAATCCATGCAATTTTCATTTCAATCCAATTCTTGAAAACAAGTTGCATTTTAGATTTTTTTTCCTCTAGCCCTTAGCCTGGTTGTGTGAAAGGCAGTCAGATGTTAATTTTGTCCATGATTTCTCATGAAGTAAAGGGGAAATTAGGGCTTAAATTTCAGGGGTATTACCCAAGGGTATGAGTGTAAGTAGTGTATTTACAAAGTAAGATGATAAATTGTACAGCTGAAAAGTAGTTTCACAAAAAGTCATTGTGTTTCCAATTCAATAATACATAGGCAAGATGGAAACAAGCCATTGTTAACTGATATCAAACTATTTTAAACTGGAACATGTATCAGTTCTAACAAACAATCAAAGGTTGGTTGATAGTTGGGAAAAGTCACTGCAACAGAAGTCCATAAGCTTGTGTATTTCTAATATGACTTATTGTATTTATTACTTTAACTTTAGGAAGCATGGAACATTAAGAGCCACTGAAATTAAAATATTTGAAATGCTATCAATTGGATAGCATTTGCATGTGTTTTGATATGGCATATTCTGTGTGCATCACAACTTGGGATAGCCACCATTGAAAGGGCTAAACTGGAAATGCTTGTAAATTGGATCACTGTCGTTGGTTATCCTTTAACTTCCAGAAGTGATTAAAAAGCAAGTTCTCCCTATAAAATCTATACATCATCTAGCAAACAGGTAATGAGAATACTTAAATTTATCAGATAGAAGTTATCTTGATCTAATACCAAATTCTCACAACTTATTTGCTTAGAAAGGAGTAGCTGCTAGAGGGGAGAATTAACAATTAGGATGTTGAAGGATTAAATACACTAAGATCTGAATAGTTGATTGATGAACTAATTAAAACATATTAAATTTTGCCAACGAAGACATACTCTGTACTGATGTAAGAGAAAATATAATTACATTTGGTATGTTTCAAAAACTGAACAATTAACTTCTTGATTGAAAAACTGTCCAAACTAAGAAATTTGTGTCAAGTCTGACTTACATATTATACCAATTTTTCTAACTTAAAATAATTGCGTCTCTCTGAGATCAACTGCATCTGAATATGCTGGATATAAAAAATATATTTAGAAAAATTTAAAATTTTGAATTGAAATGAAGATAATGTCATGCAGAAAAAATGAAGCCTCCAGGCCTAAAAAAGTCTTATTTCTCTAAAAAGAGTACATGAAACCAAAGGGGTTGATTACAATCATTAACCACAATACAAAAATTTATAGGAGAGAAACTTTTCGAAATTTAAATCAAATTTCCCAGAAAGAATCTTCCAAAAGTGTAAGAATATCTCATGGAGATTTAATAACCTAATTTAAAATAATAAGTAATTTTTAATCTTTGCACTGGACCCCCCATATCATTCCTAAGTACACAGACCCAACCGGTCTTGCAATAGTTGAGAAAAATGACTTGTTCACATTGACGTTTGGAAGGTCAGCCTTCAGTAGTTCTACACCTTCTGTGTTCAGAAGACCAAAGAGCTGTAGAGTTTTAAGTGATTTGATCTTGGTAAATAAGCTGAAAAGTAAAATGAAAAAGTTATTAATGTGTGGAGGATGTGAAATTCAATGTAAGGAAAAGAATGTTTGGTTTTATCAACTAATTTGATCACATAATGTAAATTGGCCACTGTAAAGAGTTTCTAAAGCTGATACTGTAAGCATTTACCCTTTGTCAGAGTGAATGGGGAAGAGCTAATGCTTGAAACTCTTTCCGGTGACTAATTTGATAAATCAAAATTATCTTGTAATATCCCCACTGACACAGTATCACAGTTTCTTTTGAAACTTACTCCCTTCATCAAGAAGATGGTTTATTGCCTGAATTGGCAAACCCTGATGGTTATATATTCCAGACAGCCAGTTTTAAAATTTCATTTTCAGTTATAAGTAGTTTTGTGTAGGTTGGATAAGAAAGAATTCAGGTTGTTGTTATTAACAAAAGCTGCAATGACAAAATTGACAAAATGCTGAAGGCAGGGGGGGGGGAGGGCAGGGCAGGGAATAACCTGCAATGAACTTGCACCCCATCTGGCAAGGGTAAAATGCTTCCAATCAATTCATGTGACTATAACAGGGGTAGGCTCTAACAATGATAGGCAACTAGTTCTGCAAGACTTAACAAGAATATATGAACACATTATGATGATAAAACAATAAATTAAATTTAAAAAGTCAGCCCACTTAACATGTTTTAATAGTGGATTCCATTTGTTACCTGAAGGAAACTGGTGGAATACTGTAACATCTGCTAACACCCAACCAAACCAAGTTCTTTAGTTTGAGAATTGCCTCTAGAGATTGAGTAGTTAACATTACTCCATCACTGAAAAGATAAATTACCAGACTATTAGTTTACAAAATACTTTCTCACTCTGACAAGTATGAAAATTTGACCTTTCCAATAGACAACTATAATTCTAAGTTGTGTGCATTCTTTATGCAAAGTTTCAAATTTTGTTCTACTTAAAGTTGCTTCATCATCAGTTAGATGGTCATTATGGCTGAAGCTGAAAAAGTGTCTTTGAAGTGTCAAAATGAAAAAGCTTGTCTCAAGAATCTGGGGTGGCCAACTCTCAGAAGCCTTGGAAAGCCAATTTATTTAATCTACCCTCACGATTTTAAGAAATGATTCAGAAGTATTACTGTAAGGAGAAATTAGATGCTGGTCACTCTTAGGGTTTAACCCTTTCACTCTCAAGATCTGATTAGTAATTCTCCTTACTATCTGCCATACAATTCTTATGATTTTAGTTCAGAGAATTTGGTATTGGATCAACTAATAATCCCATGATTGATATCCTTCTCTATTCTCATCACCGGCCTGCTTGATATTGTATTGACACTGTAAGGAGAAATTCTGTCTTGGTCACTTGTGGGAGTGAAAGGGTTAAAGGATTAAGCAAAGCCAGACACAAGTTGTTAGTCTCTCTGAGTCTGTAACAAAATACAACACGATGACTGGAAACTTATTATTTATGTTTGTGACATTCTTACCTGACATCCAAATGAGTTAGTTGAGGACATGATTTAACAAGCTGTTTGATGCCTATCGCCAAGAGAGATAAGAGTGGTTTAGGAACGTAGGAACTGTAAGGAAACTATGAAGAAATGTTGGCGGTCAAGAGTTGGGATGTGAAAGAATGATGAAAGGTGCTTGTTTTAGAAAAATTGCCCCTTTATATGATCAGCTACAGTACACATGCATTGTGCATGGTTTCTTACTAATGATCTACTGGAGGACAGAAGCATTGATGATTTCACCATAAATAACATTTTACTTTGTTATCATATAAAACAAATAAATTCCATTTTGCTGCAGGTCTGTACAGTCACAGAAGTTATCAAAATGTGATGAGAAAATCAGTGGAAAATTTGGTTGTGCCTTTTGTGGCACTCTGTTGTTTTTACCACATTTTGATGCATTTTATGAACTATTACTGAACAGAAGTACAGCAACATAGAATCTATTTATTAATTAGTGCACAATATGTCATCACATATGGTCATCAGTTAGAGTACAGAAACATGGAATCTATTTATTAACCCTTTACCTCCCAAGATCTCATTAGTAATTCTCTTTACTGTCTGTCAAATGATTCTCATTATGTTAGTTTGGAGAATTTGGTATTGGATCAATTAGAAATCCTAGAATTGATGTTTTTCTTAATTCCCACAACTTTTCTAAATGATGTTGTATAGATATAGTAAGGAGAAATTCTGTTTTGGTCACTCATGGGAGTTAAAGGGTTAATTAGTGAACAATATATCATCACATACAGTCATCAGTTGGAGAAGAGCAACATGGAATCTATTTACTAATTAGACTAAGTGCACAATATGTTATCACATACAGTCATCAGTAAGAGTTTCTCTACATCCACTGAGGTTGAGTTGTTGCAGCTGTGGTAGATTCTTTATAAGCTGTTAAAACAATAAATTTAAATACACTGTGATACTCAAAAAACCATCAACTCTTTATACCCGCAGATCAGCAACCATATTCTCTATGCTGTTCTTTATTAATTTCCTATTGTGCTGACAGGAATCAGTTGTTTAACAATCAGGATCTTCTTGAATTGGTAATCATTTTGTTGTTATTATTACTGTTGCAGTTTAGTTTTCTCAAGCCTGATTGGTTTATTCCTTGGAAAACAAAATGTTAAAAAGTATTTCTGGTATCTGCCATTTTCTAAGTTTTAAAGGAAATGTTATCAATTAAATATGTTAAGTAATTTTGTAGAATGTTTCCAGATGTAATGATGTTTCATGAAAAGTCTGTTCTTCATAATTTTTATACTAGACTAATTCAACACTTAAAAAGAATTAATGCACATATCATTTCTGACATGCTAAAATAACTCTTTAAGATGTTTAATTCAAGCAAGTCTGATAAGATCTATCTATAAAAACAAAATCTATAGATAAAACAAGATCCAGATATAGGATCATCTACCTGCATCATTGTTGCCTTTGTGAGGTTTGTCCATGCTAAATTTAACTGCTTGAGTCTAAAATAAAAAACTGAAGTAATTTAACATAACATATGTACACATATTATATTAAAATGAGAGCTATCTGTCAATTGGCCAGATTTGAAATGAAAATTCATCAAACTGATTTGTATGTTAAGCTGAATTATAAATGCGTGCATTTTGATTGGTTCTTGAAGGACAGACGCATGGATGACGTGTCACCATAAAAAACATTTTGCTTTTCTATCTTGTTAACCCTCTAACTCCCAGATCATCTTGAATTCTTTTACTGACCAGACCCTTATGTTAGTTCAGAGAATTTAGTATTGATCAATCTATTTTTGAAATTCTCAATCTATCTTTAAAAAGAAAAATTCTTTACCACATCTTGATGTAATCTATGATCTTTTACTGACAAGACCCATGGCAGCAGAGAATCTATTTTTTAAATACAATCTAACATTTAAAATGCATTTTTTCTGATCATAATAAGTTTTTTAATGAATATGCACCTGGAGTTTTTTCCACCTTTAACCAAGGAGCAAATTCCTGTGATTGTTACACCAGTGCACATGGCAAGATTTAAAACTTCAAGATTGCGCAGTTCACTGACGGCTCTAAAATCAGAAAAGAAGGCAATATGCATCAAAACAAAGGGTGTAAAAAAGGAATACATTATCTACAGAGAAAAATTATAATTGGAATAAGTAGTTATATTCATCATTGCAAAGATTGAAGCAGCAATCATCAGAACTCATCATCACCATTATCATCTCTAAAACATAAGTGTAATTAGTCCTGTGATAAATCTATTTTATCTTTTAACCCTTTAACTCCCAGATCAAATTTTAAATTCTCCTTACTGTCAACCATACAATTCTTATAATGTTCATTCAGATAATTTAGTATTGGATCAACTAATTATCCCCTAATTTATATTTTTCTTTATTCTCAATACTCATCTGGTTGATATTGCATTGATACTGTAAGGAGAAATTCTGTCTTGGTCACTCATGGGAGTCAAAAGGTTAAGTAATGAACTTTTCAGATTCTATTTTTTTTAAACCTTGAACTCCCAGAAGTGATTAGCATGTAACATCTCCCTACAATATCCATACATTACCTAAAAAATAGCTGATGAGAATACTCAAACTTATCAGGTACATGTAGAATTTATTATCTTGATCTAACACCAAATTCTTGTAACTGATTGACCTTGGGAATTCAAGGGTTAAGTTTTGGAGGAAAGAAGGGTAAGGAAACTTGAAACCACAAGGCTCACTGCAAAGACCATGCCAATGATCAAATTACGATTGTGTTAGTGAATTAGTGTTCTCTTATGAACTAGCAACTGTGCTTTTCACAGTGGAAAAGGTCTGATTGTGTAATTTACTACAAAGGTCAATGTATCTTGTCCTTACTTTAATATGGCTGTAGAAACCTTGCAGGATTCCAAACTGATGTGGGTCAGCTGTTTCGATTGCTTCAGTGAAATAAATGCACAAACAATTTTATGAAAAGAGTTTCATAATGTTTTATGTCATCTCTCATTTGCGCTGCAGCTTACCCTACCCTACTACACTTAATACAAGTGATTTTCTTCTGTAGCATATAATTCGATGAAAAGATTGAAAAGCTTGAAAGTAGCTTGTGTCTTTGGAAATGGCAGAAGAATAAACTCCTAAAGCCCTCATCTTCAACCCAAACTTAGACTTGAACATTTGGAAAGGGTCTTATGATCTCAAGAAGTCCACTTTCAGTACATACCATGAGAAGGCAGAGGAGGGTATCCTCTTGAAAACTGCATGAAGTGGCATCTAATAATCTCAGGTTGAATAACGACTTACTTAAAATGACAAAGAGGAAAGAAAAAAAAAAGGATAAATGTTAGTTATTTATAATGGGTGCTTGGAAATAAATTAAACCGTAATTGACTTTTGATCCAAAATCAACTTTTCCAAACTGGGGGCTACATATGGGTGCTTCTGGAGAACACTAACCTTGGTGACTTTGGTGACAGAGGAACTACATCAAGGAAGAATGGAGCATTATCATCACATAAAGGTGAAGCAACCTGTAAAGGGACATTAAAATGTTATTGATGAGAAATAATCTAAAACAACATGTCCATAGAATGTTACTGAATGAGTACATTAAATGTAACTGCAGAAAAATCATGGACCTGAACACCTGCGGTTACCTTTGCATGGGCTATTCGCAACACCCTGGTTCCTCGTTTTAATACCTTTCCTAACAAACCAGGTAAGAGGTTTGACTTAGTCATGTCTACACGATGCCATAGACTTTCATCATACCTGAAAAGAGAGTGTTTAACCACTGAGATCAGATAAAGGTAAAAGGAGATGCATCAACAGGAATAATTGATGCATTAAGACTGGGGCAGAGGTTTCAGTAAAAGCTGGTTACAAGCGGTGAACCACCACATCTAAGACCTCTTACTTCCTTCTGTTTTGTCAGTAAGCAGGCTCTCAACTTTGGGTTTTGCATGGGCTTTCACAAGGGTGAATTACCAATTTTTGGATTATAAATTTTATTGGGAGGGGGCATGCCCCCAGACAACCCTAGGAAAAAGGAGAATTGCAGCTCCTTTACAGGAAAGGTCACCTATTACATTACAGCAGCGGCTTTTGGAAACAATTTATTGACACCCCTGCTAGGGTTACATTTAGCATCACGGACTGGCTGCCACTAAGACTAATTAAAATTAATGTTACTTACATTAGCCTTTGCCAGTGTTTGCAAACTCTGGCACACCTTACTATTGTCTTCTTTGGTAAGAATTGAAAGATTGACAGAATTATTTCATCAGATAACATCATCCAATAATCTGAAAAAAAAAATTCATTGAAGGTCATGTGAGGATGTAACCAAAAATTTATATTGTTAACTCTTTCACTCCCAAGATCTCAATAGTAATTTTCCTTACTGACTGCCATAAAATTCTTATGACGTAGTATGGAGAATTTGGTATTGGATCAACTAATAACCCCCTGATTGATTTTTTCCCTAGTCTCATCACCTGTCTGCTTGATATTGTTTGAAATTTTTCAAAGAAAATTTTGCGATTGTCATTCATGGGAGTTAAAGGGTTGACCAGTTCTTGACATAACAAATAAGAATGATTTGTACTTTTCCTTGATTTGAGAGACTTTTCATGATATATATATTTCCAGTCCTAATTATGCCTTACTAGGAGTAGGTTTTTCTTTCACACCAGTTCTTTTCCTTTTATGAACACAGGCTGTTGATTCTTTTGATTTTGGTCCACTTTTCCAGGCTTTGCTGTCAGTGGATGATGAACCAGTTGCCACTAAAGATGAAGTTTTTCCCCAATGACTAACAACAAACTTCTGACAGGGAGCCTGGAAAACAAGACAAAAGAAGTTGATCTCTACGTGTCTGCTTACAAATGGATCTAGTCCAAGAGTAGAAATGGATATGACTTTATTACTGTCATCTATGCTGTCTGTATGTAATACTGAAAAAAATTATCATCCGAGGGATATTGTCCGATTTGACACTTAATTCTCAGAATGAAAATTAAAAGAAATGGCAGGTAGTACGTAGAATTATGATACCCTGTCAAATCATACTGACTTAAATTTTGGCTTGTACATAGATCAGTGTAGAAACAAATAAATTTTGACATAGGACATTGATTAAATTTGACCTAAAAGTTGTGTCCAGAAAGATTTTCCTGACTTTCTTTCTCTCGAGCGAAGAATCAGGGGAATCAGATTGCTTAAATGAATACTACAAATTAAACCAAGAAAAGAATAACATTCAACAGAGCACGTCGATTTCAGCTTCATTAACATACACAACTGTGAGGCAAAACACACAAATGTGGCGGGAATGTTTGAATTATACTCACAGGCAAATAAATTATGAAATATAACAATACGATGTTTAGCATAAGGCTCAATCCTCGCAAAATGTTCATTCACGAAATTCTTATTTACCTGAAGAATGGACTGCCTATTTAGTGGATTCACTCTCATTATTTCTTGGCTCAGTTCTCGTTCGTCCGCGGCGGGCCATTGCAGCTCTGCAACGCCAAGTTCTTTGTATGTTAGATCAACCTTCGATCTGCCAGATGAACATGTTATTTTTGAAATTTCTGTCCCAACTACATCCTTGTTTGGATGTTTCTGTGACCCTCCTTTGGTTCTCGCTGCACTTCTTTTCCGATTTTTTCTTCGCACGGGGGCCATTGTACCAAATCGAAGACAAATTTCCCGCTTAGGAGTAATAAACGAATGAAAAACAGGCAGGTACTCACCAGATCGAGGCAAAGCAATCACCATATCGAGGCAGAGGCGAAGGAAAATTCAGTAGACTTGGACAACGGCGTGAGGGAACAGAAACCTAGCTTCATTCTCCTCTTGTTCAAGTGTTCCTCAGGAGAAAGTTAAGAGTTGAAAGCTGACTTCTACGCGGCAACATGCTCCCCTATGAAGTTCAAGATAAGCTCTGAGACCCCCTTCAGATCACACAAGTAGACTGACTTGGAGATTGCGTTGTGCTGTAATGCCATTAGCGCGTTCACGCAAACTTTTATGATCGCGTTGGAAAAATAATCACACAGTAGTCCAATTGTACGTAACATGGAAATGCAGAATGTTCCAGTTCTAAGATTCCGTTCAAACCAAGCTTTTGTGAAGCATTAAGGCTCAATTTTGCCGAGTCTCCCCATCCGTACAGAATTATTTTTTAATAAATGTTGAGGTAAGTATGGAAGGTTGGAAAGTGTGGAGTTCGTTTTTAAAACACGATCCCTTGCCAGTGAACTACGAGAGACCAGTGACAAGAATTCAATTTGTCTTAATCATCTGCACGGTGGTATAGATACCAAGCACACTAGCCATTCTTTTCTTATTTCTGTTTTTATTTAAGTGATGGAACATAGAAGGTAAAGGAGGCTGCGCTTATGAGCAGTTTTTTGAGTCATGTAAAATGTTCTCATTTTGAAAAGGACAGTAGCCCCGTCTAAGTTTCGTTAACACTAAAAGTGTAATTAACTTAGACGACAGATGCGAGCGCGCCCAGCAACCTCAACTGCAACGACCTTGACGGCCTTTTTTACACATGTAGAACTGCCTTTTCTGGAAGAGAATAGCTTATAGAAAGCTAGACTTGTGACTCGCGTTTTCTCCCTAGCGATTTTTTAACAAGGACTAAGAACATTCGACTGACAACAACTAATCACTTGACTCTGAAGATGACTTCCGCTCAGGTTTTCGAAACGTCCGTCACCACTACCGACAACAGTCCTTCTCAGGACTACACTCCCTCGAACGATCAAATTACACTATTACATGTTACCCCCAGGTTCAAACCATTTACTGTGAAAGGTACAGTAGTAACACCACAGATAATCACTAGTTACAACTCATACGACCGAGTTTAAAAGAATTTTAATTAATTTTTGTCTCTTTTATCTCAGTTAGTTTTCAAATTTTAAACTTTGTTTAATTTTTGCGTAGTTAAAGCTATGCATGAAGTGTAAAGCTCTTTAATAATAAGTATGGATACACAAGTAATTAAACTGGGCAAGCAGTGTACAGTGCAATAGTTATTAATATAAACACGCTGTAAAAGTCAAAAGATTACGGGCTTCCTATGAATGTAAGCTAGAGCTAAGCCTAGCTGAATCTATAGATGTCAGGAAGGGGGGGGGGGTTGGGAAGTTCACGAATCTTCGATGAATGCATCCGAGGAGTTATTACGAAACCCCAACACGCGCGGGTCGTTGTCATGCCAACTTATGTGAAGCAGCTACTCGAGGTCTTTGACAAAACCATGGCTCAATTCGAGTCCCTTTTCAACGCACCACGAGGATAACTTCCCTTGCGATTTCCGTGCCTCTTGTCTTAAATACACGTCCTCTTCTGTTCACAGTTTCAATCTTTCTTTCTCTCTGCTCTCGCTGCTGCCTTTGCAGCTGCTTTGGCTTCTGATTTAGCTGTGGATTAAAAAGGAAAATGGTCTTAGAACGATCTGATCAGCAATTCTCCTTTCTGCAGCTACACATTTCCCTGTAAAATGTGTGAAAGAATTTGGAGTTTTATCGAGATAACACCCTTCAGTTGACAAACCTGTTCTCTAGATAATACTTTGAAATTGAGAGTTAGGAGTTGTTAAAGTGTATGAGTTCACGTGCAGGACGTTTATTTTTACAGATCTTTTCGTCATTAAAGAATTCTAAAGCATCTAAGTCAGATCGAATCCCTCTTGAAAGACAACAATTAAACAATTATAAGCGGATTGTAAAAACAACAAAAACAACAACAATAATAATAGTAATAATGGTAAATGACCAATAAATCAAGGCTAAACTGACCAACCAGTTTACACGAACCAGACTTAGAACACTCGACTGACAACAACTCTTCACTTGACCCCGATGATGACTTCCGCTTAGCTTGTCGAAACGTCAGTGACTTCTTTCCACAAAAGTCCTTCTCAGGACTACTCTTACCCAGACGATCAGACTAAACGATCAGACGGCGACAATGATACTGATAACGATAATGTTAATAACAATGATAATGGTAACATTTAAACATACCGATACGTGAACCCAAAAAAGAATAACTTTTACTCTTCCGATATGCTTCGAACGGGTCCTTCATGTCTGCACCAACCCCCTGAGATAAAGACAAAAACACAGTCATTATTTTCAATTCAACTTATTTCTAAGGAGGTATTCTATCATTAGTTCTAAAAGTTTTATATTATCTCAAGGTATCTTTATAGTTGAGGTGAATTTTCTGCCCTTTAATTATAATCAGCAGACTCTTAACAGAGAAAGTACAACGGCAATGACTCGTTCCTCACCTTGAACTTGTCAAACTTATCCCGAATCTCCCCCCCTGATATTGGATCCTGTATCCCTTGCATACTTCTACCCAGTCCAGCTCCTTCCCAACCTAACGATGAAAAATATCACATTCTGTCACGAAAAGTTCGTTTCAATAATCTCAGATGATACGTTGACGCGAATTACCATTGGCTGGTGGTTGTGTGTTAAAAGTTATAAATATTTTTAGTTTGCATATTGAGTGCTACACGAGGAAAACGTCACGAGTCACGCAATCTTTAGTCTAGGTGTTGTTCAAAGTCACGGTCCAACCCACCCATTTTCTTGAGCATCTGATGTCCGACGTTGCTTTCATCCAGTCTTTGTTCAGGGACCTTTGATGTGTACGACGGACTGGAAAGAAAAAACACAACCAAGTCAATTGAGACACCAAGCATTCTTCGCTAATATTTCACATTCGAGCGAAATCAAGAGGGGCGTATTCTTTAGGAAACTTCTACTCAGGGATTACCTCCTCTCAAGGAATATAAACTTTGTTTCCGAATTTTAAAAAAAAATTATTTAATAACTTTCGTTTCTGTGAGCTCCATTCAAGGGACACTTTTTATATTTCCGAAGGTGTCCCATAAATGGAGGTCCATCAGTATTTATTTCCTTCATTGAAGGGACCCCATCTTTTCAGGTCCAAAAGGGGCCCTTCAAACTTAGGTTCCTCTGGAATCTTCGAAAAAAAAAAACAAAACAAAAATGAGAGAACATTTTTAGAATACTTACTGAAAACTTGGAGGCGTTGGACTTCTACCAGGACTTCGGTTGGACTTGAACATTGGTGAGATTGAACGTGATCGTGACCTGGAGCGTGAACGTGAGCGTGATCTTGAACGTGATCGAGATTTTGAGCGTGACCTGTAACAAGAAAGTCAAATGCAATTTACACAAAGGGTGGGCCAAGGATAATTGAAATGTTGTGAAACGATTACTGGGCACCCACACAAACGGTGTGACTTTTCGTTTATTTTAATTCAAATGGACTTTATGAGAATGTCCAAAAACTTCATCTAGTATACTTGATCAAGTAGTCACCATCAGTGATGACTTCCGCTCAGGTTGTCGAAACGTCAGTCGCCACTACCGACAACAGTCCCTCTCAGGACTGCACTCATCCGGACGATCAGACTACACTATCACATACTAACTTGTGATGAATATTCTCATTTAACATCAAGGGTTAGGCGAAAAATCCTTATCTGACCACAAAGGCGCGTTTATTTGATGTTAAACGCCGTGAGATTATTCGTCTCAAATAGGTACAGTGATGCGAACCTTTACAACATTGCCATACATTTCCTCTAAGTTACTATGTAAAAAAGGTCACACCGTTTGCATGCACCCCTGCTGATGGCCTTTTGACATGACTTTACCTTCTTCTTCTTGGAGAGTTGGACCTGCTCCGTGAATGCCGTCTTCTGGGGGATCTAGAGCGAGAACGAGACCGCCGCTGACGAGGGGATTGGGAGTGAGAACGAGAGCGTGGCCGGGGAGATCTGGAATGGGACCTTGATCTGCTTGGAGGAATTTCTTGCACTTTGAGTTTCTCGGCTTCCTCTCGATCTTTTATGTACTTCAACTTTGCTTTGTAAAACTCAAACAAACCACTTTGCTCCCACCCTTCACTGTAGGAAACATGTTTCAGACACCATTAGTCCAACTGCCAATAATTTTCTCAGAAAGCGTTATTTTGATCACTCCAGTTAGCAAAAAACCATGCAGAAGCAATAACAATCTCAGATTTCCGAACTTTACCCGAACGATCTCAGATTTCGAACGACTTCGGATGGCCTTCGAGCTCTTTTGGCGATTTCCGAAGAATATCCGAATACAGATTTTAAAACATCGAGTATCAAACAAAAAAAGATTAAAATTATCGGTAACCACTGCCTCATGTATCTAGTATGGAACATCAAAGAGTTCTAAATATCAACCGTAAAATCCAAGGGCTCAAATATCAAAGGAAGAATTCAATTCAAAATTTTTTAAAATATTCTCTCCTCCTCTCTCTTCATTTATGTATTCATAATCTATACTAGTAGAGTAAGGAGATGTAAGATATCAGTCAGACTGACTAACCTGTTCCTAGGCCTCTCGTGACTAGGTGGACTGTAAAACGCTTCTACTGCAGCAAGAAGTCTTTCACTTGGTGGCTGTGGTGCAGGAAGACGAAGAGAAGCTGGATCTATTGGCTTGTAGTCAACGTCTGGCAGCTTTACCAGGAAAGAAAACGAAATCTGCGTTTATAACACTATCACTTTTACCATCCCCCCTCATTGGCAGTTAATTGGCAGTCAATTTTCCATAGTTCCTACTTTGTACTCTGTTGGCAACAACTGACCCCCCAATGTCCCCCCTGAATTCCATGTGATCTCCTCCCCAAAAAAAGATGATAAATAATGACTGGTCTCTTAGAAGATTTGAATGTTGTTGATTAAAAAGAGGGGAGGGGTCTCACAGGCAGCCCAGAGCCATCTAACTACCCCTTCTCTATCCCCACCCTCCAGGAGAATTATCACAGATAGGAATCTTACCCCTACTAACGGAGCCATGAGACCAGCAGGAAGATCATAGTACATTGCAGTTGGTATAATAGGCTCAGGTATGGGAGGTTCAGGTGGCATCTCATACTCCTCCATGCCATACCCCTCCTCCTCTTGCATTCTGCCATGATTGTAATCATTCACCATGGGTGGAGGAGGCCCTCTACCCTCGTACTGCTCAAACTCTGGCATCTGGTGTTGATAGTCAAACTGTTGTGGTGGACCACGGAATTGCGGTGGTGGTGGCCTGTGTTAAAGCCACAGGGAAAGTAAAGTTAACAAATATTATTTAGTAAGAAATGAGGATCACACCATTTACTATCTGAAGTACCTCTTGTAACTGCCTAAAATCACTTGCAATTTTTGAACATTCAGTGAGTAAAGACATTGCCCTATCAGTTTGAAAACTTGTTTACCTGTTAGACTTAAAATAATGGAAAACACTAGCAATCACATTTGGCATTGATGGCCCTTCATTTAGAGCTTAAGTTCAATATAAATGATGGGATAAAGTGAGATTGCAAAAGTATGTATTGATCATTTCTATGATAAATAAGGCTACAGTCAATATAAATTTGAGGTCAATTTGTAACATAGCATTATCACCAATAATGTTGACTGTGACATTTTAACTGTCATGATGCTACTCTTTGACCAGCCATTAAGTTGAATGATAAAATACAGCTATCTGTTTAACTGCTGCATGCTAATTCCTCTTTTATGGTGTATAGTGGAGCACTGCTATTGTATCTAATTTTCAGTGTCAACCCACCTCACATGGTATCCTTCATCGTGGAAGTTAGGGGGTCGGGGCCCACCAAACATGGGTGGGGGGTGTCTGAAATCTGGTACGTAGGGTGGAGGAGGAAAATGAGGAGGAAATGGTGGTGGGCCACGCCCATAGAACTGGGGTCTCTGATCGCCAAATGGGGGAGGGAAGGGTGGAGGATGTTGCTGATAAGGTGGTGGTTGGTATGGTTGCTGCATGGTTGCCTCCTTCTGCTGACACAATAGATAGGTTATCAGTGAGGGAACAGAGTGAGGTTGTAGCTTAAACTGTTGTGAATGTGATGCACACCAAGGCCTTATGAAAGTGCTTTTTAAGCTACTTCAGAGTTAAAACTGAGGTCGCTTGTAGCAGAATCTAGATAAATCACAATTGTTTTTTTTTTCTTCTTGCTTTGAAAAGGATACTATTACTCTACTTTTCCATACTGTTTACTAAGCACAAATAGACAAAATGTTGAATTCAGAGTATTATCAAGAGCCAATCACTTCGCTAATCAGGGACTTTTCCTTTTAGTTTGATAAACCCTCAGTAGAGAAAAATTTCAAATTTCTTTGGCGAGGAACAGGATAATAATTCTTTTAAGCTTAGTCTACTGTTAACAAGCTGTTCTTAAAAGGCTTTCACTGTACAAGAAAGGTACATTAAGTCTACTTTTGAGCCCAAACTTTTGGAGCTCATTAGCAACCTCATTGTATGGAATGCAGGATCATTCAAGTGTTACCCATCAGCATTTCATTAGGTTTCCCCAAACAGTTTGCTAAGCACAATGTTATACTCCTGGGTGGAGAGAGGCACTAAGAGTCAAGTGTTTTGTCAAAGAACACAACACAATGACCCAGGCAGGGTTCAAACCCAGGCCTCTCACAGCCTATTTGACTTTAAACATATATGGTTGATTTCCTCTTATTTCTGGGCCAAAACTCAGATTACCCTTAAAGAAAAGCATTTATCACACAACTAGAAGTTCAAAACCTTTACATTTTGCACTCTTGTCTCAGCATCTTCTGATGGTATTTGCTCTGCATTTTCTTCTTTTCCTTTTTCAATGACTTGTTGTTTTGCCTCATCCCCTGTTCCTTGGGAGCCTACCTCTACTGTTGGCTGCTTCAAATTATCTGAAGAAATACATTTGGCAAACTTTTAGGAACTTTCTCTGGGTTGTTTGTAATAAAGGTTAAATGAAATCTAGTTTGAACTGGCTACTTCATTACATGAAGATTTGCCAAACAAACGCCATCTTGTTGTAAATCATGACCAGACATGCCCAAACTAAATTCATGTATCAGAACAATTCTCCACTACTGAACTCATGAAAGACTGAGGAACTCTCTAGTGGTGAACACAGGTTGAAGTACCTTCTCTTCCAGGAGCTTGCTGGTCTGATTGTGGATTCTGTTGGCTATCTTGTGGCTGCTGATAATGTGGCTGATGGCGTTCAGGTGCAGCATAAAAACCTTGACTAAACATCTGCTCACGAGCTGCGTCAACTTTACTCTGGCCTGCTTCAGTGTTTTTCAGTTCCTGAAGGTAATGTCAAACATTTATATCAGGAAAAATTATGATTTCAATTTCTGCTCATTTGCAATTGATAACTTTAAGTAACAATGAAGAGTAACTAAACTATGTTCAAAAGTAAACAAATGAGATACTTTCTAGAAACAATTTACTGTACAAAGGCAATAAACAATAAATATTAAAAAGTGGTATCAGTATTTTTGCTTAAAAAGCTTAAATGTGATTTTCCAACTAATCATTATGATGTGAAATTCTTTGAATGTTGCTTCGGAATGAGACTCAACCCTTTAACTACCATGAGTATCCAAACAGAATTTATCCTTACAATATCAATAAAACATCAAGCAAACAAGCAATTAGAATAAAGGGAAAAATATCAATTAGGGGTTTATGAGTTGAATTAATACCAAATTCTCCAAAGTAAAATCATGAGAATTATGTGGCAGACAGTAAGGAGAATTACTTAAGAGATCTTGGGGGCTAAAGGGCTAACAGGACACATTAAAATTGTACTACTATCAATTTTCATTTTCACAAAAAAAATTTAACCAAAATTCTGAAACTTGCCTGTAGGAGAGATGGGTCAAAAAGATTATGACTTTCCCAAATTCCTAAGACTTTTGTTACTTTCTGCAGATTTTCTGCTAATTCCCCTATCTGTGTACAAAAAAACAAAGGTACTACAATATCCTCAAGACTCTTCTGAAGGTCCTGAGCTCCTTTCCTTTGACAGTGGTGCAGAATATCATTCACAAGGTAAACAATGTGAAGTTTGTGTTGAAATTGCATTCCAGGGCCAAGGGCTCTATAAGATATTAGACAAAAGAAGAGGAGTCAAGAGCATGATAAGATGAAAGTGATTAAAATGTTACTTCTCCCTACAACATCAATATATTTTCAAGCAAACAGGTAACGAGAATAGACAACATTATTAGTGAAGGGTGTTATTTAACACAAATTCTTGCAACCAGTTTGATAGGAAAAGTGATGCAGCAGCATAGGAGGATTGCAAAACAATCTTGAGGTGAACATTAATACAGACAATTCTTCATTACACTTTTAATTCGAAAGTGCAACCTTATCCTTTTATGTGTGGAAAATAAATATCATTCAGGGTAACCTCCCCTTATAGATACACGGAGGGATAGGGAGGGGTGGGTGAGCAGTCAAGGAGAGTGGCTGAAAAGAAGAGATAATGTAATTTTATTCTAATATCTGTGGTGTAGACAACACTGACTAGTGACAAGTAAAAGATAAATTCTCTAACTAAATATTATAGCAGTTTATAGGTGCCTACCTCTTTAGCAGATACTGGGAAATCTGAAAGCAACTTGCCTTTGTCTTGGAATTGTTGAAAATAAAGTTCTTTCCACTCTAAAAGATAATACATATTATCAAGTATTAGATGCCAATCTGTGTTTTGTGGTCAAGGGACTCCGTATATTTCTTGTTTAAAATGAAAACTTTAGTGTTTTCATTCCAAAGAAAGATTAGTGTTAAAAAGCAAGGGAATTTTCTCCATGTCTGAATCAAAAAATAGCTCATACCATCAGAATAATATGTGAAAATTTTCCCAACAACAAAAAAAGAATATCCTATATTATTGTGAGGCAAGACAGTCCTATGGTAAATCCAAGTGATCTAATTGGTTTTTTACTTGGTCCACACTTGGCCAAGTGGACTGTTTCCAGGGAAATGGTCATGAGCCCTGTATCTTAGTTTGCAGAAGCCAAAATTAAAAATAGACAAGTTTGGTCTGAGTACCATATAATAAACTACTCACTAACCTTGATTATTTGAGCCATACTGGAGAATATTGGCACTTAATCTTTACTGGTATAACCTCAGGCCAAAAATCCCCAGTATGACCCCTACCCTCCATTAGTAAGAAATTATTATCAAACAATGTTCTCGTAACTCAGAAAAATCTGATTTCATTTCATCTCCAATTATTACAAACTCCAACTCAAAAAAATCATTACATCTCCAAGAAGTAGGTGAAAAAAGACCTAAGTGCTTACAGATATAGAATCTTTTGTGCATGACTCCATAATCTTATGCAACAGGTTTTCTAGTTCTGTCACATCAACTTCACTGGGTTGTTGCTGAACAGGAACAGGAGGCTGATATATGGCTGTAGTGGCTTGGACCTGCTGTTGAAGGGCTTGCATCTGGTAATAAATCAAATTTAATAAATAAAAATTTCTCAATCTCAAGGCATCTGAATCCTTTTTAGGGACAATAATAAATTGTGGGGAGATCTACAAGACAGATACAAATGACCTTTGACAAATCAATAAGTTCACCCTTAAAACCTTAGGGTGACCAGTATCTAAATTCTCCTTACAGTTATAGTGCTGAATAATTTGTTCCAATCATGAGAATTATGAAAATAATCACCAATCTAAGAAGCTTTGATTTTTTAATGAATTCCCCTTGTCAGTACCAGAGTAAATGTAGAACAAAGAGTATGGGGAATATCAATACTTATGTAAGGGTACAGATCAGGGGGTTCTTCAAGATTTGGTCATAATGAAGATAAAAAAGAAACTTTCAATAGTAGACATTTTAAGTGTTTGAAATGACAACATTGTCAAACTAATGGGGTGACTTCATGCATGGTGCTACTGATCGAGCAGTTCACATTGACTTTGGTGCTGAAACTTGATAGTTAGCCCACAAAGCAGTGGATTTAGCAGTGAAGGTTTTAGTGATTGGAAAAAGCTACTTTTTTGTCACAATTCTTCTGTACTGTTCAGGAGTATAAAAATAAAGAATACTAGAGATCCAAGTTCAAATATTGTAATTTACTACAAGACCTAAAAGTAGATCTTAAAAAAATACTCTTTAATCTCCTAGCATGACATATTTATGTTGTAGTAAGCAGCAACTTATAAGGTAAGTTTTCCTTGGGAACACTTAGATTTTGTTCTTTGATAACTATGTCATGCACTATTAAAAATCATTTTAAATGTTCATTTTTGTTACCTGTTGTTGAGCCTGCTGTTGTGCTTGTTGCCATGGAGCTGTATTTATTGACTGTTGAACAATAGCTTGTTGCACCAAATGAGCTTGCGGATTTGTAGTAAGCTGTGTTGCTGCTTGCTGTGCAAGTTGTTGCTGGTTTTGTAAATGTTGTTGGGTTTGCTGTTGAGCTAACAGTAGGAAAAATATAAATGAAAAAAAGTTAATTTATTGTATCAAATAAAGAAAGTTATAGTCAAAATCAATTACATCTTTGTTTGGTTCAAACTCTTTTGCTGTTTCTATTCAAGTTCAGATATGAAAATGAAAAAGAATAACTCTCAGCTCAAAAAAAACAAACATAACCTTTTAACTCACTTGAGTGACCAAGAAAAAATGTCAATTTCTCCTAACAATATCAATACAATATTAAGCAAACAAGTGATGAGAATAGGGAAAAAATCAATTAGGGGATTATTAGCTGATCCAATACCAAATTCTCCAAAACAAAATCATGAGAATTGCATGGCAAACATTTAGGAGAACTACTAATGAGATCTGGTATGGGAGTGAACGTGTTACCTAGTGTCTATTATTTTATGAAAACATCTAACAAGTAGTAGGCTGCGTGGCAATCAATCAGATAACCTGATAAGGTGAACATCAGGGGCAAATGAGTGAGGCTTTCTTATTCTTACACAATACTTCAAACCTTTTGCACTTGGGTTACCTAGCTAACTGTCTGCTATTCAGATTAACTCCACCACAGATTTCTTACCAATTTCAAATGAAACCTTCCACCTGTAGTAATTGTAGTGCTCTCCACTGAACAAAAATGCAAACTTTGGGTTTCCTTTCTGTTTTTCCTTGGTCATATCTTCAAACTTGCTGCCATTTCGGGCAACAAAGTTTGCAAGTTTGTCGATAATGTTCTTCTGATCTTGATCTTTAAATTAACACAGAATCAGGTGAGATTTTACATTTTGCATCTTCTACAGACATCAAATATCGACAGTAAGATAAGAAAACAAAATTTATTCAGCAACTGTACCTTCTGGGGGTGGAAACGGAGGTGTTTGAGACACAGCCATCTGGATATCTAATCCTCTTCACCGTGCTACAGCGAAATGTGTCAAAACGATTCCAGAAGAAGCGTCAGAGATGAAAACCTTACAATAATTTTTATGAAAAAAATTCTCGTGGAATTCCCCTTTGTACATGTAACAAACACATACTCAAGGAAAAAGTTTACGATTCCATTTTCATCACTTAATTTGCACTATCCTCAACTCTGACAACTCGTGCAAGCCGCCATGATATTCTCTCCCCAGGTGTTCCCGACCATACTTATCGTCACACGTTGGACCCTGGAAGAGAGCCTTTTAAAACGCATGCGTACATTTTTCGAGCAGTGGAAAGTTTGTTTCGGATAGGAAAACCTTGTCTGTGTGGCTACTATCTCGCCAAAATTGGTCAGAAATGGCTCTTCATCGTGTTTTAAGACGCATGGTATCACCGTCAAATAATGCCCTTCTTTTGTTTCGTACTCAAAGCACGAAAACCGCCGCGATTGGTATCCTTTTTTATGAATACTGTTATGATGTAGTCATGTGTTATGCAAGATTTCTATCTTGTTCTGTTTGTCAAAATGATACTGAAATAGAAAGCATTTTCCGGTTTTGTTTCCTTAATTTTTATGTTAATAGCTGAAGAAACAACCAAGGAGAAAAAAGATAACTTTTGTAAGTAATGTGTGATCAGAACGTAACGTTAACGCGGAGAGAACTGGGGGCAAATATTATTGGGGGGTGTGTATGGGGGTGCTATACCCAAAAGGTTAACCTTTAACTCCCAGTTTTGACTAACAGTAACTTCTCCCTATCATATCCATACATTATTCAGCAAACAGGTAATGAGAATACTCAAGCTTATCAAGTAGAAGTTGTTGTCTTGATTTGTTAACTTATTTACAACGAAACGTGTAACAGCTACATGTTTAACAGTTTGGTCTTGGGAGTCAAAGAGTTATCTTAAAGGAGAAATCACAGTTGACCGAAAGTAAATGTTATGTTAGTTAGGATAGGATATTCATTTACCACTTTTTACATGCAATCTTCTTACTAACAGACAAGAACTTTTGTTTTTGTCAAGCAACAATTCTAGCTGTGGTAATAACAGTGAATAGTTTTCCTTTTCAGTGTTGAGTGTCATCTTTTCTTATATTGTGTTTTGTTTAGTGAGATTCAACTGGCAAGATCCTTTGAGTCTGGAAAGCTGTTTGACTGAAGAAGAGATAATGGTTAGGGATCAGTTTAGAGATTACTGCCAGGAAAAGCTTATGTCTAGGATTTTGATGGCAAACAGACATGAAGGTTAACATATCAAATATTTATCATATAATTTAAGAATTGTATCAGGTTAGAACATACAGTTGACCAGAATCTGATTGGCTAATTGCATACTTGTAGTGGTCCAGCTTTTTAAAATAAGGATCACAACCTTGAATTTTTCAGCAGAAACAAACTTTCTGAAAAAAAAAGTTATTTTCTATTCTATGTCATTCTGTTTGGGAAAAACTGTACCCTTGGTCTAGAGCACTGCCCTTGGCCTTCAGCCTTGAGCTGTAAACAAGACACTGGGCACTTTTCTTTCCATTTGGATACTTGTCTTTTAAATAACATAATGTAGATTTATCATGTACTCATACTGAATCTTTGCTATATTGCCTTTGCAGTCTTTGATAAAGATATTATGACAGAAATGGGATCCCTTGGAGTTCTTGGTTGCACAATTAAAGGTTAGCAGATATTCTGGGTTCTTCGACTACAATAAAATGTACTTTTTCACCCACTGTACACTGTATGTTTTCAAATTTGGCTTTCTTTTAAAATCTTTCAATTCTAGGTTATGGATGTGCTGGTGTCTCTTCTGTAGCGTATGGACTTATTGCAAGAGAGGTTGAAAGGTTAGAGTAATTGCACTTGTTTTCACTAAGGAATTTCCAAGCTTTTTGAGTGAAATGTGATTTATAATTTTGATACAGCTCTTTAGTATACTAGTGGCTTGTGATCATTTTCACCATGATCTTTGCTTAAATGTGGGAGAATAGTGGATTTTACCGTGTATCTGTGTTGTGTTAACCCTTTCACTCCCACAAGTGACCAAGACCATGGGATAGTTGATCCAATACCAAATTCTCTGAACTAGCATCATAAGAATTACTCGTTAGATCTTGGGAATGAAAGGGTTAAAGGGATAAATTTTTACACTCTCAAGTTTACATAGAGATATGTGTATAAGGCATCCTCTTCACCACAGTGAATACAACCAGATGTTTGAAATCATATTATATCAATGACTATTACAATGACAGAAATTTTTGTAGATTCTAAAAGTATGACATTTTGTATCCTGTTGATAGGGTGGACAGTAGCTATCGGTCAGCCATGAGTGTCCAGTCCTCTCTCGTGATGCACCCAATAAATGCTTATGGAACCGAGGAACAGAGGCAGAAATACCTTCCACAGCTTGGTAAGGAGCATTACATCATATGTGTCTGCTTTGTAAATAATGTTAATGGTGGATCATTTAACAAATAGGAACTAGTAATATGGGGATTCAATTAGCACATTACGTGGGGCTGGCATGGCTTAGGAGTCAGGGCAGAACATGCATCTTATTGAAGATGGTGGACTGATTGTTAAATATCAACAGGGCTTCTAAAATTAAAGGTATTTCTGTTTTCTTATCAAGCACAAGGCAAGCTGATTGGCTGTTTTGGTTTGACTGAACCTAACCATGGTAGTGACCCAGGTGGAATGGAAACAAGAGCCAAGTATAATTCGGCTGGCAACAGTTATATTCTTAATGGAAGCAAAAGCTGGTGAGATGGGTGTTGTTTATGAAATAAATATTCTAAATATTTCTATATACTGTAAATAAAAATAAATGAATAAATGAATAAATAAATTGATTAATATTCTAGAGTATGACTGTAAAATCTGTGTTGTTCAAACTGTGGCATAGGGACACTAAGGTCTTGCTCAAAACCTTTTTAATATTATTTCCTTTGTTTAGGATTACTAATTCACCAATAGCTGATGTGTTCGTTGTGTGGGCAAACTGTGAAGACAAGAGAATCAGAGGCTTTATCTTAGAAAAGGTTTGGTCACAAAGATTTCATAAATGTAAAGAACATCTGAATATGAAATTACAAAGAGTTCTTTTTTTTGTCTTGTCTTTGCAGGGAATGAAGGGACTCTCAGCCCCTAGAATTGAAGGTAAATTTTCTCTGAGGGCTTCTGTAACAGGCCAGATTGTCATGGAGGATGTTGAGGTTCCAGAAGAAAATCTTCTACCAAATGTTGATGGACTGGAGGTATTATTGACAGAAGTGTTTTGATGATAATGATGATGATGACTAAATAAGTACATGAACAGTTTTATGCCTAAGAGTGACTAGCATTTAATTTCTCCTTACAATATCACCCATGAATTACAGATAACAGGTCACAAGAATAAAGGAAATGATCACCACCTAAGGAAATTTGTAGAGAACAGTGTGGAGAATATACATTCTGATGCTAGGGTGCTGAGGCTTAAAGTACAGAGTAACTAATAAATCTTCTGACAAACAATTCACATACCTAAGCAATAAGTAGTAAAACAGAGCAATACTAATGTAAGAGGAAACAAACAATATCAGAGAACTGAAGGAATTTAAGTTGGATCTTTTTTTTTGTTTGATATCAATCTTTTTTTCTCTTCATTATCAGGGACCCTTTGGTTGTCTGAACAATGCTCGTTATGGCATTGCATGGGGAACTCTTGGTGCTGCAGAATTTTGTCTTGCCACGGCAAGGCAATACACATTGGACAGGTGGGGAAATACTTAGAAACTCTTATTGCCTGAGTGGGGTTTGGCCAAGGGTTCTTTGTACATTTTGTTGTATTTACCTGGTTTGATTTGACTTTCCAATAAAGTTGTATATTATGTTGTTCAACATTTGTACTCATGCAGCAAATTTTTAAGGGGTAAGGATGAGGTTAAATTTGTGACATTTGAAACTTTAAGTAAAAAAATGAACCATGTAATCTTATTTGTAGGATCCAGTTTAAAAGACCGCTGGCTGCCAATCAACTTATGCAGAAGAAAATGGCTGATATGGCAACTGAGGTTAGTTCTCTGCCATCAAGAGTAGAGCTTTTTTAGAAATTTAATGACTCCGTTGGTATGTAATTGAAGAATAAAGTTGTCAAATTCTGCTTAACCCCTCTCCAGTAAAATTAATTTTTCTTTATTTTTTTATTTCTTTATACAGATTGCCATTGGGCTTCAAAGCTGTCTGCAAGTGGGACGGCTCAAAGATGAGGGACAGTAAGTAGAAACAACCATATGAAGAGATTTCTCATTACCTTTAAGTTAATTTTTGTATATCACCTGGTTGTTCATATCAAATTTAATGGCAAGTTCAGGAGCCTTCAAAAGAATGTTCATCAGTTGTAATCAGCTGACATGAACATTGGTGTAATTACAGTAGGATCACTGGTATAGGAATAAGGTCATAATTTTTCCTCAGCATATGTTATATTTTTTTACCACAGATTAATCTCAAATTTTTAAGGAACATTAATTATCTGACTGATGTTTTTTTTTTAACCCTAAATAGATACTGCCCAGAAATGATATCTATGATCAAACGGAACTCATGTGGAAAAGCATTAGACATTGCACGGATGTCCAGAGACATGCTTGGAGGTAAGTTACTCTATCTGCCATTTTTCTGGAGTGGAGGGCTTAGGGAATTAGGTGAGGAAATGTGAACTTACTCTATGGAACTTTTGCATAAACTTTTGGTGTCTTTTCCAAAACACACAGGAAATGGAATTTCAGATGAGTATCATGTCATCCGTCATGTGATGAATTTGGAAGCTGTCAATACATATGAAGGTAAAACTGACTATCATTGATTTACAAAAGCAAGTAAGAGGCCTGTATGAACTGTGTAACAATGCATACCCATTTTCCATGATAAGGAAAAATGCCTTTACTGGCATTCAAAAGATATGATAGGATCTTCCTTCCTTTTTTTACACTGAGGGGAACTTTTGCTAGGAAGTGAGTATATAGTCAGGCTTGGAATACACTTGTTTGTTATGAGTGAATGGTAGCCTGCAAAGCAGGGGTCATTTTGGCAAGTGAGTGCTCAGTGTTTTTGTAGAGAAAATTATCGCCCCCATCTTTGAAGTTATGGCAGGGGAAGGCTGGCTAGAGAAATGATTTTGTACCAAGGGGGTGATTGACAGTCGAAAATAAGGAGAGGGGTGGGGAAGTGAATATTCTTGCTCTCCCCAACTGCCTACTCTGACTTCAAATCAAACCAAGTTGTTGTGATAAACCTTTGTGAGCTTATGATTGTAATTCGCCCCTACTAAATGCTTGCATTGCAAGTACATTAATTGACAAAAGGGAAAGAGAGATGATGTCTTTCCCATAGGAATGACTGATGTTTTGTCCACTGCATTTTCACATGGTCTGAGACAATTTGGGCCCCCTTCTCCCCTCTTTCTCTTCCCCCCCCCTCTATCTTCTTTTCTTACCTTTTAAAGATACCAGCATTTCCTGATGTGAAGTTTCATTTTCTGACTGCTTTACCAAGTTTTTATATTTTTGTGTGCAGGAACCCATGACATACATGCACTGATTCTTGGAAGAGCAATCACAGGACTTCAGGCTTTCACTGGCCGATGAATACATTAATGGTGATGAATATGTTTCATAGAAAAAGAAATGGGAAAGCACAACATCCACACTCGTCAATAAATCTATACATTAAATTATCATCTCAAGCAAAAATGCTAACCTTTAGTTCTAGGTACTGCTAATTTAATATATATGGATGAAATACCAAGGTTTGTAAGTGTTCAGACCACACAAAAAATTTACAACTCAGACAAATAGATCACTGACATGTATCTTTTGGTAAATTTTCATGCAGATTAATAATAACCGACACATGCCTAATTGTGATATTGTTATCTCTGTTTACAGTACTAAAGTTAACTTTTGAGAATGTGAAAAGAAAACGGGGGTGAAGAAGGGCCTATCTTAATTTTTAAAATGATGTAAGGAAAATGTATATTCAATTCTACACCAACTTATTCTTCTCATTTGTAAAATTTCTTAGTTGTACATTTTATTCAGAAGATCATCTTGCTTTGGTCATAGACAAGGAGCACAAATTTGCTAGTACGTAGATAAAAAGTTCCTGCACCCCTTCATAGTTGGGGTAGTTACAGTGCTTGTAACTGTTTGAGAGTTCATCTTATATTTTTGAAATATTATTTGTTTTATTAAGAGAAATGGGAAAGAAATGTTAATGTGTATGTGGTACAGTATAAACTTGTACTCCAGTGTTCTGTATGGTGTGGAAATAAATACCTGTACTCTGAGTTTATATTTTTTTTAGCTGACAAATTGTCTCTCAAAAACCACATCTTTCTGATAAATACCTTTTACATATTTTGGTTATTTTCATCCAGTTCTGAGTCCAATACCAAGTGAGATCTTAGTGCAATCACAAGAGGATCATCTTAGCCTGTGTAAAGCCACCCTATCCCAACAACAACAACCAAAAAAAAAAAAAAAAGAGGTCCACCCCACCCTAGGTTTTAAGAACTTGGAAATATCAAGTTCAATCACAAATACACAATATGTGCAAATTAAAAGTTGGTTTTCTTGTCATATTTATTTCTTTATTTTCGACAACAGGTAAATCTTCTCAAAATGTGACACAAGTAAAATACTGCAATACAAAAATTTGCCTGAATATTTCTATCAAAAAATATTGTACAAATGGTAAAAGAAACAAAATATAAATGCCAGAACATGTACAGTCCATTGCCAAAATGTACACCAATAACAGGAAAATTATTGTGAACTAACAGCAAAACTCAATGAAATTTTAATTGCAATAGGATGTAACATTTAACCCTTTCCCTCTCAAGATCTCATTGGTAATTCTCATTATTGTCTGCCAAACAATTCTTATGATGTGAGTTGGAAGAATTTTGTATTGGATCAGCTAATCATCCTCTAATCAACAATTTTCTCAATTCTCATCACTTTTCTGCTTGATACAGTATTGATATTGTAAGGAGAAGTTTTGTCTTGGTCACTCAAGGTAGTCAAAGGGCTAAGTGTTTGCATTTGGATGACAGCCACTTGAATGGTAACTTGATGTGGCATCATCAACCTTGGTAGACAAGTAATGAATGAAATTGTACCTACCCACCTGGATAGTCTATAATTGTACTCCTCAACATCCCTAAACAGATTTTGCTTGCTCCCCTCTGGGCTTGGATGTTAGCTTGCTAAATTTTATTCATTGTGGAGGGGGAGGGGGGAGGGGCAAGCAAAGTTTCTTTGACATAAGAAGTGTGAGAGTGACAATTTACAAAATATATTTACACTGCTTACAACTGACCATCTGTACTTGGCAGAGTGACAAAGATGAAGGAGCTGCATCTTGATATTTTGGTTGAGTTGTATGTTTGTCACTTACAAGATTACCTTTACAAGAGGGAAGTTATAATATTTTAGTCTAGTGATAAGAAACAATACCCCAGTAGGAGAAAAAACTAAAACATAAGAAATGAGGATGTTTAAGGATTAAAATTAATAAACATTATGCCATAACTTACATCCACAAATGGATTTATCAAGAAAGAAAATAGCAGACTTGTACCTCAATGTCTTAGTCGAAAAACCTTGCCTCTGGTAAAGTTTTTCAAAAGTGTCATTTGCAGTCTATATTAATCTTTTTCAACATTAACCACCTGAAATGTTTTTGGGTTCCAGTTTGTCCACATATTTTACAAAGAATGAAGAATGCCACATAATTTCTTAGGGATAACTTTGCAAAGAACAGGGTCTCATCTACTATAGTCCACTTTTTTCAACATCTCTGTTGACTGGATTCTGTGAATGTGATTTTGATGAGGCAGCTCGTCGCCTGGCCAAAACAGAGTTGGAAGGGGGTGAAAGTCCAAACAGTCTTGGTTTTATGTTGTTTTGGAACTCATCATAGTGAGCACCAGGCTCATCAATGGCAGATGCCTCAGAAAATATTCTGTTCATGGCTACTGCTTCAGCTGCAAATTCCTGTAGACTGAGGGTGTTCATATTCCTGAAAAGAAAAACAAGAAAATAAGTTACCTCTTAAAAATTTAAGAAACCATCACAACCATCTATTCTGTAGTTCACAAAAACAAACTACTACTACTTTTTTGAAAGTTGCTGTTCAGAGATATGAACCACCATAAGAATGGGTGACACACTCCTCAAAATCATTGGTGGAGTATTGTATTGTGCAAGCATTATATGCACAGATGTGTTCTTTTTTTATTTTAAGGTTAATGCTGAATTTAATATGATTGAAAAATCAAACATAAGTGCTCAATCTTTTTAAATATTGTTTTTCTTGGTATGATTTAGTATTTACTCTCTTCTTTTGAATGCAACCCAAGGTTACTAAGAGGAAGCATAGTGTTACATTCAGTGATTAGAGAGTGTGGAGTATTTTGGTAAAGGAAAAGGTCATGTTAATATCAAATGGTCTGCTAACACATCACCACAATTTTAATGGTTTATGTAAAGGCTTCTCAACCTTCTCCAACTTACCTTGTCAACAGGGTAGGGGTTGGTAATGGGGTGTTGCTTGCCTGTAAAAAAAAAAGAAAATAAGAAACACAGTTAGCCTTTTACACCTTAACATCAGAATTCATAATCTTCATACTGTTCTCCAAGCATTTCTTAAGCTTCTGGCAAAGAGAATTTTTTTACTAGTCAAGAGCTTATCTAGTTGGTGATCATTTCCTTTATAATTCTTGTGAACTTAATGTTTGATTCAGGGGTGATATTGTAAAGAGAGATGAGAGGGTTAACACAAACTGACATTAGTGACAAAATAACCTAAAATGCACGGAGCAAAAAATGCACACATACACACACCTCTTCAATCCAGCTATGTTCAAGTATCATGTCAGTTGTATATCTCTTTGTTGCATCCCGCACTAGCAGGTGGGAGATGAGATCTTTGGCTTCTAATGAAATGCACTGCCATTCCTTGAACAGAAAGTGGAAAATGACTTTCAGCTTACTAACTGGTAAACAATCTATCTTCATTATATTGTTTGACTTGCAATGCATTCAATGTAAATTTATGAGAGACTTTTCTATCATTTTTAATCTTTGACTTATTTCATAAATTACATTGAACTGTGCATTTGGGGGAAGAATTACTCAAAAGAAGAAGTCTAAAAAGACTAATAAAATAATTTTTCCTTTGGTTTCCCCTACACAAACTCTTAAAGAAACAACAGGAGTTTTTTAAAAAAAGTAAAAGAGTATCACTGTAAGAAACAAACTGCTTTTTTATTCAGCCATTCTTAAAGTTTGAGAAAATTAACCCATTTATTGCTAAGATTAAAGTACTAATTAAAATAAATCATCATGCTTCCAGGTTACATGTTAGTTTAAAGAATTTGATGTGAGATTAATCAAATATCCTTGACCTCATTATTCTTTCAATTCTCATCCTCTTTATACTGAATGATGTACAAATATTTTAAGGAGAAGTTGTTCATTGATCACTTACAAGAGTGTGAGGGCCAACTTAGCCACTTTATAAATCAAATTTAAGTGTCAGTCTCACAGAGAAGGTGGGAAGGAATTCACTAAAAAACCAATACAACAGTCTGATACCAAACTTGCACTTGATAAACAACTTTTAACTCTGTATTTTCTCCTCAAACTTGTTCTGTTGTCTTACCTTGGATGGAAAGTCATACTCTCCTTCTTGTATCCTCTTCATAAGCATTTCCTGATTCAATATGAAAATACAACTTGTAAATGATTATACCCATGTGTTATTATTAAGTGCTACTCCTACAAATGGTTTCTTATTCATAACCCTTTAACTTCCAGAAACAATAAACATGTAACTTCCTGCTATAATATACATACTTCATGTAGCAAACAGGAACTTAGAATACTAAAACCTACTTGGTAGAAGTTATCATCCTGATCTAACACCAAATTCTCATATTAACTTATTTACAAGAAAATGTGTAACAACTGGAAAGAAGAATTAACAATCAGATCTTGGGAGCTTACAGGTTAAATGCTGATTCTTTGATGAATTGAAACTACCACACTTTTGTCCATTTCCTTGGAAATGGTTGCAAGAAAATTCATATTTTTCCCCACTAGTTTACAATAACCATTATAGCAACAGTACAATCTCTTAATTATGCTCTCACTGCCTCACAAAGTGCCTAGGGTGTAAAAAAAGTTCTAAAGCAGAGAAAACATGGGAATTTCTCTCTTGAAAAGTCTCTTTAATGCACGTGAAATGCTAACCTGACATGATTTGCAGTTTTCACCTTTCTCCCATCCACAGTCTGTACCACATTTGCCATAAAAGGGTGGGTGCCCCGACAACATAATATAACTGCATAAAAAATAAAACATTTACCTTGATCATTGAAAAATAGGACTCAGGATACAAGAGGAACTTAACATGGGTGGAAATAGGATAAGAAATAGTTTGCATACAGAATTACTCCAAGGCTCCACAAATCGCATCTTTTGTCATATGTTGTAGCATGAGTTTTGAAGGCATCCACCACTTCAGGTGCCATATATTCAGCTGAGCCAACCTAAGAAAAAGAACATTATAGTGTCAAGAACTGATCTAAAATTCAATAATACTTTGTTCAATCCCGTTGCAGGAAAATAGGAGTTGTGTTTTTGACATGAGCTTAGTAAAAATTAGACAAATAGAGGCTATTGTTTACATAATGAACTGATATTTACTGGTGTCTGAAGTTCTGGTGTTGTCACCGGTACACCGAGTCCATCAAGTCCACTTGCCAGGTCAAAATCACAAATCTTGACAGGGGTTATCTACAGCAAAAGTAATAAAGTCAGGGGTTAACTCTCACCCGTAAAATCAAAGCAACAATTCCTCCCTCCATCTATTATACATATCCTTCTAAATTAGTTTGGAGAATTGTGCATTCTATCAGCTGGTGAGGATAAATCCTTTTAAATGATAAATTTGTTTGGTTTCATCATTGACTTGCAAATAATGCATAAAATTGTGATGAGAGGTTTTTTTTTTTTATAGCATTGAAGTTGGTAATAAAGCATCTGGGAAGAACATAGCTACATTATGCAGCAGGTTTGCATTGTGGCAATTTAGGTTGCCAAGTGTAAGACTACTCAGATTGTTCTGCTTTTTAGCAAGTCATGGAAAGGAGAAATTTTATAGACTGATAACAAATTAATTCCATTATATACCTGATTTTCATTAGCACACAGTATATTTTCAGGCTTCAAATCTCGATGAGCTATGCCTGGAAAAATGAATTTTTAAAATAGAATAAACATGAAAAGGGTCAAACTTTGCTAGGAAGATATATTTTTTGCAGTAATGGTCAAGCAAAAAAATTTAAAAGATGATAACCATAAATAACAGAATGTACCTTTTTTGTGAAGAAAATCCAAGGCTGATGCAATGTCTTTTACAACAAGGCTGGCCTCTTTCTCAGTAAAAGCTTTCTTCTTCTCTATATGTTTCAGAAGTGGTCCTATGTATGATTACCAACAGCATAAATATAAGCATAAAATATAATTTCTTTGAAAAATAAAATCATAATGTAACAAACCTTTAACTCCCATGATCTGATTGCTAATTATTATCCTCCCTAGCTGCTTATGTATGAGAATTTGGTATTAGATCAAAATAACCTTTATCTGATTAGTTTTAATATTCTCATTATCTGTTTGCTGTTTAATGTATCCATGGATATTCTGGGGAGAAATTACATTTTTATTATTTCTGGGAGTTACAGTTTAATAACTATTTATTGGACTAATGAGTGGTTGATTTGGTAGTGGATGGTTTTAAAGTTGTCATTACCTCCTCTCATCTTTTCAAATACCAAATAAAACCTGATGAGATAAAATAAAAAATCTCAGTAAAGCAAACTCTATTGCGTACAGAAGGATTATTTAGCAATTTTTAAATAATCAGTAAACCTCTGCAATACTATTTCTTACAAAAACTATGATTCATGAGGGTAATTGTGATACCAAATATCATTGAGTAATTCAGTTTGCAAATTTGTTGTCTCTTTTGGCACAATACTTACTTGTGACTGTCTTCAAAATATTCAATGCAGTCTATTATATTCCTGCAAAAGAAAAAAAGACATTTTATCTTCCTGGAAAATAAGAATATTACAAGAGATGCTTGTCAATTATTATAGACTACAGCAAGAATATTGGGGAGAAAACAAAAAGTTAAGTTATAATTTATTATTTACTTTTGTCCACGGCACCGGTAGAGCAACTCTATCTCATTAAGCACACGCTTTCTGTCAACTTTTGGAGACTTCTCAATAATCTGATGATATACAATTAAAAAAAAGAATCCTTTAAAAATCTAGCATCCCAGCACTTGAATTATCCCCAAATGATCTGGCAGGTAGTGAGGTGAATACTCCCAAGATCTCATGAGTAATTCTCTTTACTATCTGCCATACAATTCTTATAATGTTAGTTCTGATGATCTGCTGTTGGATCAACTATTTATCACCAAATTGATATTTTTCTTTATTCTCATCACTTTTCTGCTTGATATTGCATCAATACTGTATGGAGAAATTTTGGTTTGGTCACTCTTGGGAGTTAAAGGATTTAGGGATACTGATAGCCAACACCACAGGACAAGGAATCAAAATATTTACATTGTCATAGTCAAGGGAGATTTGTTTTCATATCTTTATCTTTAAGGGAATCTCCTAACCTTGACAGCATATTCCTGGTTTGTAGCAAGCTTAACACAACTCTTCACTGTTGTATGGGCACCTTGACCTAATATGTCATCCAGTACCTTGTATACATCTAGGAAAGTAAGACAATAAACATGTAAAGTGATTACTGACAAACAAAACCTAGTACTTAAAGTTAGCTTATGAGTCAGCAGACTTGTTCTGGAGCTCATCCCAGTTTTTGCATCATGAAGCAAATAGTACTTTGTCTTCTCCACCCAGGACAGAATGCCGGGCCACTGCTAAGTTATACTGTTAACCCTTTGTCCCCAAGAGTGACTAACCTCTAACTCCTCCTACAACAGCACCTTTAAATCAAACATTAAGCTCATAACAATAAAGGAGATGATCCCCAACTTAAAAAGGTTTTGATTGATAAACAAGTTCTCCTTAGCAGCAACTTAGGAAATGTGTAAAGAACAGTATGGAGAATATGCACACTGATATTTGGGTGCAAAGGGTTAACCTTGATGTTTAATCAGAATTCCTTATCAGTATGGCCTCTCTCCCTGAATGGGATGCTAGTTCGTAACAGTAACCATCCCTGTATTTCATTGGTCTTATCTGTTTTCTGGTTCCCATTTATACTCCTGGTTGGAGAGAGCTGCTATGGGAGTAAGGTGTCTTAGCCAAGAATAGAACACCATAATCTGGCTGGTCTGGAGCCTAGATCTTTTCACCCCAAGTCTAATATGAAATCATGCAGTCACTGTTTCTTCCTCTCAAGTGCAAAAATTTACTGAGAGTGATATCATTAACATCAAATAATAACACATTCTTTTTCTTTTTTTCTAATTAATTACATTCTTACCATAAAAACTTTCACAGACACTGTCGCTTGCTCTTTTCTTTTTCTTTTTTTTTTTCTTTACTTGAGTTTGAGGCTGAAAAATGTCTGATGAATAGAAAAATTAGGAAAAGGACTAATAAAATCAATTTTTTATATTAAAATTATTATATAAACATTTTAGTTAATTGATTGTCATGATAATTTACTATTAGCACTTGGCTCAAACAAGAAAGCAAAGAGATACTTAAGAAGGCAGACTGAATTCTCAGAAGTATCTGTCTCAGGGTTCAAATGTTTTCTTGGTTCAAATTTTTCAAAACCAGTTTGATTTTCACATCCTTTCAAATGGAACTCATTGTAAATCATAATCTTTAACAATGGGAAATAAGAATAAGATTAATTGCCGTAACACCGATTGGACAAGAGGTTTCGCTTCTTACAGATAAAGATCAACCTTACCTTCTTGAGGAGGTTCAATGTCTCCATTGTGGTCGAGAAGATGCTCCTTTTTATTATTGTCACCTTCAATTCCTGTTTTTCCAGTTTGTGGCTTGGCTTGGAAGGAATTTTCAGAATTGCTTGCTTTCTTGTTCATTGCAGGAATGTGCAACTGTAACACAATCAACACAATACTCCTCAGACATATAGTGACTGTTTGAAAGATCTCAAATTTATTTCCTTATAGATATATGTAAGACTTGTCAAAACTGAAGTACATTACTTACATTCAATGAGTCATGGAAGAGTCTCAAGTCTTGCACCGTATTCTCTGAATGAAAAAAAAAAGAAAAACTCATTTACTAACATTATAAAAAATAATGATAATAATAATAATGATGATGATGATGATGATAAAGTATTTCAAAAAATGTGTCCCAACATCTCTTTTAAGACTTATTTCCAAAACAGAATAATGGAATGTAAAAGAGGTATGAAAGTGTCAGTTGAAAATGTTTACTTCATCCAGAACTCAAACACAATGCAAGAAATTTGGACAAGATATACTTGTTCAGAGACCTAGAATCTTAAGGGAAACATCTCCTAAATCCTACAATACCTGAATCCCTGGCAAAAACGGAAAATTAAGTGTAACCAAAGCTGTTTAATATTTTGACATGAAATTTACTTTACACCAGAACAACTCGACTATGTTAAGATCTCAATTTTGTACTTCCTCATTAAAAGACGATTTATCGCAATGTTTTTTAGATTAGTTACAGTGGAAGATACAGTTATCGCTCTGATAAAAAAGTTCGTTACGACTGGTGGGTTTACTTCAATTTTATGCTTGCCAAGCAGAAAACAACAAAACAAACTGACATAAACAAAATAATGTTTCTTGTCCTTTAAACCAATTTTATACTTCTAATAACTTCTCTTTTCATTTAAAATGCTTGCTTTACCTTTTCTCTTGCTCTCCTCCTCGTTTGCGAGCTGAAGTATGTAGAAAAGATGAAATATATTATTGAAAGTACCTATTGCAAACCGAAGCAATAAATTGTCAGCTGAATTATTGTAAAATGGATCGGCCGGTAATAATTTTACATTTGTTGAAATATAACCAAATTAAAAGCCATGAATCGAGCTTCACTAAAATACATTTGAATTGAGATTGAACGACAACTGTTAACAAGAAGTAATGTTAAGCCATGAAAACAAACCCTGAAGTTCTTGCTGAAAACGATAAGTTCCTCCACATCCGCCATCATCCCGCGAAGTTTTAAACGGGCAAGGTAGCCGCTCGTTTCTCCGAAGACGTCCGTAACTATCACGACAATCTTTCAATTTCCGAGTAATTCCGAGACGGATGTCGGTAATTTTTCTTTTAATTCTTGTCAAAATATTTTGCGACTATATTGTTCGAACGTTAGATTATTTAACTTCTATAAACGATAGAAATTATAGATTCATAGAGATATGGAGCGTCAGGTAACAAAGCAACCACGAAAAAATAAAAAATCTGGTTCACTGATGAAAGGTAAAAAAAATTCAGTACAATTATTTCCTAGAAAGAATTTAACGCGGCCAAAATAATTTTGTTTCCCGTCCAGAATTATAACCTTAAAAAAGAAAACAAACTAATCCCTCTGAAATGCTTCACATCCTCTTAAATCAAAATCAACTAAGGATATCAATATAACGCTCGAAAGGTCAACTAAGGAAATTTTTACGGTGGTCAATTTACGCTATCTAATCATCTTGTAATACCCCCCCCCCTCCCCCCCCAACACAGCACCAAAGTTTCTTCAGAAACTTCACTTCTTTAAAGATATCCATAGCCTGTAGGACAGGCGCAGTTTTCTGCATTTTTTTTTTTTTTACAGAATTTTCACAGAGTTACTGATATTCTCTGACCAGGAGACCTGGCTTAGCAAGTTTCATTAAAAAAGTGAAGTGATAGAGGACACACATTCTAGTAAATGAAGTCGTTTTTATTTGTTTGTTTTTCTTTTTTTTAATTGACTTCTTCACAACATTGCATCTACACCAAGATTTTTCAAAACACAACAAAATGTTAAAGAAAATTCCTCAATGACTACTTTTTAGGAAAAGTAACTCATACACTAGTCCTAAACTATGACAGTAGTATGGGAAACGTGTAACTACAAGTGAACAAGCCTTCAATAAATGAAATTAAAGCCCTTTAAGGAACACAAATAGTTTCTTTAACAACAATATTTCTCTCAAATTCTCCCTTCTGTGTAGAATGTTCTGCCACAGTTCCTTGCTGAAGAGACCTAACAGCTGAATAAACACACCAAACATGCTAATCTACAGTTCTTTATAAACTATTGTTAACTATTTCTAGAATATCAAAGAATTAAGTTTTCACACAGCATTCAGAAAAATAAATAGTTTCAATTCACCCTTTCACCTCCAAGAATGGCTAGCATCTAATTTTTCCTTAAAATATCACCCCCTGAATCAAACCTTAAGATCATGAGAATAAAGGAAAGGATCGTGGTTAAACTAAATAATATCTTGATTGCCAAAAAATTCTCCTTTTTGGCACAAAAGGAAATCCATAGAGAACAGTAAGGAGAATATACATTCTGATGTTAGGGTATAAAAGGTTAACCCTCTCACTCTTAGGGGTGACAAATGAGTCATTTCTCCTAACCATGTCTATACTCATATCAATGAGACCTACGGTGAAAATATTAATATTGGAGGATGTTAATTGATTTACCACAAAATTCTAAAGAAATTTAAGAAAGTAAGAATAATTTAGATAATTGAAAAGAAAGGTTATACAGATTCAAAAAGTTTTAGCACATTATAAATTGAAAATTACCAAAATAACCTATTTACTGGTAATGTTTTATTGCAAAGGGTACAGAAAAACACAATGTACAAAACAGCAATTTAATAAATCCTGATGAAAAACTCACAGAAACATTTGCAAGTTCTTTTAATTTTCAATTTCATGTAATATTGTTCCACCTTTCCAGCATTCTCCTCTCAAACAAGGGAACCCCCCATATCTTTGTGCAAAATTGTAGAAGCTGGTTATTAGCAATTCAATAATATACTTAAGGTACATTCCATATGAAGACACTTAATATCTATAACATAAAAATTATTTAGTAGTTAATTTACATTGATTTAATTAATTATTACCAGTCTGAACTTTGCAGTACATTCCAACAACTAACCCCTATCCAATATACCACTGTATTGCTTGTGAGATATTCTTTGACATCATAAAGTCATCACCAACTATGTCTTTTAAGAATCCTTAATAATCCTTAAATTTTTTAACCTGCCTCTATGATTTCTGTCTGTCTACACTGTAACAAAAAAATACACATTGGTTGATAGTTCCAGAAGAAATCAATTTGTACAGCCTGGCTACTGATATGACACTTTTTTTCAGCACTTGCTAGATCACTGGCCAAATACACTCTCTGCAGCTTCTCTTATAACTTTGCCTCCATGTTTGATTTCTTCAGTTGTCAGCTGAATATTCAGTGTCACTCTGATGCTGCAAAAGAAAATAGTGATAAACACCTAAATTGATGAAAATTTCAGCAATACTAAAGCACATTCAGGAATCGTTTGGTACAATCATTGACTTTAGACCTTAAGAGGAAGGATGTCTGAACAATAAGCTCAAGATTTCTTAGCACAAGTGCAAATCAATTTCCATGCAGAGAATTAGACGATGAAAAGTTGTATTGTCTTTAGTAAGTACAAATCTTCTATTTGCTCAAAACAGTAAGACAAGCACATGCTGTTATTGAGAGGGACATTGGGGGGGTTCTGAATACTGCAGTGCTGCAAAAAAAAATCAGCAAATAACAGAATATCGCAAAAAAAAAAATGCCAAATGCTGCAATACTTTACTATTAGGAGCCCTACCTTGGAGGTGGAAGAAATTTTTCCTCATTTTTAAGATATCTTGCTACTGTAAGTGCTACACCATTCTTCAGAGCCTACAATTCATAAACAGAAACAAAGAAGTAAGACGAAAGTCAAAGTTAAACAGTTACATTAAAAGTAAAACAGCAATATAACATATTCAAGACCTACTCACATAATCAACAACTTGTTTCAATTTCTCTTCATCTTCCTCAAATGTTTCAAATGGTTCCTGAAGTCTCAGGTGTAGAATTGGAGATCCCTCCGATCCTTCACGAAGAAGTCCTTTGAGGCTAAAATGAAAAATGGTATTTAAAACACTTCCTCAAAATTAAAGAAGAGTAGGTACTGTTGAGGTGGCACACCTCTGCCAAGAATTTGATGGAGTGCTCCCCCCTCAGAAATTCTGCCACAAAGACACCTATCTTTCCTTTAATTTTTACCCTTTAACTCCTAAGATTAGATTGTTAATTCTCCCCTTTAGTTGGAACCCATTTTGTTGTACATCAGTTGCAAGAATTTGGGGCTAGATCTAGATAACAACTTCTGCCTGATAAGTTTGAGTATTCTTCTCACCTGTTTGCTCAATAATGTATGAATATTATAGGGAGAAGTTACATGTTAATCACCTATCGGAGTTACCAGGTTAAATCAATAACCTTGTTAGTTTAGTCAAAACCTTATAATTACATGTGGAGTGTACATACCTTTCAAGTTCTCCATACAATAGTTTTGCCTTCTCTTTGAGTTCCTCAAACATTTCTAAATGACAAAATTAAGAAGCAGTTAATTAGGTTTGTTTGTGTATGATCAACTATTTTAAAAATTACACTTTCCACGACAAGCATTCATTTGATTACTAACCTGGTTTTTCTTCTATGATATTTAACCCTTCAATTGCCGCTGAGGCCAACATAGGAGGAAGAGATGCAGAAAAACAGTAACCAGCACCAGACAGTCTCTGCAAGAATAGAAAAAAGTAAGAATTACAGTCTGAAAAAAACATATGTTTCACAAGATAAAGACAAAAGATTCCCTGTGTTTCCAAGGACAACACCCTTGGATGGAGAATCACCAAGAGGTTAATCCCCTTACAGCCAGAACTTATCCTGCTTTCTTCTTATCCCTATACAACCTCACATCAACATGTATATTCTCCATACTGCTCTTTATACATTTCCTATGGTACCAACAAAGATAATTCATTTGGAAATCAAAAGCTTCTTCAGTTGGTGATCATTTTCCCTATTCTCATGACCTTATTGTTTCATTCAGAAGTGTTGCTGTATGGAGAAATTAGATCCCAGTTACTCCTAAGGGTTAAAGGGTTACAGAGAAAGAACCCCTTCCCTTAGAGAGGGTGCTTGTTCACTGCATATCATCCCCAGTATTTCATCAGGTTGTATTCAGAGTTTGGCAGAAGGCAATATATTATTGGAATCAGTATTATATTGTGTTTAATTTTTTTGAAGCCTGATTAACCCTGTAACTCCCATAAGTGACCTAGATAGAATTTCTCCTTAAAATATGAGTTTGATATCAAGCAGACAAGTGATGAGAATAAAGAAAAATATCTATTAGGGGATTATTGATTGATCCAATTCCAAATACTATAAATTAACATTATAGGAATTGTATAACAGACACTATGGATAATTACTAAATAAGAGCTTGCATTTGAAATGGATAACAAATCTTGTATTTACTAGGTAAATAAACTATACATTGCCATGGTCATGAAACCTGGATTAGTCTTGTGCTAATTTTGATTTGAACCACTAAACCAAAGGTTTAGAGAGGTGCTTGGGAGTCCAGTGCCTAGCACATAAGAAGCCAGATGTACCCATAATGAACAGTGTAGCACCTTGCTTGGCTACCATAACTCCCTCTTCGGACACTACTTTAGGGTGTGTAAAATGTAACAAATCATGACAAACCTGATGATCAACTACAAATGATGTTCCACAACAGAACCCTCCAATAGTTGCTAATGAGTTCTCCATTGAAACAGATATCATGTCGACATCTTTAATCTGAGGAGAAGGAAATAATATGATGCAAAGAGGTTTCAGTTTTTATTTCAAATTTTACTTTTGTTGGTGGCAAGCTATTGCCACATTTCTTTGCTTGTTCATTTACCTCACTCTAGAAGAGAGAGGCCGTTTTATAAAAATACTGGAATTTTGTCAATGCTTTCAGTCCTTCTCACTTAAGCTTTATCTAAGAGAGTTAGGAGCTTTTATAAAATTTGATACAAATGGGTGTGGATAGTTAAGAATGACAAATTGGTAGTTTTGAGGGCCTGCTGGACTTCCTCTTCCTTGGGAGGTCTGAAGTCCCTTGGAAATTTTGAAGGTTTAAACTTTTACAGTTGCAATTTCCTGTACTTTCAACTAAGGTTAGGAATACAGTGATGTCTGTGTAAAAGCTACAAGTGGGTAGCTCCCTAGCTCATTACAAGGATTTGGATATACCTCATATCCCACTGCCTATGAAACTGCTGAAGACAGTAATACAAGATATGGATACAAGGATAATGTATTGGACTGGTACAACACATGAGATTTACTAAATACCAAACTTACTGGGACATCAAAGTGCTCTGTCAATCCTCGACCAGCTTGCCCAAGAACTCCAAATGATGCACTTTCATCAATGATGAGACGAACTTTGTACTTATATTTCAATTCAATCTTAAGAAAGCAAAGGGAAATTGCTCTTTCATTAAGTAACTTAATATTGAAAAGAAAAGCTGGTTTTTTACTACTTAGGGAGCAAATTAAGCAATAATTAAAACAATTTATATACTTTACATACTTGACAAAGTATTGCAATCATTCACAACCATGTTACTTACTATTTTTGGAAGTGGTGCAATGTCACCATAATTGACCGAAATTCCCTCTATTACTAAAAATCTTCTTGTTACACTTGCTTTCTTAGGATTCTGTAAAAAATGTAAATAGCAAAAATAAGAGGTCATGATATTCCTCTGGTTTGGAGATATCAAAAATGAAAAAAACAACAACAAAAAATTGACTGATAAGAAAATGTATACGGAAATAAAGGAATAAAATATTTTACTGTATTGTACTTTGTCATCTTTCTCCTTCTGTTCATGTAAAAGCCTTTCAAGATCTTCCATGTCGTTATGCTCAAACCACATTATACGACTTCTGGAAGCCACCAGTCCTTTTTGAATTGCAAAAGATACTCCCTTGTCACTATAAAGATTCATATCAAGAAAGAAATTATTAAGTATCATTAACATTTGAGGATAATCTTTATCATATTTCAAACCTTGGAAAAATCAGCCACTGACAAAACTTGGAAAATTTTGAAAAAATTTAATATCAATAAACCACCTAACTATAGTTAAAAAGTTCTGAACACTAGCTAATATGACATTTTAGCTTATCAAAGTTTCTGTTTAAATTGTAGAAATCCACACTAACAATTCATGTAAAAAATATGAAAAAAAATCACTTCAAAAGTATTAATATGTTATCAGTGATCTCACCAGAAAATAACATCTCCTCTTTTGGAGTATGCAGGAATCACACTTGCTATTGTAGAAAATCCATAGGCATATAGGATAGCCTCTTCAGTTCCCATGAATTTGGCTAGTCTTTCCTCTAACTCCAGATGTACATCTGCAACATATGAAACATGGCTTTTATCCTTTTACAAACTCCCATTATTGATTCATATATAACTTCTCCTTATAGCATTCACACACTATCTAGCAAACTAGAAATGAGAATACTTAAACTTATCAGACAGAAGTTATCTTGATCTAACACCAAATTCTTGTACCTGATTTCAGAGGAAATCTGTAGAAGCTAATTGGGAGAATTGACTTCTTACCTATTGTCCCATAAAAACCACGGGGACCACAGGAACCTACACCATATTGATGTAAACTTTTGATGGCTGTGTCCTGAAAGATATTGTAAGCGTTGAAGATAATTTCAACATAAGCAAAGAGTAAACAGTTCTTCTTTGATTCTAAGGAGCCAATCTAGTGAAAATGAGAACCACTGAATTACCTCTATCTTTTCATTTCCAACAAAGCCAAGAAAATTAAATGTTGCAAAGTTTAGACACTCTTTGTCATCTATATTCAAAGTATGACCTGGTTTCCTGACGCAAAAAAGACACAAAAAAAAGAAAATTCATTTAATTAAAACAAAGAGACCTTTCAATCAACACATGGTGTCATAAAGGTGTTTAACAGCCGTTAGAAAAAAATTAATTAATTTATCTATAAAATTACGAAAAATGGAGTCATAATAATTCATTTACAAAGACTTTGGGAGAGGTATCTTTTTGTTGTAAAGAAAAATAAAAAGAAGTATTTCATGCATACCCCTGTACCACTTTAGGAGTGAGTGTATCTAATTCGTATGTTGGTGTTGCTGGTACTAATGGTTCTGGCTGCCACTCTTCAATCAGTTCCTCCTCTTCCTAGTAACAGTGAAAACAGATAATGTGAGATTTTTTAGACCACAGACTCATCAATTCAAAGTTCTCTAACCAGTGTAACAGTTTTTTTTTCTTTTTAAACCTGTTGTAACATTTACAGTGACATCTGAATCTAGTTAACTTTCACTGCAGATAACTCATCTTAGAATCAAACAAAAAGTTTGCTGTTTCCAGGGAACAGAGAGTTAATTCATGAATGCTAGTTCATCTTTTAACAATTCACACCTGCACATTCATATTCATATTTTCCCCACAACGGTTGTCTTTACATTTCCTGTGGTACTGACCAGGAGAATTTGTTCGACTATCTCAACCTTCTTTAGTTTACAATGATTTTCCTTATTCTCATGATCTCAGTGTTCGATTCAGCAGCGATGCTTCAAGGAGAAATTAGAACCCCATCACTCTTAAGAGATAAAGCTTTAAATGGCCTATTATTCTTTAAGTTTTACTAAATCGTCCATTACATTCAATTTTACCGATCTTACCTTCTCAGTGAGTTCAATCTTCTGTTCCCTGAATCTAAAGGTCTTGCTGGTTATCAGTCTAACGATCCAAATCACCAAGACAGCTTCGAAAAGAACATGATAGAAGGGCACCTATCCAAGTTTAAATTAAAAATGTTTTCACCTCTAACTGACATAGGTTATGTCATGTTTACGTGCCAAGCTTTGGAAAACATGATTTGAAAATGTACGACTTCCAATGGCTATCCATGGTTAACAAATAGTAACTGACCTTTGTGTAATATTCTAAGATCTCTATTCCTTGTGTGAGATAAATCGTAAAATAAGAAAGCTGCAAATAGGTAGAACTTGTAGATCCCTCAGTAGCACATTGCTGTTCAACCCGGGCCATTTTGGATTTTATTTTAGATACGCCCAGACTTGAAAGGATCTGGAGACGACACGTGTTCAGTCTCCCTCGAGCAAATGTGCAAGACCTAACGCGAACTTCGAAAGCGACCACCAACAACATCATGTCTTCCAAACTTAAAATGAGTAACGGCGACTGGGTCTGCACCGATAAGCGGTAATTTATACGTGAAAGAGTTGAAACATCTTCAGTATTTCTTCATGTTTCTTCTTTTATTCCTTTTTCAGATGCGGCAATGTGAATTTTGCCCGACGTACTTCCTGCAACCGTTGTGGAAAAGGTGAGAGCATGCCCTTTGCCACGTTTCTCCACTTTAGCGAACAACGTTATGTTGGTACTGTAACAGATTTAGTAGCCCATTCTTGTGTCAAAAGCGATTTGAAAATTTTTCGAAATTGTTTATTATTCCGTATTTCCTTTAATTTATGTTATAAATCGTCAGCTGTTTAGGAATTAACTTCATTGTTTCAATGTGCACGTTAGCTGATCATAATTGTAAAATTGTAAGATGAAACTTTGCCTGATTGAAATGAGCTTCTAGAGCAAAATGAGACCTAATTAATTTTGTAATCTTTGGAAAAGATCATCCTTTGATCTTTTGTCCATAGTTTGACCTCCATCAATTTTTGAATCTGTTATGCTAGATAACTATTGTTTCGCTCAAACTCCACTGTCAAGTGATCTCATTAACCTTTTTAGTTAAAGGTTATTTTTGGTAGAAAAGGTGGTGGTTATTCATCGTGGTGAATAACAATAAAAGCTAAGTTTCCGTTTGTCTCACGATGTAGTCACGTGTGATGTAGAACGCGACGTTTCGATGCATACTGCTAGTCTTCTTCAGCCAATGAGGTCGACTGGTCATGCGTGATCTTATAAAGCATGATGCTCTGCTGTGATTAGTTGTTTTTCAACAGTTCTGATTGGTGCATTTCGATCCTTGCTGATCACTCAGTGATTTGCTCCCTCAGCAGTCTGCTGTCACACAGCTCTCCTGTTGTTGTGTTTTTTGATCATGGGCATCAATGCTTCTGGAATTTCTATTCCACTATCCCTGTTGATGTTGTTGGGGTGAAGTCGTATGTGAATTGCCTCTTTGACCTTATGTGTATAGTAATAAGGTCACGATCAATAAACTTTACTTTGTTCCAGAGTGGCTTGTGTCCGATGTTGTGGGCATGCTCTGAAACAGCGAAGGTCTCGGTACAGGCCGAGTCAAATGTCTCAATCGTGCTCCTTAATTCTGTCTTGCATAGGTCTTCCAGTCTCTCCGACGTATACCTTGCCACATTCACAGGGAATCCTGTAAACTATGCCATCTTGTTTAGCCGGGTCGACAGTGGCTAAACAAGATGGTGTAGTTTACAGGATTCACATAAGACTTCACCCTAACAACATCAACAGGGATAGTGGAATAGAAATTCCAGAAGCGTGGATGCCCACAATCAAAAAACACAACAACAGGAGAGCTATGTGACCACTGAGGGAGCAAATCACTGAGTGATCAGCAAGGATCGAAATGCACCAATCAGAGCTGTTGAAAAACAACTAATCACAGCAGAGCATCATGCTTTATAAGATCACGCATGACCAGCCGACCTCATTGCCTGAAGAAGACTAGCAGTATGCAGTCAAAACGTCACGATCTACATCACATGTGACTACATTGTGAGACAAACAGAAAACTTAACTTTTAAGGTTATTTTTGGTCAGTTATTATGGTATACTATGATTATCAAACTTTTTCAGAAAAAAAAGTGACAATCATGTTCCTTTAGTAGGCATATGGCTCTTCAGGTTACACATTTGATAAAACACAATGTGATTATGGCACTTTGCATTTTATAATTTGCTTTTCACTTTTTAAGAAAAGGGGAACATTGACAAAATAAAGCTTACTGGAGCAGAAATTGGGAAACAAGCCGCAGCAAAAAGTAGAGGATTGTTTAGTGCTGATGACTGGATGTGTTCCAAGTATGTCTTCACTGCAATTTGAAATGTTTAATGTCTACAGTAGACCCCCAACTTAGGCGGATGCCTCCTTCCCCATCTCCACCCCTCCCTCCAAAACTAGTGAGAGAAGCAGCAAATTAGCTTGCTTAAATGAACCAAAAGTGCCAGGTTTCTAGGCCTGGTTGAATTCAGTGCCTTTTATTCTTAGCTGGACACTTGACCTTCTCTGCTCCTCTCCAGCCAGAAGTATGAATAAGAACAGAAAATTTTCATGGTATTGTTGTTAATTTCATATTGGTGGAATGGTTCCTTATTTTCCATTAATTAACTTGTTCTGAAATAATTTTTTTTTTTGCCTTTAGATGTGGTAATGTAAACTGGGCTCGAAGAAATGATTGTAACATGTGTGGACATCCTAAATTTGCTAAAGCTGAAGTTAGGACAGGTGATTGAATTTTGTTCTTTTTCTTTCTTCTAGTGTTTTCCAAAATCATGAATTATCTTAAGTTACAACTAAGCATTCTTTTATGTTTGATTTAGCCTAGCAAGGGTTTCGATAAAAGCCAGTTACCTGTGGTCTAACACTGCCTATAAGACCTCTCACTGCTATATGTTTAGGATCTGAGGAGACTTGTGTGTTTGGGTTTTAGCTGCCTTTTTGGTTTCTGCTGAAAAATGCCATTGAAATCCCCTCCAAGATCTGATTATTAATTCTCAAATTTATCAAATTTCTTTGTAAATTGGTTACAAGAATTTGCTGATAGATCAAGACAACAACTTCTACCCGATAAGTTCGAGCCCCCTCATTACCTGTCTGTTGGATAATTTATGAATTTTATCGGGAGAAGTTACATATTAATCACTTCTCTATCTTTCTTTGCTTATGTTTGTAGGATATGGTGGTGGTTTCAATGAACGTGAAGGGGTAGAGTATATCCAAAGAGAAGATTCTGATGATGAATTTGATGAGGTATTTAAAAATCTAGGATAAAATATACAACACTAAGCATTTTACTTTTTTTTAAATGATAATTTTATTACATAAATTAATTATTATTGTTTTTACTTTTTAACATATTGCTACCTGTAATCTCATCATTATTATTTCTTTGTGTTATTCAACTTAATGAGATAAGCACTTGAAAACTGAATGTTTGACAAGTACAATTTTTTTTTCATTAGTAATCTTTATTTCTGTTCGGCAGTTTGGTAGAAAAAAGAAAGGAAAGCAGGGTGCTTCTCAAGCAGTTGTTGAACAGGTATATTCCACATTGTCAGTCAAAGTTTAACGTTAAAAAAATTACCAGTTAAACAGATCAAAAAGCTTTTCAGCATACATTGTCCTTAATATTAACCTCTACACCCTAACATCAGTATTTTTACTCTCTTTACTGTTTTCTATTTATTTCTAAGCAGGCTGAGAAGGAAAATTTATTTACAATCAAAAGCTTCTTTAGTTGGTGATCCTTTCCTTTATTCTCATGACCTTTATGGTCAGGGTTGGTTACATAAGGAGAAGCTGCTTTAATAGATTCTTATCACTCTTAGCAGTCAAAGGTTTGAGTCAAAGAAATTGAGATTGTGAAGGACATTGAGCTAGCATGCAAAGTATTTAATCACAGGATTAAACACTGGTAAAAAAAACTTTCTATAGGTGTATCATATTTCCCCTGTGAGCTGAGTCATAAGAGCTGTGTAGTAAAACTGAGTATTTTCATGACAGAAACCGAAAACAGAAGAACTTAACAACAAAGAGGAGGAAGATGATTATTACAATGATGATGATGATGATGATGATGATGATGAAGAAGGCGACCTGTCAAAATATAACTTGGATGATGAGGTAGCACAAATTGTAACTTGTAGAGAGAGATAATTCATGTCTAGAAAGTGAAGTTAATGTGGTAATCATTGTCATAGCCTTCAAAATTCTCTGCATTATAATCACTCAGTAATGAAAGCTATCCTTCACATTTTACACAGAATTCAATTAAAAATAAGTGTGTATTTTCCCAAAAAAGGCGCTGTCTCAGAAAAGATTATATAGATGAAAGCAAACAGAAAATCACTATTAATAGTGTTGAATCTTTTTGTCACTGAGTTTTGGTTTTTAATCAAAGTTTGCTCTTTTCCTAATCAGGATGATGATGATGAAGATGGTGACTTGTCCAAGTACCAACTTGATGATGATTCAGACAATGAAAACAAGGATAAGGGCCGGTAAACTCCTCCCCCCTGTCTGCCCCACCAATTCTTGATTATTCAGGTGGGGTCAGGCACTCTGCCAATTCTGTCATAGTTCATTTAAAAAAAATTTCTTTTTGTGATATTATTATAGTTGATAATATTATATTTGTGCATATTAAAGATTCTCCCCAGATTGAATCTTACTGTGCAAGCAAAGTCAACCAAAGATAATATATATAAATTGACTCATCCCCTCCTCCCCACATCTGACAGTCTTAAAGAGGAAAGAAAGCACCTTATCATTACTGTTGTTTTGCTATGTTGTTAAATCCATGTGGTTGATTTATGTAAAATTTTTCAACAATTGCAAAATTGTCACAAACAGATACAAGTTAGGAGAACAACTAAATGTGAAACAAAATAAATAATCATCAGGATGAAGGTAGATACCAGTTTTAGAGGTCACATTATTTTCCCTTCTCAGGTTTTGGAAGAAAAAAGCTCTCCAAAACATGCCAGCAACTCTATGATTTGGCTCTGTTTTTTCCAAATTATCCCCCCCTGCAAGAGTGACTGCTTTGACATGATTACTTTTGATTGTTAGTTTTTAATATTGGTTGTCATCAGTTTTTAATATTTAGTTTATTTTAATTATTGAAATCAGTTTTCCTTTACTTCAATAATTGATTGCCATCACTAACTCTCTAATATGCTTAAACAGAATGTCAGCTGAAGTGAAAGAAAATTGTTGAAAAGATGAATTTCTCAAGAGACTTTATAAGCTGTAGGTTATTGTTGATGACGTTAAATCTAATTTCATCTGTTTTTAAACTGCCTATTCTTCAGGCGTTCAAGATCAAAGTCAGGTTCTCCTCCCAGTAAGAGAAAGCGGCGTAGTGGAAGTAGTAGTTCGTCTTCCTCCTCATCAAGATCTAAGTCGAGAAGTAGCTCTTCAAGATCTCGTAGTCGTTCAAGGTCTCATTCTAAGAGCTCCAGTTCAAGATCAAGGTCTCATTCACGCTCAGGATCTCCCAAACAAAGTCCAAGGGAGAGGAGGTTTGGTATTTGTGTTATGATCAGGATTGAATGTCTTACATGATTGTTCGATGCATTTAGGGATGGGTTGCCGATGCAGTTAGCCAGTTTGATCATAAATTTGATGCCTTTAGGGATGGGTTGCCAAAGCTTTTTTCCTTGTGAATATGCAAAGCATGGGAAAGAGTTATGTGAAGATTTGATTAGCAAATTTTCTTGGAGGAGCATACATCTTAGTAGAGATGGCGCATCAATGTTTTTATTTTATCATTCAGAATACTAACCCACTGCCTAACCAAACTCTCTTTAGTTGATAGAAGCTCAATTTTATTTCTTGGAATCACAGGATTATTGAATTTTAGTACAATCAATGTTCATTCTTATATGTTATAATTCTTATTTGTCCACAAGTTCACCATAGTGTTACTCTGATTTTGTTTCTTTTACTTTTTCCATAACAATTTTTTTTGAAACTAATCTTTTTTTTTAGAAGGGATGGTGCTGTACTGTTTGCAAAATTATTTTTCCCCCTTTTTTTAGTGTAAAAATTTTTATTTTCAGCCCAATGGTAATCCTTCCTGGAACAAAATAGTTGGGTTTAGTTCTAAAAGCTGATAGTGGACTTCTGTTTGACCCAAATCTAAATTTCACATTGACCCCTCTTATGTGGCCAAGATCTGACACTCATTTCAAAGGTTATTGTAGTCTTTTTGATGGCATGTAACATTTTTTCACTGCATACTCTTCATTATGTATTCAACATTTTTTTACTCAGCAGAAAGTCCAGTTCCCGATCCAGATCAAGATCTAGGTCCAAATCTCATTGAGGTGTGACCAGGAAAGATAGAAAACTGCTGTTGTAGGTCGAGTAAGTGAAAGGCTGCAGAGATAATACATGCTAACTGTGGACATCTCAAGTTAGATGGTTCATTTCACGTAATGGATTAGTATGTGGTTAACCTACAAGCTTGGAGTCTTGTTTGTGATATCTAAGAGAGTAGCACTTGTTTTACATGAGGTAGTGCCCAGAACATGGTGGAAAGTAATCAGTGAACTAAGATCTAATTGTTAATTCTCCCCTCCATCTGCTACATGTTTCCTTGTAAATTAATTATAATAATTTGTTGTTATGTCAAGATAACAACCTCTCCCTGATTAGTTTGAGTATTCCCATTTTCTGTTTGCAGGCTAAGTTATTGATATTACATGGCAGCACAAAGATACAAAATTTCTCCTTGAGTGTTGAAAAATATTGCCTACTCATGAAATATTTTTCAACTGGAGAAGAGAAATTTTGTATCTCTAAGCAGCCATGTAATATTCTACTTATCTCATAAACACCAAAAAAATACTAAATCATTTCACTTGAATGTATATTTTTTTCAAAGTAGAACATGTCACTACTAAAAAGTGGAAGGAGTGTATGGCCTCTAAAGGGTGAAAGAAATATAAATTACATTTCTGTTACAATGTAATAAAGGGTTTTTATCCTAAAATACATGTAATTCAGATCTTCTCCAATTTGACAAGGGCCCAGTTGTCAAAGGCACTGCTGTGACAGGTGCAATTTTTATGTTACCATAGCAACATAGCTCTTTTTAACTCATGAATTGCGCACATGCGTAAGAGCGAGTTGTAGATACCATGTGGGGAATGGCACTCACTCGCTCGCTCACTCAATTGGTTGATTCCTGTAAACTTTTTTTTCGATCTTAGGCTTTTGAGTGCATTTGATAGTTTTTAGCGAGAAATAAACAAACAAAATGGCAACCTTTGTTGCTAAGAATAGTGGTGGGGTGACAAAGAAGCCAATGATAATCTTAAAAGGGTTTTTTTTTTTTCGTTTTAGTTTCAACAAGCGGCGCCAGCGACTGGCAGGCATGCAAGGATTCACACTGAAATAACAGAACAACCTTCATTTTTCATAAAATTGTAATTTACAATCCTTGAACTTGAAAACAATCCAAAGATTCATTGAAAATATCACTTACTGCGAAGCGCTCGGAGTTTACACATGTTCAAAAGCTTTTTCTGTTATGTGAGATTGAGGACAAAATCGATCAGTACGTTTTGTACCATGTATTTTTCCTGTATGAAGCAACAAAAGATGCCGGCGACTAACAAAATTACAAGTTAACATAAAAATCAAATAACACCTAAACAAACAATTTTAGCAACTGATTTTCAGTGAATCTTTAAAGAACAATTTTCTTTTAAGTTTCAAGACAATTTGAAGATTCAAAATACATATTGCGTACTAAAATGCGAAAGTTATACACCACAAAATTGATATGAAATTAAATTCTATCTTGTTTTATATATCAGTTATGATTGGTTCTCACTTATGATCTATTGGAGGACAGACGTACAGATGACATCATTATTAAAACTTTTTTTAATTCTTTATTATATAAAACAAATAGATTCCAAGTTGCTGTGCGTCTGTTCAGTAATAGATCACAGAGGACATCAAAATGTGGTAAGAGCATCAGTGACACTCGGCTGCGCCTTGTGTGCCACTTTTTTGTTCTTACCACATTTTGACATCATCTGTGATCTATTACTGAACAAACACAACTTGGAATCTATTTGTTAAATTGATTATATGTTGCCTAGCACGCGACTAAAATCTAGCTAAGCGGAGATCCAAAATGATGGTGGCAGTCCTGGCTTAGGTATATCACTCAAAACTCATTCCCGTTTGTCTCGTTTGATAAAGAGGGAATCGTTAATGTTTTTATTAAGACAGTATTGCCTTGATTTTCTAATATTTACAATGATAGACAGTAAATTTCACTTTTCACCCACATTTACTTCCAACCTTTTCTTTTGAACCAGAAACAGAAATGATATAGGTTTAAAACACATGACATCATCCACCCTTGTCAAATGCAATAGCATGAGCATTTCAATTGTAATGCCTTCTTATCCCAATGTTACTTTGTTTCTTTGCTACATTAGAGAACACTGAACTACTGCTCGTACTCTAGATATGACAATCAACCACAAAATTCCCTAAACCAGATAACATTAAACATAATCCAAAAAAATCACGTGTAAATTCACAAGTTTGCTCACAGAGCACTTTGATTTTATGTGTGAGGATAATGTGTTAACTTCATGTATGAAGGTATCATGTTTTTACGCAAAAGCTCACTTGGTATTTCATTGGTGTTTATATAATAAATGTTAATCACTCCGGGGAGCTAATGGGTTAAGCAGAGATATAATTGAGACACAGATGACAACCGTCCAAAAAGCATAGCTTCCTGTACTATATGGATATCAGTCAATCAACTGCAATGTTCTTGGGGCATTTTCCAGTAGTTTATATTGAAAATAAATCTGAAATCCATGGGATGGGAGCACCTGACAGCAGCTCCAAAGTCTTTGTGTTTAATTGGTTTCCTGGTATCCTTACATTTGTTTAATATCCATATACATTACTAAATGTGTGTACAGTTAATATGCCACATCTTTCAGCCACAGTAGATTTAAGAGAAAACTAGCTCCTTATTAAAATCCCTGACAAAAGGCATTCTAAGTCCTTACTTCTTTGTCAATGCAATGGTAGTTGTTCCTCTAACCCCATTTCCTGTTCATATTTATCCATGGAAATTTGGTTGCTTGTTGCAGCCTCAATTGATGACACCTGTTTACCGCAATGGTTTTGATAATGTATAGTGGAGAAAATATTCACAAAACTTTTGTGAGCAATTTGTATTTACTAGTTTTGTTGAAAAAAATAAAAAAATTTAATTTTAAATTTACATAATAAGCTCAGTTAAGCATGCATTCTGATTGGTTCTCACTTATGATCTATTGGAGGACAGATGTATAGATGATGTCATCATTAAAATTTTTTTTTATTCTTTATTATAAAACAAATAGATTCCAAGTTGCTGTGTAAATTTCAGTCTACAGTGATAATGAAGGTTCATACTTTCCCTTGAATAATTCTTGCTTCTAATACTATTATTCCTTGTGCTTTATGGAGTGGGTTCAAGGGTTTTGTGAAACTAGACAACGTAACCCTTTCACTCCCAGATCTCATCAGTAATTCTCCTTCATTCATATGATGCAAGTTCTGAGAATTTGGTATTGGATTAAACAATAGTCACCAAATTGATATCTTTTCTCATCTCTTATATGCCTGATATCAAATTGTTAATGAAAGGAGAAATTCTGTCTTGGTCATTCATGGGAGTTAATGAAAATTTTGGGGTTAACAGACCCTTGGGGGGAACCTTGCAAACTTTAAAATGTGGACCACTTTCAGGTTCCCCTATCAATTGGAATGTATTGGTCATTTCTATATAGGAAAGTGTTATAAGAATTTAGAATTTAGTCAGCATAATTGTCTGGATTGCTTACTAGTGAAAACTTATCTTGGATGAAATTAATTAAATGGAATTGCATCTAACAAAATTTCACTTCACAAGTTTGTTTTCAGGGATGTGAAACGCTGAAACCAAGAGTTTACATGCAAGCAAGTAGCCTGGAATTTGACTCGAGTTCTTTTGCACAAAATGAAGCTAGTGTTCTGACTTTTTTTAAGAAAAGATGCACATTATTCCAAGTGATATTGAAATAAACATCACAAACAACATTGGCCCAGTTTAATTGTTCTTATCTTTGCTTACGTTATTTCTCCTCGTACAATTCTCCTTTCAAAACAATCATTTATGGTCAATCCTTACACCTTCACAACATGTTCAGAATGCATATTCTCTAATCCATTTGTGTCAGTACTAACGTGGAGAATGTCCAACAATCAAGCTTCTTGAGTTGGCTATGACCTCCTTCACACTTGCAAACTTAATTTTTTTTTCCAGTCGGGATGCTTAAATAAAATTAACTGCTTGTCACTCTTGAAGGATTAAGCATCGACACGTGCTACGAAAGTTTTAATAGGGAAATTCTCAAGGGAACAAGTTTTGAAAGTAGAATTCGTGGATCGGTTTCATACTTGTAGTATATAGGTTTGTACATTTCAATCCTCAAAGAAAAGCTGCACTCAATTTAAAATTACATTCTCCATTTCTGAAAACTGATCTTGTCATCGAGTACGCAAGGTAGAGTGGTTGGCGACGAGAATCTTTGCACAATTACCACAATTTTCAATCTAGTTTGACTTAAGCGAGACTTGGGGTATGAGAGAAAATTCTGAATGGATTCTTTGTTGTTTACTTAAAAAGAAAAGAAAGAGAGATGAATTGGTCGCTCACGAGTCAATCATTAACTTCATCAAATCTGGTGGCTCCTAAGGGAGCCGTTTGTTCTGTGTTCGTAGATTACAGCGTGGTCTAACCGCCAAATCCGTAGAGAGTGCGGCCTTGTCTCTTCAGAGCGTACACCACATCCATGGCTGTCACAGTCTTTCTCTTGGCGTGCTCAGTATATGTCACGGCATCACGGATCACGTTCTCAAGGAAAACTTTGAGAACACCTCGAGTCTCCTCGTAGATCAGGCCAGAGATTCGCTTGACACCGCCACGGCGAGCAAGACGACGGATCGCAGGCTTAGTGATACCTTGGATGTTATCACGAAGGATCTTTCGGTGACGCTTAGCACCTCCTTTTCCCAGCCCTTTACCTCCTTTACCACGACCAGACATAACGCTATTCCAACGTGAACTAAACTTTGAAGAGTAATAGAAAGAATATGAGAAGTGTGCAGTATTAATACAATTGATGCGGACGCCGAAGTAAACGTCACGCAAAGGGTTTCGTGATTGGCCAAGTATGCAGTAAAAATACTGACCAATCATCTTCTCCCCTTGGAACATTCGATCCCGAATGGCTTCAAGCTCGAGTATGTTTTGAAATTCTTCCCCTCGGCTTAAAAATTGTTTACAATTTCAAATTGAATCCATAAGGTTGCACTAGATGTGAATCTGGTAACAGTGTTTATGGTTTAAAACGCTAATCCTAGAAAAGTGAGTACATAACTCTCTCTACTAGTATCAGTTTCAAAGCTTCTTCATAAGTCATTTGTAAGTATGTAAGAGGGGGGGGTAAGAACGTTGCCTTGAGTCTGCTAAGTGTCTGGCCCCACTAGTCCTAGTGACTTGAATCATTTTGTTTTTCATTACTCATCCCTTTAGTTAACTTATGGTAGACATAAAAAGTGACCATAGTCCCTAATGGTGAAATAAAGGGAGATGTGTCTGCTAAAGCGAATTGAATTTCAATATTCATTTATCTAAAACAGTTGGCAAGCTCATCTTTTGGAAATTCTACCAACTCAAGTGAATGAAAAAAAAGAACAAAACAAATTTTCAAGAAAGTAATGATAAGTTTTCCCTCCCCAGCCTTAACCCATTATACCCTAACACAAGCAAATATATTCTTCACACTGTTCTCTTTACATTTCCCACCAAGTGCATTAACAACTAAGAGCTCTGTTAAATGGTGATTATTTCCTGGTTCTCATGACACTGACGTTTGATTCAAGAGTGACATTGTGAGGAGAAATTGGATGTTGGTCACTCTTTGGGGTGGAAGGGTAAAACATTGTCATAAAAAGCAGGTCTCCCTGTCAAAACATTGCTAAAAAATTCAACCCAAGGATGAATAAAAATTATACACAAAGGTATCTCTACAAATCTAGTTTATTATGATGATTTTTTTACAAAAATAGTGTGCTTCTAAAATAACTGTTTTCTTTACCCCCCTTAAAATCAAACTTGATGTAATCATGAGTTCTAAACTAGTGTCCTCCCAGAGGTAGGAGGAAACAATTTCTTTTAACTCTTTCACTCCCAAGATCTCATTAGTAATTCTCCTTACTGTCTGCAAAACAATTCTTATAATGTTAGTTTGGAGAATTTGGTTTGGATAATCTACTCCCTAAATCATATTTGTCTTTATTCTCATTACTTGTCTGTTTGACATCAAATTGATACTGTAAGGGGAAATTCTGCATTGGTCACTCATGGGAATTCAAGTGTTTAAAGCCTACCCAAGGGTCATGTTGTGAAAATATAGCCTTGATCTACACAGGTAATCATTTCTACAGCTGATTTAAATGAAATCTCTTTATGATGCCAGAAACTTTAGATCAGCGGATATAACTAACTTGCCATGCATTGGACAAATATCAATTTATAAATACTTGGAAATTTAAATAGGAAAATAGCAACTACAGTAATGTAAAAACAATTTATAAAGTCAATATTTACACAGCAACCTCAATACAAAATTTTCAGTGGCAATAAAAATAATAATACTGATGATGATGACAGAAATAAGCCTTATTAAGATGATGATGATGATAGAAATAAGCCTTATTATGATGAATGATGATGATAGAAATAAGCCTTATTATTTCATAGAATAACAAAGGTGGTTATTGATGTTCAAAAATGTACAATACCAACTACTGAATTAAACTTTTGCTATTAAACGTTGGCCATAGCTAAGATGATCCTATTTACAACTGGTTATGGTAAATGCATGAATGTAGCCTATTATATTAAAATACTAATGAGTCAAAAAACACTTTCCCTACTATAATAATGGAACACGATCTCCACTTCTTAATGATGACTGTGATTGAGAGCTACTGGCCTGTTCCGCAGCAGAACTGTCTCCAATTAATGCTGTTGATGTAGTTGAACCATGCAATGACGAGCGTCCAGCACTTCTAGGTCGTGGTCGGTCATTATCAAAGTTAACTTGACCAGGTATAGAAGCTGATGAACCCGTGGAGCCTAGAAACCCAAGAAAAACAATTAACCTACCGAACTCAATTCTCCCTTCTTGCTACCATACATTTCCTCACAAATAGGTAAGAAGAAATTAGTTATCTATCAAAATTACACTCTCAACTTTCCCTAAAATAACCACACATTTTTATGATGAAAGGTGATGAAAAAATAAAATGTAAACAAAGGGGATATTGGGATAGTGCTTGATTTAACATCAAATTCTCAGAACTAGAATTATTGGAAACATGTGGGGGACAGTTAAGAGAATTGATATCTAGATCTTGGGAATGAAAGGATAAATATTGATCACTTTTGGGGGTGTAGGTGTTATGAGAGCTTTGACTGATTATACCAAGCCCTGAGACTTTGCTCCAAAAATAGAAATTGCCCACCTGAAGGAGAAGAAGGATGCTCCTCAATCAATGGCATTGACCCAACTGAAATTTTCTTCCTTCTTTTAGCCATCTCTTGTCCTTCCTCCCAGTCTTCCACCTCATCCAACAGCTTATCTACACTATCTGCTTTAGAAGCCACTGAGAAGGAGGTGCCAGGTCGACTACCTGAACTTGAAACAGTTCTCATTGCATCAAAAGTTGAATAAGGACCCGCCAAGTCAATCATACTATCCCAGTCATATGCTGTGGAGCTACCATATAGACTTGAAGGAGTTTTGGTCTTTTCAGCCTCTTTTAGTGCCATGTAAACTTTTTGTTCAACATCATGTTTGACTTTGTCCATACGTCCATTCACAAATATTCCAAGCACATACATTTTCAAAAGCATGCGTTTCTTCATGGGGTCCATCAAGATGAAATCATATTCACGTTGATCGAGCCTTTTTCTCATCTGCGGCATCAAGACCATCAATTCCTTTGCTATCTCACGGACGGTCTTCTTCACTGACAGAGCAAACAGAGAGTGAGGTGCTAAGTTTCTGTGAGCTTCAATCAATTCGTCAAGAAGATCCCAGAGGGAATCAAAGGTTGGATCATCCAAGAACTCTGCTTCTCGGCAGTATGCATTGATGATGTGAATCTGCCTCTCCAACTCATGAACAGGTGCAAACATGGGTGGGCTTGAAAGCGCTTTCTCCAATGTATGACGGCCCCTCAGAACAGCACGCATGTATTTCTTTGTTTCTTCACTGATGTTGCTTTTTCCATCTGTACTAAGCATTGGCCAGAGAGGCTGCTTTGGAAGTATAATATGCAAGTACCGCAGCAAGAGATACGCAAGCCACAGAACTGCAACACACAGCCAAGCTATGTTCACCCATGTCAATATCAACTCTGGAATGGGTGGTACAAAGAAGGCATTCACAAGTTCATCAGTGTTGTACATCTCCACCATGACACCGATGTATGCATTACCTGCATTGACAAGTAAGGAGAACAAAATCATGAAGTTGAATGCCGAAACACGGAAAGGAAGACTTCGGACCATTATCAGACTTAGCATAGATAGTGTTGCTCCTATGCCACCACCTAGACGATCAATGGTGAACAAACCGCCTACCAATAGAACCAGAAAGAGCTTGGCAACCACCCAAGTTGGAGTGATGTTGAAAAGGACATGTAACAATCGTGAAATGCCTTTCCAGCAACACCAGCCTGTGAAAGCCCTAAAGGCTTTGATAGGAGGGCGGGCCAAGCCAGAAGAAAACAACCCAAAAAGAACAAGGAAAAAGAACAGAAAAATAGGAAGGTTGATGAGGAGACGTTGCCCAAAAGTAAGCCTGTTGCTCTCAGTAAAAAACAGGAACATTGCATAAAAACACACAAGGCTAAATTTTAAAATGAACATGATGGGTTTATAAAAGATCCAAAGCCGGCGGAATGATGAGAAGAGGTGGAACTGTCCGACTCCCCATAAAATGTCAAGTCCTTGATTGTATTCGGCTTCTTTGAGTTGCAAGTAACCCTCATGTTTTTCTTCACTGTAACAGATCACTTGACCACGAATTTTCCTTATCATGTTTATTGGGTAGGCCAGGAACACAAGAATTACGACCAGACTTGCAATAGCAACAAACACCAAATGTTCTATGCTGTCCGAACTGTAGCACTTTACACTATTTTCAACATTCCATACTCCATCGCTTCGACAATGGAAAACACGGGCATATGCAGTACCAACAGGTAAGCAGGCGAGCTGGATAAAAACGCTGAAAACACGCTTCATCCTCGCAACATGAAGCAGCAGATACAGTGGTTTCCGATGAAGAAACACTGCATAAGTTATCAAAAATGTACATCCAATCACAGCGACTCCAATGGTCCATCCTATCAAATAATAACTATAGTCTATGCCGATGCTTCCTGAAGGTAAAAACGTGTCTAGGTTTAAAGGACCAGTATATGCTCCAGATGAGACTTTCACAAATTCCCAAACGTCTAAATTAAAGAGAAAAACATATGAGGCATGTTGCACAAACGTTTTAGGATAGCCCCAGCGTTCTCCCATGGCTAATATCAACGCAAAAATCTGTATATGCTGCACAATCATGATAAGAGCATCGGAAACCCACAGCGTGATTCCATGATGTACAAAAGTATCTTCGCTGTTTTCATCGTCCTCATCGAGATCGACTACAACTTTCTCAGATTCTTCGATTAAAGGGAGGTTGTCTACATCCTTTTCTTTCAGTTTTCGATTCAAAAGAGCCATTTTAAAGAACTAAAAGGGCCTCTCTAGGAATATTCCGGGAGAAATTGACTTCTAAACAACGTTAAAATGCATGACCTTCGTCATTACATTTGTGTTACTATGGGGTTTATTTGTGTAAATCTTACCAAATATGGTAAGAAAGACGTCATGATTGTCTCAGTTTCATGTGCACAGTTAGACTGTATAGTCCCTAGCAGGGATGATTTGGTCAGCATGGCCCTAAAATTTGCAGCGAATATATCGTTCACATTTTTGGAGCATAAAAATTTCCTTGATAGATACCAAGCAGCCAAAGGAGCAGGTGATGAACTTGAATATATCAGCTATGACCAGAAGTAGCCATTTATTGACAAATTGTACTGCCAGAGTTGTTTTCGAAACTTGAAGGAAGGGACCTCAACGGCCCCTGATTGTTTTGAAATTGGATGATGTTTTTCATGAATATTTATGTAAACCAAACTTTTTCCTCACCATGTGCAACATTCTGGTGTTCAAGAGATAAAAGCATAAGATACTATTTTCTTGAAAAAAGGGTTTGCTTGAAATCCCAAAGACTTGAACTATTAAAAAAATCTTCACTTTTCCACCAGTCGTTGTATGAATAATTTTAGTCTTACCTCGTTTGACCTTCCTTCCTTCATTTATAAAATCGTACATTCATGCATTCTTTAATTTATTCATTATATCATTAATTGTTTGCCTTTACTATCATTTATCTTATTTCTGTTTGCTTTGTCTTATCCACACTTGTCATTCTACCTCATGTGTTCCTAATTTCTGTTTCTAATTCAGATTTATGTCCTCACTGACAGATTGTCATTTTACCTCACAGGTTTCAAAGCTGTGGAATCAGGTTTTCCACCAGATATTCCTATTGAGGAATTATCTAATGCCAGAGAAAATGCACAAATAGAACAGATTCTCATGAATGCTTTTGATGGTGAGCTCTTGTTAGGAATGAACCCTTTGTTTTAAGTCTAGTTTGTGAAGTAGGCTCTCTGTTTGATCAGGCCAAAGCAATTTAACCTGGTACATCTAAGTGAGAATTCATGTGTATGAGAGCTATCATTTTTTCTTTTTCATGCCATGCACTTCTTTAAACTGCTGAGATCAGAATTGCCTGTAATTTAGAGCAAACTCAAAGTGGCTCTGAACATTCTCAACAGGTTCTTTGAAATATACAGTTGATAAATTTTGATTTTTTTGATCGCAGTGTACAAATAAGAATAGGAGTCACTGATTGCTTTTAAATTAGAGGTTTTAAAGACACTTTGGTATTACTTTAGTAACTTCCTACTTCTTGGGAAAAAACCCCAACTTAGCTAATGTTGGTTTGGAATTTGTTTGATGCCATCATGGATGCACTTCCGGTAAATAGGGAAAACTTGAGGAAATGGTTTAGAGATCCCCATTCAGGCCTATACAGCATGCTGAGCTATATTTTTCTATTTCATAAATTTTTTTTCTTTGTAGGAGGTTCTCAAGGACTTGCAGCAGTACCTGGTAGAGAGGAAGAATTTAAGCAATGTTTAGAGTTATCTATCAAATATGCTGAAGCTGTTAAATGTACAAGGTAATGTGTGACCATTTGCTTTGGACAGATAAAATTTCCTCTCACTCAAGTTCTCTGCAGTAGCAAACCATCTCAGAGAATTCTTTATTTATTTTATCCCTTTCATTTTGAAGATCTCAAAATAAAATCATGTACATATTTATACCTTGAGCTCTGACAATCTGGTGTTTTATAAAGCAATATCACCTTTCTGATATTTTACTTATTCCTCCAACCTTGATGCTAGATAATGTGACTGTTTAGTAAGGAGAAATAACCCATTGGTCACTCTTAGGAGTTATTGCGTCAAGTTATCAATAACTCAAATTGTAGGATTTGTCTGTCTGAGTTTCCATGTTTTAATTGAGACCATCATTAGCATCTGTCATTTATTGTAGATTGCATGTATTAGCTGGTGTGTTTCCTGAGGGTGTTACTAGCACAGATAACAAGTCAGTGGTGCTATGGGAGGAGACATATGTGAAGAATATGAAATATGCTGCTCAGAGGCTAGAAGAGGTAATCTGTTAGCACAATCTCTGACACAAAGAATTGTGACACAAGTACATTTGAGAAGTAGGGATTTAACAATGACAGTCCAGAAGATTTGTGTGACTCAAAATTAGTTGCAATAGCAAACAAACCTATGCATGAGCCCCATAACCCTTTATGCCCCAACATCAGTATCGATATTCTCCATACTGTTCTCTATACATTTCCTTAGGTGCCAACAAGAAGAATTTGTTTAGCAATCAAGAACTGTTTTAGTTAGTGATCTTTTCCTTGATTATCTTGAACATGCGATTCAGGGGTGATATTGTATGGAGAAATTAGATTCACTCATCACTTATCACTTATAGGGGACAAAGGGTTAAGAAAAAATAATTATTCATGTATTTACTACATTATGAAGACTGACTAGCAGTAACATTGAGTATTCTTGTCTTAAACTGTTGCAGAATGGAATCACCCTTTTAGTAGAGCCTATCAGTACAATACCAGGGTATTTTTTAACTAATTCACAACAAGGTATTTTTTGTGACTTTTTTAATTGACTTTAATGTTATTATTTGAAATTGTTCTGCCACTTATTTTTGTTTCTGAAAAAAAAGAAAACATATGTAACATCTAGTAATTCTGTTTTGACAGCAATCAATTTGATCAAGAAAGTAGATCATACAAATATGAAACTTCTGTTGGTAAGTTGTTAAAAATGCAAAGCAGTATTAACTACAAAAAGAAAGACTTCCTGATAAATTTTCATTTCAAAACTATTTTTCATTTATCTATTTATTTTTTAACCTATTTATGATCTGGTTTACCGCTAATTGTTTTAACTTTTGTTATTTTATAAATTTATCATAACAGTCACAATTAGATAAGTTGGTTTTTTATATCAATTTTCAAATCATTTGTAGGATTTGTTCCACCATCAGCGTACAACTGGTAACATAACACAGACTCTAAATGATTCCATGCCTTATATAGGTAAATTTCTACCTAAAAATAATTTACTGTTTCCAGCAGGGATATTACTTTCCTGAAAAAGCTTAATGAAACATAGGCAGTATGACGCATGAAAAAGACCAGTATTCCTTACTGGAGGAAAACTGATACTAACAAATATTCTTGGTGGCTTCATAAAATGGGTCAGTTAGTTGCTCTGGCAGGAATTCAAATCAGTTGTGGATGCAGACTTACAATCACTTTTTTTATCAAGTCCACAAGGAGACTTGGTTGATACAACCTGATTTGGTTCATAAAGTGTTGAGTTCTGGGAGACCAAATTCTCCAGTTTCATTCTCCCTTACACAGAGGTCTCTGTGAATGAATCTCCCTTATTTAGATTTTCATCATTTTGAGACTGGCCTAGGGTGCTTGTGACTGTCTTAGTTATCCTTCATTCTCTTTAGAATTTCTTGAATCACCTTGGCATTTTTAATGATTCCTAAAAACTACTTTTTCCTTAATTGTGAAATGTCATTGGGAAATAGAAGGAAAAACTCTAACAGCTGCTTTTGGGAAAATTTAGAGCATAACTGGGATTGGTTGGGGAAGGGTGATTCAAAACAAAATGTTTATCCAGTTTGGTTGGGGGGTGTGAATATTTACTGAAGACTTGATGTATAAATGCTCAACAGGCCAAGCAACAGAACCTCCCCAACCCTTCCCTACCCTTCTAATTTCTAGAAGTTTGGACCCCCTACTGAAGTCAGATACATCCTCCAGTGTTATCAATCTTTCCATTGAAAATATCATATGCCACTTTCTGCACAGCTGCTGCTAATCAATTTTTTGTCTCGTTTTTTAATTTATTTGTTCATTTTTTTTTTCATTAAATTTCATAGGCCATATCCAAATAAGCCAGGTGCCATCACGAAATGAACCAGATTTAGATGGCGAAATCAACTATCCTTTTGTATTCCATCACATAGCTAAACTAGGATACAAAGGCTGGATAGGCTGTGAATATCATCCAAGAGGTACAACACTATTTTTATTTTGAATCATTTTTTACATTATGAATTGTCAATAGAAAAATCATTTCAGCATCTCAAATAGTTATGTCAGGCTTCATTAACATTCATCCAAATTTTGAATAGTTCCAACTGATTTGACATGGTTTCGAACGCTGTTCTCCAATTACAGACGCTTTTGTCCAAATTCATACACCATGCTATGGTCTTATTTCAGACGCTTCGTTTCAATTTTGGCCAGTACTGTCTTACTTTTTATGTTAATATCCAACTTTGGACATTAGTGTCTGATTTTAAGTCTAATGACTACGGACTTGTTTTGAAAGTAGCCTCCAATTCTAGTCACTTGTGTCTGAATTTGGACACTGGTGTCCGATTTTAGACACTAGTGCCTGATTTTCAACACTGGTGTCTGATTTTGGACACTATTGACCAATTTTGGACACAGTAATGTCTGATTTTAGACTCTAGTGTCCAATTTCATGCAATAGTGTCCAATTTTGGACACTGGTTTCCCATTTTGGACGTTGGAGTGATTCTAGACTCTAGTGTCTTATTTTAGTCACTCTCAGGCTTGAGTTCAATTTCAGCCACTATTGTCTGATTTTGTATGTTAGTGTTCGATTTTGACACTAGTGTCTGACTTTGGGACTAATGACTATGGACTAGGTGTGAGACTTTCCGATATTGGATGGATAGTGTTCGATATGGATGATAGTGTTTGCTTTTGGATGAAATGATCTGATTTTGGATGATTGGGTCTGACATGGGGTACTAGTGTTTGCTTTTGGAAGGTAGTGTCAGATATGGGAAGATAGTGTCTGCTCCTAGATGGAAGTATCTGATTTTGACCATTAATGTCTGCTTTTGGATGAGGGCTCTCCTTGATCTGACTTTAAAATTAATACCATAGGTCAAATGGAAGACGGTTTAGGATGGTTAGCGCCTTATCTTGTTGATCAATAAGATCTAATCTTTCAGACTGCTGTCTAGGTAAGTTAGTGTCCTCAACAAAATCTTTTTGGATTTATGTTTTGCATGACTATCAGTTTTGCAAACTATTTTTGTTTATTTTTCCAGACTTGGCTGTAATATTTGCCTTTTGAAACTGCTAAATTCATAGTGAATGGAATAACTTGAAAGTTACTCATTAAGGCCAGAAGGCTCACTGGAAAGAAATCTCCAAGTTCTCACTTTATGATCTTTCACATACTATTCAGTAATTCTGCTATAGTGATATAGGTTACAATTGGATCCGTCATTTTCTGATGCAGCCATGAATCGTTTCAAACCTACTCTCTTAGGATCTGTTAATTACTTATTCTCCCTCCTAACTGCTTCACATGCTGTTATAAAACAATGTGGAGAATTTTTTTTTTTTAACTGGATAAAATTCTCTTACTGATAGGTTTGTCTATTCTTACCACCTGTTTGCTAGACAATGTCTTGTTGATGTAGGGATAATTTATATGCAAATTACTTCTTGGGTTGAAACAGTCAAATTATTTATATGTGTTTCTTAAACTGTGGTTCAAATTACTGATATGATGTTAACAATCTTTTATCTTATTGCTAACGATAAATTCATTATTATTTATTTTTCACAAGTTAAGGCGTCATATGTATGTTTAATCTTTTATTGAGTTTTGAAATATTGTAAGAGAAAGATATCTTTATATTATCATGCATTAAAAGTAGGAATGGTTCCACAGGCTTTTACAATGATCTTCTAAATTTTAAATAAGTCCGAATGGCAATATTTTATCGCACTCTAGACGCTATGTTAGGTACTAGCAAATGAAGCTCCCCCAACCCCCCCATATCTTTTTGGCCACTTACTCGCCCCACCCTCGTTATTTATATTCCTCTGTTCTGAATACGTGTTATGAATTCTTTTGTCTTGTTTTTGCCGAATCGAATTGGGAAGGTCAGTCTGTCCACAACCGTTCTTTTTTACCTTTTTTTTCTTTGCTTTTGTTGTTTTTTTATATTAATTTAGCATGCATAGAGTTTAGATTTAAGGAGAAATAAAAGTTCTCTGAACTGCCTAAAAAGAGGTCTGATATTCTGCTGGTAAGGTGCACATCAACTGATTTTAGTTGCCAAGGCTTCTGAACCTTCCGGGCAGAAAGCACGTGGACAACGTAATAAGCTCCACGTGAAATAGTACATCGGCTGAGGAAGTTTTGGAGAGGTTTTTCTTTCGGGGTTCCGAATTACACAGTTCTTATAGGCACTTAGTTCGCGAGGGTGCTAATGGCAGGTGGGTTTTTTTTATCACTATCAATAATGCAAATAAGGGGGTCCGTTTTCGGTTCCGTTATCAGATGTTAGGTTTCCGTTTTCTAAGACACGTTTTCGGGTCTTAGGTACTAAGGTGTCTTAGTTTTCTGGTCTTCATTTTCAGATCTTAGTTTTCGGGTCTTTGTTTTTCGGGTCTTCGTTTTCGGGGTCTTTTTCTTAAAACTGGTGTTTGATTGCATACTTTATCGCTATTAGAAAGATTAAAACCGGAACTGGATATTTCCGACGAGAAACCATAACGTGATTATAATGAATGATGAAAATAATGGGGTCTTCGTTGTCTGAACCTAGATCTTAGGTCTTAGCTTTCGGGGTCTTCGTTTTTGCTACAAGCCACATCAACCCTTGACCCCAACAGGTTTTTTCATGAGTCGTTCAGTACCATTTATATCCCGTTGCGAAGAGAGGAGCTTGTGGACGCGAAGAGTATTTCCAAAGACCACAAAGAAGCTTTTCTGCCTTCCTTTGGGTATCTTTTAACCAGTGTTATCAGTGCCATCGTCTAAAGTCATTTCCCGTTAAAAAGTCAACTTCGAGTAGGTGAGACAAATTTTTAACAACGAGTTGAGCTATGTGGCCTTCTGTCCGTTGTAGGTAACCTTATCCTAGCTGGTTTGTTTCAGATCGAAATAATTCTAACAAAATTATAGGACTCGCTTTCTTTCCGACTTTCGTTCGATATGGCAAGAATATAGTTTATTTGCTTTGACTCTGATAGATTCCAAGGGCTTATTTTAGAGGAAAATCACTCTCCGCTCTGATGAAATTTAACACCGTTGATTGAGAGAAGTTTCAAGATGAATTACTCAATCTTACAGGTTGTTTCAGTGCAGTGTCATACACGCATTGCAGTGTTAATCTTCGGAAAAAAGGACGTTTCGAGCTTTAGCCCTTTAAAAAAGTTTGAAAAAGGGGAGGGGTAGGTGCGCAGCTCGGCTGTTCAGATACTGACATTGAATCAACAGTTGTTGCGTAATTTTTTTTTTAGCTTCTCTCTGGTACCATCTTTTTTTTTTTATGTTCAATTAAAAGGTAAGGTAAAGCTAAGGTGGGGGTGGGGGACTGGGGCTTCTGTTTGTTTGCTCGGAAACTTTATCATGGAAGGTTTTATATCACTAAGAGCTCAAAATCTCCATAACGTCAAATTTTCTCTGTTATTCTACAAAAGTGGACGATTTTTCTCGCGGCAGTTTGATATGTTTGTGCTCTTAATATGTTATGTTACTACTGTCAATTAAGATGAGACTGACTTATTTTACAGATGATTTCAGTTTATCATCTTCTATTCCTGAAAATTTTTATGCCTGGCATCTCTGGAATAACAGAATGGGGTTTCAAAAGATTCATAAAATACGAACCCGGTGATATGAACCTTATAATAACAGCCCCTCACGGAAGTTCACTGGATCCCAAGACTCAAAGTGATGGTCGCAGATGGCCATACAGAGGAAATGGCTGTAAAGGAAGCGATGGTGAATGTATTTGGACACACGGTTGTAGGGTTAAATCTGCAAAGTGCATTGCTTTAATAAAGAGGGATGATTTTACCATGGGCATCGCTCGAGATATTGCCAATGAAATCAAGGAAATAGCAGGTAAGAGAGTACTATGGCCCTGGTACCTTTAGAGCCTTGGGATCCGTGTCAGTATGTAAGCAACTGCGAACTCACCCCTCCCCTAACTCAACAACAGTCCACTGATAATAAGTTAGGGTTAATGTTAGGTCGGGGGAGGGGTACGTGCGCACTTGCTCGGATATTGACATTGATCCGAGCCTTGTTATCTTGTGGTGACGTTTCGAGTGTTCTTTTCATTTCTTTTAGTTTAGAGGGAAAAAATCTTCTCATCTGATGATCTTTACCTCAGTAAATCTACTTGTATCGCTTAATCTCTTTTATGCTCCAGTCCCTTTCAAGCTTGCTGCGTCTGAGAAAAGGAATTTTTTTTGTATGCTTTTTCTCTCCACTAGGGCCCATATCACTTCCGCTTCCCTTTCTCCCCCGCCTCGCTGGTACTGAATCCGTCTGAAATCCGTCTGCGAAAGTAATTATAAGGAACCCACCATCCCCTCCAGCCTTGAAGGCTTCTAAGAGGCTGTGTGGTGAATGACCACCACACAGATGAACGAAAGAAGTCCTTAGAGGAGTCTCCCCACCCGCGAAGTTGGTCAGTCTGTGGTTTGAATTCCTACAGGAGACTCCGATCTCCTCTATTGTCTCACATTCGTGGAAGATGCTAAACATCTTTGTTTTTTTGACAACCGTGCACAAAAATTCACTATTTTCTTTCTTGCCTTATCTCAACATACGACCGCAACAAAACTAACATTTTTACCAGAGGGACCAGACCAGTTATTTACTATGACACGAATTTAAAATCCTCCTCCCCCACCTCTCCCCGCTGGCGGCAAATAATGACTTGATGGCCATTATTAAGAAATCCTCCGACAACCCCCCCCCCCCCCCCCCCCTGGCGACAAATAACGACTAGCTCTCGTTAAAAACAGGTCTCCGATCACACGTCGTGTACAGCATGCTATTGAGAGCCAAACTTGACGTGAACAGGGAGATCGAAGAAGCAACCTTCAATATCTCGGACGCAATTGCCGCCTATTATGATTACTCCTTTTTCATCAACAAGGCCAAGTCGAGCATCACAAGGCGTGGGACTGGGCGCGGCTTACTGCTGGACATTCACGGCAGTGCTGATCACCTACAAAGAACTGTGTTAGGTTATCTGGTTCATAGCAATTATCTCGACAAGGGAGACTATAGCATGGACATGTCCTCTATCAGAAGCCTTGGTAACCACTGGTGTGGAATCGACAATATTTGTTTTAAGGAATTCGTCCAGGGTAACAGAAGTCTTGGGTACTTTATGAATCAGCAAGGCTTACTCGCGATACCCTCTCCGCAAAGTAAAAAAATAAAACCAGCTGTGATAACTTATCTGTCTGGAGGATACACAGTGGCTAAATTTGGGTCCAGAGATGGAGGAAATGTTGATGGTATACAGCTGGAATTTTCCCGTGCATTGCGATCGAGTTGGAACCATAATGCAAAGAATAAAGTAGTCAGAGCTATTTTAAATTTTCACAAGTTTAACTACCCAGGAGAACCTTAATATCAAGCCACCTTCATGTAAGTTTTTCTTATTTCATCTGACGTCGTTCCCAGGCTTCTCAAAAAGAAGAGAAACTCGACTGAGGAAGACTGAGTTTGATTCTTCTCGACTTCGTAGCGCCGTCTTAGTTTCGTCGGTCATAGTTCGGATGTTCGCCTTCTCAAGCGCAACAAGGAGTATGTACTCAACTTTTATGAGTAGTTTTTACTTGTAATAAAGCATAATATTACAAACTTTATGAGAGGAAAATGTCTTGGATGGCACTTGGAATTTTATTAACAACGATTAATCTGTCTTGATGACGTAAAATTTGTCCAGTTTGAGTCTTAATTAAGCTTGTTGTTCGACTTTACACGAAATAATCTTGCCTAGATTGCATTGAAACATTTTGGCGTTGGCAAAATTTCAGTATATGAGCTTAAGTAAAAATAATGGTGAAAAAGTGCACAAAACATCCCGGACGAAATTAACAAACTTTACATGTGCAAGAATAAAAATCTTGGTTACGAGCCTTTAAGAAGGTTCTTAAAGTCCAATTACACGAAATTACACTCTGGACAATGAAACTGTTGAATGGTTTTTTTTTACCTTCGAACCTTCGTTACCGTTTGTCTCCTGTAGGGAGATAACACTTTTTATCTCCTATATCCTAATAGTGACTATCATCGAGATTCTCCAAACCGAATATCCTACTGAATGAAACAGCGAGGACCTGAGAGTAAGAAAGTGGTCACCAAATGAAAAAGCCCTCAACTACCAAACAAATCCTCCTTGCCGGTACAATAAGAAATGTATGGAGAAAGACATGTGTAGGGTATAGAGGGATTAAGGTAAAGTTTTGATTTTGGCGCCGAAGGTTATGCCTTTGTCTGCCTACGAGAGATTCGATAGTATTAGTAATCAGTTTTTCCATGCTTTTATAGTGTAGCCTGCCCAACACAATGGTCTCACATCTGCGCATGTGTGAACGTTATAATAGCAGGTGGCGAGGCCGTATACTTTGAGGCTATCAGAACCAAGTTGTCATGCAAGTGTTTTTTAACTTACACAAAAGACAGAAAATCTCAGTATTTTGATGAAACTGATCACTTTTTCTGATAAAGCTAAAAGCAAAATGACCAATCAACAGGATGCCCATAACTGAATAAACCTTATTTCTTCTGTTTTTCTTTGAAATTTTGCGTGTACTTGGCGCGCGGGCGCCCAAAATTGATCACCTTACGCATGCTCGACGTTTGACCGCTGTGTTAGTCCGACCACAGATTGGGAATGAAAAAGCTATTAATATACACTCAACTCCTACATTCCCGTTTATCAAATTCCTTCCGCTCTGGCCAGCGAAAACTCGTACTAGTGTTACTAAGAAAATCCTCTAGAATTGTTAATAATCTTACTAATCAGTTCTCCCGTCATTGCCACGCTTGTCGCAGCATTTTAATCGAAGCAAGTCTCTGAGACACAATGGTGACAAGAACCAAAATTCCCAGCGTGCCAAGAATGAACCAGTAGTCAAAATCTTCCTTGAGGACGTCAAACATCCGGGATGGTGTAATTCTGGTCCAGTAAAGGTCCAGTCCATATGCAAACACCAGACAAGTAGATTCAAGGCCCGACCCGGCCGTGTACACACCGTTGATACTGGCAACTAAAGAAGGAACAGAACATTTGTAAAGATGTAAATAAATTTCGTCTCGGGAGCTTTCGGTTCTAACTTGGTAAGAGAGAAGTTTTAGCTCTTCAATGATTGTCAATGAAGGCTGTTTACTTGGGAGAACAACTATTCGGGTTTTTTCCCCTATCCGCGTGGGCGAGCAACTATCCCCGTTTGCTTATGTATTTTCGTAGGGGGAACAATTATCTCCGTTTGCTTCCTTTATTCCCCTGGGCAAGCAACTATCTTTGTTTGCTTGTTTATCCCCGTGGGGGGGGGGGATAACTATCCCCGTTACTTCCGTTTGCTCGATTACTTTGGTTTTGGATTTATGACCCTCAAACGGAAAGCGCTTTAAAGTTTTTTTCGTCATAAGATACTTGCCAGTTTGGTTGTAGTTAATGAAAGCCAATGGATTCGCAGTCAGCTCTGGAATATAAGGATGTAATCCTTCTTCACGGTCCTGTTGGGTGGGTAAAAATTTTCTCCGCGGGTCCAAAAAGTTCTTGGGTAGGCTCCAGATGTATCCAGTTTGTAACCCGAACAGGAGAGTTTTATGAGTGATTCCTCGCTCTGTTATGGTGACAGTGGCAGTGCGTACTGTTGTTGGAAATATGTATGACTGCTGGAGTATAATTGGCATGGGGGGAGGCTCGAATGACGACAGAGCAGTGCTGAAATAAAACGAATTAGTTTAGATGGGTTCTGCTTTTACGTGCAGCAATTTTCAAATGAGTATCGAAAGTAATTACGTTGGACTTCGTCAAGGTCCATAAAAGCAAAAAGAAAAAAAAAAACCTCGGCCACTATACAGGTATGTTGACCTCAGGCATATTATCAAATGTCCTTCAGCTGTAAACGCAAACACATGGTGTCATGTTTTCTTGTACAGCTCTACTTTTTTACAAAGGAACATGTCAAACTGTTTTCAGTTTCAAATTTCGCTTTGTTATCAGATGGTGTCTTTCTGTGTTATTGGAAAGTATTTTCATGGAAAATCAAAATCAATTGTGACAGTTCTGAGACTAACTACCGGTATTCGTTAAAACAGAACAGTACTTGGACAATTTTCACGAAATTTAGTTACTCTTTTTAAAGTCTTGCGAAACGTATTTCCGAAAGTAACAATAAGATACACTTTCCAGCAAACAGGAGAGAATAGGAAACTTGTCAATTAGAGGGTGTTCTCATACTGACACCAAAATCTCTAGAATGATTTACAACTGTGGCAGCTAGAGGGGAGAATTACTAACTTGATCCAAGGAATGAAATGGCTATTATAACCTGTTTCTCTCTGTGTATCCATCATACATCTCCAACACAGTTAGCTCATATCTGCGGGATTTGGTATTGTATAAACAGTAGACCAACCAGTTTTCAGAATGCACCATATGGATAGGACCCTTGGCACTCTTGTGACGCGTATGGAATATAATCAGTCCTTCAACAAAAGTATGTCATTTTTAGGTTCAATTTTTCATCAGTATTAAAGCTTGTTTAACAAAGTTAAGTAGTGTGAACATACTTCAGAAAATATCTTATGACCAGCTAGTTCTACAAATTATATTGTGACTACCAGTAGGTCCTTGCTTGAAAAAAAAAGTAATTGCCTTTTTTTTATCTAAAACCCTAGGGTTGCTATGAGTGATTCTAAGTGGAAGAAATCTGGGAACAAGCAGTGTTGTTGTCAAGGCTGTGCAGTAATTTGTGAAAGGGAAAATTTCTACGGTTTTAGAGTTTCAAACAATTTTTCCAATACCTACTAGCTACCACATGCTTGACCAATGAGTGACCATCAACTATTGCAATGTCAGTCTTGCACTCTTCAACCATTTACACCCTAACATTGGTGTTCATATTCTCCATACTGTTTTCTGTACATTTCCTAAGACACTTACAGGGAGAATTTGTTTAACAATCAAGAGCTTTTTTAGTTGGTGATCATTTCATTTATTCTCATGGCCTTAATATGTGATTCAGGAGTAATAATGTTGGGAGAAATTAGATGCTAGTCATTCTTAGGGGTGAAAGGCTTAAAGATACTCTGGTACACATGTACTTGCACTCTCTGTTACACGAGGGAAGCAAGAAACTGTAAATTGTCATTGTTATTATCATTATAATACCTGTGACAGCATCAATAAGGTAAATAGAAATGCCTGGCTTAGATTGCTGAGTAACTTCAGTGCCAACAGCAATCAGATTTGGATTCAAGTACTTGTAAAGCACTCTTCTGTCCCCAAGAACTTTTCCTTGTGAATGAACATGTTCCAGAGGACTCTTTGATGCTGATACAAAAAAACAATGTTTTAAAAGAGCACAAGGAATAAGGCAGACAACCATAGAGTATGACACGATAATAATTAACACTTTTCAAAATGCCTTTTGTTTTACCAAAAGTTTCCTATCTAAACAAGTTTTAAATGTCTGTTATTACTCCCCCAAAAGTCTTAAAAAAATATATTTACCCCTTTCACTCCCACAAGTGACCAAGACAGAATTTCTCCTCACAATATCAATATGATATCAAGCAGGTAGACAATGAGAATTTTTCAAAAAATATCAATGATGAGATTATTAGTTGATCCAATACCAAATTCTCTAAACTAACATCATAAGAATTGTATGGCAGATAGTAAGGAGAATTACCAACAAGATCTTGGGAGTGAAAGGGCTAACATAACATAAAATAATGAACTTTGTCTCAAGCATGCATATTTTTATTCAACACAGTGGAACTAGACTTATTTTGGTGCCCTATCTGTTTCATAATGTTTGAGAGGCAATTGGATTACTGTGGATTCTAATAACAAGACGTGAGCAAACTTAGCTGAGCACTTGGTAAGATTTAACCCTTTTCATCCTAACATCAGTCTGCATATTCTTAATACTCTTCTCTATACATTTATTCTGGTATTGGTTAGGAGAATTTGTTTAACCACTACTCTCACCACTGCACCATTTGCAACCCCCTTGTTGCTACTTTTAGTTTTTCACATCACCTTCCTGCTTGAAAATGCAGAATGATCATTCAAAGGAGAGATTCCTTTGTTCTTAAGAGAGAAAGTGTTAATGTTCTGTCAATGACTAATTTCTTCCAGCTTGTTGCACTTACCAATATTAGAAATAGTCTGCTGTGAATGAGGAAAGTTAACATTCCACATGTCTCTCACATGAAAGACATTTTTCTGTGTATCCGACAGAAGCATGTATCCTTTCAAATTATTCTTCTCTTTATCAGCCAAGAAGAAGAAGATTGATGAGGATGCTTTAGACACAATCTCAATTGCATCTGTGGTGCGTGGAAACACATGGACATTCAGAGAAGAGTCAAGAAGTAGCAGAATTTTGGTATGTTTAGCATCTGAAAAGAGAACAAATAGATTACAATTCCTTGATGTTGCTTATAAAATTATAAATTCACCAGGAGTAGACACATTCCTCAGATTTTACCACATCAGACTTTGAGTAAGTGAAATGGGGGTGGGAGGGGGGTGGGGGAGGGAACTAGAATACATACCAGTATGCGGAAGGAGCATGGACTGTACCACCCTGTAGGGAAGCTGGTTTCCTTTGAGATGTCCAGGACTAGTTGGTTTCCCAGTAATTGGGTTGAAAACATGTATCAGTGATCCTTCAGATGTGCGTGATTTGCCAAGCACTATGCACTGTGCAGTCAAAGGAAAGTGAGCAACAGTTCGCTGTGTGTAGAGTAAAGAGTACTTCTTTTCATTTTGAGAAAAAGGGGCAAGAGCAGGCAAAAAGTATTTCCAGACGATGCTTCCATCTGCAGAATTGAGACCAAAGATTTTTCCTGAAGATGTTACGATTATAATCAATTTGCGCAGGTTGAACTGGTCTCTTGTCAGTTGCTCTTCTTCATTGTCTGTTGACTCAGCAAAGAAGCCATGTTCTTGTTGCGCTTTGACAAAGGCTTGGAATTGCTTTACAAGAACTTGGAACTGTTTAACTTGGGCACGGATTCGGCGGATAAACATGGACAAAATGTCGTCTGCAAAACAAAATTATGATTCTTAGCAAAAGGATCACCAAATAAAAAGGGTGTGGAAGAACATTTTTCAACAGAAGTGGGGCATATACTAGCATCAGGGGGGGAGGAACCAAGCTGGTTAGTTATTATAAACTGTCAATTTTCATCAACAAAGCAAGAAGGGGAAAGAGTTCTTATAAGTGAAATATTGGTGTTATAAGGGCATGTCAGGCTCTCTTATTAGTCATAATGGACATCAAAATTTTAAATGCAATAAATTAAGCCTTCACACTAAAATTGTATTTAATGCTCTACCATTTGGATGCGCCCCAAACTCCTCCTGAAGTGTCTCAAAATTCGCTTGTGAGGGTGAAAATGGTAGCTCAACCACCTCTACAGCTGTGATATCTGCAAGAGCTTCTTCTCGAGACCACATGATTCGCCCAGGAAACTGTATCAGTAATATTGCATGGTCTGTGGTGGTAAGGAGAACCCTGTAACCAAGTTCATTCTCTTTTTTATTGAACAAGTACAACAGTGCGTCTGCTGCTTCACCACGGTCAACCATTGCTACTTTTTGTGACATGTCTTGTAACAGTTTCCAGTCATCTAGATCATAGCATTTAATCTCTGATGATTCTTCTGTGATGGGTGTTACTGATGCCAAAATAGCTTTATTGCCAAGTTCTGCTGCACTAAGTAGGGAGGGTTCAGTAAATTTGGCCAACAGTTTCAGACTTCTATCACTATTTAACTTTAACACAAGTTGTTGAGTTTTTGAAAGCTTTAAAAGAAATTCTGATCGTTCATCCCAAGAGTTTGAAAATGAACCAAATGAATGTAAACTGGGTTTACTAACAGCCAGATCTTCAACTCCTAGTCCTAATGAAGTTAACGATAAGGTTTTCACAGTTGCAGACTCATCACTGACAGAAATCAGATGAATACTGTTGCTAAATATTTCTGCACAAACCAAATTCAAACTCTTAACAAAAGTACAGCTAGCACCATTGCCAATCCATGGTGCTCCAATTCGTCTTTCTCCTTTCACCTCACCAGTTTCAACACTTAACTTTTTAATTACAATATCCACATCATTTTGAATCCCTATGAGGTACAGATGCCCACTGGAATGCTGAAAATTGAAATAGTCAGCTGTTTGTCCGCTACTATCATGTGACCATTTTACTGAGCCATCTTGGAGTGAGAATGCTTTCACCATATTGAAAGCCAGTGAAATAGCCAAGTCGTTCTCTTTATCTTCTACCAAAGCTGTTCTTAGACCGCTCCATCCATGAAAGGGTGAAGTTACTTCTTTGACCGAAGATGCTGATCTAGCAAGCGATTCCCACAAAAGTGCTCCGTTGCTGGTGTCCCACGATCGCAAATATTTTCCGTTACTTGAAGAACTCACAAGCAAATTTTCCCGATAAAGCAACGTATCTAAAGCTCCTTCACTTTCCTCCAAGACCTGACGCCAAATAATGGAACCAGTTCTTGAATTTAAGGCTGCTACAACATTAGATTCCGTGCCCACAAACAATCGCTTACTGCTCTGCGTAGAAACATCAAAGTATGAAAATTTCACTTTGCCCAAATAGCTTTGACGCCAGTCAAAGAGACCAACTTGATCTTCGAATAATCCTAAACAAAGCTTCCAGTTTATCAAGGAAAGAAAAACGCACATGCAACCCCTGATTGCCGCCATCTTGAGAGCACCTGCAAAAGGCGAGGCTACTGAGAAGCCTGGCTGCAAAGCCAATTGGTCTTTAAGGCTAGGCTACTAAGGACGAAAGTAAAATGGCGCGTGGTTTGAAGTCTGGAGAGATTTGATTCTGGAAACGTTTCCTGTCGACTAAAACCTCTTGAAAGATTATAATTTCAATTGAATAAGGAATGGTGCCATCAGATTCGTCTGAACCTCCGCGTTCAGAAGTTTCTAAAGTAAAATGGTTCACAGAAGGGGTAAGTTTCACTATAACGCGTGAAGACTTAGTACATTTGTACCAAGCAGTGTAAACTTCATGCAGGAACAGCATACAGTCACTTTGTCGAATATTTCTCTGAAAAGGTACTCAAAAATATGATAACACCCGTTTAATTTGTGTATACCACACTCAGATTGACTGCACTACATAAAACAATTTAATTTATCCTTGGTAGACAAAACTGTCAATCTGTCAACTGCTATGCTGTATTATGTCAACCACAGATAAAGCCATCTGCACTCTGTATTGAAGATAAAGTTTCTTACACTGTCCAAAGTAGATACAGCTACCTATAAAGGCAAAATTTATTACAAACATCTCAACTGTCTACTGTAGATTAAGCTATAGTGTATCTACATGACTATATCAACTGTAGACAAAGTAGAAATCTGTAACTACTATAATAAGATAGTTTAGTGTTACAAACTGAGTTGATGGTGTAAATTAGCGCCATAAAGAATTTCTATATCATTTTGAGCATTAACCTTGTGTTACTTGCTCTGATGAAGGGTTTCCACCTGAAAATTTGGCTTAGAAACTCTTTATGGTGGCTAATTTACATCATCAACTCAGTTGACAAAGTCAAATGATCTTGTTATAATTCCCACCAATGCTAGACCATTGTTTCTTTAGGAACTTACCTCCTTTATTCAGATATCTACTATAGTCACAGGAGATAAGTATATGTAATATAGACTGAATAGATGGCTGTCAGCTAAAGCATTGATAATTGATTAATATGTTTGTATATCCATGTGTCTTACTTAGGAGTTTTGGTGGAGGACTTTTGCTGCAGTTACATGGGTGATGATTATCCTTCCACATGCACTATTGCTGTCCTCATTAGCAGCATCTGTAGATCTTTTTCATCCCTTCAACTGGATTTCAGGTGAGTATTTAATACCATACCAGGGGACATTATGCTTTAGTTAATGTATATTGGCCTTACAACAGCCTTGGTTGAGTTCACTATGTCCTGTTGTTAGATTAACTGCCTCCGATACCAGGGGTGAGCACCTTACCCTTACAATTTCAATTCATTAAAGGTTAAAAATACGTTGTAATTGTGAAAATAATGAAAATGGTGAAAATCATTATGAAGTGGAAGGTAATAAAACTGATCAAATTTAAGATTCTTTGAATGAAAAATACAAGGAAGTCATCTGCCCTTTAGAGAGAGAATGTCTACTGAGATTTTAGGAGAGAGGTTCATTACCCTGTTATAGCTTTCTTTTACTACAATACAAATTGAGAAAAAGGAATGAAGAAAAGCTGATTAAATGCTGTATGTGGGGATGGAAACATATGATGGGATTAAAATTTATAGAAGCAGTGGAACTTCCTCTGAGTATGTGCTAAGAAAAAAGTATACCATATGGTGATGTGAGCTAATTTATTATAGTATAGACCACTACTGCCGCATGACCCAGGTATACCTTGCTAATAAATAATATTATCTATACTCCCTTTCTATCATTTTTTAAAGGTGGCTTATCTCTGGTTTTAAGCTTTCCATTTTGGGTATCTACTTGTTTTTATGGAGCTATCAGTATTGTGGTGACGCTGTCAAATTCCAAATTCAATACTGGTTAGTATACTAAGTGATTATGATAAAAACATGTTAGCTACAGGTAGTTTGGTGGGTAGGCTGAGTTATAATTTTCACTATACTTAAAAAATGACTCATCAGGTCTTGGTTCTCTTGAGCTTTTCACTTCCAGGAATGATAAATAGGTAAATTCTCCTTACATTATCAGTGTATTATCCAGCAGACAAGTGACGAGAATGAAGAAAATATCGACTAGGGTTTTATCATTTGATTTAACACAAAGTTCACAGAATTGACATGAGAGATGCAGGGCAGATGGTGAGGAGAATCAGTACTGAAACCTTGGCAGTAAAATAGGTTAACCCTTAACTTTCTAACATCAACATGCATATTCTCCATACTGTTCTCTCTACATCTCCCAAGGTGCTGATAAGGAGAATTTGTTTGTTAATAGTTAAGATTTTCTTCAGTTGGTGATTGTTTTCCCTATTCTCTTGACTTAAACTTTTGTTTCAGTGATGATATTGCAAGCCCTAGGGAGAAATTAGGTGGTAGTCACTTTAAATTTTTTGTCTTGCAGTTAAAAATGTTACTCATCAGAATCAAATGTCAGCCTTGTTGTTTCCCCTTCACCCAGCAAGAATGTTTCACATTTTTTTGTTCACATTGTGTGGGAGCCTTTCTGCCTGGTGTTTCCAAGGAATCATTGGTGATGAGGAGGATGTTTTAACTATATTATGTGAAACGTAAGGGAGGCATGTTGATTTATGGTGAATGAAAATTAAGTTTGAAAATTGATCAGGAAAAACTCCAGCTATTTAACCCACTTACATGTTCTTTTGGCAGTATGAGAGATTAGACTCTGTATTACTTATTGTTCAAAAGATTAATTATTTTTTCTGTATAATGATGTGAACATTTATTGTTTACAGTGCTGACAATTCCTTACCAAATGTAATTTGTAACATTGACCTTTTTGGTCTCGTATACCTATAGATCAGAAGAATATTGTTTAAATGAGCGTCTAGTTTTTGGCATTCTTTTTGGAGCATGGTTGGTGAGTGCAGTTTTTTATATAAATAGATATTAACCCTCCCATGAGTGACCAAGACAGAATTTCTCCTTACAATATTTATATACTATCAGCGAGATAAGTGACAAGAATTAGGGAAAATATCAATTTGGGGATAATTAGTTGATCCAATACTAAATTCTCTGAGCTAACGTCACAAGAACTGTATGGCAGACAGTAAGGAGAATTGCCAATGAGATCTTGGTAGTTAAAGGGTTAAATAGTCATTAAATAGGTATTAAATAAATAGATAATAAATTCAAGTCTACAAATTGTGATACAGAAGAAGACAATGATAAATTTTAAACTGAATATATATGTATATGCACACCACATTTTGAAGGATACCAACATTATGGTATTTTTGGCATTTGTTTCTTTCTTATCAACGTCTGTTTATATTTTAGGGTTTTTATACAAGTCTGAATTACTTCTTGAGAAAGAAATTTCATTTTGTATTTCCTCGAGTTCAGGTGAGTTTTCTTCATGTTAGTATTTGATTTGAAGTCTGGTTTATTCAAATTTTGTGTTGTGGTATGATTTGTTGATCAATGATATTTCTCTGTGCCTTACATGTATTTTTGTCAAGGGGACAGTCATTGAATTCCATTTTTTTTATTACAAGCAGCAAAAGGTCTTGTTCCAGATAAAGTTGTCAGTAGGACCATGTGTAAAAGAGAGTATCATTGTCTGCTTAAAGGTGAGATAGAGCATTCTTCCCCTCCCTCCCTCCCTCCCTCCCTCCCTCCCCCCCCCTCCCATCTCATCATGTGTTTAGATGATGCTAAAAGTAACTGAATGCATAAAAACTCCTCTTGAGCTTAAAGATTGATTCTTCTCCTTCTTCAAGGTCTGTCACGGTTGTTTTTAGGTGAATGATATTTTTATCAATTTTTATCTTTCATAGGCATGTGGATGGTACTACCTTTTGTATTACTTTTTAGGTAGGTGTTTGTCCTATCCAACTTAAAAGCTTAGAATGTTAGCTTTTGTCTTCACGTTAATGGCCATTAAAAAATAAAAGCAAAATTGATTACCAGAACAAGTTATGTTAGGCAAATTTTAGTAATGATGGGATTAAATTGATTCCCAAACAGTTAAAAAAATTGCTCCTGTAATCATTCTTATACTCATTGATTTGTCAATTAAGATGCAAAAGGTGGATTAATTTTTCTTCAGCACTATTGCTTTCCCCTCTTTCCAATATGTCTGAAAACCACAAAAAATTCCCAATTTTTTTTTGTCATGTTCCATACTTAGCTTTCTTGAGTTACAAATGAACCCTGTAATCAATCAGAGGAACATTTTTGCATAAAGCTTTTAAAGAAGTTTTTTTCCTCACACATTTCTTTCAATGGTTGTTCAGCTGATTTAATGTTTTATTGGTGCTGTTTAAGATCCCATAATTCATGCTGAAAGAGATGCTAAACTGAAATCAGTTGCTGTTTTTGATCTCATTGACATCTTTCTGTTTACTGAACCACAGGTAATATTCCCAGAGATGCCACTGCCAACATTCTAGATATTTCTTTGGACAGGTAAATTTGCATCTTTCATCTTGATGAACAGCATTCTAGAAAAGTGTTAAACATTCTACTTACCTGAGTTTCTGTTTTCCATGTTTATATTGTAAGAATATCATCTATTAAACCCACTTTGCAGAAATGTGACACCTCTCAACTCCATAGCAGGCCTTCTGAACCTTTCCCAGTTTTGGCACCTTGTGACAACTGGGTCATTAATTTTGTTTGTTTGGACCTTTGGTAACAAACTTCTTATTATCTTCCACACACAGGTAAATATGTAAATTATGATGTAGTTTATAATGCATTGTAACGTTACAATACATAAAGTACACATTAATTTCTGTGATTTTATTGGATAAAATTCATTTCAGATATACAGATTCCCAGTGGAGTATTCACTCAGTCATCAACAGGACCAAAGTCTTTGTGTAGTGATCAAAAATAAAACAATCCCATTATTAAAGGTACATCTAAATGTTTGCACCTTAACATAAGTATGCACATTCTCCATACTGTTCTCTATACATTTCCTAAGGTGCTGACAAGGAGAATTTGTTTAACAATTGAGAACTTCTTTACTTGGTGATCATTTCCTTTTAACCATCTAATCCCTAAGAGTGACAAGGTTCTACAATATCACCCCTGAATGAAAGGTTTATGTCATGAGAATAAAGGAAATGATCAGCAACTAACAATTGAAAGCTCTTGATGATTTTACAAATCCTCCCTGTTAGGACCTAGGGAATGTTTGGAGAACAGTATGGAGAATATACATAATGATGTTAGGGTGTGAATGGTTAATTAATCTTGTTACCTTTGTGTTTGATTCAGGCGTAATGTTGTTAGTTACTTGTACATGAAGTAGTCAAAGGGGTAAAAAGTGAATATAAAACTTAATGGATACAATTTGCTCACTTCTGAGAGTTGTAGAATATACTTGCATTTCAGTGTGACTTTCCAATGACTGCTCATCAAAATCATTACATATAAAGTATATTTTTCTTCAGTGTATACTTTTATTTTTCTATTTCTTCCACAGTATCTTGCTTTGTTTGACCTGGTACATTTGTCCCAGTTTAGCCTGACAAGAAGAAAGCAGATTTTCTCTCTTAGTCAACCAAGTGAGATTTATTTCAACATCTGTCCTTATTTTTCACGATGCAAATTTCCTATTCTGGTACATGTCCATAATTCAGTTTGACCTTATACTACATATTTCTGTCAAATTCAGAAAATCACCACCAGCTTGACCCTTTCACTCCCATGAGTGACCAGGACATAATTTCTCCTTACAGTATCAATATATTATTAAGCAAACAACTGATCAGAATAGCGAAAAAACTATTAACTAGGTGATTATCATTTGACCCAACACCAAACCTCAGAACAAACTTCATAAGAAATATATGACTGATAGTAAGGAGAAATTTCATCAAGATATTGGAAATGAAAGGGCTGACTACGTCATAATTGTTTTTGGTGTGTCATAATCAATCATACCCATGCCAGGAGGTCAGCATTTGCAAGGAAACCAGAAATCACAGATTTATCATTGTCACTGCTTACATGAGAAAACTTATTAAATAAGTTTTCTCATGTATGATTAGCTTGTTCTCTGAAACAAAATCACATTCCAGAAATGTTTCTTGTATTCACAGTTTTCTGAATTTCCCAATAAGGTGTTACTTATCAAAAGGCACCCTATTGGGGTTGTGGCTAAGAGCCAACTGCCAGCAAAATTTGATGGATGAAAAGTGACAATTGTTGATTGGGCACATCTGAGGTTACACACTTACAGTTTAATATTGAATGCTATCTTTAAGCTGCTTCTCTTAAAATTTCAGCCAGCAGCCCAATTTCTTAGCTACAACCCTGCACTATACAAGGTCTGGTAGATGGTTAGGTGTGTCTTTATATTAGATCCTTAAAGTTGGTTGTGGTAGTGATGAGAAATGTTTTCTCACAGGTGGTCGGCCAGACAACTGGACAAGTATATCCACAGAGTGTCTGTCTTTAATTGAATCTCTTACACATAAACTGTCTGCAGAGGTTTCTTTGCAAACTCATCGTCAACAGCCTGTGTTGGACCCTAAAGTGCTTGGCCCAGCTCTCGTCAACGGACATGCCAATGGACATACAGGTGTGTAGTGTGTGTTGTGGTCTGAGGTGGGAGTGGGGAATAGTACCCAGCAAATTGACAGTGTGCAGATGTGATTCAAGTTAACAAGACCAAAAATTTCAACAGAACCAATTGAAGTATCGGAATGGTTGCATGGCTTCAGCTTAATCCTTTAACTCTCATAAGTGACCTACTAAATACAGAATTTCTCCTCACAAGATCATTTCAATATCAAGCACACATGAGATGAGAATGAAAAAAAATATCAATTAGGGGATTATTAGTTGACCCAGTGCCAAATTCTCCAAACTGACATCATAAGAACTGTATGGCAGACTGTAGGAGAATTTATAACTAGATCAAGGGAGTGAAAGGGATAAGCCTTTTTCACAGAATCACTCAAGTTAATTGCAACTACAGATTCATCCCTGTATCCATGTTTATTTGCAAGATTAAGTTGTTTTAAGTAAAAGAAGGCCTAATGATGATAACTTACCATTCATTTCAACTTTGGTATGAACTTCTTTATAATGGTTATCAAATGAATAATTTTTTTTCTTAGGACAAAGCTCTCCTTTGTTATCCAGTCCATATCAATCACCATTAAGTGTGACAAGGAGGCATCAGTCTCTGTCATCACCAGGAACAGTTTACCTCTGGTCTGACAAAACTGGTGAGGTCTATTAAAAGTATACAGTAGAACCTCAATTATCTAGACTTATGGAGACTGGGCTGAAAAGTCCAGACAATTAAGTGAAAATACTTGTGTGATTATAGATAAGCCAAAAATAACACCGATCAACTTTAAATGGAATACATATTGTTTCTCTATCAATATAATTATGCGTGAATGAGATCAAATTATTGTGCATAAACTGTCAACATCTGCTGAAAAAAGAGTTACACACAAGTTATTAAAGCTCTCCAACAACAAAAAAAAGAAATGGGAACAGAGAATCAAGTCTGGGTAATAAAAAAAAATGGATAATTGAGGTCCATATAATAGAGCTTTGACTGTAACATCACACTATTTGTAGCTAATTTACTCTGGTTTTATGTGCAAAACTACCTTACATCTGGTAAAAAAGAAAAACACCACTGAAACAGTCAACAATCAGTTGCAAGGGAATGGAGTTGGGGAAAAATTGGAAGTGGATTGCAAAAAATGAACCTAATAAATGCAGCCTAAATTTTCAGATCTGCAGGTTATGAGTTAGTCCATAGCTGTACCTTTTTTCTCTCCAACTTAACCCTTTAACTCCTATGAGTGACCAAAACAGAATTTCTCCTTACAATATCAATACAGTATCAACTAGGCAAGTGATGAGAATAAAGAAAAATATCAATTTGGGGATAATTAGTTGACCCGATACTAAATTCTCTGAACTAACATTATAAGAATTACATGGTTGACAATGAGGAGAATTACAAATTTGATCTGGGAGTTAAAGGGTTAAGTGGGTATGAGTCTGAGAATTGCCATATTTGTTGTTCTCTTAGAAAACACACAAAAGATACCCTCTCCCAAAACCAAGAAAGATTTTGGTGTCATCAACCATTTTAAAGGCAGAGTGAATGAAATGGTGAGCTGAATTGAAAAAATCAAAATTCTATAATTTAATTTGATATTCATTGTAGAGTAGTTTGCCATAGATTTTTATCAACATTGAAGTGTTTGGAAGGGGTCTTGTAAACACCCAATGACGGTGGGGTGTTTTGATCATTTAAATTTGGATAACTGTCATTGTACCTTCTGGCACAAAAGGTATGTTTGTTGATCAAGCAATAGCCATGTTATCAGATGCCAATCTTGACTTATGTTAGAGGAGCATGGCTTAAGAAGGCTGGGGTCCAATGGTGTATAACAGACCTGTGTTTGTTGAATGTCAAACTTGCAACACATCCACAATCAAACCACATACTTTGACTTTTGAACTTTATTAGCCATTAATAACCTACTTTTCCTTCTCAATGTGTCACAAGCATTTCCTAATATATATATATATCCTCCACACTTTCTCTCTACATTTCCCATGGTACTGACAAGAATTTGTTTGATAACCAGGAGCTCCTTTAATTGGGGATGATTTCTTTACTTTTCCATCATCATTCAAGGGTAATAATGTAAAAAGAAATTATAAGCCATTCACTCTTAAGGGTTAAAGGATCAAAAGGAAACCATTACAGATGGTTCTCCTCTCTGTTTTCCTTCAGGTCGACAGTTCTGTCTCAAAGATCAACCAGATTCCCCATAGGGTGAGTTTTTTTAAACAGTAAATTCTTGGTTACAATTCATAGGAATTTTTATAATTTTCAACATTCAAGGTGCAAGATGCTGACTCTCCTTTCAATGATTCGCATAAATTTCATAACTACAGTTATAGAAATTTAGAGGTAAAAAAGCGTTACCAAGTTGATATTGATTTGCCAGCTTCCTGATTGCTGATCATGATTGTGTGTCTTTGGTCCATTTAGATTGCTTGTAGATTGAAAGAGATACCTGTTATTGGATTTCTGTTTGATAAGGTAAAAACATCAAGGGTGTTTTTTTGTTGTTGTTGTAATTGGGCTTTTTTTTGGAGGGGGGGTGGGGGAAGATTGGGTGGAATCGAAGAGGTGGAACAGCATCCCCTCCACTTGTTTGTGTTTTTTTTCCTTCAATAAGATCTGCAAAAATATATGTTTTTGTCTGAAGCAATTTGCTTGCATCCTGTTTTTGTAAATTTGGGCCAGTGAAAAATTATCAAAAAAACAATTCAGGATTTAAGCAATGAGTTTCTAGTTCAATTTCTATTTAAAAATCTCACCATTTTGCTAGAAGGTATCCAAGTAATCAAATTTAACTATGGTCTGTTGTTAGATTCCAGAGACACAAACACAAGCTCTTTTTGCAGATTGCCAGCTTCAAATTTGGGCTGTGGAAGGTGAGGAAGTTCTAATCTTTTTTTTTATAAATTTAATATTCCATGTACAATGCTTTCTTGACTAAGTTTGTGTCACTCTCAATTGTTATAATGTTTTATAAGAATCCTTCATGAGATGTTATTAACCCTTTAAGTCCTGTGAGTGATCAAGACAGAATTTCTTCTTACTATATCTATACCAAATCATGCAGACAAGTGATGAGAATAGAGAAAAATATCAATTATGGGATTACTCATTGATCCAATACCAAATTCTCCAAACTAACATATTGGGAATCATTTGGCAGACAGTAAGGAGAATCACTATTGAGATCTTGGGAGTTAAAGGGTTAAAGTATTAAGTGTAATGCTTCAAATTCCCTTTTCACTCTGCACAGTCTCTAAAATTATATATATTTTCCTCTCTGTCCTTCTAGCCCTATCAAGACTAGTTGCTTCATCATATACAGAAGATACATATGGTGTTGTACAAAAGGTAATTAAATCTCCATTTGTCTTTTTTCCTATTCAGTGAATGCCTTTTTGTGGTGGTGTATAATCTACAAACCTGGTTATTTTATTTTGTTGGCTTTGTCATGGAGTCAAACAGTGTACAATAATATTCTTATTTCTCTTTCAGAGTCTTCCAAAAATTTTCGTCTCTCTCTTGAATTTACTTCAGGTGAGTCATTCAGGGACTTCATTACAGTATTCGATTTTAGACACTCGTGGATTTTAGACCCTAGTGTCCCTAGTGACCCCAGTGTCCGATTTTGGATTTTCAACACAAGTGTGGTATTTTGGATTTTGGATTTTTGATTTTGGACACTATGGTTCCATTTTTATTGGATACTATTTTCCGATTTTGAACGCTAGCTTTAAAATTTGGACAGTATTGTCCGATTTAAGTTTTCAATTTTAGAAAGAGGCCCCTTTTGCAGTCTCGTGACCAAAATTTGGACGTTAATGTTCGCTTTATGGCACTTCTGATTATGGAGACAAGTTTGTGATTGTGGACACTGTGTACCGTCTTTGAATACTAGTTTCTGATTAGGGACATACATGCTTGATTTCTGACACCAGTGTCTAACGTTCCTCAAAAACCGTTCTTACCTGCATTACCAAGATAATTTATAGTTTATAATCTCTGGGCATTACTTACTTTTTTTTTTCGTTTTTTTTTTCTGGCGCTTAGGCTTTGGACCAACACTCAAAGCTATCATTGGCTTTAATCTCAAGACCAGAGATTCAGCCCAGACCTCCTCAGCCACAAGGGTATCAGTTAAGAGCAAGTAAGTATGGTGCACATCAGAAGAGACATTAAAATTTATTCCTCACACTGTAATCGTAAGAACTTAAATAATTTATAGAAAGAATACACGGTCCAGTGATTAAAAGTATTTAAAACAGAGTAGCTTTCTCGCGATTAATAGAAGTAATCCAGGGTGTATTAGTTCTGCTAAACCACGTTCTGTGATTGATCTAGAAAACTTGGTAGAACACGTTTTCCCACGTTTCATTTAGATTGCTTGTTCTTACTCCTTGCCATATTTTCTCTTGTTCTGATTGGCTTTTGCGATCACGTTGCTTTTGCTCGTGCGATACTCAATCCAAATGCAGTCTGAACCAATGGAGATTTGTTCCTCGCAATCTGCGAGTACAAATTTAGGTGTTTTTTTTCTTCGGTATGAGCGCCAAACATGGTAGCACAAAAGTGTGGCCAAGTTAAGCGCTCCTAACTCAAAATATCGCCTGAAGTGTTGTAAAATCTTTCCTTTCATCCTGTAACTTCACAAAAAAAAAGGGTTGTTGTTGGAGAAGCCTTGCTGCAACTTTACGCGTCGGAAGGAATTCATTCTTACTTGCTGTGAACTGGCTTCTGTTTATCACTCCTCTATCGTGTAGTTTGTATTTATAAATATATTTTCATTTTAATTTTTGTAGCACTCGTGTCTTCGATCTACAGAATAACCAAAATTTTCCATGAACATTTACGGTAAGTTCGACTTCTCCCTCTTATTGTAAATGATTTTGTTGCAAATTAGAACGGATCGCTATCTATTTCTTCAACTTGTGATGATACGTTTTTAAAATACTTCTCAATGTTTGATGCTCGCATCACAGGAAGCCCAAGCTCACAGACTGACCCGCAATAAAAACGTTGTGCAATTGGCGAATTATAAGGATTTGTTTGAGAATAAATGATCGCACTCTCGACTTAAAAAATCTAAGCTAGTTTTGATTAAAGTCAAACTTACCTTGTCACAGTGGTCGTTCCTTAACCCTTTAACTCCCAGATCAAATTTGTAATTCTCCTTACTGTCAACCATACAATTCTCATAAAGTTAGTTCCGAGAATCTAGTATTTGATCAACAAATTATCCCTAACTTGATCTTTTTCTTTATTCTCATCACTTATCTGGTTGATATTGTATAAATATTGTAGGGAGAAATTCTATCTTGGTCACTCATGGGAGTTTAAAGGATAAACTAGTTTAAATTTTTAAGGTTGACAAAGCGACCGTTTATTCCCATACAAATATTTCGCCCAATGGCACAACGTAAAGGTGTTTGCATATCTACAGAGGCTCATCACTAGCTTGGACTTCCTTTGACTCCTCAAAGGGACTTAGAACTGACAATCCCTGTCAACGTCTTTTATTTCACAGGAACCTACCAATGGCTGTAGAACATGAAAAGAAACTTGAATCGTTTTTGATGTTCAGAGAGTAGGATACAGCCTTAATGTACATTTTTTGGGAAAAATTAGATTCAATCTTAGACTTTGGTGCAATTTTTGGAATCCTTTTTTTGAAAGTTTTTTCTTCCGAAAAGTGTCGTGTTTGGAAAGGTAGCTTTGTCAAAAGTAATAAAAGAAGTATGATAATATGCCTGCGTTTAGTGGTTTAACTTTGAAAACTTGATAAAACCACTTGCAGGACTATTTTGACTATTCCCTTTTGTGTTAGTGCAGCTTGATCATAGATAGAAGAAGAAGAATTCTTATAATGTTGTTAGTAATTCGCGTCACTTTAAATGGGTTTGGACTTTACTACTGCTTTTTGGAATTCTTTCTCTAGATTGTGAATAAATAGTTATTTGTGAGTTATGATTAGAGGGTGTGGCTGGCTTGGTGTTCTTTGTTTTTTATTTAATTATCATTAGCTAGTTATCTTAATTAGATAAACAATTAGACATTCAACAATACCTAATTTATCATTAAGTTCAAAGGCAAAATTGACGTGAGGCAACACGTCTTAACGCGCTGCTTTAAAAATTTGGAGTATGGTTTTTGGTGCGATTTCAAACATGTCCAAAAAGTGTCCTAAGAATTTTTTTTGGACGACTATCGGCGTGGGTGGGGCTCTTATAGCTGCCTTTACGTACAAAGCAGTTCAAGCCCGCGATAAGGCTGCAAAAGATTTCGATGACCGCGGCTTTCCTGCAATGGCGGACTACCCCGATCTCCGCCACCACAACAACTTGATGGCGAAACACCTGACACCGCGCTTGTACAGCAAACTCCGCGATAAAGTGACCTCCAGTGGATTTACATTGGACCAGGCCATTCAAACTGGTGTTGACAACCCCGGCCACCCTTTCATCCTCACTGTTGGAGCCGTTGCAGGAGACGAAGAGTCGTACGAAACTTTCGCGGACCTTTTTGATCCGATTATCGAAGAGCGCCACAATGGCTTCAAGAAAACCGATAAGCACAAAACTGACCTGGACGCTTCTAAGATCCGTGGCGGGAAATTTGACGATCAGTATGTGTTGTCTTCGCGCGTGCGCACGGGACGATCGATTCGTGGGTTCAGCCTACCGCCTCACTGTTCGCGCGCGGAGCGAAGGGAAGTGGAAAACATTGTTTGCGAAGCCTTGGACGGTCTGAAAGGTGAACTGTTTTACTTGTGAAAGAAAAATCTGTTGCGCGTGCGGGAGAAGCACACTAAAATGATTCTCAAAAGCCTAGTTGTAATTTTGTACTTAATACAAAATGGAAAGGGTAGGTTTGGAGAGGAAGAAGTTAAATAAGGATGAAAAATCTCTATGCAAAAAAATATACTTTTTCTATGTTCACGCAAGATCCTTAAATTGAGTTCATTCCAGATCATGATTACGTTTTCCACACGTGGTAATTACTGCCAGTAACGAAATGATTAAGCATTCCATAATTGTTCGTTTTGAAATCGCGTCACAATGAATTATTTTGTGTGTTTTGACTGGTTCACAAACATACTACTTTTGAATAGTAAAGGAAATTAGAAGCACCAGCCCGCCTCAGCGCAAACGTGTCTCATGTTTTCTTAAACTTGAACTACGAAAGCGCACGTTTTTGTCCTTTTACTTTAAGGAGTAACATGACATGATTCGTTGACCTCTTCACGACTTTCAGGTAACCTTTCTGGAAGCTATTATCCTCTGAACGGTATGACCGCAGCCGAACAACAGCAGTTGATTGACGATCACTTCCTGTTTGACAAACCAGTCTCTCCACTCCTCACGTGTGCCGGCATGGCACGTGACTGGCCTGACGCACGTGGAATCTGGCACAACAAGGACAAGAACTTCCTTGTTTGGGTCAACGAGGAGGACCACACGCGTGTCATTTCCATGGAGAAAGGAGGAGACATGCGCTCAGTGTTTGATCGCTTTTGTCGCGGGCTCAATGAAGTGGAAAGACTTATCAAGCGCAGAGGACACGAGTATATGTGGAATCAACACTTGGGTTATATCCTCACGTGTCCATCCAATCTTGGAACCGGTCTTAGGGCTGGAGTGCACGTCAAACTGCCCCACCTTGCCAAGGCAAGAATGTTGCTTGTCATATTAACCAAGTGAAAGCTAAGTTTAAAACCCAGCGCAAATCCTAAAACATCAGTGGGCTAAATAGCAATTGATGTGGAGTGGTTTCCAAAACGTTCCTTGAACTTAACATTCCTTGACCTTGAGAGGTCTTTTTTACAATAAAACATCTGTGCACTTCCTCAGATATCCACTTTGCACCCTCTGCATCCCACCAGCCTACCCCTTACGGTTACTTCTGTGCTCTTTTCGAAATCATGTAGGTTGTCACGGAAAATTCTTCCAGTTGTTAGTCAAATATTCCCCAGATATCCGTGATATCCTAAAGAGGAAGGGTGAAGACTATTCAAAAAGCTGGATAATTATGACATGAATTTACGACACGCTTATTGAGTGATTTTTATTAAACGTGTCTTGTTTTCTAGGATTCAAGATTTGGTGACATTCTGGACAAGTTGAGATTGCAGAAGCGCGGAACCGGTAAGATCAAATGTTTCCTCAAGAAAACGTAATGTTTGTTTTTGGAGGGCGCGTGATATAATCATTTGGTTTTCATTGAGCATGCTTACTTGTGTTTTTTCATTTCAGGTGGGGTTGACACGGCAGCCGTCGGAAGCACTTTTGACATCTCCAACTCAGACCGTCTCGGTTATTCGGAGGTGGAGCTTGTTCAGACCGTGATTGACGGCGTCAATCTTCTCATCAACATAGAGAAGAGACTGGAAAAGAACAAGAGCATCGACGACCTCATTCCCAAATAAGGAGTTCGTGACGGATGCTGGTTGCTGTTGCATTTGCTTTGTTGCATCGCTTGCTTACAGCTTAGGCTTGTCAAGAAACATTGTTAAATGAATTGAACCGGTCACCGCGCGTGTAACGTATTAAAGATGACCGCTGTGCAGTTTATCCGTGGTAGGTGTTACTTACCTGGCGGTGGGCTTACTGCACCTTGACAAGCCGCTTGAAGTTTTGAAGCAAAGATATGCTATTGCGAAAAGTGAAAAAAAAAAAGGGGGCGTGTTGAAATAAAGACATGAAAATGTAAAACCTGTATCAGACTGATTCTTTTTACAAAATGGAGAGGGAAATCACAATGGGAACTGGTGTGTCCAAAATCGAAAATCAGCCTCTAGGGCCCAAAATCCAAATCGACCACTAGGGTCCGAAATCCAAAATAGGCCACTAGTGTCCAAATCCAAAAAATGTCCACTAGTGTCTGAAATCCAAAAAACGGCCACTAGTGTCCAAAATTCAAAATCGACCACTAGTGTCCAAAATCCGAGATCGGCCACTGGTGTCCAAAATCCAAAAAACGGCCACTAGGGTCCAAAATTCAAAATCGGCCACAAGGGTCCAAAATCTAAAAACGGCCACTAGTGTCCAAAATCCAAAAACGGCCACTAGGATCCAAAATCCAAAATCGGCCACTAGGGTCCAAAATTCAAAATCGGCCACTAGTGTCCAAAATCTAAAACGGTCACTGGTGTCCAAAATCCAAAAACGCCACTAGTGTCCAAAATCCAATAACGGTCACTAGAGTATAAAATCCAAAATCGGCTATTAGGGTCTAAAATCCAAAATCGGCCACTAGGGTCTAAAATCCAAAATCGGCTACTAGGGTCCAAAATCCAAAATCGGCCACTAGTGTCCAAATCCAAAAAAATGGCCACTAGTGTCCAAAATCGGCCACTAACGTCCAAATCCAAAAATATGGCCACTAGTGTCCAAAATTCAAAAACGGCCACTGGTGTCCAAAATCCAAAAATGGCCACTAGTGTCCAAAATCCAAAAACGGCCACAATGTCCAAAATCCATAATCGGCCACAAGGGTCCAAAACCCCAAAACGGCCATTAGTGTCCAAAATCCAAAAACGGCCTTTAGGGTCCAAAATCCAAAATCCAAACACGGCCATTAATATCCAAAATTCAAAATCCAAAATTGGCCACTAGTGTCCAAAATCCAAATTCCAAAATCGGCCACTAGTGTTCAATTAGTGTTTGCGATTTTGGGTTCTGCAGAGGTGGGGGAGGGGGTATTACTCTAGTGTCTTACTGACATTTGGGAACATTCCCGTTTGGTTTTTATCATTATCACTTTTCTTTTTAAAGAGGGGGGTCCATTGCGCCCAAGGACCCCCCCCCTCCCGCCCCGTTATCTTACCTTAAAGGATATCCCCACAAGAAATTATCGTCTATTTTTTCTAGTCAGGTTTGTAGGGGGGTGAAAATTTTCGATTTGAGGTAAGGGCAAGGCCCTGATAGACTGCAATCTGGGTTTTGTAAGAGGTTGCTTATCCTTTTATCGGAAAAAGAGACAAAGTTTGGTGGCAGTCACATGGTTTTCAGGAGGAAAATGGGGGGTCAGTCGTTGCTAACAGAGTATAAAGTGGAACTATTTAAATTGACTGACAATGAGGCAGGGTCATTAAAATACTACAGGGCCTTAGGGGGGATCTGGTAAATTTCATTGACATAGCAAAATTCCCCGACCTCCCCTCCCCCGTGATAAATAATGACCCGTCCCTAACGGGCCTTTCTTTGTTCAGTTTTTCTCTCCTTCTTGCTCCCTTTCTATCTAAGAGTAGAACTGGAAAATAGTATTCCAGACATAATTCCTGAATTAGGAGAGCTTTTTGTAAATTATATTTTTTTTTACCAGCCAAGAGCCGACAATGAACATCTGTAACCTGAGAGATAAAGAAGCTTGCGGTGATCACTCTTTGGGTTATCGTTGAGATATAAGGGTAGTCTCGCAGCCAGACATTCTAATAATAGGGTCCGGTCATATTTTATCGCTCAGGGGAGGGGTCCGAAGATGTTGATCGAGTTGCGATGAAATTTGACCGATCACCACACAAGGCCTGGTATAATCTTCTGATCCCCTCATTGGCACTTAACTGGCAGTCTGTTCCCTGAAAACCATGGAATCCCCCCAAACACCTCCCCCCTACCATAATAAATAATGGCAAGTCTCTAATGGAAGTGAGATTTGAAGAAGAGGACCACTTGACCCTACATATCTCCGTTCTTCTTGAAAATATTCTAATTATTTCAAGAGAGATCTAGAAAAAAAACGCAATTTAGAGCTAGTATTTTCTTCTCACTCGAAGTTACCTTCGTCTTTCCTGCTCCAAACTTCCTTAAATATGTACGGAGGTTTTGAAAAAATTCACTTGTAAAAAAGAAGAGACCGATAAGATATTTATTCTTTCAAGTTAGATTTTCTTTACAGTGGAACCATAACCAGAAAATTGCGCTTACTAAACGAAACACAAAAAAGATACAGAAAACGTTTTCTTACAATACAATAACCTTTATTTAATGTGGTCAAATGTTCTCAGCTAATTAGCTACTTTACAGACATGCCACGAAAAGTAAATAAATAAAGTAGAAATAATCATAGAAAGAGAAGTTTTCGTTTAAAAACCTATATAAAAATATATTTATACAATTAAAAAAATATTAAAACTAAGAGTAAATCACGATTAAAATGTAAAATTTGTGAAATCAAACATAGACATCAACTTCTTAAATGTTCCGATTTTATCAGCGGCACGAAACTGATCCGGAAGAGTTTTCCAAATCTTAGCTGCAGTATTACGCCACGATTTAAGACCATAGGTGGTTGTATTTACTTTGGGCAGCTCGAGGATGTGTTTTCCTCTAAGATCATAATTAGTTGATCGCGTTCATGCAATAGCTCTCCTATTCCTGTAGGGACTTTATACTCATGGATAGCTTTGTAGACACTGGTGGCCATTCTAACAATTCTTTGATTAAATAGAGACAGCAGGTTTAGTTGTTTTAGCAACGTCTCGTACGTGGTTGACTTGTCACGGGTCACAAAGCAAAGAGCTCATTCATTTACTTTTTCAAGTTTGCCGGAACTTCTTTTACCACAGTGATGCCACGACTCTAAGCAGTAATTGAAATGCAGTGCAATGAAAGCACGATATATTTCTATCCTCAGTTCAAAAGGCAATATTTTCTTCAGACGATTTCTTATTTAACCCTTTACCATAGGCTCTAAGGGTGACTGACTTCCAATTTCTCGTTACTGTATTACCCTTGAATCAAATGTAAAAGTCATGAGAACAGAGGAAATGATCACCAGTTTAAGAAGCTCCTGATTGTCAAACAAATTCTCCTTGTCAGTAATGTAGGAAATGTAAAGAAATAGGTGTGGAGAATATGGATATTGATGTTAGATGCGCTCCTTTGTTTTATACAATTCTCCACTCTAGACGCTTGATAATACTTAGTTCAGCTTATGTGTTTTTTAAAGAAATCTTCAAGAGGTTTTTTTGAGGTGTTTTATCTTTTTATTCGTATTTGGTCCATCTTTTTTCCCAATCTGTTTGGCTGTGAATTTTAGATGCAAAGAATAACGCTCTCTCCCAAGACTACATTCAATTCATTATTAAATGACAGTAGGTTGAAAGGAAAGCTTGAAAAGGTCTTTGAAAATATGCTACTCCTTACATCGGTAATTGCACTGATTCAGAAGCAGTTTCGCCCTCGTAAAGCAAGTGAGCTTGCCACGAACAACTGCGAGTTTATTTTACATTTGTCATTTTCCGTTTGGTTCGTCATAGAAGTTGTCCTGTCCTGTCTTCATCATGGAATTCACTCCGATTTCGTTGACGACGGTATAAGGTCATTTATTGGTAGGCCAGCTTCCAGTCTCTTCTCCATCACTATTAGGAGACTAACACCGTCAATCACTTTCTGGACAAGTTCCACTTCAGAGAAACCAAGCCTGTCCAGGTTCGAGATGTCGAAAACGCTTCCTTTGGCTGCCGTGTCCACCCCTCCTGTTGAGTGAATAGATTGTAATGGTTTTAAAAGCAAGAAAGCACTGAATGTTCCTACGAATTATCAGGTAGAAATATGATATGCGTCGAATTAAAAGTAGAGGTACACTCTCGACCATCTTACGTGCACTTTCGAACTCATTATTCAAACTTTTTGATTGAATGTCGGAAAACTAAAACCAAACTAATCTTCTCTTCCCAACCTCCAAGTAGAGCAAAGAGATGTACAAACAAGAACCAATGAGAACTCGGTTTTAAGCGAGGGGAAACGGATGTAACTACGTCCCTGATTGGTTAAGAAGATAACGCCAGACTATTGAAGCAACTTTGGTGTGCAGCAAAGCAAAACTATCATATTGGCTAGTTCCAGTTGCAGAGACGAGGCATCACTAATTGATCCGGTACCGAATTCTCCAAACTAATATCATAGAATCGTTTGGCAGATAGTGAGGAGAATTACTAATGAGATCTTGGGAGTTAAAGGGTTAAGAAGCCGCATCGGACACCCGTCGTCCATCTTTCTTGACACTTTTAATTGTTAATTTTTGTGTCAGATGTTTTCCTAAATCTTCTCTTAAAAGGTACTTTTTGACTTTTTTTGTTACAAAGGGAACGAGTAAAGAGTAACCGATTAGGACTAATACTTACCAGTTCCTCGTTTCTGTAGTCGTAAATATTCCAGAATTTCATTAAAGCGTGGGTTCTGCAAATATTCGAAGCAATCTTGTTAAGAGATTTGTCGATTAAGGTATTTAACTTGCGGAAGATACTATACTGAGTCGTCTGTGCAAAAAGCAGTTCGTTTGACTATCTGAAGTACATATAGCGCAAAGAAATATTGGAACGGTTTGAAATAATTTTTATCACCCTTTACACTCTAACATCAGTATGCATATTCTTCATACTGATCTCAAAACATTTCCTAAGGTGCTGACAAGGAGAATTTGTTGAACAGTCAACAGCCCCTTTAGTTGGTGATCATTTCCTTTATTCTCGTGCCCTTAATGTTTGATTCAAGGCGGATATTGTTGGGAGAAATTAGATGTTAGTCACTCTTAGGGATCAACGGGTTAAAGGTAGGCAACAGTTCAAAGGGAAGTGGAGGCTGGACTTTAAGTAAGAAGAGAAAGAGAGAGAAAGAAAGAAAAGGAAGTTCTGATGGGTACGCGATAGTGATGATTCAAGTCTGAAAATCCTCTTTTGTTTAGTGAGTAGTAACAATTTTTTTAAGAATGTGTATGCCAGTGACGCTATCTTTTATAGTTATGCTATTACTACTATTTGATAGAAGGTGGCACCTTTGAAAGAAGTGGTAGTTTAATATGCACTCCAGCCCTGAGTCCTGTTCCAAGATTGGAAGGGCAGGTGAGGATGTATCCCAAGTGTTCATTCCACATAAATTCGTGCTTTTGACGTTGAATAAGTCTTTCCACTTCATGAAGCCCTCGACAAAAACGATCAAACACTGCGCGCATGTCTCCCTCTTTCTCCATAGAAATGATGCGCATGTGGTCCTCCTCGTTGACCCAAATAAGGAAGTTCTTGTCGTGGTTGTGCCAGATTCCACGTGCGTCAGGCCAGTCACGTGCCATACCGGCGCACGTGAGGAGTGGGGAGACTGGTTTGTCAAACAGGAAGTGATCGTCAATCAATTGCTGTTGCTCATCTGGTGTCATCTCGCTCAAGGGGTAGTAACGACCAGATAATTCACCTGGAATTTTACCAATAATATTAAATTCCTGAAGGAAATTTTGTTTGTTAAAGGGGCACTGCAAATTTTGCCAGCATGAACGGAAGCGATCATTTGGTTGCTCCAACGCGCTCTAGATGGTTTTATCTGATGCGCTTCGATTGAAGTGTGTGAAGCAGGAAGAATGGTGCGTGAAGATTTTTACGTCAATCACTTCAATATACGAACTCTAATAGTCATATTTCCGGAGATGTCAAAGCGTAAGACATACCTTGTAATCCAGCCAATGCCCTGGTAATAATTTTTTCAACTTTTCGTCTCTCCGCTCTCGAACAGTGTGGCGGTAAACTAAAAGGCTTGATGGACCTACCAGTGCGCACTCGAGACGACAGTACATAGCGATCGTCTAATTTTCCTCCACGGATTTTAGACGAATCCAAGTCTGTTCGATGGAAATCCGTTTTCTTGAAGCCATTATGACGCTCTTCGATAATCGGGTCAAACAACTCCGCAAACGTTTCGTACGACTCCTCGTCGCCGGCCACAGCTCCCACCGTGAGGATAAATGGATGGCCGGGATTGTCCACACCGGTTTGAATGGCGTTGTCCAATGTAAATCCACTTGCTGTTTTTCTATCTCGCAATTTGGCGTAAAGGCGAGGCGTTAAGTGTTTTGCCAGCAAGTTATTGTACATACGCATGTCTGGGTAATCGGCTATCGCGATTTGGCTCTGCTTGAACGTCTGACCACACCCTGAGGCTGCGTAGCTAGACTTATACAGGCCAATTCCGATGACAAGTGCGCCAGTAGCTGCCAATCCATACAGAGCGGTTTTGTATTCTTGGAAGAAAGATGTAATGCTTGGTAAATAGGGCTGATCCATGCTGTATGAGCACGTTTGAGTAAGTGATCTGATCAATTTAGAATCATTAAGTGACGTCAAGAATTGAAATGGCGAATTTTTAGCGTCACGCTATTCGACGATTGTGTGACTTTCACAACGATTTTAGTCACGCTATTTCACCTAGTTTTAACGTTTAGAGAAATTACCGAAAAAGGCAGTCCTTGTAGTGTAGTTTTACTAATATGAAATGCAATTTAAACTTTGTGCTCCGAAGTAGAGGACTCAGATTTCAAATATATTACAATTATGCCATGAGGTAAGAGAAACACATCTTGAGACGAGGCCATAAACATTTTAAAAACTGTTCTGCTTTATTCTTAACATATGAAAATTATAAACATAAAATTATGTATTAAAGAAGATAAATTCCTATTGCAATAGATATTTCGCGATATTTCTTACAAAGGGAGCTGATTAGAATTAGGCGATATTTCTTTGAGGCTCTAGCAGGGAAAAATCTAGAGAAAGTAATTTTCATTTGCATCGGAGCAGATGCATTTGCGGTTGACATAGTTATTACGCACAGGAACAAGTTAGCTTGTATCGGACCGCAAAATGAAAGCAGAACGCCTGATTAAGCGCATTCGAAGTGTAAATCACTCCCATAATGACCTTATAACGCACCGCATTTTCAATGGATTGCTATCACTTTACAGAAATTGTACAGCACTGTTTTCCCATTAGCGGTATTTGTAAACCACTCAGCAGTATTTATCTCTCTTGGCCTAAGGCTAAACGTTATTTTTGGCTATGAATAAGCCCATCTCTGATTGGTTCGCGCTAAATATTCCTTTGTAGTTTGACCAATCAAAAGTCGAAAAATGCCTTACAGTTTCGACCCCTCTTCACTGAAAAGGAGCTGTGCATCACATCTGTAATTTAAAAATTTACATCCGGCGTGCTAGATTCTTTTCAAGTTTGCTACCTTGAACTTGAATTATCGGACGATTTGCAAGAGTCATCTTTCTTTCAAGAAGTTTACTTAAGTGATTAGTAATCAAGAATTTTACGTCACGAAGTACTTACAAGAATACCTCTCTTTGCACCGTTTGTTTTGTTTTGTTTGGATAATTAGCATTCTCTTCTGCAACGATAGCTGAGATTCTCTTCACAGGGTCGTTAACAACCCGTTAAAATGATCTGAAATCTTGCTAAGTATTTCAAACGGAAATCTCCGTACTTAACCGTACTGCCAAAAGTGGAATTTTAGACAGTTCGGCCATGTTGCAACGGGCTTAATATGAGGCGATGGGGTGGCCTGAAGAGTTGTTTCTCTGTGGAGTGCGAAGGAAATGGTGAAATGGCTGTTTTCGACTTGCGGCACTGCAATCTGACTTCAGTGCCAACAGACATTTTTAAGGCCGAGCCAAACCTGGAAGAACTTTACCTGGATGCCAATCAGATACGAGAATTACCGAGGGTATTTGAGAAGTTTATTTATTCTTCGAATACTTTTTGCTGGGTCGCTTTGGTAATTGTCATTTTCGGTGGTGTTGTTATAAAAACATACTGAATTTTGTCTTTGTTCGCTGTTTGCCACAGGCTTTGTTTGGGCTGCAGAGTTTGCTAATTCTTGGTTTAAGTGACAATGAGTTGACCGTGTTACCATCAGCTGTTTCTAACTTAGCGAACCTTAGAGAAGTTGACATAAGCAAGAACGGTGAGTGCAGGAAAACTACGTTTCTGAAATTTAAGATGTGTTCGATCGCCAACTTAAAAGAGACCGATTTTTATGGTTTATCACTTACACGAGATCTCGACATCAATTTTTTTCTTCAAGGTATCATTGATTTACCAGAGAGTCTTAAAAACTGCAAATGTTTAGAGCAATTTGACGCAAGCGTAAATCCGATTGGAAAGTGAGTAAATTTGTACATAAATTCTCTGTAATGTCTATTCCTTTATCTGTTCATCTATTTGCATGAGGAATTTAAAAACATCTCTTCTAAATGTTATAGAGAGCCGTTCTTTGTTTATTGTAGTATATTAGATGTGTTAGATTATGTTTTAGAGGTGTTAATAGCAGTTGATATTCAACAGAAGTATTTAGTGCCCAAAAAAATACATTTTGGAAATGATCCAATTAAGTTAATACTTAATACTTATATTTAGCCTTGATATTAAATTACTGTTATAAAATGTTTCAATTTGTTGTGTTTGATTTTAAAATAGCTTAATGAAGGTCTTTGAAACTTGAATTTTTTTAAAATGAAAACAAATGTGCCCATTTATTGGTTTAAGAGAATGAAAATATCAGCAGGAAACAATTACATTACTCCAGTATGTTTTAACATTGCATTTAATTTAGTAAGATGCAAAGCGAATGACCCCTTGGACGGCACTTGTTATGAAAAATTTTATTCAAATTTCAGCAGATCTCAAAGGATTGATTAGCAATCTGCTTGAATTTTCAACATTTTTTTTTTTCAAAAAATATCAGTGAAATATAAGTCACGTAGCCTTAAATGATTCCTTTTTCCTGATATATTCTCCGCTACAGGTGGCAGCCAATTTTTTATTTTTTATAGGGGTTTCTATTACTCATCCAGTATTCAAACACTTCTACCTCTGGCTTTGAAATCTGTTACTTGCATGTTTAAATCCTTGAAAACAGCATTTGTCAAGTTTTAAATTGATAATTGCAAGTTTTCTTTTGTTGTGGCTGAGTAATCAAGCTACCCCACTTTAAAGTTGTTGTTTTATCATGGACAATTAGTGAGCTAAAATTTTGACTAGCTGCCAGTGTTTTTCTGCCAGGTACTGGTAGTTCCCAGCAGATCTTAAAATGTGACAATGAAATTTATTTCTCCCATCTTAACGTTTTCTTCTCTTTTGGATATGATACATGCTGTGATAGGTCAGCTTTGTGCCACCTTTCCACTGCCGTGGGTCTTTTTGGCTCTTTACATTTTTGCCGTGTTGCTGTGGGAATTTTATTTGATAAATATTTGATAAATTTATCTCACTTTCTCAGTCTGTTCCTTGAGAGAAACTTGTTGATTTAAATTCTGTTCACTTCTTAGCTTAGGGAAACTACATTGATTTGTTGTTATATTTTAAGTTTCTCTTCATTTTGGTTTTTTCCTTGCAGAATTCCTGATGGATTTACTCAGTTGTTAAATTTGACACATGTGTATTTGAATGATGCTTTCTTGGATCGTTTACCATCAAATTTTGGAAGGTAAAATGGTAATTTGTTATTTAATACACAGTCAGTTATATTATCAAAAAAATCAGCATTGCTGTGAAGTTTCGAGTGTGACTGGAAACTTTACTAAAGGAGAGGGGGACTCTGTTGTTAAGTCAATGTATGGGCTTGTGTGGTGTCAAAGTTATGGTTTTTCATCTCTTTGGATGTGAGGATCCATAAATATTTTAACAATTTGTGTTTGAAGCTTGGTAAAATATGGAATCATCTCACCAATTGCGAATAAATTTTTATAAAGTTCAAGGTCATTAATTATTCTGGTCTCAACAGTTCAACCCTTTAACTCTCAGATCAAATTTTTAATTCTCCTTACTGTCAACCATACAATTTTTATAATGTTAGTTCAGAGAATTTAGTATTGGATCAACTAATTCAGTAGCCCCAAATTGATATTGTTCTTTATTCTCATCACTTATCTGGTTGATACTGTATTGATATTGTAAGGAGAAATTCTTTCTTGGTCACTTATGGGAGTTAAAGGGTTGACTCCCCCTAGTGGCATCAAGGCATAATGTCCTCTTACAATATCAATAAATAAAGAGAAAACAAGTTTTGAGAATTAATATAAATATAAATTGGAGGATAATATATTATTGATTTAATATCAAATTATCCAAACTAACATCATGAGAATTATATGACAGACGATAAGTAGAATTAAAAAATGAAATATTGGTGCTGAAAGGATTAAAGGATGCCAAAAATCTCTTAATATTTCAAGGGTTTTTAAAAACATACTCTGTTATCTAATATCAGAATTTTGAAAATATTGCAATTTTCTCTAGTCTTGATTTTGTATCCCTTCCAGGCAAGTTGTTTATTAATTTTTTTTCACTTACTTATTTTTATCTGTAGATTATCAAAGCTGAAGATTCTAGAACTGAGAGAAAACCACTTGCGATCATTACCCGAGTAAGTGCTGTTGAGTCCTCCTCTTCCCGGAGTGTCCAAGATGTAATTTCTCTTTACAATGCAAATCAAACAAGTTAAATTTCTTTTTCCTCATTTTAGGTCAATGTCATATTTTACACAACTAGAAAGACTTGATATTGGAAGCAATGAATTTATTGAATTGGTATGTGAAATAATTTTGAAAGTTATTGACTTGAAGATTCTTGAAGAGTGTTTATTTTAGTTTTTTCTGTTTTAGCTTTGGACTGATTCACGATGAATTTTTTTTTTAACAGCCAGCTGTTGTTGGTTGTTTGGTAAACCTGAAAGAACTTTGGATGGACAATAATGGAGTCAGAGAACTTCCACCAGTAAGTAGTGAACCTTAGAAATAGGGCTGGTCATGGGGTAAAATGCTCTCTTATTGAGCAAGGTTGGTAGGAACAGGATAATATTTGGTTTTTCATTGTGATCTATAGAGCTCCCTCTGCTCAATCTATGTGCCATGGCCAACACAATGCTTTTCCGGCAAAGCCTGCCCTCTTGGTCGACAAACACACAAGGCTAAGTACTTGAGACCCAAGTAAAGCAAGGAAAATTATAATAGAAAATTTAATCCCCAAAATTCTCATTGCCTGTACTTAAAAATATTATTTGCTTTTCACAAGTCTTTGTGGAAATTATTACATTTACTATTTTATTCACTTTTTTTCAGGAAATAGGATTGCTTCGTCAACTTTTGTTTCTTGATGTTTCCAAAAATAGACTGGAGCGTCTTCCACCAGAAATAGAATGTTTACAGTCACTGACTGATCTTTACTTATCCAACAATGTGTTGCTTGAATTGCTTGATAATATTGGTAGGTTTCCCTAAAACTTCTGAACTCTTGATATACTTATTACAATTTTGCTTTCATCTTTTCTCTGTTGCAGTCAGTAATACTAAATCATACAAACATGCAAACAAAAAAATATTCAAAAGAAACAAACAGTACGCATATAAATCAAAACGATGGAATTTTAGTTTTGTAGCATATCACTAACCTTGTGCTGCTTACAAGGTAGCAGGTTCTTTAAAAGAAAATGGAACAAATATGATCAAATTTTAATGTATTTTTATTCTAAATATTGCTCTCTTGATTTATTATTGAGGAAGTCTTGCATCCTTAAATGTGTTTGTTTGTTTTATTTTTTTACATTAGTAGCCATTTAGCTTCACCAGAAAAAAAATTGTCAACAAAAATTTGTTGCCCACTGCATGCTGCCAACAAACATAAGAGACAAAATAATGACAGAAGTTCTCAATGTTTGTCATGGTAAATTAGCACTAACTAAGGGTAGCCAATGGTTTCTTTAGCACCCAGTTGTTTAAGGCTGATTGTTATAAAATAATTATTTCCATCACTCTTTTGTATCATGTAGGTTCCCTTGGGAATCTACAGACACTTAAAGTTGACGAGAATCACCTTGCTGAACTTCCAGCAAGTATTGGAAGGTAATGAAACTCACTTTATTATCTTGATACTAGTTGTTCAAAATTTCAAATTTTTGTTCAGCCAGCTATGGGTTTCTTTATCAGGGTTTTATAATTACTGTTCAGAATTGTAAATAAAATTGAATTGAATTGAATTTGTTCATTTGTAGACTCTCTTATCTGGAAGAGCTAGTCATAAATCATAACGAGTTAGAGGTGAGGCTAGCAGTTCTTTGGGGATTGTTGTAACTCTAGACATTTTATTTTTTTATGTTAGTTCCAAGAAATGTTAAGTCGTAGGATTTGAAAATAATTTGTTGCAGAGTTTGCCAGCTTCCATTGGACTCTTGAGAAAACTACGCATCTTGTATGCCGATGAAAACTTCCTAGAGGCAATTCCTTTAGAGGTATTTATCTCAAATTTTGTACTTACCTTGCAATACATCATTTCTAATTGCCAACTAGTTTCTAAAGTTTGAAGCCTTGGAAAAATTTTTCATTTAGTACAGCAATGATAAATTCTTTCTCATACTCGAGATCTCAGAGCTCATTTCCTTAAACATTTCTCTCGCTCGAGAAAGGGCTAAACTGATGAATGTCAGTAACTACATAATTGTTTTATTTTGTGTATTAGTTAGGTAGCTGCATATCAATGACGATATTATCACTACGTGACAACAGGCTTGTGCGGATCCCAGATGACATTGGTCGCATGCCAAACCTACAAGTTATAAACCTTGCCTGCAACAGGTGAAGAACATTGTTTTAGCACTTGGTATTCATGTCCTGAGCCCAGTTATTCAAATGGCAGATAATACTATCCAGCAGATAAATATTAAAAAAATATTATGCGCTATCCACTGGATAAAGATTTATCCAGTGGATAGCATTATTAACCCTTCAAATAACCAGGGCCTGTTCTTTAATGTAATGTCACTACTGAGAAAATCACTTTTCTTGTAATCAACAGATTAGAGTGTTTGCCTTATACATTCAGGAAGCTGACTACTTTAAAAGCTCTGTGGCTCTCAGAAAATCAAGTAAGCCCAAGTTTTTACACCTGTATGTATCTAGAGAGATAGCTGTAGGCACTTAGGCACTCAAACTGTCAAAATCTAGGCACATACTCCAAACAATTTTCAATTATTTCACTTGCTTTTCAATTAAACTTACCTGAGAAAAACTTGTACTTTTGCATGTTCTGAAGAGCTTTGTTGGCAATTAGGTACTGAACCAACCTGAAATTTTGACTGCAGCCTCTTACAGGACACTGCTGTAATAATGCAGAGTTAAAGAAGTCTCAGTTTCTTAAGTGTCATGACTCTCAGAAAATCAGGTGGCACTGTGCAAAGATTTTAAAGGTTATTATTATTGTTATTAATGATAAAAAAAACACACCTTTCATTTCAGTCCAAGCCAATGGTTCCTCTTCAATCAGATTTTGATCATGGTACTCAGTCACATATACTGACTTGTTATATGTTTCCACAACAACCTCCAGCTGATGAAGGTATATATACCAGCTGGTTTACATCATACTAAACTTTATGTTTATATCTCCACTGACATTACTATTGATTTACTGCTGACAGTAATCTACAGTTGTTTAGTAAAATTAGCCAGCAGTTAGTTACCATTTAGGGTTTATATGGCTTCCCTGGGCATCAACCCTTTAACTCCTGTGGGTGACCAAGACAGAATTTCTCCTGACTATATCTATACAATATCACACAGACAAGTGATGAGAATAGAGAAGAATATCAATTATGGGATTACTAATTGATTCAATACCAAATTCTCCAAACTAGTATAATGAGAATCATTTGGCAGACAGTAAGGAGAATTACTAGTGAGATCTTGGGAGTTAAAGGGTTAACTCAAGATATGAACTGTAAAACTTCATACTCTATGACTTGTACTTTTCAGTAACATCTGCTCACTTTAAAATTTGAAGAAAACTCTAGCTATCATCAAATTGAAAAAACATACCTGTATTGTGAAGACACCAGCCTAAGTGTGTCTGTTCTTTTAATCTTGTCTCCTTTCCTCGCTCAAAGCATTTTAAATTTTTATTTTTTTATTTTTTTGGGGGGGTCAGTATCAGAGGAATACAGTGAAGATTCAGCAGGAAGTATTCCAGCTTCTTTGCTAGAAGAACAAATTAGACAAAGATCTTCCATTGTTTTCAACATTGATGAAGATGATTACCTGGTAAGTAATTTCTTATTCCTTTTTATCCCTTTTACACCTCACATCAGTATTCATTTTCTCAATACTGCTCCATACTTTTCTCTGTATGTTTCCTTTAGTACTGACAAGGAGAACTTGTTTAACAATCAAAGTTTCATAGGTTGGCAATCATTTCCTTAATTCTCATGATCTTAATGAATGGTTCTTAATGAATGGTTCAGTATAATTAATTACTGTGAGAAGAAATTACATGCAGGTCACTCTTAGGCTTTTACCCTTTACACTCGAACATCAGTATGCACATTCTCTATACTGTTCCATGTGCATTTCCTAAGGCTCTGTCAAGGAGAATTTGTTTCACAATCTAGAGCTTCTTTAGTTGCTGATCATGTCCTTTATTCTCATGACCTTTGTGTGCAAATTCAGAGGTGCATGATATTGTAAGGAGAAATTAGATGCTAGTCACTTTTAAGGGTCATAGGGTTGAAGTGTTGAGTGCTTGATACCATACCACTTAATTGTAAAATGAGCATCTTCTTGGTTTATTGATTTATTTTTCATTGCAGACAAGATTAACAAGGTACCAGTCACCATATCCCAAGGATGTGAAAGATCGTGCCACACAGTACTTAGCGAGCAGACGGCAACAACAACAGGAGATAGAGGTAACTCAACCTGTGTTCCCCCCTCAGCACCAGTGTCACCAACAGGAACGACACCAGTATAGGCACCAGTATCAGCACAGAATTCAGCACATGGTGAGCATTTCACTCACTCAGCACAAGTTGAGAATGATAATTTCCCATATTTACTCTTTTACTTCCAAGATCTACCGTAGTTTCTTGGTTATATGGTGCACTCAGTTATAACACACACCCCAAACTTAGCAACTTAGTCAAGCCAAGTAATTCCAATGCACCTGTGGAAATTTAATCACTGGGTGAATACTAATACACTAATATTGCAACAAGTAATCTGATTCCACTGGTGTTGAGATATTTAATTTGTCTAATAATTGTATTAACCCTTGAACTCTTATGAGTGACCAAGACAGAATTTCTCCTTATGATATCAATACAATAACAAGCAAACAAGTGATGAGAATAAAGAAAAATATCAATGAGGGCATGATTAGTTGATCCACTACCAAATTCTCGAAACAAACATAGTGAGAATGATATGACAGACAGTAAGGAGAATAAATAATGATATCTTGAGAGTGAAAGGGTTAAGGAAGTCATCATTGTTGTAAAGAGAGGCATAGATCAGGGATGATGATGAATTTTTGTACTCATTGTTGAAAATCATTGAAAGTACCGTTAACTGACTTTAGTCAACTGACTTTAAGGTTTTTGTCTCTTTGCTTATCTTTTTTTTTTTTTTTTTTAAGAAAAAGCCGATTGACTAGTTACTAAAGCAACTGTAAAAATTAAAATTTTTTCAGCTCTTGATCATTTCTTGAAAACGGATTGTGAAGCACAGGCAAAGGAGTTATACTCTTTTGCCTGTGAGAAGAGTTTCCCTGTAGGTGCAGATGCTGAAAATAAGGCTTGAAAACACTAAAGATGTTTTTTGAGACGTTTGAAACTATTTGCGTATTGTTCCCTCTAGTAATTTTAAAGATTAGACACAAAACAGTGATTTGGCCCTTGGCAGAATGCAGAATGTGTGTAGTTTTAAGACAATTTTACACTAATGACCTCTGGGACAAAACATCACGTTTGAATCACGTCATAAAACACTGTTTCTTACAAAAAATAAATCTGAAACTCCTGTTAGGCAGTTGGGAAAAAATCTGGAAATTCGCAGCTTTTGAAATTTATGGATGCAAAGGTTATTTTATGGTTTGAGTTTAACTATTCTCAAGGACGAAAGCTATTTCTTCAAAAGACGCCAATGATAAGTACGACTTTGACATCGATAGACAGTTCATTCTGATGACGTATATCGGCTGTGATTTGCTGAATTTCTTGCCTACTGAGGGTAACGTCATCAAGGGACAGCCTCGTTTCCAGAATCCTCCATTGTAAAAATGTGGATACATTCGTCTGTTGTACATTCTGTTATAGGCTCCACAGTCAAACAGCACACACGGTCAGCAGCAGCAGCCACCCGTGCCAGTTGTGGTGCAGTCAGTGGACCGCGGTGAGCTACCACAGCTGACAAGACCCCAAGAGGTGCGTACAGTTGAGGTGCCCTGGTACGAGGATCAGGTTGGTTCCTATGTGCTCTCTCAGTTAAGGAGAAACAGTGCATCACCAACAAAATTGTCCAAAGTCAAAGGGTTAATCTCATATAATTTTATCCATCTCTATTTATGTGTAGGCCAGGTTTCTTTCTTTCTTTTTTTTTTTTATTTTCAAACAAGTTCACCCCCTAATGAACCATGCTTAAAATGTTGCCTTTAGTTCCTCAGAATAAGCAATTGTTAGGTTACCCGAATACAACCTCTTTCATTCACGTCTTTTTAATGCCAGGTGGCTTTGGATCACACCGTTGATTTTCCTATTAAATTACTTTGTATTGTAGTAGAATAATACTCGGATAGTTTAGTTTACATTATTCTAATGAAATCAAAGAATCGTAAGTCTTGCACACCTGGATTGCCATCAATATGATTATCGCTGTCATTCTTCTCATCATTGCCGTGTTATTTATTTGTTTTCTAGCCTCCAGTCCCCACTCAAACTTCAGAGCAGAGACAAGGTCAACCAGCCGCGGTTGTCCACCCACTGAGCAGCAGTCAAAGGTTGATATCAAATGGTATCACTCAGCGGAGTAATACAGGGAACGGCCAGGGCGACCAAAGCAGGGAACCACAGCTTGTTAAAGTAAATCAGGCCATAGTGAGAAGCATACCTGGAGAACGGCTTATTGGGGTAACTCAAACTTTCAGTTGGAATCACTGTTGCCCGTTTCCAGGAGAAACATGACTTTTCCCATTTCCCAAACGCGTATCTTCATGAAGTATTATATCTTATTGTTTTTTTTAGGGGCAATCATCGGGACAAGAGGTCGCAGCTGCCCGCATTCCGCCCGTATATCAGCCTCCCCCACCCTACACCCCACGAGAAAACAGAACCACTCATCCGCATTCTCGGACAGGGGGGTCTGAAGGATCAGTGGAATCACAGCACTCATTCCGTGAAGAAATGCCCAGTGCGTCATCTTATCAGGGACGTCCGGGGGCTCGGCTGTGGAGTACCTCATCTGGTGGGGGCCGAGAGTCAGGGGGCTCCCAAACAGGTGAAATGCATTCTTTCAACGAGGAGGAGCCCAGCTTCGTACAAAGTCCCCTTAGGCCTCCTTCGTATTACGAGGCTACTAATCAAACTGATAGAGCACCTTTTGAAAGTACTGTTCGACACGTGTTATCTTCATCGCGGTCTGTGCCTAATTCGGTTGTAATAAATGGTTTAAACGGCAGCAATAGATCACCACCTCCTCAGTACACTGTACAACCGGAAGCCTTCGCTCAACTCCCTGTCAGACATATTTTACCGGAACCGGCAGTTCCTTTAAATGCTAGTAGGCAACCAGTCGCTCCCGGCAGACCGGAAGTGAATGGTTCACACACATTCAACATTTCGCAGGAAGACGCAGCGAGATTCGAGAACAGAGTTCGACAGCTTCAACGTGAAAGAGCCATGGAGCGTGGCGAAGTAATGGTCGATGGAACTCAGACGAATGTCGCAGACAATCGGAGGCCTCACAACGACGCGTCTTCAATACGCGTTCTTAACCGGAGCAACTCATCAGAGTCTCGTAATTCCGTCCACTCTGTTTCTTCTGCACAAGAGGAGGAAGATAGTGAACCTGTGGATAATGACCCAACCATTGAACTGGTGAGAACGATTTATATGTCGCTATAGTGAGTTGAGTGAAGCACAAGCAATAACTGAGAGTTGAGGAATGTTTTTTTTTTCTTGGGGGGGGGGGAACGGGAGGATCTACTATGTCCGTTGGTCGGAGGAGAGATGCAAGCTTATTAGGAGACATTTGCTCTACTCCTGGAACTCTCTCTCTCTCTCTGCCCCCTCCCCTCCCCTCTCCCCATCCCTCTCTGGAGCGCTAGAGACACACATACGTTTTCCTTGCACAAAAATCACTCAACCTTGTAATGACCGAATATCCTAGAACTCGGAATGCTTTTTTGCATGAAACAAAAATCTCAAAAAATGGAATTGCAATAAAATGAGAAAAGTATTTATAATTAACACGTGAATTTAAAAGAAGCAGTAGTAATCATTGTTGGAACCGAGAGGATGGGGGAATCATGAGGCCTTCGAGCAAGCCCCTTTAAATTATTACCCTTGTTATCAATTTTATTATTGTTAATATTATTATTTGTTACCATTTAATTATTTGTTGAATGTCAATTAGACAATATATTCTTAAGAAATCTTCCCCTTTTGGAACAAGGTAATATGTGGGATGCGGCAGGTTTTCTGTTTAGCGGGTGAGAAATATTGTGCGGCACTAGCGTCAATATACTACTTTTAGTCCTTTTCAATTGTATAAAAATTAAGCTATGCTAGTAACCATATGCAGTCTTCGACTGTCTATTTTGTTGTTGTTGTTGTTGAAACTTAACTGGAACTGTTTTTTGGTTACACAGATTCAGGTGGAAGTTTACAAGAATCCTAATCTTGGATTTAGCATCGCAGGTGGTGTCGGTACCACTTCAAATCCCTTTCACCCGAATGACCACAAGGTTTGTAGAAATTTGGCTGCCATCGTTTTGGTCAGCGGAGACAAGCAAAAAAGCGGGCGGGCAAAGGATAAAGGGAGTGTGCCGCCACGCCTCTTCTTCTGCTGTTTCGCTCGTCTCCACTGACTCAAAAGAGCCTGGAACGTGAACTTGCTTTTAATGTCGCAGAGATCATTTTGGTAGAATTAATTAGACAAGAGAGTATATGGAAAGAAGGATAGCGAGGGAGAAGGGTAGAATATTTTTCCATTCAAACATACGGCTTACACTTTCTATCTTTTTCGTTAGTTTTGTCTTGTATTTTTTCCTAGTAACCAACCATTACCCCACTTTTCGAATGCAAAAGTAGATTTCACATTTGTTCAAGATTCAGATCTTACCATAACTGCCAAGAGATCCTATTGAGTTGTGTTGAACTATTTTTGGAAGATTTTATTGTGCAGTACTCTGAATGATTCGTGTTTGTATCAGTTTGATACTAAAAGACAATGCAGTCTCGGTTCCTCAAGATATAAATTGGCTATCCCTACATTTTAATATTGTTAGTGTGCTAGTTCTCCTTTTTATTCCTCTGCAAACTAAGGTTTTCACTCATAAGTATCGGGAAAAATGGAAACGTTGAGCAGCTGGTTTAGAATAGAGCGGAGACCTCTGGAGGGCATTTGTATGTTAACCTTAAATTCTTTCACGACACAGAGTATATATGTGACTAAAGTACAGCCAGATGGGCCGGCAGCATTTGGACTTGTACCCGGAGACAGAATTTTAGAGGTGACCAAAGCACTTGTGTTTGATGCCTTTTTTTTTTCGGTGGAGGTGAAGCGGGACTAGTCACATTTTGTGTTGCAAATCCTTTGATACCTTCTCCACACGTACATACGTGTTTTACACTTTCTTTCCATGTCATAGCAGGACCTTTCATTAATTACGCGTAAGCTTTTTCTTTGTCATCATTCAACCTTCGAGAAAGGACCGTGGATGAGGCTGGTCACATGCTTATGCAGACCAAAGAACGCTGTATGGAGGGTGGATCCTCGACTTAATTTTGTCATCGGTCATCGGTGCATCTCACTCTATCCACTTAGTATGGACAAAAATTTTACAAAGTTGCCCCTCCCTCATTTTTTTTCTTGAAATCTCCCAAACTCTGGGAGACAAGTGACCAAGTGACCAGTAAACTAGGGTTCTTCTCGAAGGAGGAAGAGAGAGAACCCTGGGAACGAGGTTGCGTCATCATTAATCATGGAGGATTATTAAACTATTTTGGTTTCCTTTCTTGTTTTCATTTTATTTTTATTTTCACTTCAGATCCTTTTCTAAAGAATCTTTTACCATAGTTGTTCATTTTTCAGGTGAATGGAATCAACCTAAGACGTGTGACTCACGAGAAAGCTGTGATGTTCCTGAAACACAACCAATGTGTGAATCTACTTATCGCGCGCAAAAAGGACCAATCTCGAGCTCCTTGAGAGCAGATAAGCAAAAAATAGTCGAACTCAGCGACATGGAACCGGCAGGATTGTGACGTCTTACAAACGAGTCGGAGAACAAGAACACAATGGCAAATACCACAGCACAGTGCTATCGTGACCTTGACGAGATAGCAAGAAATTGATGGTCACGCTAAGAGAGCTCAGTCACGCGACACATCAAAGCCATACAAGAAACTTACTAACCATGAGATTTCGAATAGGAACAATTTGTTGCTGATAATTTCTTCGAGTTACGTACATTTTGAACTGCAAAAAAACTACCTGGGTTTTTTCGACTTCGCAGCGAAGACTGGACTTACTGTAAAAAAAAAAGAAAAAGAAATAGCTCTCTAAATCAGGACAGTTAGTCCTAACGCCTTCTTGTGCCTTCAAAAATGGCAGATATTTATTTTCCAGGGAGCTTGTTTTATGGGGTGTCCCAAATAAAGTTTATGGAAATAATCCTTTTCTCATGGGTTGTATTCCATATTTTTTCTTATGAGTTCCAATTTTCAGTATTGATAGTCAACTGACCTTGCCAAGACAACGATTCTATTGGGTGCATTCCTAGCTGGTGTTTAAATTCTTAAATATCTTTGATCTGTTTAAAAACAGCTACAGATGATTTTACAAGTTTGAAAAACTGGAAGAGATAATTAGTCGCGTAGTTCTTCCCACCCAGCCCCCTTTCGCTGCCAAGTTCTCGTCCTCTCAAGTTCTCTTCCTCCCACACCGGTTCTCTACCCCTTCTTTTCTCCCCTCCCCCAAGTACTCTCCTTCCCCATCCCGCCCTCCCGCTTGGGAAGAAAAATAAAACCACCCCTTCCATCCCCAAGTGGTGAAGTGTTTAATATTTGTCGTTACAATATCAAGGCCAATATCCAATCAAGTTAATTAGTAGCCCAAACATCAAAATTGACCAATCAAAATCCTTATTCTGTTACGTAAACCGTAGCGGAAGTATTCCTCACGACGCTTTAGCACTCAGATTCTTTGTGGTCGACGAAGACTAGTATGATGGTATTTGCAAGCAAAACAGAGTTAAAATGACGGAAAACTTCACCCAAGCAACCTTATGTGAATGATCAGGGTATGTTTATGAGTTACATTTAGTTAATTTGAGGTGAAAGGTTGAAAAATGAGGTAAAAATTTGTGAGACGTTCTTGTTCCGTCTATGTAAATTGATCAGGCGGCGTCGCAGAACGGGTTTCAACAGCACGGGTTTCATCGAAGGTTCTACTACGGTAAATTAATGCAAGAAATTTAAGAAGAAACCAGTAAATACATTAGGACGTGATATTTATACAATATTTCTCAATACTGCGTTTTAGTTTCGAGTATCTCAATATTATTGTTTTGATCTGAACATATGAGCAACTGATATACAACGATCAATACAGCAGTCATGATCATCGCAGGTCATGCGGCGAAATAAGTATCTCGTCGTCATATACAGTAATCAAGTCAAAGTTCCAGCGGAAAATCAAGATCGCACTTTAATTCTTCTTTCGGTTTTCAAGTTTACAGCCCCAAGGCGAACACTTGTACGGTCGATGTCTCACTAAGCAAACAGACCTTCGAATATATGTTAATTGCTGTTTCCCAGGCATCGCCTTAGTTCAGCATTTTCAAATTTTTTCATTTCCACCCGGAAGCAAAATGATTTTATGGCTTTAAAACTTCGTGTCGTCCTCATACTGAAACGAGACAATTCCTACCTTGTAACTATTCTGTACGAAATTGGCGAAAAGGTCTTCTCTCTTTGCAAACTGTTGTGGGTCACGAACGCTGATAAGATTTACCTCAGTTATTTGAACTATTTTGAGACTGAAACACATATAAACCCCTCCTGATCATATGTACAATGCTGAAAATGTGAATTGACACGTGTGCGGCCTTCAAATCCTCCTTCAATTTGTTTCCCAATGGAAACGCGGTTTGCTTTTTTGATGAATATTATGGAGTGATCTGCTGAATGACTGGTGAAGCAAAGTGAAAATCTTATTTTTTAAAACTAATGCTAAACAACACAACAGACTGAGGCTTGTTTTGGGACCAGGCATGGTAAACATTTGTCATTTCTTATTTAAATATTCCATCCCATGCAAGAAGGTTTTAAATTCATCCTCTTGGTCATGGACAACAGTCAAATGCCCATGGATTTGTGCATTACTCCAGAAGTTAGAGAACAACTTGCTTTCTCTCTAATAAAACGTGCACAGATTCCAAAGCAGCAATATGCTAAAATGATTTAAAATTAAAAAAAATGTGCAAGTAGGGTGCAGAACCATTGGTTTTGTCTAATTCTTGGGTCTTGTGTGCCAATAAGTTGCTTAATCTAGAGAAGAACTTACATGTAACCAGCCTGTACCCAGAGTGGATCTCTCCATCTCAATTTCTAGATTCTTATCAATGGATTGGTATTCAATCAAGAAAAAAAAAACAAAAACACATTTCTAATTCTAGCCATTTCCTTGAAAAGGATTGTTGACAGTGTCCAATCTATCAGTTAGATTGGGGTTCAGTCACAACTGCATGTATTACAATCTTTCTTGGGGAAACTGGGAATGAAGATTTTGTACCAACAGGCTTAAATTCTATAAGATACAATTTATTAGTAAAAATTTTAAATTTTTCTCATCCAAAACTATTGTTGTCTTTTAAACTTACTCTCATTCCCTGAAGATTGCTCTGTACTCAGAGTTGTTCTGTCGGACAAAACAACTCATTAGCTTCTTTTTACAGATCAAAGTGTAATACTCTACTAGTTTTCCATATTTTCTTTCACAGCTGGTTTACAGCAAAAGTGCTTATCTTAAATGTTCTACCTGTCTTGAGCCCTATACCCCCAGATCTAATTAGTTATTCTCCTTACTGTCTGCCATACAATTTGTAAACTATCAGTTCAAAGAATTTGGTATTGATTCAACTAATAATCCCCTAGGTGATATTTTTCTTTATTTTCATCAATTGTCTTCTTGATATTGTATTGATATTGTAAGGAGAAGTTCTGTAATGGTCACTCATGGGAGTTAAAGGGTTTACCAGAGCATAAGATTTTGCAACTTTTCAATTTTTTGAAATTAAATAATTAACACTATGGCTATTTGTTTTTTGGCATGGTCTGCTGTGTATAAATGATGAAATTATCATAATTTAATATATGTCTTTTTCTTTGTGATTGATATTCCAGAATTAGTACAATCATAATGGCAGTTCCACTAAACGAAATTCTACAGAAGAAGGGCTCACTTCACAGAACTCCACCACCAAGAGCTCCAAGCAACAAGCCACCCCCAGCCACAAGAAACAACCCAATTCCAAACAACAATACTGAAGTTAACATTGCCCAGCTCATCCCTGGTGTGAAACTTAGAAAGACTGGCATGCGGGACAGCTTGATTGCAGAGGATATTGATAACAAACACACTGCTGATACTGATGAGCCAAAGAATGAGCTTCAAAGTATTATAGCTAAAAGAAGAGCAATGTTTGATCACAAAGAGGAAGCAGAGGTGGTGAAACCAAAAAAGGCACCTAAGCCTAGACCAAAGCCATCTGTAGACAATCATAAACCAGGCAAGGAAAATCTACAGACCAAACAACGATCAGGCTCAACTTGTAGTGACAGCAGTGGTGAAAACAAAGATATAATTTTAACTAACAAAAACAGAAATGTTGTTTGTAGGGATTCCAGAGGAGACCCAAAACTATGCAATCTGCCTACAATGGAAAGTCTTGGGAAAGCTCCCGCTAAGCCTTCAAAACCAGATAGTTTAGTAAAGTTGTTGGAGAAGTATGAGAGCAAGAGTGTCATTATGGCACCACGACGAAGCATACTGCAGAGCAGCAGCAACACCAGTATGGGTATGACTATAACAGCTTATCTAGACAATACATGCACAAAGCCTGCAGCAAAATCATTTAACCCTTTCACTACCAAGACCTCATTTAGTCAGGAATTCTACTTACTTTCTGCTACACAGTTCCTATGAATTTAGTTCTTGGTGTTTAGTATTGGATCAACCAATAATCCCTTACTTGACATTTTTCTTTATTCTCAACTCTTGTCTGCTTGATATTGTATTGATATTGTAAGGAGAAATTCTGTCTTGGTTAATAGTTAATGGATTAATATCAATATTTTTCTTTTTCTTTTATTATTGGTATCACATTAAGCTTATAAAGTAATTAAAAAAGCATTTGAGAAATTTTGATTAAATGATGTAATAGTTGCAGGAATGTTTACACAATTGTGTCATCAATTTTGACAAAACTGATTCCGCACAAATTTGTTTTTTAGGTGATGCTATCGTTGAAGATAATGATGACGGAGAAATGTACGATGATGTTGATGAAATTAAAAATCAGATTCTGGGAGGACAAGAAGATGAACAAGGCAAACAGGAAGCAAATGGTAATAACAATGTTGTTGATTATATAGCAATAAATATTAAAAATTTAAATCAAAAATGCTAAACTCTTCACACCCAGAGATCAGTATGCGTATTCTGCTGACAAGGAGAATTTGTTGAACAATCAAGAGCTTCTTAAGTTGGTGATTATTTCCTTCATTCTCATGACCTTAATGTGTAATTCAGGGCTGATGTTGTAAGGAGAAATAAGATGTTAGTCACTTTTAGGGGTTAAAGGGTTAAGGAATGAAAACTACATTTATTTTGTGTGCTCAGTAAATGGCTTTCCTGTTCTTTACCATAGGAATTTTTGAAGAAAACTATGATGATGTTGGTGGAATGGAGGAGAATACAGGAAGTAACACTCAAGGGCAGAATCCTGAGCCAATTTGTGATGAAAACTATGATGATTTAGATACTGTGAAGGAACAGGCTCTTCAAATACAAAATGGTAAAGTGATTTTTTAAAGATAATACAACTCATACAAATTTTAATGGAAACTTTTATCCCATGTTCTTTTGTATAGTTAAGCACCTATGACTGTGGGTCAGGCTTTATTTCAGAACTCAAATAGTGCAATCAGTGAATGACAGTACAAACACCTGTGCATTTGTGCATTGTGCATTGTGCATTTTGCAATTCTTCTAAAATATTAGTTGGTTTCATGGAAAGTAAAAAATCAAGTTTGTTGATTGATTTATTTGCTAAATATTTTTTTTATTATTTACAAGTCCCATATAGAGAAAGGTCCTACTAAGCTTAGACTGTTTCAGAGTAATATAGGTCTGTGTTAGCAAGCTAAGATTGTAGTATTTACAAAAATGAAAATTAATAGCGTAGAAAAAACCATTACTGACAATAGATCATCAGGTTTTTTGAGTTTGTGGCTATTAACACAATTCTAATTTTAAAATGCTCTAAATTTCTAGATCTAGGGAATTGCTTTACTATTCTAGAATTTGGTGGCGAGGTGTTCTTCAATATTTGATCCCAGTGAACCATCATTACTGTTTGATTCATGTTTGTTCAACAGATTTTGTAGGTGGTGATAAGTCTTTTATTGGTGGAGAGGAATTGTATGATGTATTGGCAGCTGAAGAAGAGAGTAGGGACGGAAAGAATCATGGTGGGCATGACACCCAGATTGAAAATAACAACACTCCACCTCCATTACCTTCAAGGTGTGCAGTCTGTATTTTTATCGTCAATTGTATAATAATGTTTGCAAACAGATATCTGCTTTTCAATTTATCTTAAAATATAGAAAATTTAGTTCTAAAATAATTTAGTTCCTGTTATTTTGAGAATTAAGAACCAGTGGTACCTTTAAATACTTAACCCTTTATGCCCCAACATTATTAATTCTCCACACTTTTTTCTATACATTTCCTATGGTAATGACAAGGAGAATTTGTTGAACAATCAAGTTTAATTGGTTGGTGATTATTCCTGTATTCTTTTGACCTTACTTTTTGATTCAGCAGTGATAGTTGTAAGTAGTCACTCTGGGGGTGTAGATGATTAAAACTCAAATTTGTAGGTATCTTTTCTTCAAGGTCAAATGAGAAATTCTGGAAAATTGTCTTACGGTTTCTTTTTTTTGGTGTGTTATTTGATATTTCTTATTAAATTCTTAGTAGTTTACCACGCAAAGAAAAAGCAAAGAAAGATCTTAAAAAGGAAATGGAAAACCAGAAAAAGAAGGAAAAAGAAGAACTTAAAAAGAAGAAAGAAGATGAAAAAAGAAGGGAACGGGAAGAAAAAGAGGAGAAAAAAAGGAAAGAAGAAGAGAAGAAGAAAAGGGAACGAGTTGACAAGGAGCTCTGCAGGAAACACAAAGTATGAAATATTTTCAATTGGTAAATGATTCATTTGCCGAAAACAGCTTTTCATTCTGTATGAGGAAAAGCTGAATCATGGCAGATTTTCTCAGCACTTTTTTGTTGACACTGCACCAGCCCAGATTGGAAAAAATATCCATTGGGACAGGTAGATCTTCACTATTAAGTTTTAATCCTTTTCCTTGCGGGAGTGACCAAGAAGGTTTCTCTCATAGAGAAGGTCGAAGAGAAGAAAGATAAATACCAAAAAAAGAGTAATGTTTGATTCAAGTCCTTAACTCCCAAAAGTGATTGGCATGTTACTTCTCCCTGTTACATCCCTATAGTATCCATACATAATCCAACAAACAGGTGATTAGAATACCCTTATAAACAGGTTTTTCAGTAAATGTATTCCAGCACCAATTAAACTTATCAGGTAGAAGTTATATTTTGATCATATTTTACACCAAGTTCTGGCAACAAATTTGCAAGGAAATGTGTAACAGCTAGAGGTGATAAGTAACCATCAGATTTTATGAGTTAAAGGGTTAACAGCAATTCTCTAGGGCTGTGATTACAAGAATTGTGTGTTGCAAAGAGAAGAGAGTTTATATTGAGGTTGTATTAGTGAGAGAGTCAAAACGAACACTCCATGGGGGTGAAATATGTTGGCTCAAAGCCTACTCCTACATTTTACATTATGAGAAACTATATTCTTACACATTTACTGTTGTTTTAGTCTTAATCCTTACAACACACCCAAGATCTCATTAGTAATTCTCCTTACTGTCTGCCATACAATTCTTTTGAAGTTAGTTTGGATAATTTGGTACTGGATCAACTTATAATCCCCTTATTGATTTTATCTTCACTCCAATCATTTTTCTGCGTGATACTTTTGACTAATCCCCATATAATCCTTTGCAGATCAAACCAGGAAATGAAAATACTGGGATAGGAGAGGCCAAGAGCAATTTTGCTGGGGATGGAAAGTTTGAACTGCCAGTAAAAGAAAGAGATCCCTTGGTTGTTGTCAGTGAAAAAAATTGCCCTCAAGGAAAATGGCTGGTCCAGAATACTGCAGGACATTGTATGTATCATTGACTTTGAATTCTTTGATTCTGTGTATTGTTGTCAAACGTTTGAAGAAACTTAATGGTTATTTTTGACTAATTTCAATAGATGGGTACATTCCTACAGAGCTGATTCAACTCAAAGTAAGCATATTTTAAAGACAACATTTTAACCTTTTTCTTTTTGTCACATTCTAACTTCTTAGTGTTGAGTTTTTGAGTTAATTTAAATCGTATTGGTTTTTTTTCAGATTGACAGTGATGGAAATAGGATGAGGTATGGATTAGTAATTCATTTTGTTTGATTTTCAATTTTAATAAATAGCTTAGACTTTGAGGGGTTTTCCTTGGCATAGAACAGAAAAAAATATAAACAATTTAAACTGTCTGCAAAGCTACAAAATAATATAAAAAAAACTGTTGGTTAACCTTTTGAACAACTCAGCACTGATTGTTAATCCTCCCTCTAGCTGCTACACATTCCCTTGATAAGTTTGAGAATTCTTATTACTTGTTTGCTCTATAGTGTATAGATATTATGGTGAGAAGTTACGTGTTAATCACTTCAAGGATTGAAAGGGTTAAGAACTTTTTTTCGGTTAACAGTGCAATCATAACTGAGGATTTTTATGAAGATGTAGATCAGTATCAAAAAGGTGGACAGATCATAGAAGAAGGTAAAAATTAAATATGTTGTTTAAAATATCTTTGGGAGTAGTCTCTATACAAAGGATGAACAAGACATCCTACCTTAGAATATTATGTAAGGAGGAATTAATTTATTGTTCTTGCAAATCAATGACCTTTTCTTTTCTCATTACCTAGGTTTTTAGTACAAGACACCTTACATGTGTCTGTTTAACCTGAGGGCAGGTTATTATGTTTGGGTTTTGCCTAACTTCCCTTTCTTAGGTGGCTGCAGTAAAGCAGTAAAAAGTTGTCCAAACCCCTGGGTGTGTAATCCTGATGTGCTGCAACCCTAGTCTGCAAAATAAGGCCAGAGTGGAAACAGTGGGAAGGGACAATAAGAATTACCACAATAAACCATACAAAGGAAACTGTTTTTTGTGTTACTTCAGAAGTCTTTTCTTCAAAGGACATTGCTGATCCTCACAGTATACAGGATGTGTGTCATGAATGAACTTAGTGATAACCTTGCTCACCATAGAGTCTTTGTAGCTCAACGGTAGAGCATTGGAGTGCAGAGTCTTAAGGTCTGAGATCCCGTCCCTCACCAGAACTCAAGAATTTTCTATTTTTCCCAGGCTCACAATAAGACCAATAACATCTTTCTCTATTTCTTCATTCAACTCAAAATTTTTACCTTAGAAAATTAAAAAAAATATATTTCTTATTTGTATTTCTTCAATCTTTGCTATCATTTCAGAAGATGACCAAGAGGTGTATGATGATATAGGGGGACAAGGTACAAACACTGCTTCAAATTTGGCTCTATCACAAATTCTTTAAGTAATTAATCTATTAACTTACTAATTTTTCAAAAGTATTCATTGATTCATTTTTTTTATAGATCCAATTGATGAAGAATTGTATGAAGAACTTCCTGCTGATCAGTAATAATATTGCCATATTGGGGTTTCTAAGTTTACCATGTATCCACAATTCTATAGATAACCATCGTGTACATTAATTTTCTAATTTTCAATGGTAGGATGTCTTTGATATCAGATGTGATTTCTACGGCTATTTTAATGAATTTAATATTTACAGAAAAAAATTGTAACATTTTTAACCACTCTTATTACCGTCATAACTGGGTTTTTTTTAGACCGTCACATTTAAAAGCAGACTTTGTGGACCTGCTTCTCAAATGGTTTGTATAGTCACGTATTACGTAGTTCTTCTCCTTGCAAGAAAACGTTGTGTGACAAAGCAAATGGCTCAAGTATAGGAAACAGATTTTAAGCAATATTACGGTATATTTTATACTAATTATATGATAGTATACTGGTAAGTTACAAAGTATTTTAGGTAAGGGGAACGATGATTGAAATGATTCAAACAAGAAAAAATATGATTTGGTGAGTATTCTTCTGTAGCAATGTCGCTTTTAAAAATGATGCGTTAAAAGAGATTTGTATTTTTTACTCAAACCACAACTTGGGAAAATATAGTTTTTAAATCGTGTATGGGAGGTAATTCTACCGGTTTTATTCAATAAAGCTACATAATATTGAACATCTATTTGTCCTTGAATATCTCATACTAATTTTTTGGGCAACTTTTGCTTTTTCACGTTCGGCCCTTCAGTTGATCAGACTTTAGTAACATTTGGTGGCTCCTAAAGGAGCCGTTGAATTGGACGTGAAACCCACATAGTGAGTTTACTTGCTGCTTGTGTATTTAGTCACAGCCTTGGTTCCTTCACTGACAGCGTGTTTAGCCAGCTCACCGGGCAGAAGCAGCCTGATGGCGGTCTGGATCTCGCGAGAGCTGATGGTGGATTTCTTGTTGTATTGTGCCAGGCGAGAAGCTTCGGTGGCGATACGCTCGAATATGTCGTTCACGAACGAGTTCATGATGCCCATGGCTTTGCTGGAGATACCAGTATCAGGGTGAACCTGCTTCAACACTTTGTAGATGTAAATAGCATAGCTTTCCCTTCTCTTTCCTCTCCTCTTCTTCTTTCCGCCATCGGCAATCGCCTTCGCCTTTCCGGCTTTCTTCTCCCCTTTCTTTCCAGCTACTTTTGGTGCCATGTCTGTCGATCTGAATGAAACTGTAACGGCCTAGTAGGTTCATCCTGTATTTATACTAAAATGACTGAAGGATAGATTAACGTACGGATCGAAATCTACGCTTTCTGATTGGTTACACTGACAGGTCACTTAAAACTTTGGTCTGTAATTTTCTAATAATACAATAGTCCTTTGAATACCGCATGTAAACAAATTTCTGATTGGTGCTTTTCGATCCTGAGACCTGCAGAGCTAAGGATAAATATTTCGGTGTTACGATTTCGCCGCACTCAACTCTGTTATTTAGTGTTTGTCTTGTTTAACTATTTCATCATGTCTGGTCGCGGTAAAGGCAAAGCTAAGGGTACCAAATCCAAGAGTCGCTCATCCCGAGCAGGGCTTCAATTCCCTGTCGGTCGAATCCACCGTCTTCTCCGTAAAGGCAACTACGCTGAGCGTGTTGGCGCCGGTGCTCCAGTGTACTTGGCTGCTGTGCTTGAATATTTGAGCGCTGAGATCCTCGAGTTGGCAGGCAATGCTGCTCGTGACAACAAGAAAACAAGAATCATTCCTCGTCACCTTCAGCTTGCTGTCCGTAATGACGAAGAGTTGAACAAACTGCTCGCCGGTGTCACCATCGCACAGGGAGGCGTTCTTCCTAACATCCAGGCAGTACTCCTGCCCAAGAAGACCGAGAAGAAACCTAAAGCCTAAACCAATTTCATCGGTTGAAACAAACGGCTCTTTTAAGAGCCAACAGATATTGAAAAGAGTCGTGATCAACTTTCCACACTAGTTAAATAACCTTAACTTTGCGTTGCAAATAACATAATCGAAACTTTATTGCTTTCGCCATTTTTTTGTCTATCTCGTAAAAAAATTTTTTTTTTGCTCGTATTGCGAAGGATTTTACAGCGTGTCTTACTCTAAATACGCGCGATTTATTAGCATGTTCTTAGAGAATGGTTCGGACATTACACTTGAACTCTATTCGAGAAAATACGTTACAATCAGGTAATCGGCGTAGTGCGCCAGCACGGGAGTCCATCCACAGCTTACTTTGCCGTTTGATCGAACGCGCCGTTGGCTTAATCTTTTTAACTCCTGGTTGATTAAACTATGTTGCAGAGTAATATTTATAGGATTCACCGCAGAACTTGCGTAGCGTGAGCATTCGTGCTACATGATGCACCCGCTTGTAAGTTTCGTCTGAATAGCATTGAGGGTTGTAAGATGATTTCCTTATCTCTTGCTTTAACAACCGTCCGCTCTTCCTTGATTCTACTCGACCGAAAAAGTGGCTTACTCAGAAGCTTACCTGTGTCCCACGTTATTCGTAGTGGAATGAACGGCTAATTATTCTTAGTGATGGCACTAAATTTCATAATATGCCACTATACGATCGAGCAGCAGTCGTTGGCACTGAAAATGACCGCATCTACTATCGATTTGCTGTTTGCGGCGCGTCAGGTATAAACATTAAACCGTCAATATTCATCAACCTTTATTGGTCACGACTTTTGTAAGATTTGGTGGCTCCTAAAGGAGCCGTTAGTTCTATTTTAGTAGACTGAGTCATTTAACCACCAAATCCGTAGAGAGTGCGGCCTTGTCTCTTCAGAGCGTACACCACATCCATGGCTGTCACAGTCTTTCTCTTAGCGTGCTCGGTATATGTCACTGCATCACGGATCACGTTCTCAAGGAAAACTTTAAGAACGCCACGAGTCTCCTCGTAGATCAGGCCAGAGATTCGCTTAACACCGCCACGACGAGCAAGACGACGGATAGCTGGTTTAGTGATACCTTGAATGTTGTCACGAAGGATCTTTCGGTGACGCTTTGCACCTCCTTTTCCGAGACCTTTGCCTCCTTTACCGCGCCCAGACATTATGGAGCTAAGTCGAGTGCCAAATCATTCAGTGACTATAGCCACATTATAGTACATTACGCTTTTTATAGCCAAGGAAACGACCTCTCAGGAAACGTTGAGAAACAACCAATCGTCAAATCAGAATAAAACGAAACTTGATAAATATTTCATTGTCCTTTTGTCATGTGCTTGTTCGTCTTTGTTGAGGAACATGAAAGACGTCATGCTCCGTCAGGTTAGAATCCTGATGTACAAATCGCCCACAAATGAAGAAAATGATAAAGATCCTAACGGCACTACACAATGAATTAGAAATGGTTCGTTTTGTATTGTTAGATCTGAAATTAGAACGATTTTCAGGCCTTCTTTGTGTCTCAATTTATTCGATCGAAATATCGATATCTGCTCCAAAACTACATTTGTCTAGCCAATCAAATAGCTTCTTTTTCCACCAATCACTTTGAAGCCCGCCAATTTGCAAATATATTCAGCGTGAGGGTCACTGAATAACAAATCGTATGTTTTGGCAAACGGCGCATATAAAGCAGACTGCGTTTAAATAAACCGGTGGGAAAGCACCACGTTAACAGCTCGCCACAAAGGCAGCTCGTAAGAGCGCTCCTGCAACAGATGGAGTCAAGAAACTTGGTAACAGTCGCTCTTCAAGAGATCCGCCGTTACCAGAAATCCACCGGGCTGTCGATCCGCGAGTTGCCCTTCCAGTGATCTGTGGGAGAAATCGCTTGAGATTTCAAGACATCTGCGTTCCAGAGCTCAGCTGTTGTGGCGTTTCGGGAAGCAATAAGTGGATTTCATTGCTCACTCAACAAACGGCTCCTTCAGGAGCCACCACAACATAAAAACAATGACCAAATAGTTAGTGAAATCTCCCAAGTCTGTCTCATGAAATCAACTTAGTGTTAACAACTGAGTTGAAAACAGCTCGAAATATCGATATCTGAACATCACGCATGACCAGTCGACCTCATCGCCTGAAGAAGACTAGCAGTATTCAGTCGAAACGTCGCGATCTACATCACACGTGACTACATCGTGAGAAATACGAAAAACTTAGCTTTTATTGTCATTCACCACGATGAATGACCACAGCTTTTTTTACGAAATGAGTTGAAAACGTAAATTGGCCACCGTCTCATGAAAGGCTAATAAACCCGTTGCATGTGAAGTTTAGTTGAAACTGAAATAAAGTTCCGAGGAGACAACACGTGAGAGAATCTACCTCAGGAGTGGCGGCGAGGCCTCCTGTTATCTGGTTACATGTTTTATTTTGCACTTACTTTGGACACCCTTTTTTAGTGAATCACAATAAGCTGATACGTTATTTTTTCATTGTAAGCTCTTCGGCAAAGAAAGACGCGAGAGAAGAGGAACATGCAACACCGTTCTGTACTGCTTATTGATGTGCCAACTCAAATTAGGGACGTAAAGGCTCCCTGGGTCATACCCTCGTCATTCTCTTACCCAAAATCCTTGGTTAAGTCTTTATAGTTGACATGTTGAAGATGGTAACCTGTCAAGTCGCGCAAAAGTCATGACGCCCGAAATCCCGAGTTACATCGCCGGACGAAACAAAGTCTTGTAAGATCAGACTTACTTGATTTATATCGGCCAGTTTGAACGTCAACCGTTAAGGAGAATAAGGCGGCAAATTCAACGGCCACTTACACGAGCGGTAGCGTATTTCCTTAACCCTGTAACTCCCGAGATCGAATAGTAACTTCTTCCCTCGAACTGCTGTTCCTTTCCTTATTAATTAGTCGCAAGAATTTGGTGTTAGATTAAGAGAACAACTTCTGAGTGATAAGTTTGTTTATTCTCACTACCTGTTTGCTGGATAATGTATTGATTTTATAGGGAGGAGTTACATGTTTATCACTTTAGGGAATTAAAGGGTTAGGGCTTTCTAGATCATTGAAGATAGTCCGACGTGACAAAGCAGAAGGTCAGACAAAATACGCCCCTATACTGCAACATATCATACTGATACCTGAGAATTCAACCCAAGCCAGGATTCCAATGCTCATGGCGACGCGGGGCTACTTTAGCTCGCATATAAATCTAAATAACGGATCATTACGCGCATTTTTGGAACACGGACTGACTACCCCACCGCCTGAACGAAAGCGCAAGCACTCGCCGCTCTTGAAACACTGCCAGTCACAGCCAAGCAGGCCAAGTGAATTTCAAACGCGCCGAGGAATGGATGTATGGGGTAGGATTGCTTATTATGATTCTAATTACCGCCGAAATTTCGTTGAGGTTCAATTTTTATAGTCTCGGAAAGTTTTGCGGATTGTTCAAGAATATCAGCGCATTCTTTACGGGACAATCTTGCGTTCAGGAACGCCTTTAATATTGTTTCTGATGGTAACTTACCCAGTGCAGCTTATTAAAATCGTCTGCCTGCACGCGAAAATTCCAGTTCAAGATGGCGGCGCAACAGAAGGGTTGTGCCTAAATCCTTCCGACTAGAGGTACGCCCGAGGAGCACTAGTGAGAGTTTCCGAGTCGTGTGATTATCGGAACTTGTCGGTTATTGCAATATGGCGGACTATTCTAGTAACACCATTTGCGACGTACCAACAATCAAGCGACGTGATTGAACCTGACATGAACATTATAACATGCTTTACATGTGAAGAATACATTGTTGAGTTTAAATCAAGGAAATTTTGCTACATTTTGAGTGGCTGTTTCCTTCACCCTTATCAATCTTAAGTTTCTTGTTCAGCAGTCTTAGCTTAACGCTGTAGCCGCTAAGACCGTACATTTGCAAAGGTAAAAAAAAAACTTATGAACAGTATCACCACTATAATGCCCTTGTCATAGTGCTACTGGTTAGAAAGATCCCCCTAGATGAAATTTCTATTGCCTTGTACCTTTAGCAGGTAGGATCTCAGGGGGCTCAGGTTAGAGGTACAGCTTGCATATTTTGTCAACTTTGGTCAATTGTTACCACGGTTTGCTACACATTTTATTTTTTCTGCACTCCAAATTAGTCCGAGGATCCTTTAATCACTTTTTTCAAGAATACGTATATATATTTATTTGTTTTTATTTGGTCTTGTACCTCTAGCTGGTAGGATCTGAAGGGGCTTTTAAAATACTACCGGCTAGAGGTACAGCTTGCATACTTAGTTGACTTTGCATAATTTTTATCAAGGTTTGCTCCACATTTTACTTTTCTGCACTTCAAGTTGTAGTCTCCAGAGATTCCAACCCTCCCGATTTGATCGGGAGTCTCCCGATTTGATGTCTTGCCTCCCGCTCTCCCGATTTTTACCACATTCTCCCGATTTATCATAAAATTCTGAAAACTAGGGGAAAATTGCTAATCTTTAGAATTTTTGGCGATCTGTCACTGTGAAACACCCATATTATACTTACTTTCTTCGCGAAGAGCATTATGGTATGTTATAACTCAGGCCGGAATGATGTCAAAATTCAGGAAATGGCACTTGAGAGAACCTAAATTTGCAAAATTTCCCGGCCCCCTGACCCCCCTAGAAGCTCGCGCCTTTGGCACTAATAATTACTCCCTATTTTCCATCACATGGGGTTGGAATCTCTGAGTCTCACACTCCTTGGAATCAATTCTTTTTTAAAGAATACATTTGAATTTTAGTTTTTTTTATTTGGCCTTTTACCTCCAGTTGGTAGGATCACAGGAAGCTTAGGAAAGACTACCAGCTAGAGGTACAGCTTGCATATTTAGTCAACTTTGCCCAATTTTTATTGCGGTTTGCTCAGTTTACTTTTCTGCACTCCAAATTAGTCTTGCACTCCTTGGAATCACTTTTTTCATGAATAAATTACATTTTGTCCTCTTTTATTTAGTCTATAACCTCTGGCTAATAGTATCTTAGGAGGCTTAGAAAATACTTGAAGTTCTACTTGCATATTTAATTGACTCTACAGTGTTGAGCTAAAACTCTGCTGAACAAGATCGACGAGGGTGAAAGAAACAGACCCACAAAATGTAGCAAAATTTTCCTTCATTTAAACTCAACAATGTATTCTTCACATGTAAAGCATGTTTATAATGTTCATGTCTGGTTCAACTACGTCGCTTGACTGTGGGTAAATCGCGAATGGTGTTACTGGAATAGTCCGCCATAATGCAATTTCCGACAATTTCCGATAATCACCCCGATTTGAAAACTCGTCACTAGTGCTTCTCGGGCGTACCTCGAGCCGGTAGCCGGTAGGATTTAGGCACAACAGAAGTGAAGTCGCTTGTCCGAGCAGACCCTGGGACAAAGACTTACTCGCTCGTATTCGCTATTTTGAATTTGTCAGGCTTCGCAACACTTACAGTAAGCCTAGAGAAACGGTTAAAATTCGTTTTCTTCTTTATTTTACTGATCAAAAGTCATCTGGAAAGGTATGGTTAATGTTCTAACATCATCTAAGACACTGTAAAAGGAAAGTTACCCGAAAAAGTGATGCTCCACCATTTCACAGTATTATCAATTACTTATGCAGCAAGTTTGCTCTTCTATCTGTTAAAGTCAGTTATATTGTCATAGCAATGTTCAGATTACCATAGAAACATCCTTAAAGAAGGTTTATGAGATTCTGTATTATTTACGCTTTACTTTGCCTCTACATTAAGTAAAATAATCTTACAAGTATTTTCCCTTTAGAACTCATTGCGTATAAAAGCGTCGTAAGCTTATTTAAAACTGAAAAAGTGATTTAATACAACATCCTGTGGAAAGAGCATGTTTGATTGTTTAGCTGGGTCTTAAGTCCTAGCTGGCTCGATTTTCAAATGATTTTTCTTAATTTAGGGATGCAAACTCTTCGCACCGGAATGATTTTGGTTCATACATATTTGTTAAAATAATACCTGTACAATTTTACCATTTTTCATTCATATGAAACTCGCTATGTCGGCACTAAAGATAAACCTAAATCGTTAAAAAAAACAAGTTTCTCATTTCTAAGGGTGAGTATGTTAGTTTCTTTATGTATAATTAAGCTCGCATATCACACCCACTTTTAATAACTCATCAACAGAATTGTTTTGTTTAAGGTTGCATGAATGCAAGGCGTAGCAAGTTTGGTTTTGATGCCTCACAAAACTACTAGTACAAGATGCTCTGTGAGCTCAGCTTCTACAGAAGTTGGCGCAAGAGAGAAGAGTCCTTCACTTTCTAACCCTTCAGAAACAAAGGCGAAAGAAGGTATTTTTGAATAAATGTATGGAATAGATTTTCACTCTGGTATGGTTCATTGCATAGGATAAACAAGAAAAGTGATGGATATACAGTTTTTGTCAAGTTGAACCTTAAGATGTAATTTGTAATTTTCTTTCTACCCACCATTCATTTCCTTTTAACCCTTTATATCCTAACATCAATATCCATATTCTCCATACTCTTCTCTATACATTCCCTTTAGTACCAACATGAGAATTTGTTTAAAAATCAAAACTTCCTAGGTTGGCGATTAAACCCTTAATTCTCATGATCTCAATGAATGATTCAGCAGCATTGCTGTAAGGAGAAAGTAGATGCTGGTCACTCTTAGGGTGTAAGGGGTTTATCAGATATGGGTATTTGAAGTTATACCAGATTTTGATATCAGCTATCTAGTTTGTGACGAGGGAATATTGTACACCTTGGTTTAGACTCAAGTCAATAAAAATCATACTCTTTTGAGTGTCAAATGGCAATTCAAGGAGTACCGTCAAATCAGCATTCAGACAATTTTTACAAAACCTTCATAAAAAGCCTTCTGCTGCTCTGTGGTGAGTTACTTACTCAAGGTATTTTTAAAAATGTCATTCACAAATATTTTGTAACATGCTTCAGTGCTCATCCAATCTTTTTTTAGGTCAACAAACTAACACCTGCTCACAACATCCAGGCATTAATCCACCGGATGATGGAAAGAACAGCTCTAGGCCTCCAGCTACCAACATTAGAGATCTGTTTCTATCATTTGACAAAGGTTTGAGCCTTGCTTCCTAGTTATTTGCAAGACAGAATTATAGTGGTGTTGTTAAACTTGCAAAATGTGTTTGTAATGATAATACAGGGGTTTGTTTTGTCAGCTATCTGTGGCTACATTGGTCTGACTGCTCTTTGCAGGGTTCAAAAAGTTGGCCACTCAGCTTCTGTTTTCACAACATCAGCATATGATTTAGATCAAGCATTAAAGCTAGAAAATCTCTTTGAATCTCTAGTTCCAATAGTTCTCAGTAGCAGTCATGCATCAGCAGCACAAAAATCCACATGCCTGGTTCAGGATGGAGATCGCTACATATTTTTAGTGGAGGACAACAAGACCTCTAAAGCTAGCTCACTCTGTCAGGGATCTGGCACTAGGAATACAAAGCCCTCTGATGAAGAGTCAGAGAATCCAGAGCAGGATGAAGAAGGAGAAGATACTGGTGAGTTAATAATGGTAATAGGACCAAGTGGAGTCCAATTTGGTCTGTAATTGCACAGGTGATTAACAAAATTGAATGATCATGAAGTAGGAGTTTGATTTGTTAATCACAAGTATGATTACAGACAGAATTGGAAGACATGAAATCCTGTTACAAATTAATCAAAACTATGACAAAATTTAAGACAGAAACTAGACATCAGACATTTATAGTACAAATCCCATTCAAATTGGGTTGTGAACAGCGAAAAACACCCTCAAACAGGAAATGTTAATCAAATCTAGTGTGTAAAAAATTGGAAATGTTATGCAAATCCAGTGTAACAAGTTAAATAACATTTATTATATGGTTACACTGGATTTGCATAAAATTTCCTGTTTGGAGATGTTTTTTGCTGTTCACACCCAATTTGAATGTGATTTGTACTGTAAGCATCCATTATATTAGTAGTTCAATTTTGTTCATCTTGTTAAATCCCTGATGAAGTCTGTGTGATCAGATGAAACTGGTCAAATATTAAACTAAGTTGACAAGATCTGTTGCTGTGTGCTACTCATTGTTTTTTTATTTTTAAAAAGATTTAAAAAAATTTAACAAAACCACAGTTAATATAATGTAATGTGAGAAAACAGCACACACACATGACACATTCTGTCCACTTACACAGGCATGATATGTTAACTGGGCCTTTAACTGTCCTATTACACTGTCCAATTACAAGTATGACACTTACACTGTCCAATTTGTGCTAAAATCAGGCTGGTGATAACCAATCACTTAAAGAATTTTGTTATAGCTTTTATTAGAGTGGTTTGTGTACGGGGTCTACTAAGACCTTTCACTTTTAAGAACAACCAAAACAGACTATCTCCATACAATAACAGTGTATTTCCAAGCAAAAGGTTGATGATAGGAAGAGAAAAAAAGCAACCAGTGTGCATTGTATGATTTTGTGCAGAAAATTGATTTTTAGGTCTTGGGAGTTAAAGGGTTCACAAAGTTTTATATGAGCATGTGATGTGTATCTAATTTCTCCTTTCAAAATCCCCACTGAATCACACATTGAGGTCATAAGAATAAGTAAAATGATCACCAACTGAAACAGCTTTTGATCTTTAAATAAATTCTCATTGGAAAAGGAGATCAGTATGGAGAATATACAAATTAAAGCAAAGGAAAAGATATGTCTCTCAAATACCTATAGTTTATGTACTGTTTTCTCTAAAAAAAAATACTGCATGTTTGTAGCTTGATAAGTGAGTTTTCAAAAGGTGTTGTGGCTAGTAAGTGAGTGAATAAAATTAAACATTCCTTGAATGACATCAAAATGCATTCTTTAGAATTTTCTGATGGAGGATCTGAGGCATCACTTGAAGATGTGCGTCAGCATCATGGAATAATCAAGACTCAGAAACAAGATGATCCAGATTATTTGACATTGTTTGAAGCTCATCAGAGGAGATTAGAGGATGGTGGCTCACAAGCACCAGGTCAGGGGTACTAACAGTAGCATTGTAACATATTGCTATGTGGGGTAGGGTAAGGTGAGGAATGGCTCACAAGCACCAGGTCAGGGACAGTATCAGTGGTATTACAATATATTGCTATGTGATGTAGGGTGGGTAATAACAGTGGTATTGTAACATTGCAGTGTGGGGAAGGGTAAGGCAAGGAAAAATCTTGATGACCCTTTCACTCGTAAAATCTCACCTCTCACAGCTACACATTGGCTTGCCAGTTTATTAAGAGAATTTGGTGTTTAATCAAGATAACACACTAACTGTTTTGGTTTTTTTTCTATTATCATTACCGATTTTGTGGATTTGAAAATTGGATTGAAATTGTGAGAGGAAGTTGCTGTTTGATTTTTACATGTTGGATTTAAAGGGTGAGGGAAGCTATAAATGAGGGAATATCCCATCCAGATTTCTTTAAAGTATTGTTCCACCCACGTACCAAGATTTTCATTTCATTGTTCCCTCCCCTTTAGCCAAAGTTTATCACATCATTTCGCCCTTGTTCTCAAGTTTTGGTCTCTTCCCTCTCATTGCAATGGTTTTCTTCCTAATAATGAATTCGTCCCCCAGAGAAACAGTGTTCCGGTAACGTCTTTCAGCAGCTGAAAGACTGCAACCTGGGCCACTAACCTTAAATACTAATGCTAACAATTATTTATTATTTAATTTAACATGGAATTACTTTAAATGCGGAATTGATCTCCCCTCAAGGGTCGAAGATTATGTTCGACACTTTAAACTGCCAATTTATCTTGAAAAATCCCGCGGATGTTACAGCACTTAGTTCCGGTCGTTGGCATGACAATTGCCAAACCGTTTCATAATATACTGCATTCGTGACCCTTCTGTTAAAAATTGTAGTGTGGACTAAACTCTCTCCTGAAGAGTACATTTTGTTTTTCTTCTTAAAGAGTACGCAAACCAATTATGTGGATAATTTTGCCACCATCCTCGTGCATATCACATAAAAGCTGTAGTATGGACCACACTCTCTACTAAAGTGTTCAATATTTTTCTCTGAGAGAACGTGCAATCGAATCTCCCCAAGGGTCGAAGATCATCTTTTGACATTTGTGATTGCCACTTTTTTTAAAAAAATCCCGTGGATGTTACGACGTTCAACTTTGGTTTTTGGCGTGACATTTCTCAAATCTTCCATTGCTTACAGCAAAAGTGACTCTTCAATTAGAAATCTAAGTGTGGACTAAACTCTCTACAGAAGTGTAAATCTGTTTTCCTTTTAAAAGAGAGCGCATACCAAATATTCGGAGAATTTTGCCACCAACCTAGCGCACATCATTGAAATTTTTCAATTGCGTATTGTAGTTCGAATATTACGTAATTCCTCCGGTGATCTTTCTAATGGTGACGTCACATGTGGCGAAAATCGTCCTATTTCGAGATCGATTTCAGCGGCTTAGAGAATTAAGTCTGTTGTCTAAATATGCAACGGTGCAAATATTATTAGAAACGGAAATCGAACGAAATAGTGTTGTGCAATGGGTCACGTTGTTATTTTTACATTGCGGCCCGGAATTGATGAATTTTTTTCTAATTTACTTAACCAATTTTTTTGTCCTCCCCTAGACTAAGAAGAGCCCAAAACGAGAAGGTAAAGAGAGCGTGTTTATCGTGGTTATGATAAAATGGAAGAAAAATAATTTTGCCCAATATTTCGATAATTCTTATAGCAGGAAAAAAATTTTTATCAAAGTGCAAAGTCGTAAATGTATGAGTTCTAGATAAATGAATTCCTTGCTTTGGCATGCAGCAAATAAGGCTTTAAATCTGTTAAATCCTCCCCCTCAATTTGACCTTAGTAGATAAGCTGCTTCCAATTAGAATTGGCTGGGTTCCGATATCGTTGCGTGATGGCTAGCTAGTGTCTCGCGAGGTTACTCGCCGCGCGCTTTTTTAAAGCACGCGTTCGCACGTGTGGCTACTCCAACAGAAATGACAACAAAGTGTTGAGCCCTGGTGTCGAGCGAAGATGTTCGGTTGACGTTATTTATTCGCTTGACTACTGACTTTAGGCTATCTCATTTGTATGTATATTTTTAAACGTTGTTTACAATCAACCTTTTGATTCCATCCTATTTTTGACTTTTTCTCGAAAAATACTGGGCTTGCGTAGGCTATAACTGGTTCTAGAGAGGTTAAAGAACGCTTTCCCTCAAGCAAAATAGGTACTCAAGAAAAGACGACATAACATTTATTTTATTTGCCAACAGTGCTTCCAGTTTGTGGTATTGTGGTGTGATTGTCAGAAAATCTTGAAAACCGCGCACAGTAGATTATCTCGATTGTGTGTATAGTGGAGATTTAAGTTTAGAGAATCATTTAAAATTTTGTTTGTTGTTTACAATCAATATTTCAATTCAATCCTATTTCTGATATATTCTCGAAAAAACACTGAGCTTACGTAAGCTGTACCTAATACTATAGAGAGTGAAAAAACGTTCTCCCTGAAGCTAAATGGATACTCAAGGCTTTGACAAGTTCCCACTTCAAATCCTTTTGTCATTCAGTTCTAAAGCTGTGCTTAAAATACCATCTGAGCCACAGATCATCGTCTGAAAAGCACATAATAGCCCTTTTACAGGACTTATGTAATAAAATTTAGACGGTTCTAAGAGTAGAGTGAAAATGTCACAGTAAACGGTCAAATCTCGTGCCGCCAAGAGAGAAACTCATGTTCATTTTAATCACGGTGCTCACAGTTTGTAGTGTCTGAAAATCTTGAAAACTGCCCACAGTGGACTATCTCAGTTGTGTGTGTCTTAGAGTTTAAGTTAATAAAATTATTTTTAAATGTTGTTTGTCTTTTACAATCAACATTTCTATACAAGCCTATTTTTTACTTATTCTCGAAAAATACAAGGCTCATGTGGGATGTAACTGGTTAGGGGTTAAGGTTGTTACCATAGAATTAGAGACGTTTTCCTTCAGGCTAAGTAGATACTCATTAAATGAAGACATAACATATTGATTTTTTTGATTACGGTACTTTCAGTCTGTAGTATTTAAGTCCTTGCGGAAAATTCATTGATATAAATTACAAAAATAGATAATGCTAGCTCAGTCTGTGTTGAGCCCTCAGGTGAAAACTGACTTCATTAGGTTATGGTTGTCACAGAAAATCGTCACCTCTCACCTACACATTGTGCTAGAAGGATATGTTTGCATCGCGTTCACGCATGTCGTACCATGACGAACTGCATAGACATAATACCGGAAAAAAAAATCAGAAAAGTTACAATTGAGTATGTGTGGGACGTCATAAAGGCGTCGTCTATTTTAAAGTTGAAAGTTCTGGGCATAACGGGGGAGTAAATTGTCCCAGGTTTTTTTTCCGCTCGTCTTTTGTAAATAGAAGATGCGTGGGATGAAAATGGTAGCGAAAATAGAATCCCTGACGGTCAGTTTACCTCGATATAGTTGGGTAGATTGACGACATAGAGTATGTTGATGGTGCACTTGCACTTTGTACTGTTCCAATTATAATCTCATTCACACAGAAAATCAGACGCAATATGCATGAACTAATTTGCTTAGTTATTTGTTTTTAATGAAAAAAGTTTCTTAGTAGCTTCGACAAGTGTTAACGAATGGGTAAATTGGCTGTACAAGTTCTCGTGTGTTGTTCGGAAGCCACTCCGTTAAGTCCGAGCAATGCCGAGAAACTTCGACCTTTGTTCGTGATGTGGTTATAGATATCTCTGTAGTTTGGTTTGTTTTGGTCCTCAAAGGAACTAAAAAAGTACACTTAATTGAGATCCAGTGTACCTTTTTTGCCCTGTATCCCTGTTTGTGCCGTATTCCTGTGTTTTGAGCCGTTTACACGTGTTTTGTTTTGTCCTGGTGTGTGACTTCTACATTCGTTAAATTTGCATTCATTCATGTAGGCCGAGTAAGGGTCACTGCTCATGAATAAGAAAGGTAACCACAATATGTTGAACTACTTTGTTATTTTCCGTATCTGATGATGAGTTTCGAGTTAGTGACGTCGCATGTGAGTAATATCGACTTGTTTTGGTTTTTACGGATGGGTGAATTGTGGAAAGTGATCGTGTGTTGTCGGAAGGATGACGGAAGGACGAAGGCAGCCGGAAAAGCGGCGAACAACTTCAATCTTCGCTCGTGGTGTTGTTATGGTTATGTGATGTTTGGTTTGTTTTGATCCTGAAGGAAAAAAAGGCTTTAAAACTGCAAAAGATGGAGATGAAATGCGCTTTTCTCGTTTGCATCCGAGAATATTAAACCAACGATTAACAAAAGAACGCTCGAAGGTAATACTTGACCAGGGGTTCTTTGACTCTGTGATCAAAACTGAAAAACAATTAACTTAGATTATAGCTTAAGGAATTTGTCGACAATTTGAGGTACCCACAGCAGACTAGTACGAAGCCGGAGTCTTTATTAACTCTGTTCTTTCATTTGTTTCGAAAAAAATTTTTCAAATCATCTGTAGACTCTCATGGAAAGCAAAACATGCCTTGGTGAAGAAAAACATACAGATCATCGAGAGCCAATGGTGATCTTGAAAACGATGAAAGGGTCAAGCTTTCCATATAAACTGTGTTTGCTATGAAATAGAGGTAAAGAAAAACTGATAGTCGTTTCTTTAGTACAACTCTTTCAGGCAATAACATGAAAAGCTAGGGAGAAAAAAATTTTAAACAAGAGATAGATTTTGAACTTAGCTACAACAAGAAATACTTAGGCCATGTATTTCTGTCGCTAAGCTAGCAGAGGACACTTTCAGAAACCAGGATTTAGACTTCAGAGCCTTAGAACAGCAGAGCATGTTATTTATCTGTAACTTAGTAATAAATTTGGTTGTAATAATTCAAATATTCACACGTGTTTTCGCTTGTTTTGATGCGCTACTTCTATGTATTTAGTTCTTTGCATCCCTAAAAGGTTCACCACCCATGATTAGGAGAGCCTATCACAATATGTTTTATTTCTTTGTTCGGTGCTATAG